TTGAATCTGAGGATGAAGAAGCTGGTGAGTAGGTCTCAAGGGAGAGGTAAATCCCGATGCAAGCAGGAACAAACCTCAGGCTAAGGCTAAGAATAAGGGTGAAACAGACAACTTGGAAATCGTTGATGCCTAAGGCAGTAACACTGACTTTTACTTTTGTTTTTACTTTACTTTGCTTAACAAGATATTTCCTTGAAAATCTGATTTTGAAAGAAAAGTTAGATTCTGAATATTTTTTCTGACCATCGCAATCTTTTAGTCATTACCCACTTTTTGTTGTGTCTGGTTAGTGGTTTGTGTTGTCTGACATGAAAAAAAAGAGTGTGAAAGAATGAAGTCGAAGACGACTGCTGTTCACGACGTGTCTGACTGTCTGGCGCGTTGAGTACGTGACTCCCTGACATCCTTCGGACGTGCCCGGCAAACTTTCGTCCTGGACATCTTTGAGCACGTCGTCAACGCGCACGTTTCAGACTAGTCCAACTTGGGAAGTCTTAGGAAGTATAAACTAGGATAATAGAAAGTCCATGATTTTTTTTATTTTATTTTTTACAATTTTTATCTACTTTTACCTTTAAAGCACCAATTTTCTACGGTTTTGAGGCATAAAAGGGTTTTTAAGCACGTGACTAAAGTGCTTTAGTCATGGGTTTTAGTCACGGGGTGAAGCTTACACCTGTGTTTATCTACTTGATATTTAACTTTTAAAGCGCCAATTTTCCAATGTTTTGAGACACAAAAGTGTTTTAAAGACCGTGACTAAAGTACTTTAGTCATGGGTTTTAGTCACGGGGTGGAGCTTACACCTGTGTTTATCTGCCACAAAAGTGTTTTTAAAGGCCGTGACTAAAGTACTTTACTCACTGGTTTTAGTCACGGGCTGATCATAGCCACTTGATACTTAATATACTATTAATGTAGCGAATAAAATTAATGTAATTTTTAATAGGTATTGTTTTCATTCGTTGAAAAATTAATGCGCAATTTTTGTTATTTACGACCCCTCTTAATATCTTTAATATCAGCGGGCGGAAAAATTGCCTAACGGTTTGTAAATTGCCGGTAACAGAGAAACGAAGCACTATGGAAGATAAACGATTGAACCGGCGCTTTTTTTCCTTCATTGCTCTTTGGTTTCTGCTGAGTTTTCATCTCGACTGGAGTCTACCAAAACTCCACTAAGTTTTAAACCATAAAAACGTCCAATGCATACGCCGAACATTAAGTATGGACTTAAAATGTCTTAAAATGTAATAACAAATATTCTGTTTTTTTTTTACTAATTATTACGGAGATGGCCCTATACCAGACACATAAATCACTGTTTTCGCCTGTTACACGTTGTGATATGGTCTGATGGTTGTTAATAGCCACCCCGTGTTGTAGAGCTGTTGCTTACACATGCTATATTGATGCCGATCATTCATCAACCCCATTTGCCGCGGCCAGTCATGGTCACCTATCGCCAGGGACGGGCAGTTTACGACCAGCTCGATATGAATATGCATACCCCGAACTCTTGTGCACAAGTGCAACGCATGAAACCATGAACCACCCCCAAGTTTTGTTCTTTGCGAAGGGTGTCTGTGTCTGGGCTAGCCCTGCTACCAGTCATAACAAAATGTGAAAATGTGAGCTGTAGGGGTTGTTTAACGACGATCTGAATGGGGGGAAAGTCGAATGGAAAGTGAAGGGCTGCTCACTCCACTTCAACGTATGAGCAACGTAGGAGTATTAACTGTGCACTCACAGTTCAACGTTTTCAAAGTATCCTTCTAGTTGTTATACTAAAAGAGATATTTTTGTTTTTAGTAGGATTTAGTAAAGTATCAGAATTTTGGGTTTAGGTACAGGTGGATTTATGTTTAAGGGTGGTTTTGGTATCATCCCTACATTAGACTAATCGTATTTGTTTCCAAATTTTCCAAATTTAGATAGAACCTTCCTCCCCACTCCTCTAAAAGTAATAAAATTACAATCTCATAAATTACATCCCTTAAACTGTTCCATATTGTAAAGTAATCATATGTTGGGGTTTTTGTACGCGCGCGCGTTGGAAACATTTTGCATTTTGTGTCGCATTCGAACATTAGTTTACGCGCACCTGCACACCCGCACACATACGAGTACTCCAGCGTTAACGACGCTTTGCGCGCGTCCCTCTTTCCACGAGGGTTGGAACATGTTACTCGGTGTTGTTATATGCGAGGAACGGCGGGATCGCAGGCGACAAGCGACATTTACACGTACGGACTTGTACAAATACGACTTTGGTAGTGACTGCGAGACTGGGACTGAACAAATATTACTCGTACGGGCAACTGTAACTGTAATTCCAGGTCCAGCTGGGAGAGTAAACAGTAGGCTATTGGAATTGTGCAAAAAGGATCTGAACGGGTGTTCACTTTCACTTTTTTCTTGTTTAAAATGTGGTTGTATTTGTATTTTTTTGTTAGAAGTAATTTTGATTCATTGTAAATTTGTAGGTCGTGATTAGTCATGTGCTTTAGTCACGGGGTGGAGCTTGCGCATGCGCATTTGACGAAAACTCTTGTATAGCCACTTGATATTAATGTGGAGAAAAAAATAAGGCTTAATAAGTCTTAATGCGACTTATTGCTTCAAGTCACACATCTGGTTCCTTTTGCTCGTGTTAGTCTAACTGTTTATAATGCGGAAGATAGGAGGCTTTTCAGTTGGGATCATTTTCTCTTCGGCTTATTCAGTTCCTAGAATGTTTTCTTTTTGGTAGCGACTTAACCACGGAAGTCGTCGGATTAGGCACAAGTTACATGCCACAAATCACACACTCAGAAAACTCCAGTTAACTTAAATAAAGTCAATTCATACCAAAATACATCAACTGCTTTTGCTCAAATTAAAATTTAATATTTAACCTACACTTTTTATCTTTAAGTCATTATTTTCGTGAGTTTAAATGAATGTATTTGCTGTTTTGTTTATTCTTGACTTTTGACGCTTTCCTCCTTGGCGTCTACATTTAATTCTCCGTAATTCAACTGAGTCTTAACTAGACACCGTCTTGAGTCTTGAGTCTTGAGTCCTGGAGTTCCATTTCCCATTGCACTTTGTTGTACTTGTGCGCTTACTCAAAGCCAAGTTTAGAATTTCCTTGACTCGTGGAATCTCATTGCGCGAAGAGAGATTGCCAGATTGAGCTGCGATGGCATTAATTTAAAGCAGCGCCGCGTTTAGACAATTTCAACACCCAGCGCGCTTAGAACAATTTATCCGAGCAAACGCAAACAGAGTTTTGTTTGATGTGAGAGAATCAAAAGTTAAACAATAAACGTGACATGATACAAAAAGATTTTTATCTTTCTAAATAAACAAATTACATTAACATTAACATCAACATACTCTTCTTCAAATATCTTATCATTTTGAACAGAATACAATGTAGATAAGGCAAGACTATGTGTAATGTGTTATGTATAATGTCAGACAGTTAGTAATTAAATTCGATTAACTCGTGAGGACGTGCGCTCACACATTGCGCGCTAATAACCTCTATAACTCAATAACTATTAGTATTGGGGCACTAGTTTGGCCATTAGCGATGTTTCAAGTGATATTACCATCATATCATCATCATCACCATCACTCCGAATTAATTCCTTCATCAACTGCATACAAATGTTGCCTATGACGTGGTAATTGAAATCAATTAGAAATCATAAGAGTTTCATGGCTTCCATGCGTGTTGCGTCTTTAATTGAGTGTTTTGCGGTTAATAATAACCATTCCATTGGTTGAGAATTAAACTGCGTGGATTTATTCAGTCTATTGCTGAGTGTTGGATAAACATGTTCAACTTGGTGAATATAAAACTGATGTGAATATTGTGTAATACAACGGCTAGGAGGAAAATTGCTGACCACGAAATAATAGTTATACTTCCAGCTGCTTATGGTTATAGTGTAATAGTGTAATACCACAGTGATGGCCAGCGGGGTTGTAGCAACACGAAACAGTGTCGGGAAATGTCCGCGCAAGTGGTGCTTCGCGCTGGGTCCTTCATGTCCGCTTTGTGTCATGTCGGCACTGCCAGTGTGCTTGCTTTGCATTTTTCACGCGCGCGCTCTTTGATTTTTCCGCTTTTCGCCGACGCGTGCAGAAATTGAAGAGTTTCCTGCCATACACTTTTAGCACTCTTTTACTTAGCTTTGCGTTCAATGAACTATAAACATGGACAGTATTATATGATATCACGCATTAAATTTAAGTGAAAATCATAAAATCATATTTTTGGTCATATATGGTTTTGATGTGATATGGTTGTAATATTTGAAAATATGCAGCGCTAACATTTTGTACGGTTTTCACTCGGGAGGACAATGCAGGATGTGACAGAGTATTCTGCGCGCGGCGCACACGTGTCATAGCATTAAATATCGATCCTCTGCGCGTTCTCGCATGCGGAAAATGCTTGATGGCCTGGTGCACAACTGCACAACTGAATATGGGCAGATCGGTCTTGTTATGTGAATGTGATATTGGGTGATCAATGAAGTTTCACATTTTTTTCTGATTTTTTTCTATGCTATTACTCGGAAATATAGGAAAAAATGAAAACTAAAAAACATTTGTGTGGGATTCAAAACTGCAAGAAACACTTTTGATAATATGTAATAATAGTATTTTTATTTTTTTATCGTTCAGACAAGACTTTACGACGCATTTTGCTATTGATTCTTCTCAGTGTGGCGCTTTTAAAGCTCTCTTTTTGCGTCCCCAGTTTTCCTCCACGCGTTAAAAACGAATTGTCGAGAGTTATAGTTACCACTAAAAGGACTAAAGACTAACATTAAGTGAATTTATGTGATGCATTATCAAAGGGACTATCGGTCGTCGTCAGCGTTTCATTCAATGGTATAATTTACAACTACAACTTAAGAAACCCACATAAAAACATCAATTATTATTTTTATCAAAACAAAACATTCATTATATTATATATTTTTTATTTTATTTTTCAGAGGGAAGCGACCCAAAGGGATGCCGACCGCGAACGTCGCCTGCGCGCGGACAGCGAGTCCAAGACGAAGCAGGCGCTGCAGGAGGCGGCGCGCTGTCGCAGCCGCCTCAAGCTTCTCACCAGTGAATTCTCCAGGTTAGTACCCCAAGCACCCAAACACTCTGTATATGCGTTTATAGTCGTGCGTAGGCTCCTCGAATGTAATTCGCTGTGTAGGAGGCAGGAGATGTACATGGAGATACCACTCGCACACAGGAAATTAAGCTGTAACTCGCAATCGGCTCCCAACTACCCCGAAACAGGGTTGTGTTTGTGTCTATGTCTATGTCTATGGGGGTAGATATCGCGTACCTCCTCCTGTTGATAATAGGCTAGGCTCTCAGTGAGTTTACCTAGACTAAACGTCTAGGCGTTTGAGTTTGGGTTTCAGTTTTCAGTTAGGAATAGTTGCGAGACAATTTGAATAGTCCTTTAGTTTAGGTTTAGGTTTAGGTTTTGGTATAGGACGATAATGATAAACGGTGTCTATCTACACTAGACGTGCGCTTTGTTCGTTAAACAGATCGAATATTTTCATAAGAGCTACTATTGCTTTCATTAACAGTGTAACACTGTGTGTTTGGTTGTATAGTTGGTAAATGAGTGTGAATGTTGTTTACGCGCTGGTAATTTAAGCAATTTCTACCGAAACTAGAGGAATTCTGTGTGTTGGGCAAAAGGACGAAAAGGTCCTCGGGTGGGTCCTGCAACGTTTCATCTCATAGTCATCTCGTCTACTCCTTGGTGTAGAATTCCGAATTCCGCCTCCTTTGCATTTACCTGCTGAGTAGGAGGATGATGTGGATGAAAATGAGTGAATTTGCAAGATGTTTGAGGGAATTTCAGCGTTTCAGTTTCATCTGCGTGCGTTTAGGGCAAATGAAATGTTAAAGCCGGAAATTAAGTTTTTCTTCTCCCCTTACTTATACTTATTCCTACGCGTACGCAGCGGAGTCGTCTTGCGGGATTATTTGCAGTACGCACGAGTTGGCGCGCGTTCCTCGTCAATTATTCACTTATCTTTGGTGGATGTTAGCTGGATGCAAACCGGATGCTTTTAATTTCCACTCATTTTTGATCATAATGGAATATTTAATTTTCTTTGTCTTATCTTCTTGAATTATTACTATTAATGTGGATGCTGAAAGACATTGTAGCGTGATCTACATTTATTTCATCGTCTGAGCTTTGTGGTTGATCCGTCAAGGATGTTTAGTCTACTACATTTTCGTACTACCATTGTATTTCAATACATTTGTTTAGTCTGAACGAAACAGAGTAACCCCTTGTAGTCTGGGTACGAATCCCTTAATTCAAATCATTTGACATATTTATACCTATCCGGCGGTAATAATTGCCGAGACCGTCTGGCCGACGTCTCGCCCTATTCACTATAGCTAATGTACAAACACAAAGACCAGACGATGAAAAATTGGGATATAAAAGGGACACCTCCGGCTCGGGGAGTCAGAACAGTTCGTGAATTCTTCAAGTTCGTTTGGTAAAGAAGCAAGTACAATATTAACGCACACCAAAACATTTTAACAAAATTTATGTAAAAATTGATTTAAAAATTATTTTTGGTTGTTTTTGAACGTTATGTACGTTTTGTGAGCATTTACGTTATTGACGGGGTAAATATTTGCATCAGATATTATGCGCCGCTCGTAAAACCCCCGAAAGTTTCCCTTCTTACTCTGTAAACAGAACTTCTTACTCTTTCCTTGGAAAAAACATACGTTTTCTTATACTGCTACTGCTTTCACTAGCAAACCATTTTCTTTTTCTTTACTTTTACTTGATTTTCTTCTTATATTTTTTTTATTTCTGTTTTTGTGAGTATAGGAATTACGTCACCGAAATATTTACATATTGGTTTAAGAAATTGCTAAGCGTAAAGTGAGCTAAACACTAAACAAACAACATTAAAACGTAATTTGTATCTTCAAACAGAAAATCAAAAATTCGCTCACAGAGTATTTGTATATGTGTTTACATAGCAGGATATTTAATAATGTTGTTTGTCGAAATTGAAGTCACGTTGAGGCTATTCAATAGGGGTAGTTCTTTTTCAATGTGGGCGCCAGACTTTAAGAGGGGTTCCAGTTTCCAGCCAAGCGAGTGTTGTTGCTTGGTTATTTGAAAACGCGTGGAATTCCATCATTTCGTCCTTTAGACGTCCTTTCAACATCCAATGTCTACTCCCACATCGACGTTATTAGAATATCTCAGCGGGATGCTGACAGGATGATTAATACAGTGTGTTACAAATTCAGGCACTTAAAATATTAACATTCAAGGATAATTCACAATTTAATTTTGTTTATTTTACGAGTTAAATACTTGTTTAATGTGAAAATTGTTGATTATTGATTTTAAATGTTATTTCTGGTTTATTGAGATATCTGGTTATGTTATGGGGTTGCTCTTGAATTGAATTGTTGAATAGGTAGCTATCGTCTGGACGTCTAGTCTAGTCGAGTAGTCGGTGGTGGCGGTGGCGGCTGGGAACAACGACCGTCTGCCATCATTACGCCAGCCAGCCGTTTTCCGCTTTCTCGGCGCGCATTTTCACTTTCCTTTCGCAGTCTCGGTGCGGCGCGACGTGCATCCGACGCAGTCACCCCTCAACGTCTCGGGATACCTTGATATACATCTGTAGACTACTAGCTTTCACTTTCATTTTCATTCATTTTTCTAGAGAAAAAAAAGTGAAACATTTTTTCTATTAACGTCATTTTTGTAAGAATTGAAGATAAGGATATTGTATTGTATTATTTGAAGGACAATATCCTTAGTATCTTTAGTAGGATATTGTTGTGAGTAAATCGGATTGATTTATCAATGGATACATTTTTTATTTTATGATTTGCTGGTATTTTACGCAATTTTGCACCTGTTCTTTAAGAAAAATGAGTTTTTTTGTATATTTTCGGCGTATGACAAAAAAAACTAGAATAAAATATTGTAAAAAATACAATGCATAAGAAGGATGTATAAGGATAATCGGAAATACCGTCAGGGAAAGAAAACAAACGTTGAAGCTTTTTTTTCGGGAATATATCCGCTGCGAGGTGAAAACAACTTACATAAACAAAACACAAGAAGGATTCGACTCTGAAACAGAGTTAGGACGAGAAAGGAATGAAAATTGAATGAAAACAGGAAGGAATTGTACGGAAATAAGGAAAAATGTTCCTAGGTTACAGTTGACTTGATGAAACCATAACTCTTGTTCGAGTGAAATTTATCACTTTATTTTCAATATTCCTGAAAGTTTTGTTTTTTTAATTTAAAAATGTTTAGGAAAAAAATTTCACTAAACCTTTGATTATTAAAAATATTATAATTCAAATTTCCAAGTCGCTTCGCTCGCGAATATCTAAAATAATGAAGTTGCTTCCGTACGCGTCTGTAGTCACAGAAGAAGTAACAATGAAGTAGAATGGCGGGAAGTTTAAAATGGCTGAAAGTATAGTCTATGGAAGTATAGTGTACAGTCTCCATAGTGTAGTCAATTGGATTTGATGTTGACGTAGCTGTGGGTAATACAGTGTGATAATACAGTGTGATGGTACTATAGTACTTAGGTTTGAGCGTCATTGCTGGAATGCTAGATGGCGTTAAAGTAGTCAAATAGCCAGATGCAGAGGTATTATTGGCTAAACTATTTCTTTATTTTATTTAAAAAATAATTTTTTTATTAAATAAAAAGTAGCCTATAACCTTTCGGGGACCACTAAGAATATGTGTACAAATTTTCATGATGATCTGTTTACTAGTTTTTGCGTGAAAGTGTAACAAACATCATATTAGTAGGGATATTCCTAAAAGTTTCTTTTTTTATTTTAAAAATTTTTAGAAAAAAATTTCCCTAAATTTTTATTCAGTCGACAAAATGATCTTTAATAATAAATCTTGATTATTAAAAAAAATTAAAATTCAAATTTTCCAAGTCAAACAAATAGATAACAATGAAATTTCAAGACTATTCATGATTCTCCAAACCGTTGAAATGTAAATATCTAAAACTGTAAATGTTAAAATCTGTACATCTTAAAGAAAATGCGTATTTCCTCTTGTTTGGAGATAAAGGGGGTGCATATTTGAGGAAACCCTAAATTTTCAGCCTTCAACTGCTTAAAAGATTTACTCGCCTCGCAGACACAGACAAAACACAGCCGCTGAACCCAAGAAAAAGGATTCCGCGCTGAATCCGACTTGATTAACTTAAAATTTATGCACTTTACGCTCTTATTTTTAACAAAGCACATCACAACCGAAAGTAATCACGAAGAAAATTAAATTAAACAAATGACTACAAAGTTTTTTCGTTATATTTCTAGGGGTGTATTATTCTTGATAAGACTTGGAAAAAATAACTAAACATGAGTAATGAACCTAGTGCCGCGGACAACTTCATAAATATGCGCATCGCGTGCTCGCAGCGAATTAAAAAAACGATTTATTATCGTGAATTAGCATGCAAATTGCTCGACCGAAAAAAAACACAACAAGAAAAATCATGTTGAAATTGAGCAACAACAAGGAAAAGGAATTTTCTTTGAGTGAGTGAGTAGTTGCTACGAGTATGAGAAATGGTGGAAAATTGGAGACGTCGTCACTTTTCATTTTTTCATTTGCTGATTTTCTTTCCCTGTTGGCATTTGAAGTTAGATTCTTATGTTTCATGTTTTCTTCTAATTTACGAAAAACATGAAACGCGTATGAGAAATCGCCCCGAAAAGGTTTGTTCTCTTAACTGGGATCATTTTTCATCCGGGCTAACGATGTAGATTTTTTTTATGATTTTGTGTGTTTGATTTTTTTTCCTGCGGGAAAGTCACGAGATGTGAACGTGCAAGTTTTGCTTCCATCTATTAGATAAATATACATCTGGCGGAAAATAATGAGGGGTGGGTATTATCCGCACTACCGAAGGGTGGAAAACTCCCGACCGAGGAGGAAACTTCTTGTTAGCACACCGGTTTGTAAATGAGCCAATCGTTAACGCAAATATTTGCCAACGTTTTAGGCCTGTGCGCCAATATTCAACGGTTTTCTTCAAAAAAAAAAAAAATGATTTTATCAATTGTTGTAAATTTAAATATTGATTTTAAGTTGAAACTGTTTGAAAACTTGATTAATGATTTTTAGGGGATGAAATGTACTTGTGCATTTGCAGCTGCAGCTGCGTGAAGCAATTTAAGTCTTTCTTTGAGGTGCCAAGTGCCAACTGCTACCGTACAACCTTTGTTATCCTCACAGCAACCCTCAACTTCCTTCCCCTCTGCTGCTGCTGAGAATTACGACGTTTACGTCGATTGCAATAGCGGCTGCACTGTTGCGTTTCTCCACTTTCACGGAGAAGTTTTACAGCTTATTATCTTGCATCGTGCGCAGTTGAGTCCTGCTTTTTGCAGGAGTAACCTAGGGGTTGTTGCTGCTAGTGCAACTGCTGTGAGGGTAATCATCAGGGTATCACCTTGCGATTGGTTGGTGCCTGATGCCAGGGACATTTGCATTCATGCTTCTGAAAATGTGGGGTGGGAGTGGGGGTAAGATTAGATGGAGATTAATGAAGGTGAATGTTAAGGTCTGCAAAGGGATGGAAAAGTTCCTTAGAGGACTAATTACGTTAATTGTAAATGTAAAGTAATAAGTTAGAGATGGGATAAGATGAATTCTTGAAATTTAGTATTTCGCGGTTTGAAAGGAATTTTTAATATTTTGAAGTTTCTAAGATGATTTAAAGTGTCCTTGAGAATGTCTAACTTAAGGGCCCTTTAATCCTTTGTCTGCACTTCCGTTTTGAGCTGACGTTTGCCGGTACTAAACATCAAAGCTGTCTCCTGGCATTTACTTGAATGTCCTTGAAAGTACTTTTAATTTGATTTCAATTTTCTACTTTTTTCTTTTGTTTTTCTTTTCCCATGTGTGCATAGTTCAAGTTCACATTCTATTATTAACCAAGGACGAATGAAACGAGGCTTATCTTTGATAGAATCACACCACGCCGTTCGGTTGATTGATTATATTTCAAAGCGTTTACAATGTTTGAAGTCGTGAAATGTCCGTATGCTGCACGTCCTTGAACTGCAAACTAATCTAGCCTATGTTTAAGGCTGATTAAACATTAAAAGAGGACGACTTGAATAATGTCGATCAAGGTCACGTCAACATTTGGACTATTTCAATCGATATTATGTGATTAATTAAATATTTACTTTGTTTTTAACGTCACAAAAACTATTTGTGTTTTTTCGAGTTTTGAAATAATAAATTTCAGTTTGAGGTGAACAGAGGTGAGGTTAGGACACCGCCATAAATATCCGACGCATGCAAGTTATGAACGCTTTGGACAGCAGCCAACAGATTGCGATCGCGTAGCTTTGCTGGTCAAACGACACCGTCGAAACATCGTCGATTGCCAAAAGTTAAATTTATCCCGTAAATTTTCAAATTTCCACATCGTACAAATTAGAAAACGAAAACAGATTGTCAAAACCTCAAAATATATTCAAATATTTACAAATTACGTTTTAAATTAAATTTAAACGGAAACCGAAGATTATTTCGTGTGATGCCTGTACGTGCTGATATTATCATGATGGCGATGGACGATGACGTTGTGATGGGCCGATGGCGTCGTAGATCGCGCTCCGGTTTGCTTTACGACGGCGGCAGACGACGCCACGCCGCCTCCACGTCGCATTACGCATCGCATTACTGCTGCTTAGCCGTGCAGCGAGGGAGGGTGGCGCGTCGGCTTTAAGCGCTTAGGCTTATACTTTACGGTCTTAGTCGGTCATAGTCCAATGAAATTCCGCCATCTTCATCTTCGGGTTTTCTTCGGCCTCTGTGCGTTTTTCTGAAGGGTGACAGACACAACGACGACTGCGGTAGTAAAAACGCTTTTTTACGACGCAGGCATTCTCTGCTGCTTCTGGTGATAAGCAGACAAGAAGAGATTGGCGGAAATGACGTAGGCAGCCAGCGAAGCGGCAAGCAAGCGACTTCATAACTTTGACTTCGTTTAGTTTAGGCTTTTATGGCTATCTGTTTATTGCGAATGATAATGATAATAAAAACAACTCATCTTGTATATGATATTAATTGTGTTCCTTTTACAGAATGGAAGAAACTGTGCGTTCAATGCTGGTGTATAAGAAACAAGCCGAGTTGCTGAAACAAGAGAAGACTTCATTGACTATTGCCTTTGAGGTAAGAAGAAATAATTTAAAAAACAGATTTAAAAAATGCGATTTTTGAATTTTTTGAGGTTAGAATTTTTTTTATCTATATATATATATATAAATGAATTGCTGTTCGTTAGTCTCGCTAAAACTCGAGAACGGCTGAACGGATTTATCTTATCTTGGTCTTGAATTATTCGTGGAGGTCTAGGGAAGGTTTAAAAGGTGAGAAAAATTCGAATAATTGCCGGGAAAATCCTCAAAACAGCTCTTTTCTATAGAATAAAATTTGACATTGAGATTCAATCATAGTTATAGTTAAATAGTTGAATTCGAGATGGCGCGCTGAAGTGCATTATTGACAAAACTTTATATGCATAATTTCTTTAAATTATAATTGCTAATCTTATTGATAGAATTGACTCTTACTACGAGTATGTCTAGAACAAGAGAGTAAAAACGAATTACATTTTTATTAAACACTGCCGGAACGAAGTCGCGGGCAACAGCTAGTTTGAAATAAAACACCTCGCAATATAAAAGTCGCATTAAATTTTAACGCGCCCCGCACGCATCGAGCAATAAACGCGTACATAAATTAGTCCATCCCATTTGGATATATTTGTCTCTGTGAAATTTACAACCCTCGTATCTTTTGTTCGTTTGTTTCGTTTCGGTTCAGTATTTTGTTTTGATTGCGTTTGTTTTTGTCTGTATGTGCCGGTCTGATTTGTGCAATTCATGATTGCGTCCTGCGCGCGAGAATTTAATTAGTTCCCAAAGGTTACCATGGTCGAATCCATAAAGAATGCCTTTGTGTCCCACTGGCAAATTCTACTGGCGCATTTTACTAAAAAAATAAAACGAAATTTCGAATTAATTTGTGTTGTGAGCTATTTGCACAGTTGGTTGCCTATGCTTATGTTTTATTCACAGTTAGTTATTTGCGCTGCGTATTTAGTTTCTCACCTTTGAATATTCCGAAACAATATCCATTACATTGTGCGCCGTAATGGCGTCCCGTGTCCCGAGCGAAAGTTCTCAATTTCCTCCTAGTTGTTGCCAACCCTCTACCGATTAACATGGCGTTCCATGCGCCAGATGTACGCGTACACACAACTTATCACTCTAAACAACTCTCGAATTCTAACACAACTTGTGTAGTTGTTACATGTTGTTACATGCAACCCAACATACACTCCGACTGTATGGTATAACCTAACTTTTGTGCTTAACCCTTATTTAAATCCTCTTAGTTTAGTTTTTCTTTGTTACTAACCTAAATTCTTGGATTGTATTTTGTTTTCTATCCTGGGTTGTTTGCCGGACTAACCCTAATAGATGATAATAGAGAGGTGCGTGCGAGCGCGAGATTATTAGGCTACCCAATAGGCAAACAAACACGCAACCTAATGAAACAAACGACAAGCGTAAAGCCGCGAGGGTTTCCAGAAGCAGATTGATCGGCGAATTGGGCTGGCAAATTAATTAACCGTGCACATGTGTCGAAAATGAAAGCATTACGCAAACATTAATCTCGTTAATTAAACGTCGCTCCGAAATATTTGGAGACTCTTCATTTTTCATTTTCTGACCCACTAGCAAAGTTATTTTTTGTTGCCGCCTGATGAAAACGCACGGATGGTGTGTTTTACGATGCGATATGGAAAAAATGAAATTGTATTCAGCAACCCCCCGCGTTGGCTGGACTTTGTGCTTTTTTGTTTTTGGCTTGTTTTCACTAATGGCGGAATAATTTGATTAACAGCGCGCCGAAAAGCGCACAAAGTGGGGAATTGCGTAGCGAGCGCGCGCTTGAAGATTGAAAGTCATCAAGCATGAAGCGAAGAACAATGAAAACGCTTTATTAAACAAATTAAAAGTTAGAAACTTTTAGAGATACGCTTAAAACTCAGCTTTTGTGTATTTGTGCATTGGGTTGCCTACAACTTGCTAGTTTGCATGTAATTGTTTGCATTCAGTAGGAAAAAAAAACGATTCATTGCATTGTGTGCATACAAAATGAAAACTTAATTAAATTACACGAAAGCCATCAAACGACTAATAATACCCGCGTTCCTAGCTGTAATCAAGTAATCAGAGCGACGGCGTGCGGCGCTCTTCAATGCGCTTGAATTTCAATGGAAGCCACGATAATTCCATTGCTATTCGCTTTCGACGTTAATAACATTCCCAAACACCGAATTCACAGCCCACGCTAACGAACGCCCACAATGTCGAAATTGCAATATTCGGTTTAATATTGAATATCAATCATGAATTTGTCTCGTGTGCTTTCAGAATCGTTGCCAGCAATATCAAAACACAATTCAGCGACTTAATCAAGAGATCTTCGCGTTGCGCCAGCAGGTGGAGAACGCGACGAATTTTAAATCCGACAGTGCGCAGGCCTTACTTCTACAGAAACATGTCGACGAATCACGTAGACAATACGAACGATGCTTGGATGATGTTGCGAATCAAGTTGTACGCGCATTAGTAACACAAAAAGTAAGTTAAAAAAGTTTTTGGTTTTTTTTTAAATAAATTAATGAATTTTGTTGTATTTAGGGCTTAAAAGAAGAAGTGTGTTCGTTAAACGCACGAATTATCGATCTTGAAGCACAGAATTCTACATTGGGCGCCATGTTGGTGCAACAGTTTGCTTCAACTCATGCGGAGACAATTCCGATGATGGACAACGAGGAACAGACTCAATCACGCCTGGGTTTGGAACCTCTTTCGCTTAGTTCATTGGTTTCCCGACAGGAGGAAGATAATACTTCAGCGGATGTTTCACCGCTGATGAAAAGCAAAAGCAGTGTCTCTTTGAAACACTGCAATTCTTTTAATTCGGAGATTCTTGATGTGAATTTGACCAACAATACAACTACGTCGCCGAATGTTACTATTACACCCGAATTCAATGATTGTGATAAACTCTGCCGCTTGCAGAAAATTGAACGGCATTTGTCTGCTGGATCTGAACTTTTAGGTTAGTAATCGTGGGTTTGTAATTGAGGTTATGTTATATTATGTTATTGTTGTTTTATTACAGACTCAAGATTATCTTTAGAAGATAAGAAACGCCATCAAGTGCTAACGAAGCTCTGGACTGAATTGAAAGGCTCCGAAGTGACGCCGAAGCGTTTAATAGAAGCACTCTCCGCCGTAGACTCCGCCCTCTGGGTACCACCGCAACGCCCTGTTTCCCTCAACCTGCAACTGCCCATCCTACAATCCGGGAAGTACCGACGCACACGCCCTGTTTTAGTGCAGACGGTTTCCAAGAGTGAAGAAACCGAAGAGACTGTTGAAACCGGAAACGAATCACCCGAGAGCGGCAACCGCGACGAGGGCTACTCTACGATGTCCTCTGATGTACAAGCAGAGGTATCACGTGGTAATGGTGATACTGTCACGCGCACCACCGTTCCCTTGGAGGAACTCAAGGAGGCTACCGATGAGACGGACAACAATGGCGAACCGGACGTCTTCTACATTCCCATCAATTTATTAAATCTAAAGCCACGTAATAGCTTCCCGCCGGGTAAGGACTTCCTGCCTTTTCAACACATCATGCGCAGCTTCAGCGACTCGCATTTGTGTATTAAAATTACCACGGCGCCGAGCCCCAGTTGCTATACCTTCAGCAGTCCGATATCCAGTAGTCCTAGTATTTTGGTTGTTGATATCACGGATCGTAACCTCAATCGTAATCCGCTTAGACGGGCTAAAGCAACATCTACGCTTGCGGCGCCCTCTGCCGGCAGTGAGGAAACAAAATCACCGCAATCGTGGAGCAGCAGCGTCGATGACCGAGTGGAATGTTCAACGTTTGATGCGGATTACATTCAACATTGGTTGCGATTGGATGATACAAGGTCTACTTTACAGCAGCAACATAGAGATTTGTTTGAGTTGGAGTATGACAAGACGGAGCTGGAGGATTGGAGTTTGAGTTTGTCAAATGAAGATCTCAGAGAGCAGCAGTGGCAAGTTAAACATGGAACTGCAGTTACGCCAGGACAGTATTCCCTGTCGACTTTGCCGAGTATTCAGGAGAATAACGCGTTGGAATTGGAAGAAGATGCTAGTGAATGCCTCTGGAATAGTTCCAGTTACATGGTTGATCATGAGGGACACGAGATTGTTACGCTATTGATGGACGCGTCGCCGGAGTGCCAAAAATGGCCGTACGCGGTGAATTACCAACTGAATGTGAATACTTCACCGGATAATAGCTGGTCCAGCGGGGGTAGTGATTGTTATCAACCAGAAACTTGTTCGAAAAGAAGTTCGGCTGCGTTGAGTGGATGTAGCGATGATACTGGAGAGCTTCCTTTGATCGGGACTGATTTTACTAGAGATTTCTACAGGTTTGTGTTTTTTTACATAATATACCTATACAACTAGCGCCACTGATATTGGTGGTGATTTTCTGTACTAGTTTGAATTGACGGCAATGTAAAACTGATAGTTTAATGTTTTATTCACGTTTGATTTTAGATTGGTAAAGTTTGAAAGCACAAAGAGCTTGGCGTCAACGTCGTCTCGCAGCGTGGGCGGCGCGCTCTCCGAGAACGGCGAGCGTGAAGCCGCGCTCCAAAATGTTCTGACCTTCATCGCCGAACAACAAAAGTACGCGCAGAATCGCGAATCGCCAACTTCCACGGACCTCACCAAAGAGTTCAACATTGAGGCACCTGCGCAAATGCTAGACGAAACTAAAGTGTCTCCGATATCATCCACCCAGTCTTCCATACCACCTGAACCTTCAAACACCTGCCTTAATCCACCCGACGAACTCCTCAACGCCGAAGAAACAAATGAAGGAAATTACGTGACATTGAAACAACTCTCCGAGTTAAAAATTGGGCGCGTATTAGAAGAGAAAATCACATACGCTGAGGAAGTTTGTCTTGTAACGCCGCTTGAGGGCGAAAGTGAGAACTGCAGCCATATTAATGCGGTGCCCGTTGATATCTGCGCCAGTGAGGTGACAACTGTTGAAGAAGTCAAATCGCTGAATGAATCATTCACTTCCAGTGTAAGTACACCTGACACGATTGTATCAAAGATTCCACTGCGGAGAAAGAGTAAGATTCCGGTGTCACCGGCGAAAACTGCTCAGAGTGTTGCCAAGCTGACCAAATCGAAGATTCCGCATCGGACTGGCAGCCGAAACGGATCACCTTCGCATGTTGCTAATACTTCAACAAACAATGTTAGTACTAACAGTAATGCAAGCATTATCGATGGGCCTCCACATAGAGCGATGAGTTTTCATGAGCGAGCGACAAGTAAGGATGTTATTGATGAATTAAACAGAATGATTCGCAATGGAGATGAGAACAGTCAAGATAGTCAGGAGAGTTTAGACGTTGTGCGCAATTTAGATGAAGGGTGCATGCCAACTGGCTGGGTACATGTCGAACGAAATGTTGACTTGAACGATCCCAAAGTAAGCTCGAATCACTTTTTATTATTCTTTAATTTCTTAATATTTTTTGTTTTGATTTCAGGCACGTGCAAGTCTTCTAGACGTGATGATGGCGTCCGTTTCGTCTGATTCCTCACCATCGAGTTCGTGCGGTGGTAGCGTCAGTAGTGAATCAATGGAGGAACAACTGGACTATGGGCAACTGCACAAAATCCATCGCTACCATCGCCAAAAGAAAGGTAACCTTAGTAATCATTTGTTTTCTTGTTATCTTTCACTTGCCACACAACGCATATTCACTTTTAAGTTCTCCTTCTTTCATTTCCTATCATCTGTTGACTTGATGTTGGTTTTCATCGTGTACATCATCCTTTCGAAGCATGTTTCATGTAGTTACATACACCTAGAGTAGTGACATCTAATGAAGCAAAATGACCAACCAACCAAATTGTATCAAATCGTTCAGCCCTTCGAAAATGTAGTCTCTTAATGTCTATCTATCCTTATCAGACAGTTATTGTCATACCTTGATCCTTAGAAATTCGAAATTTTATTTTATGTTTTATGTTACAATATATTGGTGAAAGTTTCTATTTTTTTTATTTTTAAACTTCTTAATGCTTCTCTTGTGCTGAACAATTTGCTATACAATGATTGGTTTTTCAAGCTTCCACATCAACTGCTCACACATCAGCATCGGCACCTTGCACACCGATCACGGAAACGGCCGTGTAAAACCGGCGGCCATTTGCATTCATTCCACTGAAAGCGTGTGCAGTGGAGGCTTGCTGCGATAATAACAGGAGGTGTGTGTAATTGCAGCCCATGCGACACGTCCAGAATTGGCTGTGGTCCGCGCCAGCGCACCGCTCTACCGCCCCTCGATCATCGGCCGGCCAGATTTCTTCGTGCGTTACGGCGATAAAGAAAAGGAAGCAGTGGCATCTTTTGATTTTTTGGACGACATCTGTACTTCGGGGAACGTATCCGAGTGCAACGTGGATGAATAAAACTTTTGATGAGAATCTAAAAGCAAATGGCGCTAGTTGTACAAAGATGTAACAATAATTCGTATACTAACTTATAAACTTATCCCTGCGACCAGGTGCGACTGCTGATATATATATTTAAAACTTACTTAAAGCAAAGTATTGAGACTCGCGATGCGCAGACGAAATAATTTAACACTTATGATTTACACTTTATTTATTATTTATGCGATAATGTTAAATGTTGTACATATATTAGTGATCGGCGTTCCACTGTCAAAGCGTAATCAATAAAATTTGACCGAAGACTGTACATAGGGTGCATGGAATGCCTCGAATTATTGTAAATTATGAGGTGGTGAAAAATGGCAAAACAAAAACATACAAAAAACAAGTTGAAGTTGAAGTAGTCACTCCTTTTGTGATATTCTGATTCTTTCTAACAAAACGTTACGCTGGAAGGAAGAAACCAGAAGTACTATTATTAATTATTACTTGTACTTACTACATATTATTAAATATTTCTAGAAAACGCGATGCGAGTAATCACACATTCAAACGTGCAGAAATTTTCAAATCAAAACCAGCAATTTGATGATCATATATGTGAAGTGCATTGCAATGCATTTTAGTGATTTGTGATACAATTTGATGATAATTCTAATTTTGTTGTTGGTTTGGTGATTGGTTGACTAATAGCCAATCACAGAATCCAGAATGTAATCAATGTGTGACACACGTTTTCTCTCCAAGCGACTACAGTATTTAAAGTCTTTTAAAGTCTTCTCCTCTCCTCTTTAACACTTTAATAAGGCATCCTAAAACATACTACTACTACCTACTAATTGTAGAAATATTTTGACAACTATAAGACGTGTCAAGAACATGCTATGACTATGACAATTATGATTACACACAAACATACTACATACTACTACAGATTTCGTAGCGAGAACTGAAACAATATAGCAACAATAGAAACAATAGCGAGGAATTAATAAAGTAGCCGTAGCGTATATTGGAGACGCGTCAAAGCGATAAAATGAATAATAATAATAATAATATTAATAAAGAATAAATACAATACAATATGATACAAGTGTGAAATGATTGTGACTTTGGTGAAACTTGGTCAAATGTGAACATTTGTGAATGTACATTAATTAGGTGTGTAGAGTGTATTTTTATATAGGCTTATCACTTAATATATATATGAATATTAATATATATATATTATATTTAGTACAAAGAAATAGTGAAATAACTGAGGAGTTTATTGTTGTTGTGCCTATTTTATCCTTTATCCAATTAAACCTCAAATATTCATTTAAATAACTTGTTGCATAAAAACAAATAGATTATAAATTAACATCTTGCGTTTCTAATGTTATTTAACAATATTAATCGTTAAAAACTTCTTTCTGAAAGAAAATACAAGTAAATTCGCTTTGATAGACTAAAATGAAATCAAAAAGTAAGTGTAATTGATTTGATTGGATTTTAATTGTTTTCTTAGTGTCAAATACTCAGCAGGGATGTAGAAACTTATTTTCTTTTCGTTTTATTTTATTTTATATGCGTGTAGTGCATCTTCTCATTCATTATCATCCCCGCTCCTCGTGTTTTGTGCCTGTTCTGGTGGTGGTGGCGACAGCAGAGTATCGCCGACGTGCTCTCATCTCATCATTTAACAAGTGCGCGTCTACGCTAAAGGGTGAATCCTTTTAACAACTCGACAATCAACAAAATTCAAACGTTTTTTAATACCACGGTATAAATAAGCAATATTTAATTGACATCACCAACAAATTAATGAAATAACAAGAAAAAATCAAGAAATTACGAAGAAACAAACAAAAATGTTTGGAATTGAGGTGAATTTCTGGATCATTTGTTGCTTCACATTGGTTTTTCACGTAGATGGTAAGCAACTAGACTTTTATATTATTTTAAATTTATAGAAAACGTAAAATTAGAAGTATAAAATAACATAAAATGTATTTTACTATTTTTTACCTTTTTTATTTATTTGAATTTTGCATGTTTGTTTACATTTACATGTAGTTAGACTGCAAGTTGTTTACATTTTTTGCAAAATCAACATTTGTCTACTTGTTTATTGCAGTTTTACATTCTATAAAATTATATTTACCGACAGGAATTTGCGTTCTTGTAGATAAACGTTGTTTACTTTAAATTTTGCATGCTTCAACTTGTATGTTGGTCAAGTCTATAAATATACTCTTCCTCCCCTAACTTCATGACCTCATGTGTAAGCGATTTAGTGCTAATTCAAAATTTCATGCACTATTTAAACCACCGTAACTATTAAACCAAGTTTTAAATCAAAATAAAATAAAAACTTAACGTTGAAATCGTTAATAAAGCGCATTTCCGCTTTCCGCAAGCCAGTTGATTTGATAAGCTCCAGATAAATGTGATCTTTGAATGTTGAATGCAACGCTTCTGTTGCGTTCAGATTGAGATCGCGTTTGCTTCGGGATAGGGCAGGATAAGGCAGGACTGGCTGGGTCGCGGTGTTTGGGGTGGTCGGGGCGATCGATATTGCCTGGAATTTAGCGAGAGAGCTCGTTGCAAAGCGTGAGCGTAAAACTGAGTGCAACGAGCACGATGTGGGGTGGAAATTCACGGCGTAGATAGCGGATGCGAGGGTAAATGAAACCGTTTCACATCTACGTGAAAGAAAACGTCTCTGGATATAGTTACGGGACATGTGGAAAGAATCTTTGGGTAATAACAAAATCAACAAGTAGTAAAAGAACTAAAAATAACAGTCTATTATTGAAGGAGATCAAAAATCTAAAATAAATTTAATTGATTGAATAAGAATTGAATTCTAATAGAATCCACCTTTACTTTATTTCCTTCTTCTTTTGTTTTATACTTGTAAAGCAATTGAATCAATGCAACCCATTTAACATTTTCTTTGTAATTTTTCTTTTTACAGATATAAACGCACACAATCTCTCTTGTTATCAATGCACACGTCAAGCAAACATCGAATGTGAACCACACGAACTAAAACAATGTCCGCCAACTGCGGATCGTTGCGTTACGCATATCATGAAAGACCGTAAGTCTCAATTGCCTGCAAAGTTGAAATCAATTCATTAATGATTATTTATTTATTTAGGACAAGATGGGTTTAAGATCTCACGAGAATGCGGAATCGGCCCGTGCACGTTCCGTGACTTGATGGTAATCAAAGGTCTTGGCCTAGACAACTGTGACCGCAGTCGAGACGAATATTTCTGCATCCTCTGCTGTCCCGAAAATGGATGCAACAAAGACCACGCCGGCAGTGTGAAACCACTCTTTCTGATGCAGTTACTAAGTTTTATCGTTGTTATGATATTTATTAAATAAAATCAGCAATAATATCAATCTAGGAAATGCACAAACATTTTTTAAACATTTTAAAGAATGTCCAACACAATTATTTGAATCTACACTAACTTTTCACAATACATTGTTATTTATCAAATGAAAATATTGATATCACTGTAACTAAAACTAAAAACTTTTCAAATAAACTTGTTCAAGTTGTGCTATATGCAACCTAGTATACACGTCACGCGTGCCCGATAGATGGCGCCTGTGCGCAAGCACAAAATTCCAATAATCATATGATCAACACACAGCCGTGTTCGACTTCATGTGACAATCGCGCATCGCCCTAGAATCGCAGCGCAAGTTTTCAGTGTTTTCCAGTAAAACCTCATCGCCACCAAGATGCGCTACGCATTGGGCTATAGCTTCGTGGGCACGGCCACCGCCACCATCACCGTGCTGACGCTTTACCACGTCTTCACCGGCAAGGGCGAGCGCATCAGCTTGGCCTGGTTCCTCACTGAAACATCCCCTCACATGTGGGCAGTCATCGGCATCGGCTTAGCCGTCTCCCTGTCCGTCGTCGGCGCTGCCCTCGGTATCCACACCACAGGCGTGAGCATCATCGGCGGTGGTGTGAAAGCACCTCGCATTAAGACCAAGAATTTGATCTCAGTCATCTTCTGTGAAGCTGTGGCCATTTACGGATTGATTACAGCCATTGTACTCTCCGGATACCTGGAAGACTTCACCTGGGACAAGGTGAATTATGATGACTCCCTGAAGGGCAAGAACTGGCTGGCTGGATATTTGATGTTTGGCGCTGGCGTTGCAGTGGGTTTGGTCAATCTGTTCTGTGGTATGGCTGTTGGCATTGTGGGATCAGGTGCAGCTTTGGCAGATGCCGCCAATTCGGCTCTATTCGTGAAAATCTTGATTGTGGAGATTTTCGGCAGTGCCATTGGATTGTTTGGCTTGATTGTTGGTATTTATATGGTATCAAAAGTAACAATGGGTGACAAGTCACATTAAATCATCGAGAGTGTTGCAAATGTTTCATTCCTACTTACATGCAATGTAGTACTCAGTTGTATGATGCATATTTATGCGGAAATTTCATGTACATTTTATTTAGTTTGTAGGTAGTCACGTAATATAAAACAGAATCCTTCTTTTAATGATGTATCAGATCAAGCATTCAACTTGTTACTCATGTGACATATTATGTTACAAACCAATTCACAAAAAAATGTAAATGAAAGTATTGTACAGATTATAAGTTTTAAAACACAGTAAATGTTAATACTGAACCAGATAAGTGTTTTTTACTCATGTCCCATCTTGAAACTTATAATTCTGCACATATTACATAATAACAGACATGCATATATCTAAAATTGATCCACATTTTATTTTTTTACAGAATGCATGAGATTTAACCAGGACAACACTGACATTGGACATTTTAAATAAATACACACATTTCGTACATCTCTGTTCACAGGACAAATGGCATTGAAATGTTTGCACATGTGAATCAAACAGGAATGACACAGCAAGCACAAAATAATTTAAGATGAAGGTGTTTGTTTCTAACCTAAAGTGAAGGCCCCCTTTGGACGCATCAATACTTGTCCCTGATGGATGTCAGCTTCAGCGACTGCAAGGTGGGCAAGGAGGACAACTACGTGGGCAGGGACATCCGGGAATGATGGGGCATCCGTAGCTGATGGTGCACTCCACCGGCACGCTGCAGTTCATAGGCACGTAGTATTCCACTGGCACGTAGCACTGCGATGGAGTGTAGTAACAGTAATTAAAGCAGGGCGAAGCAGGGGGGCAGCAGTCTCCCATCTTGTCAGCGGGTACCCTCAGAAGAAAACAGGCGCCGGAAGATTGTGGGGGCTTAGAACTATTGGAATTTTGAAGCTCTACGAGCGATTGGGCTCAAAAGCAAATTATTATAAGTCAGTGTATCGCTCAATTTCAAAACGGAAACTGATTGTTTGTAGCAAATCATACACAGTATTTGGCTTAGTAACTCAATTTTGTTTTGGGTTACTTGATTTTGAATGTGTTCAAACAATAGCATCACATTTAATTTGTTCTACTATCAGAATCCGAGAACAGAATTAAAAATTTCTAATTATTACATAAGCTGCATTTACTGAAAAATATTTTGTCATAAAAAAAGGCAAAACATTTCTCTTTTTATGCCCTAAATGAAATTTTTAAATTCTGTTTTCGGATTCTGGTAGATAATGTAAATCTACATTGATTATTTTAGTAACTTTTTTTTCTAATGTTAATCGTTTAGGCCCTATTTGTAGTTTTAATAATAAAAATGATTTTTACATGCCAATAGGGCTTTAATTTATAGTTGTGTTACTTGTTTCCCATTAAGAATTTAATTTACTTTCAGAATCCGAGAACAGAATTGGAAAATTCCAATTATTACAGAAACTGCATATGCTGAAAAAAGATTTCGTCATAAAAAAGGCAAAAGATTTCTCTTTTTTATGTCGAATTCAATGTTCATTCAAATTTGTAAATAGGGCCTAAATGGTTGATGATAGCACAAAAAGTTACTAAAATAATTGATGTAGAATTACATTATCTATCAAAATCCGAAAACAGAATTCAAAAATTCCAACTTTTAATTTTCAACATAAAAAAGAGAAATCTTTTGCCATTTTTTTAATAAAATCTTTTCTTTAAATATTTTTTGTGCCATTTTCATCATTTTTCAATAAGGATACCATCTGGTTGAGAATTTTTCAAGGATCATGAATATGAAGTTCTTTTTCTTCTAGCTCATTTAGTTGTCGAGATAATTACGATTTAATCTTCTACTTAGGAATGTTAAAAAGTAAAAATTAGAATTTTTGAATTCTGTTTTCGGATTCTGATAGACAATTTAGTTCTGCATCGATTATTTAAGTAACTTTTTTTGCTTACGTTAACCGTTTAGGCCCTATTTCCAATTTTATTAAAACATGTGCATGCCGTCGGAATAGTCTAATTTAGAAGATTAAAATAGTAATTATCTCGACAACTAAGAGGGCTAGCCAAGAAAGAACTACATATTCTTAATCCTTGAAAAATTCTCAATAAGATGGCATCCTTATTGAAAAATGATGAAAATGGCACAAAAAATTTTTAACGAAAAGATTTTGTTATAAAAAAGGCAAAAGATTTCTCTTTTTTATGTTGAAAATTAAAAGTTGGAATTTTTGAATTCTGTTTTCGGATTCTGATAGACAATTTAATTCTACATCGATTATTTTAGTAACTTTTTGTGCTACTATCAACCGATTAGGCCCTATTTACAAATTTGAATGAAAATTGAATTCGACATAAAAAAGAGAAATCTTTTGCCTTTTTTATGACGAAATCTTTTATTTCAGCAAATGCAGCTTCTGTAATAATTGGAATTTTCCAATTCTGTTTTCGGTTACTGAAAGTAAATTAAATTTTGAATCAGAAACCATTAACACAATTGTAAATTAAGGCCCAATTGACAGATAAAAACCATTTTTTTCATTAATTTGCAAATAAAGCCTAAATGGTTAATGTTAGGAAAATAATTACTTCAATTGTCGATATAGCACCAACCAACCTATCTTTCAGAATCTGATAACCGAATTTAAAATGTTCAATATAACCGATGCATTTGCTGAATAAAGATTTTTAAACATTTATTTTACCCGCCATTACTAGTTACCGCCTCTTGTATTTACTTACCTCCTCACCCTTTCTGCGATCCGAATATCAAAACCTGAGTTTCGACTGTTTCGAGTCCAAATTTTGTGTCATTTTGCCTCTCAGAGTCGACAAAATAAAGATTGAATATTAGGATCGCAGAAAGTTGAGGAGGCTGATAAAGTTTTCGCGGTAACTCGTAATGTGCTGCCTCTGGTGGCGACGGACCGAAGCTCAAAGCTTTCGGTTGTTGTCGTTTCTAGTTGACAGATGGCACTAGCATGCACTTTTCAAAATAAATAGTTTAAGGAATCGGTAAATATCTGATCAGGTAGAAATAACAGAAATAGTTATAATTAGAAAAACTTTAAAATATTCTTTATTAAAAAAAACACACAAGCATAAAATTTGGGAGTCAATTTGTATAATAATCACAAAAGTTATTTAAGATAATGAAATTTAATACTAGCAATCTGACGCAAGAATGGTCCTTCTACGACGTCAGACTCAGGTGCAAAATCCCTAAAACAAGCAAAAATTAGTCTTTCGAACATAAAAATGCAATTTTAAGGGTTAATTTGTGAGATAATCACAAAAGTTATTTAGGAAAATGATAAAGAAATGAAAAACTTACAATCTGGTACAAGAATGGTCCTCCTACGATGCCAGACTCGGGTGCAAAATCCCTAAAACCATCTAAAATTAGTCCTTCGAACATAAAAATGCAATTTTGGGGGTCAATTTGTGGGATAATCAATAAAGTTGATTAAGAAAATGATAAAGAAATTTAGTACTTACAGTGCTTACAATGCTCTTTTTATAAGTTTAACAAAATAAACAAAAATGATATCCATAACACCTTCAAAATGTTGTAAATTCACTCAATCGTTTTTGGAACCATCATCAACACCGGCAATCCAATCTTCAATTTCTTGGACACTATAAACCAGAAAGAATAACAGAATAGTTAAATATAAAATATTATAAATTGCCAAAATATAACATACGTTCATGGAACTTAGTGTAGTCCAGTTGCAACATCCATTTTCAGTAATCAAAACATCATCCTCAATACGCACTTCACCAGTACCACGAAACCTCTCCAGTTGGTCCTTATTGATAAACTTTGCCATCTCAGGATTAGACAATACTTCATCCAACAACTGGAAAATATTTATGTAAATAAAGTATACATATACAGAAATTGAATTAATTATTCTTACAAGATCCATAAAGACTCCCATTCAAGGCACCGAATCAAACCTATATTAGTCGTGTTGATCAAATTTAAAGCTGCGTAATAAAACTACAATTCCTAGCGCCAGTGGCGGATTATGCTTCAGTGGGGCCCTAGGCGCAAATCAAGTTTGGGGCCCCTAAATCCGAAAATTTTCAAAAACGGTTATTAGCCCAGTGAAATTAATAGTTTTAGCGTAGGGCGCCGCAAAGTCTACTTCAACATTCGTTTGTGCCAAAAACTCATTTCCACACCACCATGAGGTAGAGTACGCGTTTTTTTTTATCGTGGTATCCCCAGCAGGCCTAATCCACACGCACTATTCCAAAATTTAATGGATTATCTTCCGATTCGCTCTTCGCGATGACCCGGTGTTGTGCGTTAATTGTTTTCAGAACCGATCGAAATATCACAGGTAAAATTTTCTGCCATACTATCCGCGATGGGATTATCGTTTTCAATGCTATCTTGGTTCTCGAGTTCATCGTACGTGTGCTCAAAAACGGTAATCGTATTTAAATACAAATTACAAATTTACTTTTCTTGCATTCTCTTGGGCTTGAAATCTTTCAATAATTTTGTCGTACTCTAGTTTTTTAAAAAAATCATTTTCTATGAACATTAATGCGAAGTCATTTAAGTGCTCTTGTGAAAGACTATTGCGCAGATAGTTTTTGACTCGTTTTAAAACTGAAAATGTCCTTTCTCCACTTGCATTAGAAACGGGCAAGGTCAAAAAAATTTGCAGTATTGTGTGTATATTAGGAAAAGTTGATTTTAGACCATTACTTAATGTTGCATACATTTCATGTGGATCTCTAATATTTTCTTCTTGTATGTATTTTAGAAAATGAGTTAACTCATCAGTGAAATATTCTGGCTCAATATCTTTTTCATACTTAGACAATAATCGCTCTACACAATTATTAGTCTCAACACGGCTTAATTTTAAATCAAAGAAAATTTTAAAATCGTTAAGAACATTGATATAGACATCGCCCCTTCGAGTAATTTCTGATGTTAATACATCACATACAATATAAAAAATGTTGACAATAAAAAAATTTCTTGACGAAAATGCTGTATCATTTTTGTTCGTTTCATCATATGGATATTTGCGTTTTCTTTGTCTCATTTAGCCTCCTCTTCAACAGTTTCGAAATTATTTCTGACCTCTGTTATAAATTCGTTTAATGATTTTAATAAACTAACACTATTAAGAATATTTGTCTTTGGTTCCTGAAAAGTTTGTTCCAGAAAATTGTTAACAGTGCCGTCTCAAATTGATCGAACTCTTTTGAACTCTGTTTTTTAATCCAACTACCACCCCAAAAATCTAGATAAAAATTGTAGGAGGATAAACGTTGGTACAACGTGTTCCGCAGATGTGAAAAATGATAGAAAGACGAAATAATTAATATTCCAAAAAAGAGAGTTACCCGCTATTTTACAACCTCAATGGAATATTCCTCAACTCATCTCCTCCACAGATGTTCGAAATTTTAAACAAATGGCAATATACTACTCGCATTATAGCTACAACTTTCTAATGCAATATTCAAGAAAAGGTCACAAAAATTCGTGGCAGAAAACATCCAAATTTTATTTTAAACGTGACGGTTGCTTTGCGGACACGTGTGAAATGCCGTTTTGGGCGCCAAGCGAAAACCGATACGCTATTCATAAAGGCTGAGGTCAAAACCAACTGATGAAGTATTTGTGGAATTACTATGTCTATATGGGACATATAAGTGCCAGGGGCCCCTCAGGCAGCCGGGGCCCCCCAGGCAGCCGGGGCCCTAGGCGCGCGCCTAGTGCGCCTAGGCCGTAATCCGCCACTGCCTAGCGCAACGAGTACTACGGCGCAAAACACAACTTTCAATATAACTAGCGTTATCGCGAATATCTCGTAAACTAAAAGAGATAATTAAGATCTGATCGCAGCGTCTTAATCTACGGACCAATCTCTATCAGATAGGATAGTGAAAAGGGAAATCTGAGAGATGAAATTTTAAGTCTTAAGAAAAAATTGCCAAGGGGGTGCTTGATACTTTTTTTCGACGATTTTCAAAAATTCATATCTCTTAAACTAAAAGAGATAGCTGCCAACGAATTGTTGATTATGAAAGATTGGAAAATTCTCTATCAGATAAAAATATAAAATAATTATATTTCCTGCAGTAAAAGGTCGAAAAACGCGACTAAAAGTGCTAAAAGTGACATTTATCAATTTTGCCCATTTTATTCAATCGCGAATATCTCGTAAACTAAAAGAGATAAATAAGATCTGATCGCAGCGTCTTAATCTACGGACCAATCTCTATCAGATAGGATAGTTAAAAGGGAAATTTGAGAGAAGAAATTTTAAGTCTTAAGAAAAAATTGCCAAGGGGGGGTGCTTGATACTTTTTTTCGACGATTTTCAAAAATTCATATCTCTTAAACTAAAAGAGATACCTACCAACGAATTGTTGATTATGAAAGATTGGAAAATTCTCTATCAGATAAAAATATAAAATAGTTATATTTCCTACAGTAAAAGGTCGAAAAACGCGACTAAAAGTGCTAAAAAGTGACATTTATCAATTTTTCGACAATTCCTAGCGCAACGAGTACTACGGCGCACACACACAACTTTCAATATAACTCGCGATACGGAATTTTCTGGCAATAAATTTCAATGCAGGGTAATACAGAAGTAAATTCGGCACCAGGGAACATAATTTCGGAATCACTGTGATACCGCGTTCGCGTGTTATAACAAAAAAACTACAATTTCAATACAGGTAGATTCAACACAGCGCCGTCGAAAGCGAGCGCGGGCCCCGGGGAATATTCGCGGGCCTCGGCAATCATTAATTTTTTGATATTTTATTTGTCTTTGCGATTTAAGAGCGATCAGCCGGGCCCTGAGGAATTTATCCCAGTTGACCCCCCTCGCATCGGCCCAGCAGGTAGGTAGTACGTGATAAAGAAAAGAAAACTTGTTTATGTTCAGCAAATGTAAATTTGACCGAAAAATATAATTGAATTATAAACTTACCAGTGTACAGCTGAACGGACTGCCAGGCACAGCGAATGCTGTAACTAAACGAAAACGAAGTAATTAAAACAAATATATTTCATACATTTGAATTATGTTATAATTAACAATCAACACAAAATAAATAATCTGTAGTGTTAAAACAATACTTACACAAGCCAGGGGCAATACATATCCGATTAATTTAGCAACCGACACCAAACACAACGCCGAGTGAAGTATATTATCAAATCTACTATCACGTGACTTGTAATATGCATAACAAACGCGATCAAAAACCGGCATTTCCTAAGATTAAACAAATTACTATAGTCGCAAAGTACAAATAAATAGTCGATTGATCTGCGAGTATAACACAAATTTAGAATATTGAAGTCCGAATAAACGATGTAAGTCTCTCAAAACAAGACTGGATTAACCAGCGACCGGCACGAAACTGGCTGCATTCCACCGATAGTGCATGCTGAAACAGCGTAAACAACAACGGGACAGTATATGATAAGAAAGCAAGAGGTGCGCAAAGCCGTCGCGTCGAAAGCACGCGACCTTGTATGCGAATTTTCAAGACAAATTACCTGTGATCTAAACTAAACTAGACTTCGCTGCATGCAACAAGTTGATGCGGCGCTAGGAGACAGCGCGCGGGCCACATGCGTTAAAATAATACAAATATATAAACAAAGATATTGTTCAATGATGTGAACAAATGAACAAACGCGACTTTGCCGCACCATCAACAGTTTGGTTAGTTCTGCGCATAATCCAAGCAATCGTTAGGCAATCGTCAAGTGACTACAACCGACGAAAACGCAGTCATAAAATTGTGTTTTCTTTAAAAAATTTTATGCCAATTATCAATAACTATTATTATTTATTACATCGTGGGTTTTGTTTTGATTTGTGTATGCATGAATATAAATATTCAAAAATGTAGACTTAATTGTTATTGTTGTGCTTATGCTTTTCATCTACGTAAATAAATAATTCAATTTCACGCTCTTCAACTCATGTTACTCATAGGTGAGAACAGTAAAAGTATTGCGGGGGCGCGTTTCCTATAAAAGCACAGGTTTTGAAACCGGCAAGCATCAGAATCACCTGAAACTCAAAATATCAACTTTTGTAGTTCTTGCACACACGTCAAGCAATTCTAAGATGCGCATTGTTTTGTTTGCCATTGTGGCCATGTTCATCATGGCTGCAATCGGTGTCGAAGCAGGCTCTCCAAAGTGTAACCTCGTACCTGTCCGCTCAAATGATGGCCGCACCGGAAGTTGCTGCGTGGTTTGGGATAACGAACGTAAGCGTAGTGCATGGTACTACAGTCATCGTAGGATGATATCGGATTTGCCAGGGGAAGATTGTCCCGAAGGCTATGATCGGGACGTAGACAACGAGTGCGTTCCTATTATCAGCAATGAAGTCTAAAAATCCCAGAGATTAAAAACAATCTTGACTATCATTGAGATATTTTATTTATTAAACTGCTCTCACTGCCCCTAAATTCCGCCACCCTCCTTACATTGAAACCATAATTCAATGCTTTCAATCAAAATTTTCGGCTGTGGTTTGTTCCAAAGCTGTATGATTGGTTGCAGAATACTAAAACTGGATCCAAGCAGCAAATATTAGTAACATTGCTTTATTACTCTCTAGTTATTCAAAGTTTGACAAAATATATACATCATTGATCATCATTGTTCCATCAGGCGCGTGAAAAGCGTCAGTTAACGTGTCGTATCAAGTTAAAACCTTCAAAACATAATAAAAAATGAACAAATTAATTCACTCTGAGGGAATCGTGGTTACATTTACATGCAACCTTTGCATTTTTAAATTTAGAGCAAGTTTGGTTGCCTACCTGCAAGAAAAAACCTAATTCAAAAGTTTCTTGTAAATGTAACCACTCTTCCACTTGCAAATTCTAAAATAAACCATCGTTCGACACGTATTTCACCCCGACATTTTCTAGTGCGTTTAAATCATCCATCGTCATACTCATCTTACATATAAATAATAAATATCTCACAGATCAATGTTTTAAACTTTCTGCTCATGTTCACTAAGCGTGACGCTCGTAATACCTTTAACAATCATCTCCGCCACTTGCCAAGCAAGCTCCTCCTTCTTCTTATCCTCTTCGAGATTCACAAACCGTTTAACCACGCTGCGAATGGTCGACCTATTCTTCTTGTCCGGCTCCGGCTCGAAATCAGTCACAAATTGCCCTAAATCAGTGACGCGCCCGAAAGACAATCGATGATGTTTCTTCCTTCTCCACAACGCATCCGGATCATACAATTCTCGAGTGTCGATATTCATATCGGCCGCCGCATCTATTAAAATTCATTCGAATCAATTACAACACCGCATTCGCGAGTTATAACAAAAAAACTACAATTTCTAGCGCAACGAGTACTACGGCGCACACACACAACTTTCAATATAACCCGCGTTACAGAATTTTCTGGAAATACATTTTAATACAGGGTGATACAAAAATATATTCTGTATCAGGGAACATAATTTCGAAATTACTGTGACACCGCGTTCGCGTGTTATAAAAAATAAACTACAATTTCAATACAGTGAGATTCAACACATGGCTGTCGAAAGCGAGCGTGGGCCCCGGGGAATATTCGCGGGGAATATTTAATTTTTTGATATTTTATTCGTCTTTGCGATCTTTGCGATTCGAATTTATCCCAGTTGACCCCCCTCTCATTGGCCCAGCAGATAGGTAGTACGTGATAAATAGAAAACTTGTTTATAAACAGCAAATGTAAATTTGATCGAAAAAATTATTGAATTATAAACTTATCAATGAACAGCTTATCGAACTGCCAGGCACAACGAATGATGTAACTAAACGAAAACAAATTAATTAAATCAAATATATTTCATACATTTGAATTATGTTATAATTAACAATCAACACAAAATAAATAAATAATCTGTGCTGTTATAACAATACTTACACGAGCCAGATGGTACTTTCTGAATGGGGGCAATATATATCCGATTAATTTAGTAACCGACACCAAACACAACGTCGAATGAAGAATATTATCAAATCTACTATCACGTGACTTGCAATATACATAACAAACGCGATCAAAAACCGGCATTTCCTAAAATTAAACAAATTACTATAATCGCAAAGTACAAATAAATTGTCGATTGATCTTCGAGTATAACACAAATTTAGAATATTGAAGTCCGAATAAACGATGTAAGTCTCTCAAAACACGACTGGATTAACCAGCGACCGGCACGAAACTGGCTGTAATCCACCGATAGTGCATGCCGAAACTGCGTAAACAACGACGGGACAGTATATGATAAGAAAGCAAGAGATGCGCAAAAACGTCGCGTCGAAGGCATATTACCTGTGATCTAAACTAAACTAGACTGAGATAGCGCGCGGGACACATGGGTTAAAATCGTTGTTTACACCGAATCGCAGATATCAGCATTGTGTACAAAACTATTCTCGTGCCCAAGTTTGTCGATAAATATAAAAATAAGCCGTATAACTAGATTTTATGAATTTTAGTGCATCCTAGTGATGAAATTTAGACTATTATAATCAATAATTAATGATTTCACGTGTTCCCACTTTTGTATGCAGTAAATATTGTCAAGTTAAAACGGAAATCTACGAGATGAAGTTTTAAGTCTTAAGAAAAAATTGCCAAGGGGGGGTGCTTGATACTTTTTTTCGACGATTTTCAAAAATTCATATCTTTTAAACTAAAAGAGATAGCTACCAACGAATTGTTGATTATGAAAGATTGGAAAATTCTCTATCAGATAAAAATATAAAATAATTATATTTCTAACAGTAAAAGGTCGAAAAACGCGACTAAAAATGCTAAAAGTGACATTTTGCAATTTTTGCCCATTTTATTCAATCGCGAATATCTCGTAAACTAAATGAGATAAATAAGATCTGATCGCAGCGTCTTAATCTACGGACCAATCTCTATCAGATAGGATAGTTAAAAGGGAAATCTGAGAGATGAAATTTTAAGTCTTAAGAAAAAATTGCCAAGGGGGTGCTTGATACTTTTTTTCGACGATTTTCAAAAATTCATATCTCTTAAACTAACAGAGATAGCTACCAACGAATTGTTGATTATGAAAGATTGGAAAATTCTCTATCAGATAAAAATATAAAATAATTATATTTCCTAGAGTAAAAGGTCGAAAAACGCGACTAAAAGTGCTAAAAAGTGACATTTTGCAATTTTTGCCCATTTTATTCAATCGCGAATATCTCGTAAACTAAAAGAGATAAATAAGATCTGATCGCAGCGTCTTAATCTACGGACCAATCTCTATCAGATAGGATAGTTAAAAGGGAAATCTGAGAGATGAAATTTTAAGTCTTAAGAAAAAATTCAATAAACATATTACCTGAGATCTAAACTAAACTAGACTTCGCTGCATGCAACAAGTTGATGCGGCGCTAGGAGACAGCGCGCGGGCCACTTGCGTTAAAATAATACAAAAAAATAATACAAATATATAAACAAGGATATTGTTCAATGATGTGAATAAATTTCGATGCCGAGGTGCTCATGTTGCAAAACAAACGTGCACAGACGTGTGCGTCTCGTAGACGTAGCATATGACGAGCGAATGTCGACAGGCAAACGCGACTTTGCCGCACCATCAACAGTTTGGTTAGTTCTGCGCATAATCCAAGCAATCGTTAGGCAATCGTCAAGTGACTACAACCGACGAAAACGCAGTCATAAAATTGTGTTTTCTTTAAAAAATTTTATGCCAATTATCAATAACTATTATTATTTATTACATCGTGGGTTTTGTTTTGATTTGTGTATGCATGGATATAAATACTAAAAATGTAGACTTAATTGATATTGTTGTGCTTATGCTTTTCATCTACGGTAGTAAATAATTCAATTTCACGCTCTTCAACTCATGTTACGCATAGGTGAGAACAGTAAAAGCATTGCGGGGGCGCGTTACCTATAAAAGCACAGGTTTTGAAACCGGCAAGCATCAGAATCACCTGAAACTCAAAATATCAACTTCCAAGTTCTTGCACACACGTCAAGTAATTCGAAGATGCGCATTGTTTTGTTTGCCATTGTGGCCATGTTCATCATGGCTGCAATCGGTGTCGAAGCAGGCTCTCCAAAGTGTAACCTCGTACCTGTCCGCTCAAATGATGGCCGCACCGGAAGTTGCTGCGTGGTTTGGGATAACGAACGTAAGCGTAGTGCATGGTACTACAGTCATCGTAGGATTGTATGGAAAAAGCCAGAGGATTGTCCCGAAGGCCATGTCCGGGACCGAAACAACGAGTGCCGTCTTGTTTTCAGCGATTAAGGCTAAAAATCCCAGAGATTAAAAACAATCTTGACTATCATTGAGATATTTTATTTATTAAACTGCTCTCACTGCCCCTAAATTCCGCCACCCTCCTTACATTGAAACCATAATTCAATGCTTTCAATCAAAATTTTCGGCTGTGGTTTGTTCCAAAGCTGTATGATTGGTTGCAGAATACTAAAACTGGATCCAAGCAGCAAATATTAGTAACATTGCTTTATTACTCTCTAGTTATTTTTTTTTTTTTTAGATTAATAAACTCTTTATTTACAAGTTCCTAGTAACAATATATATATATACATACACGGTGTAAAAATAGAATTTTTTATGCAAAAACATGTTATGCTTATATACAGTAATACAATTCTGGTTACATAGTTTGTTGCCTATTGTTAACCTAACACAAACAGTTTAACATACACTTTCTATATTATGTATCCATATGGGGTTTATTTTAACTATTCTTATCAGGTAAGTACTTAAGTTATTCACTTCTGTAGGAAAGGCGAGCATGATAAAACCTACTTATATCTATTACATGTGGAGTTACCAAGTCTGTGAGAAGATTGGTAGGTGTTCATATGTGTATTTATATTTATTCGTTATGTTATCAGTTCTTCTTCTCTTCGTGATATTCTTAATCAGCGGGTTTTTATGCAGTGTCGTTTTGGTATAGAATTTCTCACTCAAGTCCTGAATAAAGTCAGTTACATTGATTATCTCCGTTTCATTTCTGATGTCTACATTTCTTCTATATCTTTCCGCATTTACGGCCAGCCTTAAGCATTTATTTTCATATTGTAACAGTCTTGTGATATGGGTTTTTGAGATACCTGCCCATATGGGAGCTCCATAGGCTAGGATTGGTCTTAGTGTGGCTTTATATAATAATAGTTTGTTTTTAACATTGAGACCACTATTTCTGGCCATTAGCGAATATATTTGCGATAGTGCAGCGTTTGCTTTAGTCAATGAGTTTGTAATGTGTTTTTTAAATATGAGTTTTTGGTCTATATGAATTCCAAGATATTTGACTTCATCTTTTTCATTTATTTTTTCATTGTTAAGCGTTAGATTTTTGTGACGGAATTTTAGTTTACGTTTCTTGGTTACAGTTATAAATTCAGATTTTAAAGGATTAGCTTTGATTTTCCATTTTTCATAGTATTTCTCAAGGGCGAGGAGATGATTTTGGACTTTTTGCCTCCCTACAATTTCATTATCTGATTGTGAGTAAATAATGGTGTCATCCGCAAACAATGCTATTTTCGTACTGGGTGTTTTGGGTAGGGGAGAGTAGGGTAATGGGAGTCAGCGGGTAATGGGAGTCACCCATATATCCACGAAACAATAGTTACGAGTAACGCGTAAACGGCGTTCCTACCTTCGTTCTGGCCCCCCAGTGCCACCCCCGACAAATCATGCAAATCGGTGCGTGTATCATTGAGATACGCCAATATTTTATTTTTGAGCTCCGCTGATCTAATTTTACGTCCACGCAAATTAGAAGATAAGTGTCGAATATCTTACAATATTCGAATGAAACTTTTATATAGTCATAGTTAAACATTCAAAATCGTGATGTGCAGTTCAGATTACATTAATGTTTTGAAGAAATAATTTTTTTGTTTTTTTCTTCACAATAGTGCAATTGTGGGCAATGGGAGTCATGCGACTCCCAATGGACGTTTTTGTCTTTAGTCCGCTCTAAATGGCCTATAAAAAGCAATTTGACTTATTTTTCAATAGCCTTCTTGCAGAAACGATACTGCAGGAAAGTAACAAAACTTATGATTCCAATATTGGCACTGATGACTTATGCCAGGGCGATGAGGATGAAGATTTGGAAAACTGATGTCTAATGTGCAACGATTTAAAAAAAAAAACAATTAAATGTGGTTCAGATGCACTTCATGTGGGCTATGGGCTCATGTGAAATGCACTGGGTGGGACTTTGCGGAATATTATGTCTGCGATATCTGCTAGATTTCGTTTGATTCCGATTGTCCCCAGGGTGACCACCATTACCCGCATGTCGGTGTAATGGGAGTCAAATCTGTTTTTTTTTTTTTTAAACTTTAATAATATCCAAAACCGATTGTCAAAGTGACTGAAAATTATGTCAAATAATAGGTATTTAAGTAAACAATGCTTATAAGCGATTGCAATAAGTATTTTGTTTATAATTTAAATTATATTTGAGTTCTCCCTTAAGTGACCCCCATTACCCTCTTTTACCCTATATCATTCATGAACAAAAGATAAAGTTTAGGTCCCAAGACAGATCCTTGCGGGACACCTGCCTCTATTTTCATTGGTTTTGAGATACTGCATCCAATTTTTACTTTTAGTGATCTATTTGTTAGGTAGCTGTGTAGTAGCTTGATTAGCTGGGGATGAATATTCATGTGAATAAGCTTGTATATGAGCCCAGGCACCCAGACGGTGTCAAACGCTTTCTCAATGTCAAGCAGAGCCATGTGGGTTATTTTTCCTTCGTTCCAAGATTCTTTTATGTCGTTAATGACCCTTACCACTTGCTGGATAGTGGAATGTCTTTCTCTGAATCCAAATTGCTCATTAATTAATATTTGTTTGTTTTCAATTTCTGCGTTTAGTTTTTGTAGAATAGCTTTTTCAGCTACTTTGCCTAGGGTGTTTAGTAGGCTTATCGGCCTATAGCTACTTGGATCATGTTTTGACTTGTTTGGCTTTAAGATTGGGAGGATTAAGGCGCTTTTCCAGGCCGTGGGAAAGTAGTTTAGTCTAATGCAAGAATTAATGATTTCAGTGATAAGTACTATGCACTTTTGGCTCAGATTTTTTAATATAATATTTTGTATTTGGTCAGGGCCAGGGGCTTTTTTAGGTGGTAGGGTATTAATTATGGCTTTTATTTCTTTTGGTTTAATGAATAGTTTGTTATTTATAGTTTCCGAGTAGGTGGTTGTCCGTTGTGAGAGCTTATTTTCGCAAAATGGTTTGCAAGAATATTGGCTTTATTTACATTATTAAATTCGTAGCTGCCGTTTGCAGTTTTTATCGGAGCTAAATTATTTTGTGCGTTGGGTTTCAGGGATTTTACAACATGCCATATAGAATTATGATTTGGTGTGATTTGTTGCAGTTTACTTTCCCATACTTTGTTTTTGTTATATTTAATATCAGCTTTTATTTGTTGATTTAATGTTTGCCACTTTAGTAGTAGAGCCTGGTCCCTGTTTTTTTTTATATAATCTGCGAAGCGCGTTTCGGTGGTTAATTTTAATTAATATATCTCGGCAGGAATCTGTTTTTTATTTTTGCTTTGTTTATTTTTATTGATGGATTTCTGCATGGCTTCTTTTATAGTTTTCACTAGTATCTCTATTTGCTGATCTATATTCTCAGTTGTGCACATTTGGTTCGGAATTTTAATGTTACTATTGAGGTTTGCCCTGAATAAATCCCAGTTAGCATTTTTGTAGTCTAAACGGGTTCTATTTGATTCTTGTGGGTATGTGATGTTATGCAAATTAAAACGGACTGGTAAATGATCGGAGCAAAGTTCATGCAGAACCATTGCTTCACCTGATAAATTTTTTGCAATAGCAATATCTACTGTAGATGGGTTATTGCCGTTATTTGGGTAGTGGGTGGGATCATCTGGGTAGATTATTGTAACGTTGTGTTGGTTCATATAATTGTAAAGGATGTTGCCATTTGTATTTGGGGCACTTTTACTCCAGAATGCATTTTTTGAATTTAAGTCGCCTAATAGAATATGTTTGCCTGACTGTTTGAATATTGTGTCTAAGTCAAGAGTTTTAATTTTGCAGTCAGGGGGATTGTACCAAGTGGTGACCGTGAGTTGAGAATTAATTTTAATTTGCAATAGCTCTAAATGGCTTAGTTTCTTATCATGCAGTTGTAATACTTGTATATTATTTTTGACTAGGAACGCTACTCCTCTCCCAAAATTATCGCGATCTTTTCTTATGATGTCGTAGTTTTTTATCTTAAGTATTTTGTCTGGGGATAATTTTGTCTCATTGATGGCTAGTATGTCGACATTGTATTTTTCGAGAAATATTCGGACTTCTCCAGTTTTGGCTATTAGCCCATTAGCATTCCATAAAAACATTTTTAAATTATTTATCTCCATTCGGGTTGAAAGTCATAAATATGTAGCGTTTTTCATTTTCGGTTTTAGCGTTTGATAGTTTTACATTTAGTTCTTTGATCTGCCTTAGCATTTTACTTACGTCAATCATAGAGTGAAGTTTGTCGAGTTCGGCCATTAATTCGCCGAATTCGTCGGCTCTGGTGTTGGTTTCTTGCCTGGTTTGTGTTTGCGGTAGAGGCACTTGTGGGCCTTGCCAGGCATGTGTCCTTGTTTGTTGCTTAGGGAGAGCCGATGCTGCTGTCCTCCTAGCTTCAGGTAGTATTGGAAAGTCTTCATTGCGTGCTGTGTAGGCTTCTCGTCGCACATGTTGAGGGTGGTCTTTTTTCGTTTTCTTGCGGCGTTTTTCAAGTGCTTGTAAGTACGCTGCACAATCTTTTGAGTTTGCGGGGTGGCCTTCTCCACAGTTTGCACATGTGGCAGCTATAGTCCGCGGTCTTTGGCACTCGTATGTAGGATGACACTCAGCACATTTGAGGCATCTATACGCCGCATTGCAATTTGACGTGGAATGTCCCCATTCCTGGCACCTTTAGCATTGCGCCATTTCCCTTTTATTGGAGTACTGGGCCCACCTCACTGTTGTACTACCAACAACTGGATGATGCTTCCTTAGATCTCCGAGTGTGTAGTGTCTATTAAATAATACTAAATAGACTGGCTCCTTGGTGTTTCTTAATTTGCTGACTTTGGAGGCATCCAGGTCATCTGTATTAATTAGGGCTAAAATTTCTTCCTCATTTTTCTCCGTATAGAAATTGTAAATTATTTTAGCAAATTTTCGATCTTCAGGAGATGTATATGTGCATTGAATAGTTGTTCTGCTAGGTGTGTATTTCACTCGGAAATTTCCAGCACCAACTAATTTTTCAATAAAGATTTCAAATCTTGTTGTGGACGTGGGTCTGGTGTGCACAACAAGCGGTTTTGGCTTAATCGGAGCTTTGGTTATTTTTCTAGGATTTTCCAGTACTTCTGGTTCCTCCATTTCCTGATCATTATCAGAATTTTTCTCTTCATGTTGGATGTCTGCAGCTAGCGCATCATAACGATTTCTTGTGCTAACCGTTACTACCTGTCTTGGTGGTAGTAATTCGTTGAGTAATTTAGCATTGTTCCTACTCGAGTTCTCGGATGACGAGGCGATTTCGTTGCTCGATTTCAGTCTCTTGGAGGCGATATCATCCTCTTCTATAGCATCCCTAGCGACTTTCAGGAGCCGTTGGTTGGGAATTGCCATGGTTTGGCTTGCCAGCCGAAGGCTACACTTTTTCGTTAAGGTTTTTTCACTTTTGGCTTTTATTTTCACACTTGGGCGCGCACTCGCTGCTCTTAAACACGTCCGTACCACTTGAGGGTTCGAACGAGACTCCACTTTGAAACTGCGCAACGGATTTTTTTAAAATTGCGGACGTAGCGTTTTCGTAGCACGTCAAGTAATTCTAAGATGCGCATTGTTTTGTTTGCCATTGTGGCCATGTTCATCATGGCTGCAATCGGTGTCGAAGCAGGCTCTCCAAAGTGTAACCTCGTACCTGTCCGCTCAAATGATGGCCGCACCGGAAGTTGCTGCGTGGTTTGGGATAACGAACGCAAGCGTAATGCATGGTACTACAGTCCTCGTAGGTTACTAATCGATGTGCCGATGCGAGATTGTCCCGAAGGCTATGTACTGGACGTAAACAACAAGTGCCTTCCTATTTTCAGCGATTAAGGCTAAAAATCCCAGAGATTAAAAACAATCTTGACTATCATTGAGATATTTTATTTATTAAACTGCTCTCACTGCCCCTAAATTCCGCCACCCTCCTTACATTGAAACCATAATTCAATGCTTTCAATCAAAATTTTCGGCTGTGGTTTGTTCCAAAGCTGTATGATTGGTTGCAGAATACTAAAACTGGATCCAAGCAGCAAATATTAGTAACATTGCTTTATTACTCTCTAGTTATTCAAAGTTTGACAAAATATATACATCATTGATCATCATTGTTCCATCAGGCGCGTGAGAAACGTCAGTTAACGTGTCGTATCAAGTTAAAACCTTCAAAACATAATAAAAAATGAACAAATTAATTCACTCTGAGGGAATCGTGGTTACATTTACATGCAACTTTTACATTTTTAAATTTAGAGCAAGTTTGGTTGCCTACCTGCAAGAAAATACCTAACTTTAAAGTTGTTTCCTTTTTCTTGTAAATGTAACCACTCTTCCTCTTGCAAATTCTAAAATAAATCATCTTTCGACTCGTATTTCACCCCGACATTTTCTAGTGCGTTTAAATCATCCATCGTCATACTCATCTTACATATAAATAATAAATATCTCACAGATCAATGTTTTAAACTTTCTGCTCATGTTCACTAAGCGTGACGCTCGTAATACCTTTAACAATCATCTCCGCCACTTGCCAAGCAAGCTCCTCCTTCTTCTTGTCCTCTTCGAGATTCACAAACCGTTTAACCACACTGCGAATGGTCGACCTATTCTTCTTGTCCGGCTCCGGCTCGAAATCAGTCACAAATTGCCCTAAATCAGTGACGCGCCCGAAAGACAATCGATGATGTTTCTTCCTTCTCCACAACGCATCCGGATCATACAATTCCCTAGTGTCGATATTCATATCGGCCGCCGTTGCCTTTTCTCGTCTTTTGGGCACTTCCATTGCGAGAAACGCGCTATTTCCGTTAATGCTGCAACTTCTCTCACTTCCCGCATCCGAAGACCTCGTTCGACTCCCTCGGCCATAATACACGCCATAACCATTCGACTGCACTGCATTGATTAATTCTGATAAATATTTATAAAACAACTGTGAAGCTAGGAATGATTTCAAGTGGTGTTTATCCAGGAGTTGTTCGACTACTCGTAGTGGTAACGCAAAGCACTCATTGACCAATCCTTGCTCACCGCATATATTTTGTTCCACTGCGCAGCGCACTCTATCGCCCAATCCAAGCGGACATAACGCCTGCAGAGAAAAATACTTATCATACAAAATGACAGCGTCGTTCTGTGCCTCGATTGGGTCCAAAAACTCCTTCTGGTCTTTGAGTTGCTGCTGAAAATTAGTCGCTGCTAACCAAAACTCCAGCAAATATCTCCGGTTCTCTTGTTCGAGAAACTCCATGAAATAAAACAACGCTGTTTCGTTATAGAGAATATCTTCAAGCACAACATGACCACTTGTGAGTACATCAATCTGATGCTTGCAGAAATAATCACTTTGTACAAACGCATCGAAGAATTCCTTCTCCATTAGATTAAACATTTGTTCCTGGACTGTTTTGAAGCAATCCGCGTTGAGTATGCGTGATTCCTGGCTGCATATCTTCTCGATAATGTCATTGCGCACATCATCTGCGCATTGGATGCATTCAGGCGCTTCCAATGCGATGTACTTCTTGAAAATGCCGAGAGCGTCGTCGGTGAACTCCTGCGAGTATTTGTCCATGTCTAGGCTCAAACTCTTCTCACTTTTTTCGCTTTTATCATAAAGCGGTGTGGTGCATATGTTCGTAGTTGTCATGTTCATGTTGATGTTGGAATCGTCGTTGAGACTAGAGATATCCGCTGTAAGTGAATCATCGCAGTCGGTGCTCACTGAAAGACTGTCGTGTTCAACAACGCGGATTTGCGCAGGCGCGGTGGGTGAATTATTTGTTATGTTAGTTGAGGTTAGATCATGTGTGGTGGACTTTTGTTCTGTTTCAAAGTGGTCAATCGCCGCTTGGAAATTCTGAATGTCCAGCCAACAGCGAAGATAGGAGAGTGCATTGCGCGACTCCATAAATTGTACAAAGTAAGATAACGCTGATTTGTCATTGAGGACTTCACTCAACGTTTTGGATAATCGTGATTGTTCTCTATCTGGGACAAAATCTAAAAAAAATTAATTATTATCACTTAATAGGTATCATACATTGTTTCAGATTCAGATAAAAAATATGATTTTTTATGTTGATGACAAATAAATATTTACCAATGTCAAAAAGTCCTTCATCTTCAAACGAAGACAATTGCGTTGCTGGTAGCGGTGGAGATGTATCCCGAGATGGCGAATTATCGTCGACCGCAGATGGGAGATCGCCGAAAACCGTGTCGTCCTGCGCTTGTTGTTGCGAACCTGCGATGACCGACAAATGCGTTACATGTTTTCGAAACAAATGAATGTGTTGCATGGCGACGTATGTAACGATTCTCACCTTGTCTTTTGAAGAATTTTAACATTTTTCATTATAGCTCGGTGATGGTGTGTATTTGGGCAGGCGCTGCTAAATATTTGCGGTAATTGTGATAAACTGCGATGTTATCGTTCGGTGCGCTCGGTAATTGTTGTTGTTGTGACCAATTTCACTAGACAGGACGTGCGTATGTGTCAGTGAACGGAGTTTGATAACCATAATGTCAACGCTGTCAAAATACTAAATGTGCAAAACGAAGTTACACGAGTTGTGTAGGTTTCATTTAGTTATTTCACGAAAAAATCCGAACCAAACAAATTAAAACAAAATTACATTAATAAAACAATAGAAATATAATTTCCAATACATATTAAAACTATTTTATATTTTTATTCGTTGATAAAGATTACCGAAAGAATAACTTTCACCATTCGTGAATGTTCGTGTTTTGTTCGTCTTTTGACATAACAGTTGACCTAGAAATATTGACAGTCACAAATGTCAAAGATTATCCTGTTACTCAGGGTTCGCATTCGTTCCGTTTGCAGTTCGCTGTGGTTCGCGGTGTAAATGATTAATTAGTAATATTTAGCGGTGTTAAATAATTCATCGGCGTGCAATATGGCACAGGACAACGGAGACGCTACCACGATGAAGACCAAAAAGCCGTCTGGTAAATATTACATCAGAAAAAGCAAATATATTCTGTTTTATTTTCTATCGAATTCTCGTGAATATGAATGCCAATCCTTTTATTGATTTTCATGCTTAATAATTAAGTATAAACCATCTGCCATGGTAAAATCAGTTTCTGCTGAGATAACATGGCAATGGGTAAGAATAAATTGAAATATTTTGATTTGTTTACAGATAATTTTGTAAATTTGTTGTAAACAAATAAAAATAAAAGATAATCACAGCTGTGGCTTAAGTAAAAATTATTTGAATTATTTATTTAATTACTTGGAAACGCGACTAGTTATACTATAATTTTTGTAAAAATAATTCAGAATAAAATTATAGAAGTTATAATTTTTAAATTTTAATAATTTTTTAAAAACTTTCAGATTCTGCCTTCAAACAGCAAAAACTCCCTGCCTGGCAGCCAATACTCACCGCAGGAACCGTACTGCCAGCATTCTTCGTCATTGGCATCGCCTTCATCCCAGTTGGAATTGCGCTCCTCTTCTTCTCCGACGAAGTAAAGGAAATAATAATCGACTACACGAATTGCAACAAAACCAAAATCGCCGCGGATGGGTTCGTCCGTGATTTGGAAATACCCTGCCACACCTACATGAAGGAACATGACGACGAATGCCTCTGTAACATCATGTTCAAACTAGACACGGATTTCAAGGGGAAAGTTTACATGTACTACGGGTTGAGTAACTATTACCAGAATCATCGCCGATATGTAAAATCACGCGATGATAACCAACTATTGGGCCGTTTGGATCAGTTCCCATCTTCGGATTGTCAACCATTCGCGTATGATGATCAAAAACGACCGATTGCGCCATGTGGCGCCATTGCCAACTCGTTATTTAGCGATGTATTATCAATAAAAAATCTTAATATAAAAGATCCGAAAACTGGAGAGCATCCACCAGTGCCACTGTTGAAAACTGGCATCGCCTGGGATTCTGATAAGAATATTAAGTTCCGCAACCCGCCGGGTAATTTACAGGAAGCTTTTCGGAACTTTTCGAAACCCAAGGCGTGGAAGAAGGAAATCTGGCAGTTGGATTTAGAAGATCAGAACAATAACGGGTTTCAGAATGAGGATCTTATTGTTTGGATGAGGACAGCTGCATTACCGACGTTCAGGAAGCTGTATAGACGCGTGGATCATTCGCAGCCGACGTATGCCGATGGGTTACTCAAAGGGGAATATGAATTAATCGTTGATTATCGTAAGTAAAATTAAATTTTTTAGTATAAAATTATTTTATTAATTTTTTCTTTGTAGAATATGATGTGAGCGCATTCGATGGTTCAAAACGCATGATTCTCAGCACAACTTCACTGCTAGGAGGGAAAAATCCATTCCTAGGAATTGCCTACATAGTTGTAGGCTGTGTGTGCTTACTTCTGGGCATCGCACTGCTGTTCATTCACATTAAATACGGCAAGAGGTGTGTCGACTTTGCGTTTGATCATAAAATCGAATAAACCGCACGCATTGCACCCAAAATTAAGTATCAAGTATTGTCACTAAAATCTTTTTGTTTTAGCACTAGTGAAATGATCAGTGTAAATCCGAGGACGCCGTATCAGTAAATAACCGAACCGGAACAAATGGCTTGACAGCGGTGGTGGTGGCGTTGAAAGTAAACTGGCTTGCCTATATTATACAATGCAAACACAACACACATATGCAACCACACATACACATAGGGAGTATTATATCATAAATTAACAGACAACACATTCCTAGATGTGACCAAAGTGGCCTTAGCAGAATATTTTAACTAATTAGTAACTACTACTGTGAGTGAGTGTTGTTTATGTGCATTCTGTGTCTATGTGTAAATAATGTGCCAATTGTGTATGCTTTTTCTGTTTGTTCTCTGTACTTAGCCGAATCCACCATGTTGATTAATTGTTTAATTACCTGTTAGATGTTTGAGCGGGCGACGTTTTAATTTATTTGTATGCATTTTTATTACTTGAACGATGTTATAGGCGTGTACGAGTTAATAAAGGCACGGATTTGTGTAACACACAATCGATAGTGTTTTCCTTTAAAAAATCAAAACAAATGCAGTAAACAACTTGTGACGCAACTCGAGTGGAAATTCAATAGGCTTACTTCGGGTAAGTTCGGAAACAGACATTTATATTGAATGCTGTCAAAAAAAAATGACATAAATTCGTTAAATAAATGTTTTTACGCAAAAAAATATTGTAATACCGCTAAAATCTATTAATATTCAGTATTTAAACTTATTATTTATTTATATAAATGAATTTATTGTTAATTTAATCAATTTTGCATGAATTGTAAGTTTTCACACAATACTTTGTATGTAGAATATTGTGACCCGAACACACACGATCGTTCCTCATGCCACCTACGTCACGCGACCTTGGATTGACGATCGTTCGCAGGATTCGCTCGTGTGTAGCTCGTGTTTGTAAACAGCAACACGTTGGACTGTTTTGTGTGCGCTTTTACCTTGCTCGCGTTCGCGCTAACGAAGAACGCTAATCGTAATTTGCGTAAGACACCATAACAACAGTGCTACGACAGTTGTCATCGTTATTAATCGTTGTCGTGTGCCGAAAAACTTTAACAACTCGAGCGTGCGTCGATTGTTTTGAGAATCAACAAAGTCAACACGACTGCGAAAATGGAGTTTCAGGATATGATCGTGGTCGAAGAGAATACCGCAACTGTAAGTGTGAATATTCTTATTGTGTATGCATGGTAATATTAGTGTTTCTCTTTTCTTACGAAATATTAAAGAGTATTGTGTTTATTTGGGTAAAGAATGGCCGTGTGTCAGCAGGAACGGGGGCACAAGTTTGGGTAACGTGATTGCGTATGCGCATGCGTCGATCTCATTAACACCATTTTCATAATAAAATGATAACTGCACTTGATACACTTTAGATATGCTTTTAGATATTTAAACAATTATTATTTTTTATTTGTGTGTATTGTGTAACTGATTCATAGAGGATTAATGTTATTTTTATCTCGGTTGCTTTCATTGTTTATTTTCTCGAACAATACACAGCATGTGTCATTTGGGTTGCCTACGTTAAACATACCGACGAATGGATTCCGGCCGTCTCGCAGTCTCGCGAGTAAATATCGCGTCGCACACGCTTGCAAACTGCGCAATATTCCGCGCTCTCCGCCGGCGCGTCGCAATAAATGCGCGTTGCGTATCGCGTACTTACTCCCGATGCAATCACGCATTGCCCTCCTGCGCTCCTGCGAACATTAACATCCTGCGGGAGCCCGACGCGCTTGGCGACTTCAATTGCAACGACGCGACGATTTCTCGGTAAATATTCGATTCAACATATTCATATCAATAACAATCAGTAAATTTCATTAATATTACACTATTTAGCTTTTATCAATTTTTGTGTTAGTTGTTTGCTTCTGTGGGGTGAAAGCTCATAAACATCTAATCATGGTTTATTAATTTTTGCTATGCTGTTGTTTTTTATTTTTTTTTTGTTGATTTACGCCTTGTAAATTCGTGGTGCATTCGTTTCATTGGCGTCCGCCATCATAAAGAAGACATGTTGCAATTTACGTTGCATTCTGCTGCGCACATAGGAACAACAACGTGAGCAACAATTATGGTTGATCGATTGTTGTTCGGCGAGGACGTTGCTAATCGCGTGCGGTGTGCTGTTTCGTTGCATAACTGCATCTTGCGTTTTTGCGTTTTTATGGATGCCGGCGAGGCGCAATTTTAAGCCGGCTTCAAAAAAACCTTAAAATAATTTAATTTTTAGCTAATTTTTTTAATAATTTCAGGAAGGTGCTCATCGCAAGGAAAGCGGCAAGCGTGGACGCAAACCGGGCCGCAAGAGTGCAGAGAAAGTGGACATGAAAATCAAACTTGGTATGTAACACTCAATAATTTCCATCTAATCTCATAAATTAATTATTTTTGTTTATAGAGCGCAGCAGGCAAAGTGCCCGTGAGTGCCGAGCACGCAAAAAGTTGCGTTATCAATACCTGGAGGACCTAGTCAGCGACAGAGAGAAAGCCGTGTTTGCTCTTCGCCGAGAACTCGAAAAAGTAACTAAATCTTATAAATATATTACAATAAAATTAAAATAAATTAAATTTTCAGTATTATCAATGCTCTAAAGAGCTGGATGAAGGCGTGATACCCGAAGGCATCCACGAATTGCTCGAGAGCGATGTGGGCGCGCTTAAAAACAAATGATCCTGCTGCACATCAACTTAAACTTAAAAAGCGACTACATGTTTCAGTGCATATTAGGTTAATCTAATATTTAAAACAAAAGAAGTAAATATATTCTCTATGTTAATTGAAGCACATAATTCAATTCCTAGCAAACGAATGGGATCTTAACTTACATCACAGGCAAGTACACAAATAACATCTCTTATTTTTTGTACAATTCTTTATAAACTTATCCATTTCACTAATTAATATATATATATATATATTTATATATTATATATATAATTAACAACGTTTGATAGACTTCTCTATCGCTAATTCTTTCGTTCCTCGCTTGTCGGGCCTCCATTAATTTACGAATGGGTATGATAGGGTGAGTTCGAGTGTGAGGCGGGATTATTCATCAAACCAACGCAGCTGTTTGCGTGTTCGCCGGAAGTGGATCCACAACATTATCCAGCCGGCGATACTTCTTGATGCGCTTCCACTCGCCGTTGTTGTAGTTCATCTGGAAGTGCGTCTCCACCAGCATCGTCAGGTAGGTCTCATCCGGCTGCTGCACGTTCTCTTGATCTTCGCTCAGCTTGATCGTGACGATATTCCCGAGATGCGGGCATGGATTGTCTCGTGACCCGGCCATGAATCCCAGAATCAAGGCTTTTTCTGGACGCGTTACTTTGTTCGCCGTGCGGAACATATCCTGCGCCTCGAGCATTTGCTCTCTGGTGAGGGCTAAACCACGTCTTTGAAGGGAATTCGCGGTGGGTTGTGGTTGTATGCGGATTTGTGTGACCTGCTGGACGGGTTTCTGTGTGATGATGACCGGGGCAGGCGTAGCTGTCGGCGGGGTTTTCGCTGCGGGTTTGAGGACGGGCGTGAGCGGCGGTGGGTTGGTTTGTGATGGAGGTGGAGATTGTATCGTTGGTGTAGGTGTGGGTGTGACGACTGCGGTGGCAATAGGTGTTGTAGGGGTTGGGGTTGTGGGAGTCGTGGGCGTGGGTGTTGAACTTGCTGGTTGTGGCGTTGGAGGGAGATATGAAGGTGTTGTAAGACCTGCGGCGTAATCTGGCGTAGCGTTGTTTGTACTCGACGGGGATAACATCGCCGGTGAGGTTTCGGTCTTTTTCGCGGCGTTTTCTTCCTGTTCTTGTTGTCGTTTGCGTTTTTTCGCAGCTGCGTAGCCTAGGGGCTGATCAGCGATGTCTAAAAGTTTCACACCGCCTTCTTTCCTCCCAGCGGCTAATCGTGGAATAGGTGGACGATTTGTCGTTGAACCAAGCACACTGCTGCGAAAACTTGACCCTGGATGACGGCTGGGAATGCCTTTTAGTGGAGCTGTAAATAATAACATGTTAATAACTTTTTTCTCTTGAATATGAATACAAAACATACTTGTATCAGTCATTTTCCTAGGCATTCCTCGAGATCTAACTGGTATGACAGGCGCGGAGGCTTTTTTAAGATTCGACTGCGCATCTGTTGATTTTTGCAGTAAATCAGCACGTAATAATGCTGATTTCGGCTTCTTTTTCAGTGTGAAGTGTTTGGTGGGTTGCGGCTGTTGCCCAACCACTGAAGTCAATGCTTGTTTGTTTAAATAATGGCACTCCATGGGTAGCATCACACTTTCGGCTTGTTTACGCACCAATTGCCGTAAATCATTCACCAAATTTGTAAATATCGGTCGGACCTCATCCAGGTCTGAGATTTCCATGTTTAATGATCCTGTGGCTGGGTATGTCTTCAGAGCTTCTGCTATCATGGATACCCATAGCTCTGAGTCGCCCACGGCGACTTCCACGATTTGTTCCAGATCCAGTCGCCACTAAAATAAATATTACACGTGTAACTGCTGGAAATTGATGGTGATAATTCAACTTACTTCTTCTATGTTCTTTCGGGGTATGTGAAAGAAACTTAGCAGCAGTTTTAGTTTCACCTGCGTCTGTAGGTCAGGAAAGCACTCCTTTATGTTACGCAGCACCTCGCCGTTTAGCTGCGAACAGATAGATCCGCCTGTCCACGAATCGTTCGATGTGCCTAACTTGTTATGCAGCCACAGCGATGTATCGCTGTCACGCATGTTCGCCATCTTTGTAAATAACCAGCGGCCAAGCGGCCATGTTACGCGCGCATTCCGCCAGCTGTCAAACGTGTGTCATTGAAACCAAACAAAGCTATAAACACAAAACTTTATCAAACCTTAAAAAATATTAATTTCAAATTAAAAACTAAAAATAAAATACAAGAAGTAAATTCAAAAGATTAATTAGTTATATTGTCGAAACTCTAACGTAATTTTTGTAAGTGTCACCATTGAGCGACTGACAGTTTGTACGCTTACAAGTTGAAGGTCATTTCAAGGTCAAGCCAATCAGATTGAAAGTATTGCAACGTCCGTTAATTTTCGAACCGAAACAAAACATGTTTATTAAATTGATTGCATTCATTTCTCATTGTTAAAGTTTGATATCACTTGAAGACACAATGGAATCAGGCGATGGCAAACTCCCTGAAAATTTTTTGTAAGTTTACTTAAAGAATTTATTAAAAATCATAACATATTTTTTGCTTGCTAGCAATTTCCAAGAATATCTGCTGGAAATGAATAAAAAATATGAGGAACTTCGTGAAAAGCAACGCCGTGATAACGAAGCATTAAAAGCAAAAGAAAAACTAGCTGCTTTGGAAGAGGATGAAGTGGACACAGTCAATTCACCACAAGATTTACAAGATGATTCAGGTTATCTTGGTGATAAAACTTCCAACAATAAAGAGAATGAGAATAAATTCAACCATACTGCCAATAGTAAGATTAAAACAAGTATAGTTCCTTCTCTAAGTGTTACAAAACATAATCCCAAGAACAATGAGAGCACACAAGTTAGATTTGATGTACAAAAGAAAGAAAATTTTAATTTAGAAAGACAAAAATCACCAAAACTTACTGACACCAGTCAAAAAGGCAAACAATTGATTACATCAAAAAAATCACCAGTGGAGCAACTGCATTCACAAACTAAATCAACACAAAACCAAAATGAGTTTGTAACGCCATGTCGCCCGCTGCGACCACCAAAAGTCACATATTCTCTACCTATAATGTCATCTACAACGAATACGGACAGTACGCAAAAACAACAACAACGCATCATGTGCACGGTCGACATGCGATCACATGCGATGCTTCAAATGCCAATCAAGAAGCCATCAGCACGAAAACATCTACTTTCAACTTCCAGCTTGGCCTCTGTGCTTGAATTTGATGATAAATATGAAGTTGATGTGGAAAAACCGAAACCACTGTCCGAGCGGTTGATAAAAGACGTTTTTCAATGTATACGTGTGAAAGAAGTAGACTATATCGTGTTGAATGAGCTTGGCAAAGGTGGGAGTTCTGTGGTTTATCATTGTTATGATCCTGCGAGCAAAGCGGAATATGCTGTGAAGGTAGTGGACTTAAAATTAGATAGGAATGAAGCTAATGGGTTCATAAATGAGGTTAAGGCATTGAAACGACTGCAGGATTGTGATCGCATCATCAAACTACATGAGCAGTAAGTTTAAGTAGTTTTTATTTTAGGTTATGTTGGGTTTATTTCAATGTCAGTAGTTTTCCTTTGACGTGTATTAAAATTTTATCATTTTAGTTTTTTATCTTATCAGATTGAGATATCCGTAAAGCATAGGAAATGATTCACTTTAATTTTTCTATTTTTACTTGTCGCATTAATCTCCATTGGTATTTTTCACAGTGAAATTGTCAGCGGCGAAAATATTCTCTACATGGTGTTGGAAAAAGGTGGGCGTGACTTTGCGCAAATTCTCCGAGAACATAGTCGCAACGTCGCCCATCTGCCCGCCTTCATGGTGCACTTCTACTGGATGCAGATGCTTCACGCCGTCGGTCAGATGCATTCCAAGGGCGTGATCCATTCTGACCTGAAACCTGCGAATTTCATCGAAATACGCGAAAGATTGAAACTCATTGATTTTGGTATTTCTAGCTGCGTGCAATTGGATATGACCAGCGTGGTGAAAACTGTCGCGCTTGGCACTTTTGGTTATATTAGTCCGGAAGCACTCTGCGCGGATCGTGGATACGAAGGTTCGCCGGCGCAGCCAACGTACAAAGTGGGCTTCAAGTCGGATGTGTGGTCATTGGGAAGCATACTCTATCAATTGGTCTACAAACGCACGCCTTTCTCGCATATTCAACATAGTTCGGCGAAGTTGGCGGCCATTATGGATCCGGGTCATGTGATCAACTATCCGAAAGCCGATTGGGTGCCCGAAGGTGTGATTCGGTGTATAAAGGATTGCCTACAGTACAACGCACGCCGGAGACCGACCGTGGCGGATCTTATTAATGCGGAGAAGGTGTTTGTTTCGTAGTTTTTTCGTGGGACGCTCTGTATATAGATTTTAATCGCGCACTTTGCCACGACAGGCTTAAACACTAAAACGAAATTCCGGCTCGTGAACATGATTGATAAGATATCGCGATGTGTTTGTGGATAATGGCTCAAATGAATTTAATCTAGTGAGGCTGCTGGGACAATCGAGAATACTTAGCAATTTTAATAATAGTTCATACTGCGCGTTGCCTTCAGGACAACAATGCAGTACGATGAGGATGACGAACGACGTTCATTCTTGTAAGTTTTTTATTTATTCTGCATATTTTCTTTGTTTCTATTTGTATTTTTTAGACCAAGGGAGAAAAAATGGGATCAGTTTCCGGATTCGCCGCGAGAGGTCATTTCGGACTCCATGGTGGAGTCGGAGCTGTACAATGTCTCGTTGAAAATCCTTCATTTACTCGCTTTTGTTCTGACTTTTATCGTGGTGTTAGCATCGGCGACTGTATCCAAAGGTACGCTCCTCTTCATGACTTCGCAAGTTTCGCACAACCAGACCAAGCCCTATTGCAATGAAGATTTGGACCTCAATCGACAGTTTGTTGTCACACTTCCGGTAACCGAACGTGTTGCATGGATTTGGATGCTTTTTTATGCGTATTGCGTTCCACAAGTGGGCACATTCATCCGTTCTGTGCGCATTTGCATCTTTAAGAGTAGTACTGCGCCTAAATGGCAGGATTTTATGCTTGTCATGGTAACTGAGACATTTCCGGCGATAGGTAGCGCTATTTTAGTGTTTGATGTCTTACCACAATTGGATGTACTCAAGGGAGCCATGTTGCTTAACGGTTTTTGTTTTATTCCGGGTCTTATGAGTAAGTTTCCTACCATTACCATAATTTATATTATTTATTTATATTTAATTAATTATTTATTGGTTATCAGGTGTTATTATGGGTAAAAAGTGTGGATCAAGAACAGCACCACCTAAATTTATCTTGGATTGCATCTCGTTAGGATGCCAGGCAACGGCGCTTGTTGCATGGCCATTGGTTGAGGGTACAACAGACGCATGGCTAATTCCAGTCGCCATCTTGTGTATTACTGTCGGCTACTGGGAGAACTTTTACAAGTGGGGCGTCGAGGAAGATGAGATGCGTCCGGTGCGGGAGCATGACCTGCCGGAGAGTATATGGCTGACTGTGGCCAAGGAACGCATCGAATTCACCAACACCAGGTATTTCATCTACGCCTTTGTTTCGCTCTGGAAAATTCTCGTCTTTTTCATCACGATGGTGTTGTACTTCCTGATCAAAGAGGGCTCTGCTGACTTTCTTTTCGATTACTACACGCTAGCAATGGAATCACATCCAATTGCCATAAAAAAGGTGAGATTTACTTTTACTCGAAGCAATACGGGTTGTATAATTTATTTTAAATTGTTTTATTGTTTAGATTGCACCGGTAATAACAAGTCATCTGGCAAACATCGACGACGTCGTTGCGACTGGTCTCGGCACAACAATTGAATCCGAAAAATGGACGCCTGTTTATGTCTTTCTTATCAACGTCCTCTCGACGTACATATGTTACATTTTCGGTAAATTCGCCTGCAAGATTCTAATCCAAGGCTTCAGCTACGCGTTTCCTATTAATCTCACGATGCCGTTTTCGATTTCCATTCTCATTGCGATGTGCGGCGCGTTTGCGCACGATCCTTGCGCATACTCGGGCACCATCTCGCCATATTTGTTCTTTGACATTCCTGCTAACATGTACTACCTTCAACGATTCATCATTGATGAGTGGGCATGGATGTGGCTGTTGTGGATTATGTCACAGGCGTGGATAACTCGGCACATATGGATGCCATCTAGTGAACGGCTTGCACGTACCGAACGACTGTATATGCGCCCGATGTATGACCCTTTTCTTATCGATCAGGATATTGCGTTGAATCGACGCAGGGAAGTCTTCCGCGATGAGGATATACCAATACTGGATGAAGGAGATGGTGATGATGTTGCAGGACGTGATCGCAAACGTTCATACCTGGATGATTTTGATGGTGGACCGGATAAAACAACAAGGATTTTTGCTTGTGGAACCATGTGGCATGAGAATAAAGATGAAATGATGGCGTTTTTGAAGAGTATTCTACATTTGGATGCGGATCAATGCGCGAGAAAGATTGCCAGCGTGATGTTCAGCATTGAGAAAGATTACTACGAATTGGAGACGCATGTGTTCTTTGATGATGCTTTCGTGAGGTATGATGATTCCCCGGAGCCATATTTGAATGATTATGTCCAGATGTTGATTGCTACCATGGATGAAGCACGTCGAGATGTGCATGAAGTGGAGGTGCAATGGCCAGGCCCTGTGAAGATTTGCACACCGTATGGAGGAAGACTAATTTGGCAATTACCAGGCGGTAGTAAATTCGTCGTTCATCTAAAAGATAAGAAAAAGATCCGCGCTAAGAAACGGTGGTCCCAGGTGATGTACATGTACTATCTTTTGGGTCATCGACTTATGAACGGCAGCTTCACCAGTTACGAGAAGCACATTCGATCCGAGAATACCTTTCTTCTTGCGCTTGACGGCGACATTGATTTCCAACCGAATGCTGTGCTCCTTCTGGTCGATTTGATGAAGAAGAGTAAATCCGTGGGCGCTGCTTGTGGACGCATTCATCCGATTGGTTCCGGACCAATGGTTTGGTATCAAGTATTCGAGTATGCAATCGGTCATTGGCTGCAGAAGGCTACCGAGCACGTGATTGGCTGTGTATTGTGTAGTCCCGGTTGTTTTTCACTCTTCAGGGGCAGTGCTTTGATGGAGGATAATGTAATGAAGAGATACACAACTGAGTCTTCCGAGGCACTCCATTTTGTACAGTACGATCAGGGTGAGGATAGATGGTTGTGCACGCTTTTATTGCAAAGAGGTTTTCGTGTTGAATACTCGGCAGCATCGGATGCCTACACGCATGCACCGGAGGGTTTCAATGAATTTTACAACCAACGCAGGCGGTGGATGCCTTCCACTACGGCAAACATCTTTGATTTGCTAACTGATTACAAGTACATCACGCATACGAATGATAACATTTCAATGCTTTATATTTGCTATCAGGGGGTAATGATGATTGGTACTGTGTTGGGTCCTGGTACTATATTCCTTATGTTGGTGGGTGCTTTCGTCGCAGCGTTCCAGATGGACCAGTGGACTAGTTTTATGTGGAATGCCATACCCATTTTGTTTTTTATGACCATTTGTAAACTCTTCAGTCAGGCGAACATTCAGGTAATAATTTCATAACCTATTTTATCAACTATTTTGATTTTATTAAAAAAAAAACATGCGATTTTTAGTTATTCTTTGCTGGTTTACTGAGCGCAATCTATGGTTTGGTAATGATGGCTGTACTGGTCGGTGTGCTGATGCAGATTCAACAGGACGGTATCATGTCCCCATCATCACTTTTCTTCTTCTTTATTGCTGGAGAGTTTATCGTCACCGCACTTATGCATCCCAAAGAAGTCGGCTGTTTGATGTATGGCGTCATCTACTACGTTACAGTCCCCAGCATGTACCTCCTCCTGGTCATCTACTCCATCTTCAACATGAACGTTATTTCCTGGGGTACGCGAGAGACAGTTATTGTCACCAAGAAAGAACAAGAGGAAACAGCAGCCAAAGCAGCAGCAGCGCCAAAAACCGCCGCAGGACGAGTTCTGAATCTTTTAGGCGCCAATGGTCAAGACAACGGCGGCGCAATTTCCTTCTCAGTTTCCAACCTTTTCAAATGCTTGCTGTGTACGGTTCCCAAAACGGCGGAGGAAGAACGCTTGATTCAAGTGCAAGCTAGTTTGGAAGCAATTCAGGTACGGTTAGGAATGATCGAAAAGAAGGCAGACCTGGAAATCACAGAAGAGCCAAAGGCGTTCGGTGGTGCTGCTTCAGCACCTCCCGAAGTAGATGAATCAGTCAACAGTGTAACCGCTGAAGAATACGAGGAATTGAATTGGTGGATGGACGAAGGCGATCGAATCAAGAAATGCGAGACTGGGACACTTCCAGAGGACGAGAAAACCTTTTGGAAGGAGCTGGTTGAGAAATACCTTAAGCCAGATGTGCTATCAGATGCCTCAAAGGAAAAGCAGCAGATCAAGAAGGATTTGGAAGATTTAAGAGATAAATCAGTGGCGGCCTTTTTCATGATCAACGCATTGTTTGTACTGGTGGTGTTTTTGCTCACCTTGAAGAAAGATATATTGCATATTAATTGGCCTTTCAATGTCAAAACCAACTTCACTTACAATGGGGACACACTGGACATCGTCATGCAGAAGGAGTACCTGGAGCTGGAGCCAATCGGTTTCGTTTTCCTCATCTTTTTCGGTATACTCATGGTCGTTCAATTTCTCGCTATGTTCCAACATCGGTTTGAGACAATGTGTCAAATTCTTGCCAACATGGAGTTCAATATCAGATTTTTCCAGAACACAGTAAGTACTAATACTACTCACTTAGTTTTATTTTTTACTAGCTGTTGCCCGCGACTTCGTTCCGGCAGTGTTTAATAAAAATGTAATTCGTTTTTACTCTCTTGTTCTAGACATACTCGTAGTAAGAATCAATTCTATCAATAAGATTAGCAATTATAATTTAAAGAATTTAATTATATAAAGTTTTGTCAATAATGCACTTCAGCGCGCCATCTCGAATTCAACTATTTAACTATAACTATGATTGAATCTCAATGTCAAATTATATTCTATTGAAAAGAGCTGTTTTGAGGATTTTCCCGGCAATTATTCGAATTTTTCTCACCTTTTAAACCTTCCCTAGACCTCCACGAATAATTCAAGACCAAGATAAGATAAATCCGTTCAGCCGTTCTCGAGTTTTAGCGAAACTAACGAACAGCAATTCATTTTATATATATAGATTTAATTTATTTTTTATTATAGACGGAAGCCATTGTAGATGATAAGAAGATAAAGAAAGGACAGCGGTGGATCGATGAAGTCAAAGAAATGCAGCGCCTGAAAGCAGATGATGATGATGAGCCAGAAGATTTGCGGAGAACAACTCGAGGACGGCGCAAAACCGTGATGGAAAACGAGCGGATTCAAAAGAGGAATCGTAATGCCAAAACCACGCTATTGGAATCATTCAATGCCAGGTATGAGCGATTGGCGAACCCAACGAAGAATGAAAGCGGCGCCAACGTGCGCAAGAGAGGAAAAGGTGGTATTGGTGTTGAGGCTATGGTAGCACGCAGGACGCAGTTAATACCAAAAGGGATGGATCCGCGTAAATCTGTGTATCGGCCGCAGTCCATTAACAATCCAGGCGACGGTATTGACAATCCGGCGTTTGTTTCCTCAGAGGAGTTTGTTAAAAACTTTATTTCTCCTTAATTTTGCATGAGATTGTTTCTCAATTATTTATCCATGTCTATATCCATGTCATATTAGTATTAAGTGAAAGATTAATTATTAACTTATAACTACCTAATGCAATACAAATTTTTAAATATTCCTGCACCGCGAATTAGTTTTGAATAAAACCGTGCGATGGAGCTTCGTTTCTGAATCAGATGGGAGTAGAAACAAGCAATGATCAACAAGTTGGTGCAAGTTGTGATCAACTGTGATTAAAATATAAGAAACAATGAGTGAAGAACTGTTAGAACTTGTAAAAGCACACACAAACTGTGCCCAAACACCTAATTTACCTACTCATGCAAATGCTAACATTCTGGCTGTACAAATTGCTGGTTTGATTACGAGGAATCTTCAGGACAAACAGAAACTCAACACATTTATTGTAACCACGCAAATTCAAATAATTTCAGCAGTTTGTATTAATAAGGTAAATGTTTTAGAATTATATTCGCAATTTGAGCCATCAACACAACAGGAAACAATGCGTTAATGTAGACAATGTGTCTGTGTATTTGAATCACCTTCCAATTGCTACAACTGATCAAGAAGATGAAGATCTACATTTACCAAAAGCAGACATTAATCAGGAAATTAATAGCTTCTACAGACAACGAGCCCAGAAACAAACTGAAGTGAATAAAATAAAAGGTACCATTTTATATTGAGTAATTTTATTCTTATCTTCGATGTGTTGCTTACAGAATATATAAATATTCAGACCCAACAATCTTTACCATCAGATTTTGACTATAATGTGATAATAAGTGATACAAATACAAATGTATTTGAATTGAATTTAAATAATGATATCAATTCACCAATTTTGGATTCATGTAATGATAAGCAGAGGGAATCAGCAGTGAAATTGGCAATGTCAGTTTGTAATTTACCCAGCCATGAAAACCTAGCTAAAACTACTGTTAATAACTTAGTTGCTAAACTTTCCAAATACGAGGAGCTATTAATATGTGAGAGGGAGTTTTTGAAGTGGTTATTAACTGAGAGGCACTTAGAAACAAGAAGGTTGGTTGAACTGTTTCCATTTTTATTGGAAGAACATCTGATCGACATTGCAATCAAACATTTACAAGGAAAGCTAGAAGGCAGAGATTATCAGCAATTGGACTGGGTTCAAAAAGATGTTGAAATCAAGAACCAAGGAATGGATATCATACACAGTTTATTCGTTATGGCCAAATACGATTTAAACTTGTTGGATGTTTTGAAGAATATTATCCAGTAAAGAAATTCGACTGCTGAGGTAATTATTTTCCTAATTTCCTATTTGCTCTAATCCGATGCAGATCTACTTGCAGAATCCGATAACAATTTAAATATTCTATTTATTACAGAAGCTGTTGATAAGGCCATCCCTACTGCCCCTGGAAGTGTCCCAAAATTGGCTGATTTGGTAAACGAGTAATAACACCGACATTTTAAGGGTGTTTTTGTCTGAAAACCCCCATTTTTATATCTACTTGTATTAACTTTCAGCAATGAATATGTATTATGCGTTTTTTTTTAATAAAGAATATTTTTTATTACAATTATTTGTTATTTCTATATATCCTATGATCCCAATAAATTTTCTTGATTTATTTCACATTTATTTTGAAAAGTGCATGCTAGTGCCATCTATCAATTAGAAACTACAACAACCAAAAGTTTTGAGCTTCGGTCCGTCGCCACCAGAGGCAGCACATTACTAGTTACCACCAAAACTTTATCAGCCTCCTCAACTTTCTGCGATCCTAATATTCAATCTTTATTTTGTCGACTCTGAGAGGCAAAATGACACAAAATTTGGACTCGAAACAGTCGAAACTCAGGTTTTGGTATTCGGAACGCAGAAAGGGTGAGGAGGCGGTAACTAGTAATGGCGGGTAAAATGAATGTTTAAAAATCTTTATTCAGCAACTGCATCGGTTATATTGAACATTTTAAATTCGGTTATCAGATTCTGAAAGATAGGTTGGTTGGTGCTATATCGACAATTGAAGTAATTATTTTCCTAACATTAACCATTTAGGCTTTATTTGCAAATTAATGAAAAAAATGGTTTTTATTTGCCAATAGGGCCTTAATTTACAATTGTGTTAATGGTTTCTGGAAAATTCCAATTATTACAGAAGCTGCCTTTGCTGAAAAAAGATTTCGTCATAAAAAAGGCAAAAGATTTCTCTTTTTTATGTCGAATTCAATTTTCATTCAAATTTGTAAATAGAGCCTAAACGGTTGATAGTAGCACAAAAAGTTACTAAAATAATCGATGTAGAATTAAATTGTCTATCAGAATCCGAAAACAGAATTCAAAAATTCCAACTTTTAATTTTCAACATAAAAAAGAGAAATCTTTTGCCATTTTTTTAATAAAATCTTTTCGTTAAAAATTTTTTGTTCAATTTTTATCATTTTTCAATAAGGATGCCATCTTATTGATAATTTTTCAAGGATTAAGAATATGTAGTTCTTTCTTTTCTAGCCCTCTTAGTTGTCGAGATAATTACTATTTCAATCTTCTGAATTAGACTATTCCGTCGGCATGCACATATTTCATGAAATTTGCAAATAGGGCCTAAACAGTTAACGTAAGCAAAAAAAGTTACTTAAATAATCGATGCAGGATTAAATTGTCTATCAGAATCCGAAAACAGAATTCAAAAATTTTTACTTTTCAACATTCCTAATTAGAAGATTAATTCGTAATTATCTCGACAACTAAAAGGGCTAGAAGAAAAGGAACTTCATATTCTTGATCCTTGAAAAATTCTCAACAAGATGGTATCCTTATTGAAAAATGATGAAAATGGCACAAAAAATTTTTAAAGAAAAGATTTTATTAAAAAAATGGCAAAAGATTTCTCTTTTTTATGTTGAAAATTAAAAGTTGGAATTTTTGAATTCTGTTTTCGGATACTGATACATAATTTAATTCTACATCAATTGTTTTGGTATTTTTTTTTGCTAGCATTAACTGCTTAGGCCCTATTTGTAATTTTATAGAAAAAATTGAATATGTACCGAAACAAACTGAAATAATATATATAATAATTAGGCGAGAACTATCTATGTCCACTTTCTGCGTTCCTAATACTGCAGACTGATGAGCAGCAACATTTCAGCAAATTTCTCGACAAATTTTGTCGAGAAATCCATTGAAATTGGTGACAAAATTCTTTTGAATATTAGGATCGCAGAAAGTTGAGGAGGCTGAATCTCCAGCAATCTTGAATAGCGACGTAGTTTAGTTACTCGTGGATAGATGACACTAGTGATACCGTTTTTAAATTAATATTGATACAATATAAAATTGATTTTGAACTATTTCTCATATCTAGCAGTGGCATTTCCATTAAAGTTTAAGGGTTTTATGGATTAATTAAAGGAGTAACGATGTTGCGAGCTATGTTCTCCGTTTGGAACAAATAAAACAATAAAAATTTATAGTTAAAAGTATAAAACAACAATTTTATTCAAACATGTAGAATATACACCCATCAGTAACTCAATTTCTCAATATATACATGTAATTATACAATGCTCTTTTTACAATTTTTAACATAATAAACAAAAATGATATCAATAACAGCTTCGAAATGTTGTAAATTCATTCAATCGAATTTGGAATCATCATCAACACCGGCAATCCAATCTTCAATTTCTTGGACACTATAAACCAGAAAGAATAACAGAATAGTAAAATATAAAATATTATAATTTGTCAAAATATAACATACGTTCATGGAACTTAGTGTAGTCCAGTTGCAACATCCATTTTCAGTAATCAAAATATCATCCTCAATACGCACTTCACCAGTACCACGAAACCTCTCCAGTTGGTCATTATTGATAAACCTGGCCATCTCAGGATTAGCCAATGCTTCATCTAACAACTGGAAAATATTTATGTAAATAAATTATACATATACATAAATTAAATTAATTATTCTTACAAGATCCATAAAGACTCCCAATTAGGGCACCGTACGAAGGTAGCGCCTGTACTACGGCGCAAAACACAACTTTCAATATAACTAGCGTTATCGCGAATATCTCGTAAACTAAAAGAGATATTTAAGATCTGATCGCAGCGTCTTAATCTACGGACCAATCTCTATCAGATAGGATAGTTAAAAGGGAAATCTGAGAGATGAAATTTTAAGTCTTAAGAAAAAATTGCCAAGGGGGGGTGCTTGATACTTTTTTTCGACGATTTTCAAAAATTCATATCTCTTAAACTAAAAGAGATAGCTACCAACGAATTGTTGATTATGAAAGATTGGAAAATTCTCTATCAGATAAAAATATAAAATAATTATATTTCCTACAGTAAAGGTCGAAAAACGCGACTAAAAGTGCTAAAAAGTGACATTTATCAATTTTTGCCCATTTTATTCAATCGCGAATATCTCGTAAACTAAAAGAGATATTTAAGATCTGATCGCAGCGTCTTAATCTACGGACCAATCTCTATCAGATAGGATAGTTAAAAGGGAAATCTGAGAGATGAAATTTTAAGTCTTAAGAAAAATTGCCAAGGGGGTGCTTGATACTTTTTTTCGACGATTTTCAAAAATTCATATCTCTTAAACTAAAAGAGATAGCTACCAACGAATTGTTGATTATGAAAGATTGGAAAATTCTCTATCAGATAAAAATATAAAATAATTATATTTCCTACAGTAAAAGGTCGAAAAACGCGACTAAAAGTGCTAAAAAGTGACATTTATCAATTTTTGCCCATTTTATTCAATCGCGAATATCTCGTAAACTAAAAGAGATATTTAAGATCTGATCGCAGCGTCTTAATCTACGGACCAATCTCTATCAGATAGGATAGTTAAAAGGAAATCTGAGAGATGAAATTTTAAGTCTTAAGAAAAAATTGCCAAGGGGGGGTGCTTGATACTTTTTTTCGACGATTTTCAAAAATTCATATCTCTTAAACTAAAAGAGATAGCTACCAACGAATTGTTGATTATGAAAGATTGGAAAATTCTCTATCAGATAAAAATATAAAATAATTATATTTCCTACAGTAAAAGGTCGAAAAACGCGACTAAAAGTGCTAAAAAGTGACATTTATCAATTTTTGCCCATTTTATTCAATCGCGAATATCTCGTAAACTAAAAGAGATATTTAAGATCTGATCGCAGCGTCTTAATCTACGGACCAATCTCTATCAGATAGGATAGTTAAAAGGGAAATCTGAGAGATGAAATTTTAAGTCTTAAGAAAAAATTGCCAAGGGGGGGTGCTTGATACTTTTTTTCGACGATTTTCAAAAATTCATATCTCTTAAACTAAAAGAGATAGCTACCAACGAATTGTTGATTATGAAAGATTGGAAAATTCTCTATCAGATAAAAATATAAAATAATTATATTTCCTACAGTAAAGGTCGAAAAACGCGACTAAAAGTGCTAAAAAGTGACATTTATCAATTTTTGCCCATTTTATTCAATCGCGAATATCTCGTAAACTAAAAGAGATATTTAAGATCTGATCGCAGCGTCTTAATCTACGGACCAATCTCTATCAGATAGGATAGTTAAAAGGGAAATCTGAGAGATGAAATTTTAAGTCTTAAGAAAAATTGCCAAGGGGGTGCTTGATACTTTTTTTCGACGATTTTCAAAAATTCATATCTCTTAAACTAAAAGAGATAGCTACCAACGAATTGTTGATTATGAAAGATTGGAAAATTCTCTATCAGATAAAAATATAAAATAATTATATTTCCTACAGTAAAAGGTCGAAAAACGCGACTAAAAGTGCTAAAAAGTGACATTTATCAATTTTTGCCCATTTTATTCAATCGCGAATATCTCGTAAACTAAAAGAGATATTTAAGATCTGATCGCAGCGTCTTAATCTACGGACCAATCTCTATCAGATAGGATAGTTAAAAGGGAAATCTGAGAGATGAAATTTTAAGTCTTAAGAAAAATTGCCAAGGGGGTGCTTGATACTTTTTTTCGACGATTTTCAAAAATTCATATCTCTTAAACTAAAAGAGATAGCTACCAACGAATTGTTGATTATGAAAGATTGGAAAATTCTCTATCAGATAAAAATATAAAATAATTATATTTCCTACAGTAAAAGGTCGAAAAACGCGACTAAAAGTGCTAAAAGTGACATTTATCAATTTTGCCCATTTTATTCAATCGCGAATATCTCGTAAACTAAAAGAGATATTTAAGATCTGATCGCAGCGTCTTAATCTACGGACCAATCTCTATCAGATAGGATAGTTAAAAGGAAATCTGAGAGATGAAATTTTAAGTCTTAAGAAAAATTGCCAAGGGGGTGCTTGATACTTTTTTTCGACGATTTTCAAAAATTCATATCTCTTAAACTAAAAGAGATAGCTACCAACGAATTGTTGATTATGAAAGATTGGAAAATTCTCTATCAGATAAAAATATAAAATAATTATATTTCCTACAGTAAAAGGTCGAAAAACGCGACTAAAAGTGCTAAAAGTGACATTTATCAATTTTTGCCCATTTTATTCAATCGCGAATATCTCGTAAACTAAAAGAGATATTTAAGATCTGATCGCAGCGTCTTAATCTACGGACCAATCTCTATCAGATAGGATAGTTAAAAGGGAAATCTGAGAGATGAAATTTTAAGTCTTAAGAAAAAATTGCCAAGGGGGGGTGCTTGATACTTTTTTTCGACGATTTTCAAAAATTCATATCTCTTAAACTAAAAGAGATAGCTACCAACGAATTGTTGATTATGAAAGATTGGAAAATTCTCTATCAGATAAAAATATAAAATAATTATATTTCCTACAGTGAAAGGTCGAAAAACGCGACTAAAAGTGCTAAAAAGTGACATTTATCAATTTTTGCCCATTTTATTCAATCGCGAATATCTCGTAAACTAAAAGAGATATTTAAGATCTGATCGCAGCGTCTTAATCTACGGACCAATCTCTATCAGATAGGATAGTTAAAAGGGAAATCTGAGAGATGAAATTTTAAGTCTTAAGAAAAATTGCCAAGGGGGTGCTTGATACTTTTTTCGACGATTTTCAAAAATTCATATCTCTTAAACTAAAAGAGATAGCTACCAACGAATTGTTGATTATGAAAGATTGGAAAATTCTCTATCAGATAAAAATATAAAATAATTATATTTCCTACAGTAAAGGTCGAAAACGCGACTAAAAGTGCTAAAAGTGACATTTATCAATTTTTGCCCATTTTATTCAATCGCGAATATCTCGTAAACTAAAAGAGATATTTAAGATCTGATCGCAGCGTCTTAATCTACGGACCAATCTCTATCAGATAGGATAGTTAAAAGGGAAATCTGAGAGATGAAATTTTAAGTCTTAAGAAAAATTGCCAAGGGGGTGCTTGATACTTTTTTCGACGATTTTCAAAAATTCATATCTCTTAAACTAAAAGAGATAGCTACCAACGAATTGTTGATTATGAAAGATTGGAAAATTCTCTATCAGATAAAAATATAAAATAATTATATTTCCTACAGTAAAGGTCGAAAAACGCGACTAAAAGTGCTAAAAGTGACATTTATCAATTTTTGCCCATTTTATTCAATCGCGAATATCTCGTAAACTAAAAGAGATATTTAAGATCTGATCGCAGCGTCTTAATCTACGGACCAATCTCTATCAGATAGGATAGTTAAAAGGGAAATCTGAGAGATGAAATTTTAAGTCTTAAGAAAAATTGCCAAGGGGGTGCTTGATACTTTTTTTCGACGATTTTCAAAAATTCATATCTCTTAAACTAAAAGAGATAGCTACCAACGAATTGTTGATTATGAAAGATTGGAAAATTCTCTATCAGATAAAAATATAAAATAATTATATTTCCTACAGTGAAAGGTCGAAAAACGCGACTAAAAGTGCTAAAAAGTGACATTTATCAATTTTTGCCCATTTTATTCAATCGCGAATATCTCGTAAACTAAAAGAGATAAATAGATACAAATCACAGAGACTATTCTACGGACTATTCTCTATAAGATAAATCAGTTAAAACGGAAATCTGAGAAATGAAATTTTAATTCTGAAGAAAAATCGCGTGCCAACCCGAAAAAAAAAATATTTCACAAAACATGTTTGAAAAAAATCACGTTTTAATGCAAATTTTCGCGGGTTGCAGGCCAAAGTCTTGCAACAAAGAAGTTCAAGCAGACCGAGAATCTAATTCTATATCTCTACATACCCAGCTCAAATTTGTATTGTTTGTGATTTGTTTTGTTTTAAATTGGAACAAAAAATTTGATTGAATTGTAAACTTACGAGTTTTTGTGCGCAATAGTCACTGGGGCACAGGAAGTGCTGTAATTAAAAGAAAAGAAGTTAAAACATTTAATAAAATTTAATAATAATATATTCATACATCGGAGAAAAATACGATATATGATGTTGACGTAAAAATTACTTGAACAAAGAAATGATGAATTAATCTACATGGAGGCGATCATATATCCAATTAATTAACTATCTACTGCTATTGTTAATTGTATCTATTGTAATTACAATTATGTAATCGATTCATGATCAAACATAATGCAAATTTAGAAAGCAGAAATCCGAACAAACAATACGAATCGCTCCGAACAAGTTTGGATCAACCACAGACCGACACAAAACTGGCTGCAAAGTTTGCAGTGCAAACCATCGATATCGCATCCCCAAGTCGAGCAAGCAAGGCCGCGAGAGTTTATGATAAGAAAGCAAGAGATGCGCAAAGTCAGCGCGTTGACGTCCGGCGACCTTGTGCGCGAATTGCAATAAACACGATACCTGCGAATTAATCTAAACTAGAATATGCGACACATGCGGCAAATGGCTACGGCATGAGAGGATGACAACGACAAACAAAGGAAATCCTCACATTTTTCTCAATTTTCTCATAAACCAAACGCAATAGAAAGAAACAGATTGAATATTTTTAATGTATGGAAAATTTACTACAAGATATCGAAAACACAAAAAAATAATTTATAAGGGAAAATGGGCAAGAAGGGGTACTAAATCATTTTGTTCGAGAATTTGTTACCGTTCGAGGCTAGCGGTAGAAGTGACTCCCATTCAGGGCACCGTACAAGGGCAGCGGCAGATTTGACTCGTGTTCAGGGTGCCGTATGAGACTAGCGGTAGAAATGAGTCCCATTCAGGGCACCGTACGAGGGCAGCGAAAGAAGTAACTCCCATTAGGAAAACATATGTAAGAAATATTTGTTAAACTGATAGCGCAAGCGACCAGCCAATCAAACATTATGAAAGTTTGAAAAATTGTCAATAAGAAAAGACAAGAAAATAATTAAAATACGGATTGTAAAGGTTTTGAAATCGTGTCTAAAAAGGCAAAAAACGTGTACATATTTATTTCTTGAGAGTATACTTCGGTTGTGAAAAAAGAGATACGGAGGAGCAGATTGAAACGCGTCTTTGCAACACACGGTGGAACGTGAAAAAAAAAACTACTTAAAAATTACTAATGTACGACGCAGAAATTAAAACAAAAAATATAATTGAATTATAAACTTACCAATGCAGAACTCATCGGAATCCTAGGCACAGCAAATACTGTAAATAAGAAAGAAAACATAAGTTAAAATATAAATATTATTTAGTAATATTATATTCACACAGCGGAGAAAAAAAACATATGTGCTGTATGATTAAAAGTTACTTACATCTGCACGATAGGTCATCCTAATGATACAGAAATCAATATGGGGGCGATATTTATTTGATTCACCTAGCAACTATTGTGAATTGCAATATACACTTGCCGCGCGATCACAAACCGGTCGGACGATAAACGCGCAAATAGTAAATTATATTACTATAGTGATTACAATTAAATAGTAAAGTGATGATTAAATATATAATACAAACAATACGAGTCGCGTAGAATACGTCTCGATCAACCTGAGACCGGCACGAAACTGGCCGCCAACTGCGCAAGCAACGACGCGACAGTTTATGATAAGAAATCAAGAGATGCGCGAAGCCGGTGCGTCGATGGCACCTTGAGCGCGAATTGCATTTGGCACGATACCTGCAATCAAAACAAAAATATGATGCAGCAAGATGAGGCGTGAGGGGATTGTGTTCAAAACAAACACTATTCTCGTGCCGAATGCTCACGCTTGCCGATAAATATAGAAATAAACAATACAAGTTTATTTTACAATTTTTAGTCCATGCTATTGCTATCTATAAATGATACAGTAGTTTAGAAATTTAGATTAATAAAGGTAATAAAAAATTAAAATTTGATTTGAGTAATTCTGATTTCTTATGCTGACAGATTGCCAAACTTTACATTAAATAATTAAGTGATATTTAATTTGAACATGCATCGTTTCTTGTTTACCAGGTAACACATTAGTCCGTAATCATCTACTGATAATAAAAATGTATTTGAATTAGTATAAAATTGTTAGTTATATTCATGAAAGAATTGAAGAATATTTGCTTAAATTTACAATGCTAATATAATATACAGTAACGGTGTGTTTTGATTCCACGAAATAAAGATTCGATACCTGCAGGTAAACAAACTTATCTCTTGCGCCAAATCGCGTGATCGCACACGGGCACGATGTGCACTCACTACCACCGACAAGCTATATTTAATGCAAAACCGTATATCGTAGTGCCATCTAACCGACTATCTAGTAATGGCAGGTTTAAATTTAAAACACATTTATCAAATATGAAACAAAGTTGATATTGCATGAAAATGCCAGTTATAATGCCTATCAAATCGCAATATTTCTTTAATTTATATTCTATGGTACAAGATAATAATAATATATTCACACATCGGAGGAAAACAAACATTCTGTGCGGAATATCGAAATGGTGAGATAAAAATTACTTACTCAAACACGAAAGCACCTCGTAAGAACTGGGAACAACATGGCAGCAATATGAATTCAATTGATCCAGCGACCCACAACGTCACACAATAACCGACAATAAACCGCAGCATTCTTGTAATTTGAAATATAAACATCAAACGCGAGCAATAAAACATTTACGGACATTAAACGCACAATTAATCATTAACAAAACACAAAAGTCCGATAAAACATTACGCGTCGCGCGAAATACTTCTGGACATGCCAGCGCCCGGCACGAAACTGGCTGCAAACCATCGATAGCGCACGCCGTAGCCGTGCCAGAACGACGCGACAGTTTGTGATAAGAAAGCAAGAGATGCGCAAGCCGGCGGCGCGTCGCTGGCACGCGACCTTGTCCGCGAATTGCAATATACAATGTACCTGCAATAAGAACTAAACTAAAATGTCACATTTTAAATGTGCTGCCAGCGACAATAGGCGAGAATCTTACGCGTAGCACCTCGCACAGCGAATGCTATCGGAATGTTGTTTATACACAAACGCTGATAATAGAATTGTGTTTTTTTCGTTCATTTTAGAAATCATGAAATTAATAAACTTTTGTTGCACCATATTAAAACCTACATGTTTTGATACGAAGTTCAACTATTTCTTTAAAATTGCAAATAGGGCCTAAACGGTTAATGTTAGCAGAAAAAGTTACTAAAATAATCGATGGAGAATTTTATTCTCTATTATAATCCGAAAACAGAACTTTTTTAACATTGACCGTTTAAGCCCTATTTGCGTTTTTAATAAAAAAAATATTTGCTTAATTGTTGCATAATCTAAATACATCGTTTCTCGTTTACCAGGTAACACATTAGTCCGTAATCATCTGCTGATAATAAAAATGTATTTGAATTAATATAAAATTGTTAGTTATATTCATGAAATCTAGAGCTTATTACAAATACAACACTTACTTAGGTTTTTATTCCAAAAGAGAAAGAAAAAGAAGTTGTTTGTCAGAAGTGGGATTCGAACCCACGCCCACAGAAGTGGACTGCGACCTGAACGCAGCGCCTTAGACCACTCGGCCATCCTGACGATGTTCATAAGAAAATTTATTAATAAAATTTTCTATTATCTATATATATAAAAATAAATTGCTGTTTGTTAGTCTCGCTAAAACTCGAGAACGGATGAACGGATTTATCTTCTCTTGGTCTTGAATTATTCGTGGAGGTCTTGGGAAGGTTTAAAAGGTGAGAAAAATTCGAATAATTGCCGGGAAAATCCTCAAAACAGCTCTTTTCTATAGAATAAAATTTGACATTGAGATTCAATCTTAGTTATAGTTAAATAGTTGAATTCGAGATGGCGCGCTGAAGTGCATTAGTGACAAAACTTTATATGCATAATTTCTTTAAATTAAAATTGCTAATCTTATTGATAGAATTGACTCTTACTACGAGTATGTCTAGAACAAGAGAGTAAAAACGAATTACATTTTTATTAAACACTGCCGGAACGAAGTCGCGGGCAACAGCTAGTTATTTATATAAATATATTGTTTCAAAAGTTTGTCATGTTTTGAAAGAATATTCTGAAAGATAATTAAATTCTCTATCAACTATTTCACTAATTATTTTCCTTACATCTACCGTATAGGCCCTATTTACCTTCAAAAACTCAACCATCAACAATAATCCTACTAAAATAGCAATGACAAATACTGCACATTCAATGTACTAAACAAAATACCCACAGAATAATAAAATAGTAATAACAAAGCCGGAGGTGCTTATGGGGAAATTAAAAACCCATCACCCAAACCATACCAGATTTCAATCGTTATTCACTGAATAATGACGCGTTTAAAACCACTCCAATCTATAATTTATTTTTTTCTCGCATTGCATGTGTTGGGCATTGTATAGCACACGCTCGTTTAGTAAGAATTAAACAAATAATATCCGCATGCTGGCGCGGATTAACACTGACTTAGTCGGCCTCACAATTGATGTCGGCTGGGGAATTACGTAATGAGCGTGCCGGCATGTGATCATCTCAATCGTGTTCACTTATTTCCCAGTTATTTAAAAACAAGTGAGCGATGTGTTTACCTCAGTCTGAATAAACAATTCATTCAAGCATATTCACCACAGAAAATTATAAAATTTAAATTTCATAAACTTGAGTACAAGATGGCCGCCATAAGTTTAGTTTCTGTGATGATCATATACTGTGTGTGTTTGGGTGTTTATTGTGATGGCGCAACAACGGTTTCCACTTCAACAATCACCTCAACTCCGACCAGTACAAAGGCTACACATGCATCAACGACAGCTACATTATTAATGACAAGGTCAAACAACGCTGCAAAGATGTCAGCGTCAAGTGCATCAATTGCAAGACAAAACACAAAGCAACCAGCATGTATACCAGTGCGTGTGACACAAAATGGCCGTCATGGAAGTTGCTGCGTGCACTGGGACAACGAAAGTACTGAAGCCTCAAAAGAAACATCACCAAAAGGTGTCGAGGAGGGTTTTGTGCCTGACACACGTATCCTCATCGACACACCGCAAGTTTGCCCTGATGGTCAGGAGCGCGACGTCAACGGTGACTGCGTCTTCGTGTTTAATTGACACGTTATTATTTTACACAAAGAAATAATTTAAATATACAAATGTTGACAATACAATAAACACAGAATATCAATGAGTAAGTGGGGGTGTTGAATTGTTGATATGAGAATGAACAGAGTCGTTTTTTAATCCGTAGATAATTAAATATTTACTTCGTTCAAATGATAATATTGTTTATAAAATTATGAAAACCGTGGGCGGGCGGCGATGGCTCAGTCGAACGGGTCGACACAATCGCCGTTCACGTCGATGACTTGCCCGTCGCGACACCCTCGCGGTGTGTCGATTACTTTCTTACGCAGGTCCGTTTTGGAGAGTGTCGCCGCTGATGTGGAAGACATACTGGAACCGGAAGTTGATGGCGTCTCGGAGATTGATGGTGGAAGGTAAACCGGTGCGGATGTAGCGACACCTGCGGTTGGTTTTTCAGCTTCGTCCCAAATCACGCAGCACTTGCCGGTGCGGCCATCTTTCGCCTCGAATGGCATCATGGTGCACTTCAACGAAGATGCTTTTACGTCAAGAGTCGCAATGATGGCGATTGTTGCAATCGCAAGACACACAGCACGCATCTTATCACTTATCGTGTGTGTCGCTTGTCGTGTGTACAAAAACTCGCAACTGGCTGTGATTGCGTTTCGCGTTGATCTGCTGTTGGTGGACTTATCGTATTTGCGCTGAGTAAAACTCACGCTTTTATAAGTCGCGTTGATGCCTTCGTCGTTTTATGTAATCGCGTGCACGGAGATGGATTCCGTGAGTTTTGCGCAGAGTGGCGATTGTGTTTGCACACTCAATTCAGTAATTGTTGATCTTAGAATTAGCGTGGAAAGTCAACATCTCGACCGCAATTTGCGAACAATCGTGCGATATGATGATATTTGCATCGAACGCACGTCAATACTCAATACTCGACTGGTTAAGTGTATTTGCCGTTGAAAGATGGCGACGTTGATGACTTTGCCAGCAATGGATATTTTTCTTCTTTGGAGATTGGTTCCTTTTTAGTTGTGGTGTTGTTTGATTTTGACCTCGGTGAACGACACCATGGGATTGCCACTTGCTCAGATCCTTTACTCCAACGTCGGTAAACCAAACAATTGAAGAGTGCTTGCAGCGGATTCGTAAAAGCCTACAAAAATATTTTTAGGTTATGTTAGTTTAACAGTACATTATAAACTTACCATAATATACCAAATAGTGATTATAACTCTAACGGGAAGATGAAACCATAAACACCAAAGTAATACAGCATTAATCAAATTCGGTAACCAACAAATATAGAAAACAATGTTAATGACCGCGAATTTGATGCGAAAGGCGTCCATCACATCGCGTTCTCTTCTGGTAAGTTGACCGTAAGATGATGTCACCTCACGTTCCATTCCTTTCATTGAACTTCCATATAACAAAGGATTGGCTATCATTACAGTCAACATTGGAAGATATGTAGCGAGATAATTTGGTAAGATGTGAATGATTGCTGTTGTTAATAACTGTGTTGTTTGGCAACTAAAAGATATAATAAGATATAATGTCATCCATTTTGAATTTGGTACTGATAAGTAACTATACCTTGCATCTGGTAGATACAACATAGACAACCCACTTAACGTGGTGACTGCGGGAATGGTCCATGCAACCAAATGATAATTACGTGTGTTTGCATCGCGATCTGCAAGAATTCTTCGCATGTCTAGGGCGTAACATAATGTCCAGATCCAGGTGGCTGTGTAGAAGTATTGAGTCCACGCCTGAAACATAATAATCCTTACTAATATTATAAATGCGAAAGTCCTGATGTTTGTTATACTTTCACGCAAAAACTACTTAACTGATCATCATGAAAATTTGTACACATATTCTTAGTGGTCCCCGAATGGTTATAGGCTACTTTTTATTTAATAAAAAAAATTATTTTTTGAGTAAAATAAAGAAATAGTTTAGCCAATAATACCTCTGCATCTGGCTATTTGACTACTTTAACGCCATCTAGCATTCCAGCAATGAAGCTCAAACCTAAGTACTATAGTACCATCACACTGTATTATCACACTGTGACTACAGACGCGTAAGGAAGCAACTTCATTATTTTAGATATTGGCGAGCGAAGCCAATGGTTAAAGCTATATATTAATATTTCATTGTAATTTAAGTAAATATTGGTTAAAGATAGCTAAGACGTTAGGCAACTTGTCAAACACAAAATAAAAAGTTATAATAAACCGAGTGTTTGAAATATTTGGATAATTAGGTAGGTATTTACTTACAGATGACAATGCGCAGAATAAAACACTCGAGTTATCATTGATTGCAGGCATGATGGTTTTAGTGTTGAGCCACAACAATGCCCGTACGAACATCCCCAAAGCAGCGAGCAAATCAGCCACTGCCAACCACACAATTATTTTCCGAACACGCGCAGCCGATACAGAAGTCAACCGATGACAATTTGCATACTGACGACGAGGTAATATCTAGATCAAAACAAATGTCACATGTAATAAACATAAACAATAAAACATATTTTATTCTTGAATTTAATTATTTTTAATTATTCTATGCTTACCTGATAAACAGCACCAAAAATACCCAAACCAGAAGCAAACATACACACAATATTATACGCATCCGTGTTAAATTCCATCATAATACGTCCAATTACATCGCTTGAATTATGCGCACCAACAGACGCTGTACGATGACAGCAGAACGTCTGCATCGTCGGGTCCGCCATTTTAAACACTTTTATTTTATCACTTAGACTATGCTCACTTGAACCACCAGCATCAAATGCACATTATGAACTGAAACATTTATTTTAATAGTACAAGCGCATTGTACAATTACAGTTAATCAACTGATTGATTGAAGACGTCTACGAGGCGTTGTGTTGCACTGAATACTGACTGACTGAAAGCCGTACATGTGCAGCAGGCAGCAGCGCTTGGTAGGTTCCGTATCTCGTGTTTCGTGTATTTTATCATTTGTTTACACTTGGCGCACAATTACAGAGTCACAAATGTCACGTCTTTGATAATTCAGATAAGACATCACATATATAAGTATCTAATACGTCATAATTTTCTATGTTTGAATCCAAATAAATACATAAAACTACCCATCGACCATTTTGTTTGTCGATGACGTCATGATTTTATTACTTTCCGTTGTTATTGTGTTGGTTTTATTATTTTTCCGGCGTTGAGAAAGTGAATTACGTCTTCCAGTGGCGCCACCTCTGATACCAGGGCTACTATAACCTAAAAAACAACATTTTATTGATTTAAATCATTTGAAAGCAATAAATGTTATTATAACCCAACCTGAACTTAAGACACTGTCGGCTGGTAAACCGACACGACGCACAGCATCACATTCATCGATGAAACTAGCGCAAACCAATATGGAGGTGATAATAACAAGCAAAAGTATCACTTTACCAGGCTGCCTTGAGCGATGGAAAGTGAAGTTTGCCATTTTTAGATTACGTATGTGCAAATTGACACTTGTGCGACTTTAAGCTTGAGTGCGAACTGCAAACTGCAGGAATTTAACTAAACGCGTGGTTTATTAATCGACCATAGACTAATTGGAGCAATTTAACGCCATTGTCACTCGTTAATTGTTTGTTGAGCTCTTGAACTTGTACAATTGAAACATAAATTAAACGCGTTTGGGTTTTCTAGACCGGATGCGAGTTATTTAGTTGTTTAAAGTTAATTTATTTGATTTTAACACTTTTTTTACTTTTTATTTAGTGAGTCAATTGTTTTGTTACCTAAAAATGACTTGAATTGTTTATTTGAGTGAAAAAAAAACATATAAAAACATTTTAGCCAAAAATAGCGAATATTTTAGGTTATATTTGAATATATGCAACTTTATTTACAAAATCAACACTAATCAAATTGCATAACCAACAAATATTTAATTTTTTATTAAGCAACATAAAACTCTACAATTCTTGGTGCTCAACCCGTGATTCAAGCAACAAATCAGCCTTTTCAAACCATGTTTTATAGATCTTAATAGGATCTACCATCCAATGCTTGTGAAACGACACTGTGTTTGTTTCGTGTGATTTTAAGTAACCCTTGGAGTAATCATTGGGCCGTGCCTATAATACAACACAATAATGATGATAATGTCTCATTTTTAGGTTAAGTATAATCATATAATTACCTGATGAAAAAGTGGCGAGTGTACAATTTCCGTACCCAACTCACGCAGGCAAAAACCTAAGTACATATCGTCTGGGGTACGTGCAGAAGGACATAGGCAATGTGTGGCGAGTGAAGGCAAAAGGCGGCGGCTAATGATCGTCCCACCGCCACCAGTTATATAGTTGTAGCCTTTGTGCGTACGCACACCATAGCCGTAACGCTCGCCAAGTACAATGCTTTCTTCCGGATTGTAACAGGTTAGAAGATTCATCACATGGGACACACTAAAATATTTATTTAAATATTATTATTTTACTTGTAATTAGTAATTAATTACCTTAATATTGTGTCGTCGTCTACCAGCACGAGCCATTTTATTTTGTCACCGCCATTTTGTGTTTCAATTGTGTTGATGTCATTCAACGCGTAACGCAAAATGGCGAAGGTTTTCTCGCAGTGACCAACGTCAGTGTTGGGTATACCAATGTTAACTGTTGGAATTGTACGATCTGCGTGATCGCTGAAATACCGAATATGTTGTACATGAGGCGCCCATGTTGATCGGACTACCCTGAGGCGGTCCGCGTGGAATTTCTTGCAAGTTTTCACTGCAAAATACACTTCTTCTAAGTCCACAGCTGGAGACTATAAATAAATATAAAAATAATAGCTTCAAATGTAGGTTATATTAACATATATTAACACTTACGCATGGTTTGAATGCCTGCGGATAGGTGGCGCACTCTATAGCAGGGCCGGTAGGTGGCGTGGTACAAAAAGTATCATCGTGGGTCAATTCTGTACCGTTTCCTTCATTCCAAATAAACAAAGCAAGTTCATGTGCTGGATCAATATTAAAATCAGTTTTGATGCTTTCTTGATTTAATCTATCATTTAACCTAAAAGTTTTATAATATAAAATTAAATATAAGTTAATTATTATTGCATGTAATGTAGGCTACTTTAATAGCAGTTCTGTAGTCATGTAAAACCCTGACGCCAGATTAGGGTATTTAAAACGTGTGGGATCTTCGTAGAATGCGAAATGATGAATGATGGAAGCTTCGTTGTCGTGTAGAGCATAACCAACAAATCTAACCTAGAAATAATTCATATTACTGCAAGGGAAGACCTAAGATAAATTAAAAATACTTGATGTTGGTATTTAGCAACAACATCAGCAAATCGTCGTAGATCCAAAACCGTGTGATCTTGTAAGAATAATACCCCAGTCGCTTTTGTCTGGTGTACCTCCAGAAGTGGTGATATTAGTGGAAGAAAAGTCCATGCGCCCACGTGTGGGAAATCCAGGTGTGAGATGTGTACCACTGGACGAGCCTGTATAAAAGAATTTGATTTGTTTTTTGTTTGTTTTATTTTTTTCAGTTTGTTTTTATTTTGTTTGTCTGCAGTGCAGATTAATCCTGCGGTGGGTGGATGATGGTGATGGTGGTGGTTGTGAGAGTTGTTAAAAGGGATGGGAGCGAGGGGATGATGTCCCACCGATTACGGTGATAAACGAGCGCGATTTAATGTAAATTCCGTGCACGTATCGGCGATTAAGATAAACTATTCGTGTTTTTGGGCCAATGAAGGGACATCGCAGAGTTTGGGGAATAAAAAGTGATAAAAAACAACAGAATGAAATAAAAATAGTAATAAATTAAATTAGGAGTTATTTTTAGGAAGAAACTCCACCCCGTGACTAAAGTCCATGATTAAAGTACTTCAGCCACGGCCTTCGCATTTTGCATCTCAAAAACCATGAAAAAAACGCGTTTTTAAGATGGAAGTAAAAAAAAATTATTTACCTGAGATATTTTATCAGCATGTTCATAAATTTCTTCCCGCAACTTCATAGCCTTAACATGATGATAGGAATTTGATTGGCTGATGATCACAATAACCAATGATCGAATACGTTCGTCTGTAACAAAAGAAGTTTAAGAAATATTTAAAAGTTTATGTTTTTTTCCTGTTTTGATGAATTTTTGTCTTATTATTTTTGCTGATCGATGCACTTAGGGTAAAACAAGTGCCGCGCTGCACCACCAGCCGCTTTGTTTGTTTTTATTATGCTGGGTACATACTCGTACACTTCATCGACACTTTCGCAATAAAAGCGCGCAAAACAACGTAAAATGTCATAGCATGATACATTGCACAATGTTATCTTCCTCATCTTCATCATCCTCGAGGAAGGCGGAAATTGTAAGATGCACTTTGGTGAAAAGTGTAACCTGTGTGGTGTGGAGAATAAAAACACCGTTAAAATAAACAAGGAATTTTGGGTCCATGACATTGCGTAAACTTCATCTTGTGAGATGTCATTTGAGAACAGGAAGTACACTACTTTTATACTCTATAAACATTAGGTACTTTAAAATACAAAGTAGGTACTTTAGTCACGGCCTTAGTCGTCCGTGTTTAAAGTACCACTTTTTGTGTCTCAAAACTGTGTATAAAACACGTAGATGATGCTTTAGTAGAAAGCTAATCATGAACTATAAATATTTATTATACGAGTATAAACGAACAATTATGCATAAACATGTAATTGTTCTGCTTTTTTATTGGATTTTTTGAGTAAATAAAGAACACAACCGCAAACAAGTACCAAAATTGTCTAGGTACTGAAATAGAGTAAAGAATAACGTAGGAAGAAGAACGCAAGGCAACCCAAGCACCAAGCTTATTGTGAGGTAACAATGTGTCACATAATTTAACTACTTTTGGCTTCCTTGCTTGCTTTACACACTTACTTACACTTACAAGCTGTTCTTCCATTTATCCCCTGTGTTATAAAGCGTCATTTTGTTATTTTTTGTGTGTTCCTTTTTCTTTCATCAAGGTAAATTTAAGTTATATTTTAGATACTCGCGTGTTTTCTAGCTATTTATCTAGTTAGCATTATATAAATTTATTTTAATTTTTTTCTATTCAAATAACATCAAATAATACAATTTTATTATGTATAATACCAGTAAATTGTTCATTTTCTAAACTTGTAAGTGAGTGCAAAGTGTGTAATTTTCAAGTTTTCCATAAGGATTTCCCAGTGTATGCAAGACACGCGCAAGAAGCGTTCGCATGCAAATTGCTTTCTTACCGTAGAAAAAGATGTGCAGCGCGTGTAAGACACCAAAGTATTCACTGCGTCCGCAAACGACTAGCGGTAGTTCAAGGAGTCATCTCGAACCATTTACAACTTACACCCGTTTAAAATACTTCAAGTTTATTGTTAGTGTTTCAAAAGCTTTTAAATTTATTTTAACATTAAACTTTATTTATACGATTCGTACGATCCAATTTCTGGACTTTATATTTTTTTAACATCAATTATTTTGATGTAGATTGATGAAGAAGGAAAACACATGCAAAAATAAGAACAAATTTAATATTACATGATTACAAATGTATATATTCCGTGAAAATTGCCAATGTAAGTATTAGTGCAATTAGATTTAGCACTGAAATTTAACGCCACATTTGAAATGCAAAATCTTTTAAACTTTTTAAACTTCCGCGCTTCGTGCAGAAGCAAGCAAGCAGAAAGAAGGCAAAACGATGAGTAAGAATTTGCTAACCGCAAGGGGGATGATTTTAAATGCTCCGAACGTTTACAATTCGCACCACTTGCACCACGTTCCACGCCAATAAAATTCTAATATTATTCGCATTTTATTAGCCGCTCATTCGGTGGCAAATGCCCGAAAACCACATGGATTACGTATAATGCGAATATTAAGAAAATTACACGTGTCCGCTTCATAAATGTCATATTTTAATATTTAATTTTAATTTTAATTTTATATTAATCACATCATTTAATTTTTGAAATATTTTTGACATTTATATGTTATATCAACTAGTTTTAACCCGCGGCTTCGCTCGCGAATATCTAAAATAATGAAGTTGCTTCCGTACGCGTCTGTAGTCACAGAAGAAGTAACAATGAAGTAGAATGGCGGGAAGTTTAAAATGGCTGAAAGTATAGTCTATGGAAGTATAGTGGACAGTCTCCATAGTGTAGTCAATTGGATTTGATGTTGACGTAGCTGTCGGTAATACAGTGTGATAATACAGTGTGATGGTACTATAGTACTTAGGTTTGAGCTTCATTGCTGGAATGCTAGATGGCGTTAAAGTAGTCAAATAGCCAGATGCAGAGGTATTATTGACTAAACAATTTCTTTATTTTATTTAAAAAATATTTTTTTTTATTAAATAAAAAGTAGCCTATAACCATTCGAGGACCACTAAGAATATGTGTACAAATTTTCATGATGATCAGTTAAGTAGTTTTTGCGTGAAAGTGAAACAAACATCCGGACTTTCGCATTTATAATGTTAGTAGGGATTTAAGTAGTAAACTAAGAAGTAAACTTAATATAAAAACACAAAAATAACTTAAACTCCCAAAAAGCAACGATGGAACAAAACTATCCATCCTTGGTCCACTACAAACCATTAATATTCTAAACGTTTAATTTATAAGTGAATTTGCAGCAAATTACAATCCGCAAACTGCAATTAAACTCAGCTTTGCATATTTACTCAAACCGCATTTGAGTAAGGATTAACGTCGTTCAAATTCCTACTTTAAACTTTTCAAAAACATTTATTCCTATTGTACTCGTACACTATTTACCTTTAAATGATATAAATCTACTTTTTGATTATTCTCTGCATTTTCTAAGGGTTTGTAGTAGTAATAAATTTGGCATCAAATTTGCTTGCATGAGGTCATGTTTCATGGGTGTGTGGTGCAACATTCTGCCGCCGACTGTAACTGCGTCCATCCTCAACCCGCACATTCTTCACGACCACATTGCGCTCACACCCTTGCGCCCTCTGAATCCGGTTGCGTTCTCTTTGCGGTTTTGCGACACGCGTTTCGAACAAGTACGATTACAACAATTCAGTAACACACTATGCTTGGTTAAGTATCTAAAACCGCTAATGTCTGCATGTGTGGGTGAGATAAACATTTCTAACTAAATAAAAACATAGAAGAAACTTTTGTATTGTAAAACATCGAATTTCGTTTGCACACTACTGGAAAATGGCATTTTAAATGGACTTGTGCTGAACTGTAGGCTAATGCGCAGGCGCAAGCTCCACCCCGTGACTATAGCCCGTGCCTAAAGTCTTTTATTCACCATTTTGGCTGTCTGTGTTTAAATTACACTTTTTTTGTTTCAAAACCAAGGAAAAACGCTTTATTTTAACGTAATTTGCTACTGCTTGTCTCTAAATTCGTTTGCCCTACGAAATTGTGAAATTAAATGAGTAAGCATAAATAAAATGAGTTGATAATGTGTATTTTTAGCTTCAAGTGTATTCAAATGAATCAGTTAACTCAAATTAATTAAGTTATACTGTTCCGCCGACAAAGTTTAATACGCACACAATAATTTATGGCGGAATTATTCAAAAACATGTGAGTGGAATGGAATTAAGCAGGCAGACAGGAGACAATTAAGTTGCACAATTAAGCGTGAAACTTAATTCACAAGAAGCATGTACAAACTAAGAGACATGTGACAGTTATGAATTATAAATAGAAGCGGCGGTTTGCAGTCGTCGGAAAATTCTATTATTTCAATTTCCAAATTGTAAAATAAAACAAATAAATCAAGCGTAATCCCTCACAAACACGATAAAAACACGATAACATGAAAAGATAAATAAAAAAAGCAAGAGAAAAATTTGAATAAATCCAATTATCACGCATTTCCTTTCATTTGTTCCTTTTATTTTTAGATGTTTTGATCTAGTATTACTAGATTGATGACTAGATTATTTATTATGATGTTAAGTTGAGTGTATCTCATTAAATATTTCGATTATTTTCCTTCAGTTTCAAAGTGGGTGCGAAACTTTGCGCATTGAGTTTCGTGCTCGACTGCAATTTAGTTTGATGTTGCTTTTGTATGTGATTTTAATGGCGGCGCGGGCATGAAATTGATCGAACGCAATCGCGGTTTAAGTGCTCCCATCGATACTGAACGCGATAGTGCCGCAACCAAACCAAGCGAAAATTATGTTATTCTATACAACCTATTAACTATTCCATTATCTGTTCATAATTATAACAAAATAATAAACCCGCTAGATATACTTCTACATCCAGAAGAAGTAAAAATGTTTGAGTTAGGAATAAATCACAGAAAAAGAATGAGAATTAATCATAAAATAGCAGAGGCCGTGACTAAAGGACTTAAAGTACCACTTTTATAAACGGCTCTGCGGTCAAGTGAATCTCAAGTGATATTTCCTTATCCTGAACAATATCAGGGTCCAATTTTAATTTTTAATATTATAAAGTGGTACTTTAAACATGGATGTGACTAAAGTACTTTAGTCACAGGCTTTAGTCACGGGTAAATGTATGCTTATAGTGTATAAAAGTAGTCTACTTCCTATAATATAATTTTTAATATATTTTTCGACAAAAAAAAAGTCTTTTTAACGTGTTTTTAATGCTTTTTCAAAGATATTTGACCATATCTCACAAATTAAAAAGAATTTCTTAGCATTTTCATCATTATTCTAACAAGAAAGGTCTACTATTCCTTATAGAATACGCGACAACCCTTAATATTACTTAGAACTACCCTAAAACCACCTTCAATTATATCACGACCCAAATTTAATAAAAACATACCCGTCCCAATTAAAAACACGCAGTAAAATCAATGTTTTACATAATGTTTGAAACCCCCTCACATGCCAAACATAATTTGAGCAAATTTTTCCAAATCCCTGCTTGTGTTTATATTGCAAACGCGGATAAATGTCAATTAATGACGAATGAAGAGTCAGCGGATTACGCCCCACTCTACGAGTTGCGCCACATCAGCGCAATTCACCCGGTGTTGTTGCGCCAACCTCGTTAATCAAGGGCGCGCAGTGAACACAGAACGAAGCGTTGTGATAATTGTCAGCACACGATGACGTCAACGACGCGAGCGAAAATCATAATGGAAATACCCTATAATCAAATCATAATCACGTTGCTTTAATTACAATTAAAATTTATACAATTATACGAAACAAATAAATCATTAAAATACTATAATGAGCGCAATTCGTTTATTTTTGATTTTGATTTGCGCTGTGTACGTGTTTGTTGAATCCGGCAACGGTTTCAATATTGCATAGAGAATTTGATGTATGCTGATGCAATGCGCGACGCCGGCATGCATTTTATTCAATTTGTACACGAATCGATACGCCGAATATATCGTGACTTTCGCGCTGCCACCATTCGAAAGACACACGTCCGTAGGGCTGGGATTAAATTATGCACGAGCTACGTCGTCATTCATGATGCAACGAATTAATGTTGATGTTAATCAAGCTCATTGCATTCCTAAACATGGTTGAAATTGTTTGATTTTGTAAATTGAGTAGAAATTTGATTTTTGAATAAAAATTCGATTCAAATGTCGTGCTTGCTGGATTGTCGAGGGAATGGTTGGTTGGGTTGGTGCTTGGTTATTTGTCTCACGTAGTTTATAATCCGTTGATCAAGTTCGACGCGCCTTCGACGCACGCCGCCGGCGGATAACTCGTCGGGGCGCACTAAGGACTACGGACGCCGCATGAAGGACTAAGCCCTAGGCTCGCGTACTAACCCGACTATCGCTCCTCGCTGGCGCGGCTCAACGAATCCAATCGAACAGCGAACACCCCCGCAATGCTCAATCCGCGGACTAGGAGTCATGCTAGAGAGTTTCCCAAAACACTCTTACGGTTATACTTACCTATTGAAATATTTAATATACAATGCGTTTGTGTTTTAAGCCGAAAAGAAAATTTATTGAATCAAAATTTGATTTTTTTTGATTTTTTTAACTTTCGACGTTTTTTTCACGGTTTTAAGATATAAAAATGGTATTTTAAACACGGGCGTGACTAAAGTACTTTAATCACGGGTTTTAGTCACGGGGTGGAGTTTGCGCCTGCGCATTTGGCAAAATTATATCTTAATCATCACAAAAATGCATAAAATGAAAAAAAACTTCCATAAATACTTTCCAAATCATTATTTTTGAATCTAAAAAGAATACAACTATAAACTTATCCTCGTATTGCACTTAAACAGTCGTGATGTCAAGACGTCCGATCACAATTCCTCTTCGATCGGATCTCACGATATCACGCGTTCGTCCTCGAGCCCTGAAAGCCTTTCCTTACATTTTATACGTTTTCTATTTATTTTATTTTATTCCTCATATATCTTTTTCCTTTTTCTTGTTTCTATCTAGCTTTATATCCGCTTATTTCGTGTGTTCCTCATCACATCGCATCCGCAGGTTTTATTTATGTTGCGTTGCGTTGTGATCTCGATTGCTTTATATTTTTTATATATCAGTGCGTGGAAAGCTATCAGAACGATCACGAACAATACGACCAGCGATCAAGACTATCAGGAAACTTCCAGGCAAACTGATGGGCGATTGTAATATCGCGCCGCCAACCGGTGGTTTCGACAGGACACGTGGCAGGAACCATCGACACAGCTTTCCGACAGGAACTTGCCCGGCGATGACAAATGCCGGAGGCGATAAATTCTTCATATTTACGCTTAAAGTTATTCTTTTTCTTTTTGTAAAAAAAATTTTTTTGCGCAATTAAATTTGTTTCTTCTTGTTTCATCAATATTTTCAGTAAAATTGAAAATAAAATCAAATTTATTTTAAACTAGCTGTTGCCCGCGACTTTGTTCCGGCAGTGTTTAATAAAAATGTAATTCGTTTTTACTCTCTTGTTCTAGACATACTCGTAGTAAGAGTCAATTCTATCAATAAGATTAGCAATTTTAATTTAAAGAAATTATGTATATAAAGTTTTGTCAATAATGCACTTCAGCGCGCCATCTCGAATTCAACTATTTAACTATAACTATGATTGAATCTCAATGTCAAATTTTATTCTATAGAAAAGAGCTGTTTTGAGGATTTTCCTGGCAATTATTCGAATTTTTCTCACCTTTTAAACCTTCCCTAGACCTCCACGAATAATTCAAGACCAAGATAAGATAAATCCGTTCAGCCGTTCTCGAGTTTTAGCGAGACTAACGAACAGCAATTCATTTTATATATATATAGATTAAAAAATCGACAAATGACGATTGCATGACGATTTCTTAACGTCTAAATATTTATATAAAACACGTTACCTGGTAGAGTGATATTTTTATTTTGTTTGCTTTCACTCTGACAGTGTCGAATCGCAAAAAAGCGAAGAAAGCTTTGTGAAAGCCGGAAAATCCCAAGGAGTCGAAAGCTCGAGCGCGCGCGTTGCATTAACATAAATTATGCACGAATCCAAACGCAATTTTCGATTGCGATTACGCCGAATGCAGAAATAAAGGTGGCAAGCACGCAAGGTAAACGTGTATTGTACCAACCGTGGAAACACAGCACAGTGGAAAACAAGATAATCAGAATTTAGTGTTGGCGCGCTGAAGGTAATGAAATTTTTATGAGACAAAACACAAGACGCCGAAATCAACAAAGAAACATCTAAGAAACATTGAATAAAATAAAATAAAATAAAATAAACAAATTTATACATAAAAAAAACATTAAAATTATTAACTCACCTAATAATTGTTGTTCTTCATCGTTTTTCAATACATCAGCAATACCAATCTCCAAGAAGTAGAAACTTACGCAGAATAAAATCAAAATTTTACTTCGTGACATTTTCACTGTCATTTTGGAAAGTTGTATCAAACTGTAATAAATATTACTGACATTATTATTACAATTTTGCAAATACTAATAAATTAAACTTGTTTCTAGGTGCAGGCAACGTTTTTTGATTTTTATTTTTTATTTTATTTTTTTGTGTTTGTCTAGTTTTCAATAGTTGAAAAAGTGCCCGCTGGCATTTTTCGCAGCGATGAAAAATTGCCTAACGAGTTTGGAGTGTCGGAACTTTTATTATAATGCGAGCGCGCGCGCGTTTGCAAAAGTTTGTAGGCGCTCTCGCCCGACGCGAATTTCCCGCAGCGTGCCGGAACGCGAGTGGCGCGATAATAAGGGTGCTTGTAAAACGCCGCAGACGCCAGCGAAGCCAGCCAGCCAAACCTTCGCGGCGCATTCGCAACAATCGCGCATGATCTATTTCCAGGCATTTGGCATATGGAATTCACGTTGCATTCCTGGATACCATGATTCACATTTCAATTTCATATTTTTATATTATTTGGGATGTTGTAGAGTGTAATATAAGTTATTATATAATAAATATGTAAATGTTGATTTCTCTTTGGTTGAATAATGAAATAAAACTTGTGTTTTGTTGTTTAAAAGATTTGTTTCTAATGATTTGCTTCAATAACCTAAAAAGGTGTTTGTTGGGTTGCCTACATTTATACAACTTTTACTATGAAAAAACTAATGTTTTGAAGATAAAGTAGAAACCTGTAATGAAATTAGCTCTTGTTATGTCAACGATGTATATATTTTCAATTTCTAACTAATTAAAAGCAAGTAACTAACTTGTAAACATTTCCGTTCTGTTTTTGCTCGATTTTTCCATCGTGAGTGTTTAACTGTTTATGTTTGGAAAGTAATAGTTACACTCAACAAAAGTTTCCGCTCTTCCAACAAATTAGCTTCTTAATTTGAGTTTCCCAGCGTCTTCCACTTCGAGCTGGCTGAGTTGGCTTCGCAGTTCATGCACGTTTTTGTATCTATTAGCATGGTTCGTCGTTTGTTTCGTAAGTACATCTTGCGTACGCATTACTATTCAAAACGCAAAACCCTGCCTTCATTTAGTTAATCGATTGTACCCAGCGCACAAACTTTCCTAGTTTCGCGACTTCAACCGTGAGTTTAAAAGGTTGCTTAATTTGTTTTACTCGATTTAAAGCGTTTAGAAAGTTTGATAAATAAACTTACCATCGAATCATTGTCTCAACTCATTGTCGTATTTTATTTTCACAAGAAAACAAACGCAAATAAAACAAACAAAAAAACAGTTGAATATTGAGTGATTACATGACGAATGTAGTCAACACAACGAACACAATTTTAACACTACTTAAATTAAAATGAGGGCACGGAAGCGATTTTATCGAAAACAGAAGCGAACTCATCGTCTGTTTCTAGTAACTACCACGTCGTATAAAATAACAAACCGGGAGGAATCCCACATGACTCCCACGCGAGAATTCCAAACCTGATTGTCAAGTTGCGCAGCGCTAGAATCAGCTGTTCTAAGAAAAGCACATTCTCGCGTTAATATAGGCAACTTATTCAATTATTTTTACAAAATTGGCGTAAAATAATTATAAATGTAATTTTCATTATAAATTATTATAGTTTTAAGTAAAACAATTGATTTTTGTTTTATTACGCGTTATTTCCAAATTTGTAAATATTATTTTAGAAAATGTGATGTAAACGTAGGCAACCCAACATACATCAATTTAAAGATGTCTGCTCACATTTTGAATATTAATCATTAAAAACAAACAAAATGTTTGAGAATGATATGAAATACGAATAAATGCAATCACATTTAATCAAATCAATAACAATAGTTTTCTTACAAACTAAATTGTACTTGTAAGTCCATACCGTTCGATCGTAAATAATGTAAAAATGCAAGTTTCCATAATATATGAAAATCGAAGATAATAATCTATGTATAAATATAAATGCGATAATCTAAATCAAGAAACAGTTAAATCCATTCTACTGGAAATAAGTAAATAATTTAAGTACAACTGGTGCAAGCCATGATGTCCTCCTCCTGACCTTTGACTAATTGACCATCATCATTGTAAAGAAAAAAAAAGGGGAAACACCAAACCTCAACTCAACTCATAACCTCAATTAAAACCATACCATCGTAACTCACGTCATCACAACAAATACCTAAGATTATTTCGTCTTTTTGTGTGTGGCCGTCATTTGTGCTCAGTGTGCTGGTCGCCTGCAAACAATCACAACTTGCAGAGGCAAAAGAGGAACGGTACAAACGCGCCGAGCGCGATGAAAATCGGCAGCATTGCCGAGGAATCATCCAGAGTGTAAGGATCAGGCATTTTCGGCCCACTCGGCCGGCGATTCTTAGGCACAAAATCATCATCGTCTTCTTTTTTCTTCGGCCAGTCACTCTGCATTGGCTCTGGTTCAGCCAACGTCTGCAAACGCGGAACATGCTCCATTTTACCTTTTATCACGAACATCGCGTTGATTTTCGGGTTGTCTTTGAATCCTTTGATGAATTCCACACGGATTTTATTGCCACGTATTTCGGAATCTTCACCACTATAAAATAGGCGACCTAAAACATAAAAAAACATTTATTAAGTTAATTTTAATTAAAATTTTAATAATTTTTTACCTTTGCTTATAGTAAATGGAATGTATTCATCATGAGCAACGCCTCGTCCGACTTTATCATAAATGTCTAAATCACTGATGATTGTGTGTTCCCCATTGAGCATGACATCAAACACCTTTTGATCCGGAGCAGCAAAATACACCTCGCAGAATTTCAGCACCAAAACATAATCTCCATCCGAAGTGATCGGAATATCATAACCAAAAGTATTGGTATGATATCGCTCGGTTTGATACAAAATATTATCGTTTGGATGCACGCGTCCGATGGAGAGGCGTTTACCATAGTCTGAGGATATACCAATGCGTGTGTGAAGAGGATCACGCTCGTAGTGGACGCCGTGGACGTCGGTGTGCGCGTCGCCGCCGCAGTTCACCGCGTAGATGACGTTCTTCATGCTGTTGGCGTACGAGATGAAGCAGCAGAAGAGGAAGTAGTTGACGAAGAGGTGGAAAGTTGTCGACGACGACAGGCCGTGGCACGAGAGCAGCATTTTTTTACAATTTGTGTGGATTTTCGGTGAGGTGATGATGTGTTATAACCCCATGTAGATGTAGGTAATACTGATTTATGCTGCTGTGTTGTTGAATGCGTGTGTTGGTTTATCTTTATCTCATTGTGATTTTTGTTGTAATTGACGTGGTTTGTAAGGTGGTAATGATGCGCGAGCCGGGTTATTGCAACGCGACGACGGCGACGGCGACGACCACGACGACTTGCGCTGCGCGTGGACTGAAAATCATTATTGGTTGTTTGTGGTGGTGACTGTGGGGAATTGCGTGCGGTGACATTTGGAATGACGCATGACGTTGAATGTCATTCAAGTATTATACCATGCGTTCGTAACTCATAAAGCTGTAAAGTACAAAAATATTCGTTTAATTTTGATTACTTGGATTTGAATTAACTGTTATACTTATCGAAAATAGTTGTTGATTTATTATGTTGGTTTGTTTTATTGTTTGTGTAAAAATTGAATAATTTAAAAGTTATTTGAGTATTATATACATATGGTATAGTTTTGTGCCATGTGTAAAATAAGTTGCCTAATGTTTCACATATAAATTTCTTTCTTTGCATATTTTGCTTCATATTACTTGAAATGTTTTTAACTATGAAAAGGCAAAAAATAGTGTTCCGCAGTCGGTAGGATTCGAACCTACGCTCCCAGAGGGAATCTGATTTCTAGTCAGACGCCTTAACCGCTCGGCCACGACTGCTTATCGCTGCATGAATCAAGAACAATTGATGCATTTAATTTTTGCTTACTTTGCTGATTACGATTTGCACATTTTTGTTTAATAAGCAAATATTTAATAAACAGATATCAGCTTATTTCTCATAATTTAAAATGCATAATTAATGCAATTACTTCTGATTATCAGCAGTCGTGGCCGAGCGGTTAAGGCGTCTGACTAGAAATCAGATTCCCTCTGGGAGCGTAGGTTCGAATCCTACCGACTGCGCGAACATTCATTCTTTTAAACAACCTAGTATTATCTATATATATGTCGGATACACCTCCTCCTCAACTACATTAACAACATTCCAATTCAAATTACGCGCCATTTATTACAAAGTATATCTTAAATTAAACAAAGCGAATTGAATCGGCGTAACGGGATGAGTTCTGCGCTTTTCTATAGAAAAAAAATTGACATTGAGATTCAATCATAGTTATAGTTAAATAGTTGAATTCGAGATGGCGCGCTGAAGTGCATATTGACAAAACTTTATATGCATAATTTCTTTAAATTAAAATTGCTAATCTTATTGATAGAATTGACTCTTACTACGAGTATGTCTAGAACAAGAGAGTAAAAACGAATTACATTTTTATTAAACACTGCCGGAACGAAGTTGCGGGCAACAGCTAGTCCTTAATAAATTTAATATCAAATGCTCTATGTTTACTTAGACGCATGCGCATATTTTTATATATCCGATTGTAAAATAAATAATGATACAAAGTGCGAATTATAATCAAGGTCAGCTAAAATTTTCCATTTCCGATATCGCACACGCATTCACAACAAAAACTAGTATTAATAGCGCACACAGATCGTTATAATTTTCAGTTCGCAATTTTCCATAATTAGTGTGTTGGACGTTATGCAACCAATCATACACCATTTTCCTAACCACTATATTTATACCTAACAAAATATGACATTGAGTTTCCAGCAAAAAAGAATATTGACGGTTAGGTCGGTAACAAAGGAATCTAGTTTATTAATCAATTAACAACAACAACGTCGACGCAAATCACAGCAATTTCGACATGAAAAAAATCAACAAATCATTAAACCAACAAATTAACCCATTCAAATCCATTTATATACAGGATACTAACAAATAAAAACAAAAAAAAAAAAAAAAAAAATTAAAAAGTTACAAAAATATCAAAAGTTTGTTTAAATAATAATAACTTATTAATAATAATAATAACATAATTATTGTAATTAAACTTACTCCGCGCGATGAGCCACAGAGATCACATTAAAGTATGTGAAACAAATAAATAATTGTCACGCTGCGACATTAAAACGTCTGGAGCAATGAGCGATGACGAGAATGTTTATTCTCCATTCTCGACGTTTATAATTCGATAAGGATTGCGTTGATAAGAGCGGAATTCATACAATTTACACACATATACAGTGTGCAAAAAATCCAACTTAAAATCTCGTTATTTTCTAATGATTTACCTCGAGATATGTATTGTATCACCCTGTGTATAAGATTCGTACACGAATGTGATGGCTGCTACACATGTACGTAATGTAATAAATGTTTATGCATTTAATAAAAGTCGTCGAGCGTCGAGTTCACTCGGCATATCATCGCGTTGCGCGGTGTTGATCGGACGCTCGAGATTTTAGTCTCGCGAAAGTTTAAAACTTTACTTTTTAATATAACATCGTGTGAAAACCTAAAACATAAAAATTAGTGTATTAAAAGTTGCATAAGTATGATTTTCAAGTGAAAATATGAAAATAAAGTTAAAAAATTAAAGAAATAGTGAGATATGTTTGATACTTAACCTACAAAGTGCTTGTTATCTCCGTGGGTTGTATTCCGTTGAGCGTAGATAGAAAGATAGCCAATTTTCCAATTCACTCCCAATTGCAAATTGACAATTATCCCTATCTGTATGCGCGTGCGTGTGTGATATGTCTGCGCACGAGATGGACGAGCGACAGTTGCTGACAAGCGCGCCTGCGAACCCGCCGGTGCGTATCCTGCAATTCAACGCCACTAAACGCCACCCCTTGCAACACCAACACCAGCGCCCCCTAACAAACGGTTCCGCATCTAGTCATAGCCTACGTGATACTCTATTAAAAAGTGCTAGTTTTAACAGTAGTTCGTTTCATCCAAAACTGCACACTCATCATAATAATAATGCGCGTGCGTATTCATCGGGTGCACCCTACGACTCGTCTACATCTTCGGGTAGTCCGGAAAGTCCCGATCTAAGACCGATTTCACCACTGTCATTGTTACCAGTGGCTGCGTCAGCGAGTGTGATTAATAACAATTTCCACCGCGCGCAAGTGCTGCCCAACGGTAAGAAGATGGATCTACGGCTGGATTTGCCGCAGGGTTATGGAGGTTATCCGCCGATGACACACACGAATAGCTTTAAAATGGTGCGGAATTATAATTGTGATGGCAGTCCGAGTTGTTCGGGATCGCCGGTGCCTTTTCTTACGCGGCCTTCGAGCGCTAGTAATGTTTCGCGACTGTTTTCGGATGCTTCGGCGAAATCCTGGACGTCGGTGGGGATGGGCTCGACGGATGGGCGGAAAATGATTGTGAGGAGAGTGCCTACATCGCCTAATGAATTGTTTAATATTGTCAATCCAGTTACGTGAGTATTAAACTGATTTTTTTTAATTTTTGTCATAAAAATCACAGATAAAGTTAGGTTATGTTAGGTTATGTAATGTAATGACTTTGAATGAATGTGTTTGGGTTTGCTGATGAATACTAAAGTGTGTATTTATTAATAATAAATTATTTGGGCGGAAATAGCCGGTTTGTAAACCGCAGATAAATAAAATAATGTTTTGTTTATTTTAAAAATAAAAAATTGAGGTTAGAGTTTGTTTTGATCGTGATTTTGTGTTTGTTGGTCATGCAGCGTTTGTAATTTTGTTTTTCTAGTTGTACCCACGCTAAACAATTGCGAATGTTGTCACTGGTGTTATTAGCGTTTTAATTGTTGGCAACGAGTCGTGCACTTCGAGTCGTGCGACATTCATTGAAATTACATATGCTTTAAAGGCTTTAAATTCATTTTCATTCATATTCTTAACAACTTAAGTTAAGTTAAGTTAAGTTGACTTAACTTAGTGTGGTTTATTTATTTGTAAAATTGATAAAAATTGTTTTGTTACTTTTTGCACTTTGTGATCAGGATGATTTCCGGTTCACATAAAAATTTATCGTACGATGTGTGTGGACTGTGAGTGTGTCATTTATGTAAACAGCGATTAAATGTTGATCTTGTCATTGGGTCTATAATTAATTTACGTCTAGTTTTTCTATAGTTTTTTTCTATTATTTATTTTTATTTTTTATATGAATGAAATTGGGTGATTAATGAGAAATTTATGAATCACTGAAGGTGGAAACTTCGAAGAATTTCTTAGATAATGAGATATCAAATGTCCTTCTAGAGATATCCTTTTATTTTATTTTTAAGATTAGTTATGCGTAAGTAGGTATAAAGTTTATAAACCTGTTTATCGGAACATTCGTACTCGTAACGTAGTCATTCAGTTCTATAGGTTTACCGCGAATTAATTTATTGTTGTTTGCGTAAATCCGCTAATTTCTCACTATTGAATTGTTATAATTGGTTTATTAAGACGTTTACGTCAATTTTACGACTTTATGCTACACTGCAGTAATTGAAATACGAGTATAATAGTATATTAAGTATGTAGTAGCTAAACGGTACATTAAATATGGTCTTGTGCTGCACCGTAGGCAAATGCGCAGGCGCAAGCTCCACCCCGTAACTGAAGCCTGTGACTAAAATATTTTAGTTACAGCTTTGGTCATCCGTGTATAAAGTATTACCTTTTTGTGTCTCAAAATCGTAGAAAAATAGGCGCTTTAAAGGTGGTAGTTGAAAATGGATTGAAAACATTGGTTCAGTCATTTCCTCATTTCTCAGTTATAAAAAATTTATATACACTGATAATTTTAAGAATAATGGCCATGGTTTCCAAACAAATTAGTTAATTAAATCTAGGTAATTACTTTATTGCAACATTTACGACATTTTTACGACAGTATAACTTTAATTTCAATTTTATTAACTTGTAGACAAGAATTTGTATTGTTTTTATTAAGTGTTTCAATACTATTTAGTTTTTTCTTACATTTTTTATTATTTTATGATTTTATTGCGTTTTGTGCGTATTTGTATCTTCGTATCTTTATAAGAAACCATGACACACATTCTTCCTACACCCGTCTAACAGAACACAGTAGAAATGTGTAAAGTAAATAGAAAAGAAATTTAACAATTTGGCAAATATTTTTTACGTAAATAAATAATAAAATATTTGACAGTAATAAATAGGTGCAACGTGATTCTTGTTATTTGTAGAGACATTTATTTTATTGTAATGAGTCATTGAAATCACCCACGGAATAAATTCAACGATGTTTATCGAAGTTTTATGGCTTTTATAACTTTTCGGAAATATAAATCATAGTTTGACATTTAAATTGCTAAATTTTTACGTCCAGATGTAGGAATTTCGAATGACAGTAAAAAACTAGCGTTCATTCAACAAATATTTAATTCATTCATAGAATTCACTAAATTCATAACACACAATAAACATCCAAATGTATCTAGATTATATTCATCTACCTATTCATAGGTACAAATTATTTATTACTACCGTGTTAGAGTGAAAGTTTACCGAATTAAATTTGAATAATTTTTGACATTCACATGATCACATTATTGCATTAACACGTGTATGAAGCAAAATGATTAAAAACTAATCACACGGACGGGACGGGAATGTAGTTTAAACTTAGCACTCATAGTCTAATTGTTTGATATGTGTGTGGATGTGTTTAGTAATTTTATTTTAAATATGTGCGTGGTCATGATTTCGATTAAAATTTTAATTTTAATTTTAAATTATACGTTGCTTAACACCTCTTTGTTTTATATTAGTTTACAAAAACATTAACAAAAACTTAATCTGACAGTAAATTATAATTTTGAGAAATAACTCGTGTATTTTATTAGATTGAAATTCAAGAACATCGTGTTGATTTGTTTATAATTGTAAAATATCGTGTTCTGCTTAACATTTGAACAAATTTTAAATTTTAGAGATGATAACTTGAGATTTTATTATTTATGACGTTTTATGATGAGAGAATTACATAATCATATTAATGGCATATTGAAGTGTTTTGAGGTTAATCTTTTATTGTAATTTTAATTATACTTGGATAAGATGAATTGTGATAAATCGTGCTAACTGTTATTAAAGATGATTTTTTTCTTCTTCCTGCTTCAGAATGCTAGTTATTTCACGGTTTTAAGACACAAAAATGGTACTTTAAACATAGGCGGTCGAAACCATGACTAAAGTACTTTATTCATGGGCTTTAATCACGAGGAAGAGACTTGTGTCTACGCATTTGCCCACGAGCAGTAAAATTGCCTCAGTAGAATTTCGAAGATTTAAAATCTTTAAAAAATCATAAAATGTCCTAATTCCTGTAATTTTAATACAATAATTGATTTATTTTAATAAATATTAATTCAGTAGGAAATCTTGGCTAGGAATTTGTATATATAATTATTGTTTACACTTAAATAAATAGATAATTTAATGATTAATTAGATGTGATTATGTTCGCGGCTGAATTTTTGGCTTGATCTTGAAATATTTTCTAATTTTGTTTAGTAATCATGTACTGGTTCAATTTAATGACATTGATTTAATGAGCTATTTGCTTACGCTGATTATGCACAGCGTAATAAATTATTTATAGATTCCGCGCGAGTGAACACCTGGTGAATCTAATACACTAATTTAAAATACGACAGAAGCACGTGCGAACCGAAATTGCAAAAAAATGTGTGGTCAACGTGTTTGTATTCAATCTATTTGCATTCAAAATTATAGCAAATGTCAACACCAACGGGATTGTCACGATTTATTACTTTGTTTTGTGATTCTATAATTAATTAATTGATTAACTAGATTCAATTGTAGCAATATAAATTTATAAATTAAATATAAATTTATTCGCTATTGTTGTTTAACTGTTATTTTTAGTATTTAATTAGTGCGGAGTGTAGATACGAGTAGGTACTATAGGTGCTGCAGTGCAGATAAATGCGCATGCGCAAGCTCCACCCTGTGACTAAAGTCCGTGTCTAAAGTACCTACTTTTCTGAAGGTTTAAAGGTGGAAATAGAAAAATATGATTATTAAACTCATAATCATCAATGCAAATAAATAATACAACAAAAATAACAAGTAATAAACCAATATTCAATATATTTTCATCCTAATTCCCGGAATATTAAATATTTATTTAATTCGAATTTTTTTCTCAGAATACAAAATAAAAAAACATATTTAGATTTAGTTTGCGTTGCTGACTGATCTGTGTGGCTTATTAATATGTGGTTGTGATTAGACATAAGTATGAAATCGTGTGAGTATTTATTGTATTTATTTATTCAGGCGAAAAACTCGTAATCGGATAGCAATAAATCCTAAACGAGCGAGAAGCAACGCTGATGTGTTGACTCTCCTCTCATAACTCAGAGATACTCGTATCTACACACACGTGAAACGAAATAAACTCGAGATGAGAAACGAGAGAAACGAGAGTGCGCATTGTCAGTTATAAGTACAAGTACACACAACTGCGAAATCCTTGAAACACATTCAGATAGAATATTAAAAATCAAATATTATCCAATTATAAAATAAAACTAAAGTAAACAAAACCTAAATTAAAAGAATAAAAATTTACAATTCAATTATTTAATGTTTTTATTTTTATTTTATTGATTATATAAAGATACATTGTACAATTCACACCTGAAACATGAAATATAATCAGTTTCAAATGTATTTGGTTACCGATACGTAGTGATATACATTACACACATAAAAAGTGTTATATAAAGATGAAATTCAATACAAAGCCTTCTGTGTTCATATAGTGTACACAACAATCTTAACTTGAATCTATTTTTAACGCCTGTTCCTAATAATCTTCACAAATAAACATTTGACGACGATTTTATGCAATATTGACGCAGGAAACCGCTACCCTCGTACGGTGCTCTGAACGTGAGTCACTTCTACCGCAGCCCTTGTACGGTGCCCTGAATACGAGTTACTACTACCGCTACCCTCGTACGGTGCCCTGATCACGAGTCATTTCTACCGCTGCCCACGTACGGTGCCCTGAATACGAGTCACATCTACCACAGCCAGTTCCTAATAATCTTAACAAATAAATATTTAACGACGATTTTATGCAATATTGACGCAGGAAATATATATAGGCAACTAAAATGACAGTTGAAAGGTGCTACGGATACACATAGTTATATAAATTCATTTCTGATGGCACTGGCGCTCAAAATATAAAAACGATACATGAATATATTTCCTGTTAGTTGGGTTGCTGTTTATTAAAGCATGCTCATGAAGTCGCGGGTAAGAGATAATGAGATAATACAATGTGGAGCAAGGATTTTTAATTTTTTATTTGATAATCACACTTCGGAACTCTTATCAATATATTTTATCAAATAAAAGTGAATGATTTTGTAAATAACAAAATCATTTATTGTTTTACGGCAATAAATTCAAGTGGTGTTTAGATAAAACATTAAAAAACAACAAAAACTCATTTGTTCTAGTGTTGATTATCTACGTACTTAAGTTATTGTCAAATTATCAAATTTTAAACTAATCTAATAAAAAATATCGGATATGAACGTTAAAGTTAAAGTTAATGCTTTAAAGGTTATGCATTAATTGAATTTTGAGGTGAAAACAATTTCGAACTGTATGTCTGAATGTCACGAACGCGATTACGCTGATTAGCTTGCCGGTGTGGAAATCGCGAGGGACAATTTGCGGGATAACCGCGTGCGGCGACACAGGAATGAACGAATTAAAGGTCGGATTAGCGCGCAAGGCCGCGCGCATTAGGTGCCATTAGCGTGCATGTCAACAAAATGGCGGCCTTGTGCGCACGCATTTCGTAACCGACGCCTTAGCACTGCGCCTGGAAGTTTTGCTTCCTGTGTCACACTTATGTGATTAAAGGGTGATCTAACTTAATGAAATTTAATATGAAAATTGAGTGCAGATATTTTTAGGTTAAAAATAAATAAAAACGTATTTTTAGATCAAATAATTATCGTATTGATTAAGATAATTAAAGAAAAAAATTTCTGGAGTTGAAAAAAATAGTTATGCAACCAGTTAAGCAAGAAAACATAAATTTATACACAAAAATATCAAAATTTGAGTTTTGGTACAAGTATTATACACATGTGTATGATTGGTTGCCTACAAAAGAATAATTTTAACTTGTTAATCACTTTTTACGTTTTTGTGGTTTTTCACAGTGTTTATGACACAAATTAACTAATTACGTACAACGTGTGAAGAATATCGAAGATATTGATTTGATTAACACCGCATCGTCACTGAACTTTGGCTGAAAACAAATTTATTTACGTAAACAATTCGCATTGCTCTAATAATAATACCTACAACGATGCAGCGCCACACGTTGAAGCTAACTTTATACATCTAAACGAAGAAGAACTTATTTCTAACTAACTACATAACATGTAAATGGTAACAAGGGGGTTAATTGAATATAAAAACGACGCAAATACTCGCTGGGAAAATCAGTCGCAAAATGATCTTTACCAACATCACATTGAATTATTTTAAATATTTTGTGCCCAGAAAGTGATATTTTGACATTTACAACTGATTATTACCTAAATATGGTTTCAAAATCGAATTTGCATTTGTTTATCCGTCGCTGTTCGAAAACCGTCGACTCCAATGGATTTTTATTCCCGAATATTATCAAGTGAGTTAATGTGCTGTTAATGAACGTGATTTGCATGAGATTTTAGTCCGTCTGGGTGATGGATATGTGTCAGAAACGTTGAAATTGCAATTAGAATTTATTATGTTAATGGTCATTCAACGCTTGTTTCCAACGCTTGTTATAATTAAACTGTCAGACAGCGATACGCTAACTATGATTATGTAATCATTCTGCTATTGACCTCAGCTTTATCTCGCTGGAAGTTGGATCGTGCGATTAATCAACATATTAATCAACATAGGTACTTCAAACGGATTAATTTGAATCAAAAATGTTTTATTTCAATTAATATTAACGCAATATGAGAGTAGTTACATGATAGGCAACCAGGAATACACCAGACTACTTCTCAATTGTCCGCTAGTAGAAGAAACTTTATAGACGTAACTAGCTTTAACCCGCGGCTTCGCTCGCGAATATCTAAAATATTAAAGTTGCTTCCGTACGCGTCTGTAGTCACAGAAGAAGTAACAATGAAGTAGAATGGCGGGAAGTTTAAAATGGCTGAAAGTATAGTCTATGGAAGTATAGTGTACAGTCTCCATAGTGTAGTCAATTGGATTTGATGTTGACGTAGCTGTCGGTAATACAGTGTGATAATACAGTGTGATGGTACTATAGTACTTAGGTTTGAGCTTCATTGCTGGACTGTTAGATGGCGTTAAAGTAGTCAAATAGCCAGATGTAGAGGTATTATTGGCTAAACTATTTCTTTATTTTATTTAAAAAATATTTTTTTAATTAAATAAAAAGTAGCCTATAACCATTCGGGGACCACTAAGAATATGTGTACAAATTTTCATGATGATCGGTTAAGTAGTTTTTGCGTCAAAGTGTAACAAACATCAGGACTTTCGTATTTATAATATTAGTAGGTATATGAGATTAATTCTATAGTAGGCAACCATGTATACACTAAACTACTTCTCAACTGTCCGCTGAAGAGACAAACTTGAACCTAATATAACATTAATAGCATGGTAGGCAACCAGGCATACACAAAAGTAGTTCCCAACTGTCTCCGCAAGAGGGACTAAATTAACCTGTGATCATTTTTTACTGTTATGTTAAGAAATACTCAAGTGTTTGTTTAGTGTAACATTGAATTTACATAAATTCCCCTTTTTGCTACGGTAAGTCACGAGCTGCGAATGTCTACGAGACGTATTTGTATGTATTCACATTGCGCGTTATTCCCATCCGTACACTTTGCGTACACAGCGCGTATCTACCATCTACCTAATTGTTTGTTAACACGATCATTATGTCAAGCGCGCGCTTGCAATTTCGCAAGCGGCGTCATGTCATAATGAGCGCATTAGCGAGACGTGAGTACGTCTGTACAGTACTCGTATGTACTTGTAATTTATGTCACAGGTTCGTTCACTAAATCTGCTCAGCATACACAATATTCAAATGCGCAAATATTTGTATGCATTAATATTCAAATTGGTTTTTAAGTTTTTGAGTTGGCACGATATGTAGATGCATTTGTCATACGTGCGGTGATTTCCATACACGTGGTTGAAATATTAATCATAAGATTAACTAAATGTAGAGTTGCATAGTTTGCAACCAGGTATACACAAAACTAATTCTCTAGTTGTCCGCCAGAGGGACAAAATCATTGACATAATATTTCTCGTTCTATTTTAGGCTTAAATCTTGTCAAAAGTGAGCGTAAAACAAATAAATCATATAAATAAATGAATAAACATGTAAACAAAATGGCCGACGTGAATCTGACGTAATATTTATTGCTTTGGTGACAATAAATCACTGCCCACATTTGCAACTGATTTAAATACATATCTGCATTAATGAATAATGAAATCATTTAGGCAGCGCGTGCTTGCGATACTCCTAATTAATTAAACATTAAAATTATCGTGCTCGTTACATATCTCATGCAAAGTGTGTTAATTGAATCAGATGACATTTACGATGCCATAAACACAGCTCAAAATAATAAAATTACGTCGGATAAATGATAATAAAGCAATAAATTCGTGTTGAATTAAGAAAAAGAGTAAAAAACAGGAAACATTTATTAGTTTTTTGTTTCAAATGACAAATTACGTACAACGCTCTACTAAATAAAGACTAAACATGAAACAAAATGTCATACGAAATAAATATCCGCCATATTGTATTCGATAAAATCAAGTATGTATAAATTTAACTGAAATTAAAGCAGCATGTGGTTAATTAAAATGATAAATCTGTATTATTCTTTGTTACAAACCATACATGCATGTATAACTGGTTGCATAACCTGATTTATGTCTTTTTTATGCAAATTTTACGTAAATCCTGTTTAATTACGTAAATCCTTTCATTTGTTTCCATACTAAATTTTTTTTTTTTATTTTTTCATAGACCACCAGAAGAATATCTCTTTGAAGACAGTTGTGATGGTTCCGAAGACGGGCACGCCGCCTACCTGAAGCCGAGGCGGCAGCAGTGGAGCAACAAGTTCCAGTTCGTCCTGGCGTGCATAGGGTACAGCGTCGGCCTCGGCTCGGTATGGCGGTTTCCTTATTTATGCTATAAGAGTGGTGGAGGTTTGTTGCACTTCTTTATTCAACCATTTCAACAAGTGTAATGTGTGTTGTCTATATTCTAGGCGTCTTTCTCATACCGTATTTTATACTTTTGATTATTTGTGGGGTGCCCATGTTGTACATGGAGCTCTCCATCGGGCAATACACTGGACGTGGACCGATTGGTGCCCTTGGTCAATTATCGCCATTATTTAAAGGTTAGTATTTGAATTGTCGCTATGGTAACTAAACTATCTTTGTTTTTGTTTTTTTTTTTGTTTTTTTGAAGGAACTGGCGTAGCTAGCGTCGTGATATCATTTCTCATGTCGACGTACTACAGTGTAATCATTGCCTATGCGATTTATTATTTCTTTACGTCTTTAAAACCAATTCAGCCTTGGGCGCAGTGTGGCCATCGGTGGAACACAGATCAGTGCTGGGCGCCTGGCGGCAACTTTTCGAACTTCGAGAATACATCGTTGACCTTCAACACGCCAGCTGAGGAGTTTTATAAGTAGGCAACACAACATACACTTAAAAATAACTTTTATTTTTACATTTTGTTGAATATTTTTTAGTAAAAAAGTTTTGGACATCTCGAAAGGTCTAGAAGATTTCGGAACACTTCGCTGGGATCTAGTAGCGTGTTTGTTAAGCGCCTGGGCGATTATTTACTTTGCCATCTGGAAAAGTATCAAATCATCCGGCAAAGTGCGCTATTTCACCGCAACCATTCCGTTTCTCATCATTGTCATCCTTATGGGTAAATCATTAACACTAGAGGGCGCTCAGAACGGCATGCAGTACTTCTTCAGACCGAATTGGAAACTGCTGGGTGATTCTAAAGTGTGGGTGAATGCAGCGACGCAGACTTTTAATTCAATGGGCATTGCGTTTGGTTCGATGATATCTTTTGCTTCATACAGCAAGTATCACAACAACATTCTGCATGACACCGTTGCTGTGTCTTGTGTTAATGCATTGACTAGTTTATTGGTTGGGATTTTTGCATTTGCGACTATAGGCAACATTGCACACGAGTCACACACGTCTATTGAGGATGTCATTGCCGATGGTAATATTAAATTTAAACATATTTAGGTTATGTTTTAATGGAATTACTTTTATTGGTGTTTTTTCAGGTCCCGGTTTGATTTTTGTCGTATTTCCGCAGGCGATGGCCAAGATGCCCGTTCCGCAATTCTGGGCGTCCATCTTTTTCTTCATGCTGCTGTGTTTGGCTCTTAATAGTCAAGTACGTATTTCATTAGTAAAATAAACTTTCTAAACAAAAAATATTAACAAATGTGTTGTAGTTTGCCATTGTGGAAGTTGTGGTGACGTCAGTCCAAGATGGCTTCCCCGTGTGGATAAAAAAACATCTAATGTGCCATGAAGTCCTTGTTTTTGTTGTCTGCATCATTTCTTTCTTGCTAGGATTACCAAATGTGACAAATGTACGTTATTATCATAACACCCAGTAGATAAAATGATTATTTATTGTTTTTTTAGGGTGGAATATATTTTTTCCAATTGATTGATCATTACGCAGCGTCTATATCGATAATGTACGTGGCATTCATTGAAATAATTGCGATATCATGGTTCTATGGCGTCTGGCGGTTGTCGAAGAACATTGAACACATGACAGGTAAACAACCGAGTCTGTATTTCAAGTTCTGCTGGACGATTGCAGCGCCATTGATGATTTTCGCCATTTGGGTGTTTTATATGATCGATTATGAGTCGCCCACGTATAATAATGGTCTGTATCATTACCCTGATTGGGCAATTGGTATTGGGTGGGTTATCTCGTCGTTTTCTATCTTTTGCCTGCCGATATTCATGATTTGTAGTTTGGTTAAGGCTAAAGGCAAGACGTTAAGAGAGGTTAGTGACCAAAAATAGTCTTGATTGAATGTTGATTTGATTTAATTTTTAATGTAATTATTAGAAAGTGGTTGCTTCATTGAAACCAAACATTCTTCTCTGCGAGGCTTGTAATGAGCATAATTGTGAACACATTGATAAATGGCAGGAGTGTTATGAGCGGTATGAAGGTGATGATGCGACACCAGCGCCATCGCAGCCAATGTTGGATATTCGAACTTTGAGTCACAATGGTATTGCTGGTGGCGGCGATGCAAGGAGTAGGTATAATGGATCAGCTCCGGCAACGCCTGTAAGTCTACGGGATAGCAACACCAACACCAACGATGTGCACAGCAACGATTCTGCGCATTCTGCTCATAGCAGCAAGCATTAGTTTAGAAATACGACAATAAATTATAACAAGAATGTTATGTGCAGAATGCATTCGCAAACGATTAAAATATGTTTTAATTTATATGTCAATATAAAGCAATAATCATAGGATATTTAAATAAATTTATTTAATTATTATTTGAGGTCGAAACAGAATAATATTCGAAGATGTTTCCGCCCCTGCTGCAAATATGTGTTGATTTTGGCCGCAGTGGCGGATTATGCTTCAGTGGGGCCCTAGGCGCAAATCAAGTTAGGTTATTAGCCCAGTAAAATTAATAGTTTTAGCGTACGGGCGCCGCAAAGTCTACTTCAACATTCGTTTGTGCCAAAAACTCATTTCCTCACCACCATGAGGTAGAGTACGTGGCGCGTTTTTTTTATCGTAGTATCTCTAGTAGGCCTAATCCACACGCACTATTCCAAAATTTAATGGATTATCTTCCGATTCGCTCTTCGCGATGGACCAGGTGTTGTGCGTTAATTGTTTTCAGCCATACTATCCGCGATGGGATTATCGTTTTCAATGCTATCTTGGTTCTCGAGTTCATCGTACGTGTGCTCAAAAACGGTAATCGTATTTAAATACAAATTACAAATTTACTTTTCTTGCCTTCTCTTGGGCAAAGATTTCAATAATTTTATCGTACTCTAGTTTCTTTAAAATATCATTTTCTATAAACATTAATGCGAAGTCATTTAAGTGCTCTTGTGAAAGACTATTGCGCAGGTCAAAAAAATTTGCAGTATTGTGTGTATATTTGGAAAAGTTGATTTTAGACCATTACTTAATGTTGCACAGTGGCGGATTATGGCCTAGGCGCACTAGGCTGGGGGGCCCCTGGCCTATAAAACAAATCAAAAACTATTCAACAAACTACAAACGCACACAACACTAAACACAAACAAATACAATAACAGCGGCATCTATAAAATCACTTGTAACACATGCAATAGAATATATATAGGGAAAACTAACAGAAACATGAAAATCAGATACCAAGAACACACAAACGCAATAAAAAATCCACACACATACCACTCACACTATGCAAAACACATCTTACAACACAATCACCAACACAACACAATAGACAATACACTTACAATATTAAAATCATCCACAGATAAATTTTTAAACATTAAAGAACACATACAGATATACAAACACAAAATCAAACACCAATTACTAAACGAACAGACACACTCAATACACGACACAATTTTTAAACCACTTAACAAACTACACATTCCCACAAGCACACAAAACACCCCTAACATACCTACTAAAGTCAGTTTATGAAGATGCCCTCTGGGCGAAACATGTCAACTCAAAAATAAAATTGTAAATCCAAAATCACGTATAATGTTTAATAAATAAATATTTTTTATAAATATACAGTTTTTTCAGTTGATGCGCATTTATTTCTTTATGACAAACTGTTTAAAATAAAATTTGGATGTTTTCTGCCACAAATTTTTGGGACCTTTTCTTGAATGTTGCATTAGAAAGTTGTAGGTTGTAGCTATAATGCGAGTAGTATATATATTGTCAATTTTTTTAAATTTCGCACATCTGTGGAGGAGATGAGTTGAGGAATATTCCATTAACTCTCTTTTTTGGAATATTCATTATCGCGTCTTTCTATCATTTTTTCACATCTGCGGTACACGTTGTTCTACAATTTTTATCTACATTTTTGGGGTGGTAGTTGGATTAAAAAAAAACAGAGAGTGGTCAGTGAGTCTTGAATCACAACCCCGACAACACTAGTTCTACAAAAGTTTCTTCTCCAAGTTTTGTGCGTAGACGATATGGCGCCCTTGATTTTCAAAACTGCAGTCAATAATCAACAACAGCTTCGATAAAGGTAAATCGTTAATATTTCTTATTATACATATTACAATTTTCACAAAACATTTGTGCAACAGTAGGTAATTATTTTGGCTTTCAAAATGAGCAACGAAGCCAACTGCAGGATATAGGTAATAGTTAATAATTTATGTTTTTTTTTAATTCATGCAGTATCTATTTAAAATGCGACGAAAATATTTATCCGGCGCGGAAAAGCGAAAACTGAAATTACAAAAGGAAAAAAGAAAGATTTTTTGAATTTATTAAACTTCTTGGACATGATTCTTCAACATTAGAAGAAATTGTGCTTAGAAAGTTGCATGATTATGGCTGAGATATCACAAACTGTGGGGCCAATCTTATGATAACGCTGCTAACATGTCTGGCAAGTAGGTACAGTGGAACCAAAGACATATATTCTTAATAGCGTTATTAAAATCATTAAACGAATTTATAACAGAGGGCAGAAATAATTTCGAAACTGTTGACGAGGAGGCTAAATCCCTAACAGCTCATCATTCTTATAATGATACAACATTTTCGTCAAGAAATTTTTTTATCGTCAATGTTGGAATATGCATCGTTATAACACCGGCAAAATAACAAAATTAATCAGGGCTATCCAATACTTTTATTATTGTATAAAGATAAAGTCTTAATGTGTGGTATACAATAGGAGCATTATTGTACGAATGAGTCAAAGGTTTGGCTTTAAGTTTTTGCAACGTTTTAAGTTAGTTCGATAATCGAAAAGATAATCGAGATAATCTTGTAAGAGAGCGGTATTCTTTTCGGTGCAGCCAAATTAAATAAAATATTAAAGCGAAAATCTTTCTAATTATTTAAATACCAATCCATAACTTCTAATAGTCAACATTTTTTATATTGTATGTAAGTATGTAGGTATTAACATCAGAAATTGTTGGAATTATGGATTTAGGTAGTGGTGATTTTATTCAATAATTACGAAGTTTAATTATGAACGATTGCCGTATATTCAAAATTAGAGTTTTCGGAAGCGGTCTAGACTGCCCTTAATTATACCTAGATTTATGACTCTTAGCTCGAGTACTTTTTCTCTATTTCTTGGAAATAAGAAAATAAACCTTTTACATGGTACCAAATATTACCCTCAAACAGAAAACTTAATATGTTGGAAGAGAATGAATTTCAACAGAAATTACTCGAATTAAGCCGTGTTGAGACTAATTGTGTAGAGCGATTATTGCCTAAGTATGAAAAAGATATTGAGCCAGAATATTTCACTGATGAGTTAACTCATTTTCTAAAATACATACAAGAAGAAAATATTATTTATTTATTCCACAGATGTTCGAAATTTAAAAAAATTGGCAATATACTACTCGCATTATAGCTACAACTTTCTAATGCAATATTCAAGAAAAGGTCACAAAAATTCGTGGCAGAAAACATCCAAACAGTTTGTCATAAAGAAATAAAATCGGAGATAAAAAGTTTGGTTGTGGTGGAAACATGGCTGTTCTCTTAAATCTTATTTCTACCAATCATGTTAGACGTACGCGGCAAGGGATACAAAGAGTGAGACAGTGTTAGCGCATGCTCATTAACACACACACACACACACACACACACACACACACACACACACGCAGTTGACTTCAGCCGCTTCATCCACAAGTTATACACTCCAACTCTAGTTTCACAGTTATGCTTCACGAAGAAACCCGAACCATACTTCAAATTCATACGCCGTCTTAAAGCGCCTGCGTGCGGAATTTAAACTTTCAAGGTAACGGCCGTTACACTGTCAAATCGTGACGGTTATTTGTTTTGTAGGCGGCTTTGAGTTCGACAAGAAATAAGATTCTACTTATTATATATCACCAATATACAAATGTGCTAAGAATTGTGAGTTGTGAACTACGGTCTTCCTGCTTTAGTGATGCAGGGATACATTCACTTAGAATTTCCTGTTTATACCAGGTCAGTGATTTCTATGCTGTGAAGGTTATGAGTGTTGGACTTGTTTGGCGTCTTCCAGATATGCAATACATATCTAACTAATTGGATATTAAAATTGTGTATATGTTAACAGTTAGTGATTTGAATTACCCAATGCAAACATGGTTGGACTACCGAGACTAACTGCAAGACAAAGGACGCGCATTGTGCATCCGTAAGTTAATACTAAATTAATATTAATTAAATAAATAATATAATAAGTGAATAATAATGGCTTTGCAGGAATGTGCTGATTGATCTTGCACGAAATGGCGACTTGTCCAGTAGTTCCGGAGGTCTGACTTCATCAGATGAAGAGCATTCACCCAAACCCAAGAAAAAGAAGAAATCCTTGTCAATAGTGGCAAGTTCAGACAAGGAGGTATGTTCAAATGTTTAAAATCAAACATCTACTTCATTTTTATACAGATATATACAAATATAAAATACTTATTGTTAATTTTGCACAGGATTCTGAGCCAAGTTTTCATATTTTGGTCGAACCGCGCAAATCTGGACTGATTCCATTTCTTAAACCGAAGAAACCTGTGTTGCAAGTTCAAAACACTCAATTATCACCAGAACCACCCTCAGACACACAAAAACATGAATCAATTGTGCTTTCTTCAACTCCACTTAATGCAAAGTCTGCTAATCATCCAGCAAAAGATGTTTTTGATTCTCCTGTTTGCAATACAACTGAAATATATGCCTCACCGATAAATTTAAGACATAAATCGAAAACCAATCGACGATCAACATCTCTGACACAGCTTACCGCCAGTTCTAATCACCATTTGGCGAAGTTTAAGAGGAATAAATCCGTGCATGACTTGGCTAATTCACACAAGCCGATTAACACTGATGAATTTACGAAACGTCTCACTTGTTTAGAGAAACGAGTCAAGAAAATCACTATGAAGAGGAGGAAATCGACTATGACTGCGCGGATGTTTTCACAAATGGCATTACAGAGGCATTCGTCACAAAACAATTTTCATGCGTTGAATATGTCTGCAGTGGATGTAAAAATGAAGAAAACTGATGATGCGAATGTCACAAAGGTAATAAATACTGAGCATGATGAAAATTTGATGTCGGCTAAGCTGCAAAATGACAAAACGGCCATTGACTCAGCCCTTGTTGCAAATAATAATTTACTGCAAGAAATTGGCAATTTACAGGGGCAAACACCGCCGAAAACATTAAATTTAGCGATTGAATCATTATCAAAAGCTACACAAAATAAAATTGAAAACAAAGAAAACTCTGTTTTGAAAATATTACAACCGGCGAAATCTAAACGCAGCTTGGTGTTTGAAACCCCGCCTTTGAATTTATGTCTGCGAAATGAAAGAAAATCATCAAATATACCTGTATCTCTATTACGCAACTCGCCAGGATTCATTTCTAATCATTCACGTTTGGTGAATTTAGAAAATAAGCGGAAAGTTAGTGCAGTATCCAATTCGAGGAACAGTGTAGAAGATATTCTTGAACCTCCGATGGATTTTCTTGATTCGATGGAAAACCGACGAAGAAGCGGTCGACAACATAAAAATCTTAGTGAAAACGTTGTTAAAGTTAATAATGCGTTGACACAGCGTCTGGAGGATGAAATTAATCTTGTTGAAATGATTACAGAGGATAATGTAAGAGATATTAATCAGAATGAATCTCAAAATTCAAAAACACCGGTGAAAGAGAATGCAAACGAAGAGGAAAATGCGTATTCTGATGATTTGAAATCGAAACCGAATGATACGGTGGCTAACAAATCGACAACATCGAATAAATCATATCTTGATTCGAAAAGACGAGACACTATTGGTTTATTGCAAGATTTGCTGAATAAAGCAGAAAATGGTTTGATTACGAAAGACGAAAGAGCGACCTTGAACTTCCTTAACTATCAACCGGAGAGGAGAATACATTCTTCAAAAGATGGTTTGAATTTAACCCAAACTTTGGGTGAACGAAATGAAAATGGCGATCGAGTGTTTCTGGCTCCTCCGAAACCAGCACCACGGAAGTTACGAACGAAATTGGATCATAAAGTACAACACATCGAAGCTGATATGCAAGTTGCGCACGAGATGGCGCATGCGGCGGAATTTGAAAACAAGAGAGGATGTAATAGAAACAACGCAGAACATGCAAAATGAAACAAATGAAGCACAGCAGCAACAAGTGGATGCTGAAGAAACGCATGACTTGCAAGTTGAAACAAATATTACAACTTTGTCTTCCAAATCAAACGTGGCAGTTTCTAAAAAGAAAAGCAAAAAGATTCCTGCATCTAAAGATTCACTAAGTGATAGTAAATCACTTGAATTAAATGAAAACTCTGTTATCACACCGATAACATCCCAAGAAGAGCCGGTACAAGTTTCTCACCTAGAACAGGCAGAGACAATGGAGGGAACCATAGCTGTGATTCCTGATGTTATTCCTTTATCTGACAAAATTGTTCAGAAGCCAAACAAAAAAGACATGAAAGCAAATGATGTCTGCATGTCTAGCACAACGAATAAAAAGAAGAATATCGAAGGAAGGTCCAAAAAAGAAAGAAAAGGTGGTCAAAATAATGCAGGAACACTTCTATCACCAAAAAAGAAGGCCAAAACGTCTAAAAAACAAGGAAACAACTTCGAATACATCTATAAACCAATTATTCTCGGAGAACGAGGTAAGTTCTTTATTTAAATCATTTCTACATATTTGGTAGATAGATTAGATAGTAGATAGTTTAAACTGACAAATACTTTGATTCTTTCCGTACAGAGGTCGTTGGAACGAGTCGTTTTGGGCGAACTTTGAAATCAATCAATTATATTAATCTGATATTGAAGGAGGATTTAAAACGCAGAAATCAACAGAAAAATAAAAATACGCGGGGTCGAAATACAAAAATCGAGGAGCAGAAAGCCGAAGAAGAATCAAGCGCTGAAACTGTGAAGAAATCGCGACGCGATCGACAAACTAAACGACGAATATCCGATGTGGTACCACCCGCACCGGAACAGATTATTAATAGTGACGTAACAGCAGTTATTAAGAAACGACGAGGGCGCCCTCCCAAAACACAAAAACTCGATGTACTACCACCTGCAACAGAACAAGTAATTAGTAGTGCAGAGACAAATATTGTTAAGAAGCGACGAGGACGCCCACCGAAAAAGCAAATATCACATGATGTGGTGCCATGCGAATCAGACCAACTAAATAATAATAATATGGATGCTGTTGATGCTGACTATCAGCGCACAAATGCTATGGAAGCACCAGCGCCATCTGGTTCACCACAGCCGTCAACATCACAAATCGCAAGTGTACCTACCGATCGAATCGAATCGGGCATTCCGAAACCACCCGAGTTATTAGACGCTAAGGAATACCGCATGGCTGTGGACAACGACATCTATCAACACTCATACGGCATAGACTCCAAGTCCAAGTTAAATACGAGCATCATTCGTGTGAAACCGGGAATGAAATTGACCAATTACCAGAACACCTTTGACTTGCTGGTGAGTTTTGAATGTCACTTTACATTAATTATTCAACATTGATGTTTTTTTTCTTTGGGAATTATTACAGGAAGGATTAGTGATGCGCGGCACTGGTACCATAACCTATCAAAACCGAACTGGGCAACTGCAGCCGTTGTCGCCATTTTTCATCACACCAAGTAAAAAGCAAAAATTTAATATAATTATCATGTTATATATTAATTGATAACTGTATTTTCAGACAGTTCATTTGTGCTGAAAAACGACAGTGCGGTGCACCCGTTGGAGGTGTTCCTTGTTACAGCTCACTGTGGAGAACTTGTTGAAGAGGCGTTTGAAAGTTTAAAGGGTTAGGAGGCATTCTGAATGATAATCATCCGATGAGGTAAGGACATAGGTTATTGTTTGGTGAAATAAAAGTTTTCATATTGAAATATACTATTTTTGCAAAAATTGATTTTTAAATTTATATTTACTTGTATGCGCATTGTGGGAAACATACGTTAGCGTATTAGCGTATAGAATTCATTGAATTGATATTTATATTTGTTTTCTTTTACTGATTACAACAAAATAACAACATTCAACATGTAATATTATAATAAAACCAATGAATAAGAATTGTCCGCATCTACAATGAATGTTTACATTCGCTGATGTATTACGTGCGTTTTTCTAAAACCAATAAACGCACACGTTATCACTCCACGGATAACAGACTCGCATCGCTTATAAATACATTTCCATTATTATCAAACAGTCAGTCACGTTTAATACAATCAAACAGCAGTCAGTCGAGATAAAATTTACTTCAACTTGAAATTTTGAACAAAAAAATTGTGCGCCATGCCAATGCAAATATTGTGCTGTGGTCCGAAACCAAGAGAGGAGCGTAAACAGTCGTACTTCAAAGAACCAATCACGTTAGGGTTGCCTATCAAGGACACCAACCCCGCGACGCAGCACTCCATGGACGAGACCATCGTGAAGCGTCGTGTTTCCCAAACGAAAAGTGGCAAGATGAAAGGATTCAAAGATCCGCGCCGGCGCAGTGCCGTGGAAGTGTTCGAAGGGGAAGAGGACATCGATCAAATCATCGAAGATTTGAAAAATATGAAATAACAATCAATAACAACCAAAATTAAACAGTGAAACATAAAACCTTAAATAATTTGAGAAGAATTTACTATAACAAAGCTTCGTTAAACGAATTTAACGAATGTCATTTGTGTCTTTGTTCTCGTCATCGTCTGCGCACAATGTTAAAATTGTGCAACTGACAAAGTTCAAGTTTTATTGTGTAGAATAATCATGCATACAGGTGTGAGTGTGCAATAATGAAATTAGTTCCTCGATTGGCTTGATCCGGTGATCGATAGTCGAGTGTGGTGTTATCAGCGTTATCGCAAACAAATAATACGGGGAAACAATATCACATATATATGAGAATATGATCTGCATTTGTATAATTTGATAATATGTGATATTAACTCAGTAAATGTATTGTAATAAATAATATTAAACGTATTATACATACGGTTTAATTTATTTATAATTTAGGAGTAATTGTGTTTGTATTTATTGTTTATTTTAATGAAAATATGTTAATATTAAGTTTATGTCACTTTTCCGATCGGGTACAGTCGGTGAAAGTCGTGGTTAACTTCACGTTTGCTATTTCAACATGGCTGTCGGACAATGCGCATGCGTTTTTAAAATTACAACTAAAATGTTATTATTTTAACTATATAACAACTTACAACATATTTTAACTGTGCAAATATATAAATAACTCTTATTTATTGTTAATAATATATATTTTTACATTATAGGACATTAATATTAATTTTTCTTATAAATTGCTGGTAACGTTAAGAGTAGATGGCGCCACTGTCCATCGCAATTGAAATACATGCGTTTTAGTGTTTTAAATTTAATTTTTTTAATGATTTTCAGGATCTGTGGGTTCCGATTGAAATTCAATTGGACATACATCTAGAACACAAAACGTCGCCCGACAAGTGGGGCAAGTACACTTTGACGAGAGCCAAGTCTCAGACTTGCTGGCATCCTGTCGATGTACAAACCAACTCGCTAAACAATCCACACACCACATTGGTTTGCAATAACAACTAGTGCAATTCGCCGCTCTGCCTTCTCCTGTTGACGGGGTGTCTTCACAGTACTTCTGCAGTTTTATATCGGACTTGTTCTGCATACAACCAATGCAAATATCTACATCCTGGAAATACACAAATATTATCAAATAAACGACGTTAATCAATAGTAATCAAGTAAGTATATAATAAGAAGTGATTGTGATAACGATAAATCACATTCAGATATAAAAAATATTATCAATTATGGGAAATCACGACAATATTAAAACGTAATAGGTAGAAAATTGCAGTGTCACTGACGATAGGCAACCAAATGTACATACCTGCATAGGTTCATATCTAACATTATCCTTGATCGCATCTTTGAAAACATCCGTGAATTGTTCGATAATGGATTTATGAAACTTCACTTCGGGTAGAATATTGATTGATCGTGCGACACGATCCTGCAGATCTTGAAAGTCAAGCGCTTTCAGTCGTAGTTTGAACGTTTCCACACGATTTGATGTTACTTTAATAGTGATGTACTGTACAACACCGGCATGGTCGTGCGAGAACGCATGCGTGTCGGTTTGTTCAACTGTCAACGACGCATCACTTTGATGCGCAATGAATAAATTCAGTGGTAAGACTTTGATGATCCAGTTTTCTGTTGCTATTACAGTTGTTATTGGGCTTGTTTTTATACAGATTTTCTCAACTCTGAAAATAATCTCAAAATTAATTCATATAATCAAATATGTGAGTGTTTTTACCTCCTGTATTCATTGTTTATGTCAGTTGCAATTTGTTCCCAAGTTGTGTTGTCATTTGAAAACTTTTTGAGTGTTTGCACAACTGGATGTGCAGCCCAATTCAATTTATAGTTATAAATTTGCACTAAAGCAAGCAGAGGCAACATTAATGCCACTGTGCTAAGAATTAAATAAATTGTGGGGTGATTATCAATAAGAATAAAAACCTGCAACAGAAACAAAATTAATTTTTATAATTAAAGTTATTTTATAAACTCACTGATTGAGTTTCTTCTGTCACGAACGTATTCAGCCCTAATACAAATAATAACGGAAGTAATGAATAAATTAAAAGTGTGAGTGTTGTTCTTCTAATGTGAAACTGAATGAAATCAACATTCTCGTTGCCCAAAAGTTTCTCAAACAGCGAGGAGATTGTAAAACCAGCGGAGACTACTTCCGCAGGTGGGTGCACTGCACATATCACAAATAAGATGTAGGCTAGGACAAACATTACGTCGGAAGTCATTTTTATACTTGATTTTGGATAATAAGTTCGCATTTGTTTTGGTTTTTAGGTTACATTGTTTTATTGCCAACGTACTTATACCTTATACCCGTAGGATGTAAACATGCTCGGTTGGTTGCCTACATTAAATGTCTTTGAATTTTTGTTAAAATATTCAAAATACTAATACTACACAACAAATTTTTATTAAAAAACAATAAATTTACGAGAAAGTGAATCAAATTTTGAAATTAATTATGTTTCTATCTAATTTATTAGTTATAAATACCTAATGTTATATTCAACCTGCAATATTAGTTTTGCTGTATACTTGGTTGCCTATCTTCCAAATGATTCATTCGTGCATTCGCTCATGAGTAATCCTTAACCACACAACCATACTTAAGTCTACCTGTCTTCTTCTTGAGCGTGCAGCGCGCCTACAACAAGCACTCGCAGGTGACGTGTGTTACAATGCGATGACGCGACTTCTCGTGCGCGCTCGCTTGTTTAGTTCTGTGTTGTGAGCGTCGCAGACGGTTGTGAATTGTGAGCAGGTTGTGAGTGAGTAGTGCTTGGGCGTGTATTATGTTTACTTGAACCGCATTAACGAATTTAGTATTTCTCCGGTGAGATAATGTCGAAAATCAAGCGGGGTTTCCGCTTATTGGCGCTGCTCGTCGTGATAAGCCTTATCGCGTTCGCTTCAGGTAAAAAGAAAAGAAATATCAGATAGCAAACATGTAGTCTGCAGTAGATTATATGAACAAGGTGGGGCATGTGGCACACAACACACTAGTATAATTTTAATTAAATTCGTTAATCATGTGCACCTAATTCTTTCGTTTTTGGTGTTTTTAGTTTTGTAGTTTAATGTTGAATTAGTTGATATTTTAGTTTTGGTAAAATTAAATATTTAGGGTTTTATGCAGGTGTAGACTATTGTTTAAGTTTAGTTAGGTTAGATTCAACTTATTACTCTTCGTGGGTTCTGAAGATTATTATTTATATTAGAAATAATTAATATTTTAATTATTGTATATTGAATTGTGATTGATATACATATGCTTTTTGTTATACATGTTTCGCATGGTAGGCAACCACAGTAACAGTTACATGTATAACGAAAAGCAGAGGTTATTCAATCACATAGAAATTTATGACATAATTGACATATGACATGATATATGACATAAGGTTATGTTTTGACATCAACTGTCAAAATTGTAATTTGAAGACTAATTCAGTTGGTATTCTTGGCACACATTACTAATCGCACTATTTTTTTAATTATCAGTTCCAGCAATATTGTATTTGCCTAACAGTAGAAAAAGTTAGTAATAATAACAGTTTTTTTTAAACTAACAATTAAATTTACATTCATGTATAACCGAAAATATTCCATTATCCCATTCAGGACAAAGCAACTTCATCGAAGACGAAAACGACACGCGACTTAAAGTAGCATGGTGTACAGTAGGCCGTGAAGAACAACGAAAATGCATCCACTTCGCCCAAGCAATCGAAAGAGATATCATTCGCGTTGGTTACGATGAATTCCGCCTGGATTGTTACCAGGCATTCAATAAAGCTGAATGCATGCAGTTGATCGACTCTGAGAAGGTGACTTTCACGTCATTGGACGCTGGAGAAGTTTTCATGGGCGGTCGCTATCACAGCTTGATTCCCATCGCGCAAGAAATCGCAGCGGGAGGTTTACAGCATAATTACGCGGTTGCTGTTATCAAGAAAAACACGATGAAAGATGTCACATCATTGAGGGATCTACGCAATAAGAAGGCGTGTTTTGCTGGGGTTGGCACACTTGCCGGTTGGACATTACCTATTTACACAGTGAGTTTTTACTGAAATGTCACTAGAACGCCATCTGTTGGTGTTTACATTAATTTAAGGTTATAATGTCAATTATTGTATAAAATTGATTTTTTAGTTAATGAAACAAGGTGGTATGGAAATTACGGATTGTAACAATCATGTAAAGACAGCAACTGAGTTTTTCGGCCCGTCATGTGCAGTAAATGCGCTCACGGATAAGTTTAACCCAATTGGTGACAATTCTGATAAATTATGCGCTCTGTGCATTGGTAAAGTCCCCGGGGGAAAATGTACGGATACTGATCCCTATGCAGGCTTTGAAGGTGCTTTCAGATGTCTATTGGAGGCTGGAGATGTCGCTTTTCTCAAGGATTACACCGTTCAAGAATTAACCGGTGGTGATGAATTTAGTAAGTAGGCAACCCAACGTACACCGCAGTTTATTAAATTTTTATTATAACTTTAGCTGCTGTGTCAAAGGACGCGTTTGAATTACTCTGCAAAGATGGAACACGACGCTCCATTGACGATTATCGCGCTTGTAATTGGGGCACAGTACCAACCAACGCCATTGTTACTACATCAGTGACATCAATTGAAATGCGACGCAAATATCAAAAGTTCTTGGATAAAGTTGCTGAACGTTATGGGCCGCTTGCGAACGGTACAATTGATCAACCTCATGATCAAAACCGGGATAGAGATATCTACAATGATGAGCGGCCGGAGTTTGACCAGTTGGGTAATCGCATCAGGTATAAACGACAACAATATGGTGATTATAATCGTGGTAGTTATAATCCGTATGGTGATAATCGTGACAACGACGAGAACACCCGACCTGCCAGTCGGTATGGCAATCGGAATGCGAATCCCTACAATACCGACGGCCAAGATGGCAACCGAAATGACGATAGAGATAGGGATTTGAATCGTGATGGTAATCGTGATGGAAATCGAGATGATCCAAACCGGGATGGATTTGACAGAGACAGAAGTCGCAATCCGTTCGATCGTGATCCATACCAGATCAACCGTGGACAATATGGAATTAATATTGATCCGTACGATGATGGGACGAATTACAATCGTGATCGACAGCCGGATAATTATCATCCCTTGAATTACAACCGCACATATCGACCCAGATACAACGAGACATTCTATGAAGTGTTTGATTTGTTTAAATCCACACCGAGATACGGTATACATGCTAATTTATTAGTCCAGGTAAGAAAATAAAGTTATATTAAAAACTAACTTTATACATTAATGTTATTTATGTCTAGGATAACACAAGACGATTTTTATCCCTACCGGAAGATCGTCAGACATATTCTGGCTACTTAGGCCGTTCGTTAGAAATCGTCATGGGCGTTCGTGATTGTCCGGTGAATCGCATGACGTTATGCGTCACTTCGGAGCAGGAACTCGAGAAATGTGTCAAGATGCGCACAGCGCTCCAAGCGCAGCTGTTGAAACCCGAAATGGTTTGTTATAAAGGCCACTCCCACATTCATTGCATGCAAGCGATACGTTCCGGCACTGCTGACGTCACGATACTCGACGCTAGCGACGTCTACACTGCAGGATTAAGTTTTGATCTTGTACCGTTTATGAGTGAGGTATACAATCTCGAAAGTCCTGAGTATTATGTTGTTGCCGTGGCGAAAGAATCCGATCCCGATACAGAAATTACTTATCTCAAAGGTAAGAATACGTGTCATGGCGGTGTGAACACCGCGGCGGGCTGGGTTTATCCATTGGCGTATCTCATCAGTAATGGATGGATACGTCCGTACGGATGCAACGCCATCCGCGCAGCCGCAGAGTATTTCACGAAAAGTTGCGTGCCGGGCGCGATAAGCACCGAATACAACACCGGGGTACCTTATGACAATATGTGTCACTTGTGTCATGGCGCTAGTTTCCGATATTGCCGACGTGATGCGTCTGAGGATTACTACGGTCACACCGGAGCGTTTAGGTGTTTAGTCGAGGGAGGCGGCCATGTTGCTTTTGTTAAACACACGACTGTGTTGGAGAATACCGGCGGGAAGCGACGAGAATGGTGGGCTAGGGATAATTTGATGGATGATTTTGAGCTGTTGTGTCCAGATGGCACCAGAGCTGAAGCGAACGAGTATGTCAAGTGTAACCTTGGCAAGGTCAAAGCTAACGCTATTGTTACACGCGGCGCGTATGGATACAACAGCACACAGATCAATGCATATATTAATTTGTTCCTGTACTCACAGACGTTCTACGGGAGGAAGATTCCTGATGAGTTTAGGTAGGCAACCAATGTTACACATCATTAAATTATATTTATTTAATATTGTGTGTTTATAGTTTCAGTATGTTCTGGTCGCAACCGCCTTTCACGGATTTGATATTCCAAGACGCCACAACGCAACTCCGTGTAATTCCACCTGAATATCGTTATTATTCGGATTACTTGGGGAAGGATTTCATGCGAGCGAGGCGGATTGTCGATTGTCACGCAGGTTCTGCGCATGCGCACGCTAGCTGGCTGCTGACAGCAGTGTTATGTGTTCTAACGCTCTTGAAATTGTCGTAATTGTATATTTTGTTGTCGTAAAATTAATCCGTCCCTGTACAACTTAGTCGATGACGCATTACGAGTTGCGTCTAGTTTCTTTTAGCTAAATGATGACTAATGTTTAGATTTACTCATCATGCAGGAATAATTTGAATGTTTAAATACTCCAGAATCTCATTTTGATGAATCTATCATGCCTTAAAAAGCCTTAAATCAAAGTAGGATAAAGATCAAGTAGATTTCTGTAATTGTGTACATATTTTTTACATTTTTATATTAGATATTAATGAGTATTCTTAGAAACTTGTGGATAACTGATATCCGTCCAAACAATTGAAGTATTTTAATCGTAAATATCAATTTTGTACCTTGAATATTTTTATTTTATCTAATTACGTATTTTACAACGCGCGAAACGGAAATAAATGTGAAACGAAAGTGTAAAGAACGTTTTACTGTGCTGTGCGCACCCAACAAGATTAGATTCAATATGGCCGCGATAACAATCTGATATCTTTGTTTGATCAATATCTGTACACACTCAGAGTTATCGCCACCAAGCATTTCACTTTGTAGCGTTCTTTTCTGGTTGTGTGGTTGGTTGCAGATAAGCTGTGAACAATTGTAAACATATTTCTGCGAAAGTTTAAGTTTTCGTTGAATTTTACTTGTAATGTGGCTTTTTCTGGTTGTTTCCAAGCCACACATACGCCATTTTACTCGTAAATATGCTTACGTTAGCAGACAAAAGTATATTTCCATATAAAACCACTGAAAGTTACGATACATCCGTAAATACTGTCAAAAAAGTCAAATAGTACTCAAATATTCCGCATGGTGGCGCTGTGCACCGCACGCAACTCCTATGCATTCATTAATCGAATTAAGTCTGAATTAATATAATATTCCGCCTTAAATGCAGCTCACAGCCGTTGTGAGTTGTACAATTGAATTTAATCTCATAAATAACAATCAACAGCATGAGGGTGACACACCGAGTGTTCCAACATTCTATACAAGTTTTTAATATTCAAACAAAATGGCCACTCAGTCATCTAGTTGAGTTTTGAGTTTAAACTTGCACAAAACAGTTTGTGTATTTACCATTAATCGCAAAAGGGAATGTCGCGAAGGTTTCTCAATCTGGTTCACGCGTTCGACGTAAATGGAGATCATTGAAGCGCACCATCTGCATCATTTTGAACGCTAATACAAAATAAAAACACAGTCGCAATCGGTGAGGGTGCCAACTGTGCCAACTTTGCGCTCAAACATCAAACGCATACATTTATTTCTCCTGTTGTGCACCGCGCACGGGAATCGCGGTGCGTCTTATTAATGTGACTAATGGTGTTGCGCTGCTGTTGCGTCTTCCTGACTTCTAACAACTTTAAACGCGTATGTATATTTGAATCAATGTAGTTGTGTATGTAGAATGCAGTGGACGTGCCATTGAAGTTACTCACGCTGCACGTATGTAGTGTACCAATGCGCATGTGTGTTGTACGGATAGCCTACACTCCACTCACACATCTTTGTGGTTTTCCAGTCCCCGAACGTCGGCTGGCATTCAGCGCGCCGCGCGCAGTGCGAAACCGGCGGTGCGGTGCTCGCGACACGCTCTCCACTCGCCTCAGCTTGACTTGACTTTCACGCGAGTTAGAAAAGTGAAAGGCTCGCCGTCGTCGTCGCCGTCGACATGGCGAACTTCAGAACCGTCTACGCGTTCGCACGCGAAATGCATCCGAAGACCGAGAAGGCTGACGTTGAGTATGGCACAGCTGGATTCCGCCTCAAGTAAGTTTTCTTTTACTTTTTCTCATATTTTTCATCGAATTTCCTAAGTGCAAAGGTTACACGCATACATTTTCGAGTGGTGTGACCTCAATCGACAATCTCTGCACTTGTCTTTTGTTTGCACTTGAGTTTATGTCACCTTTAACGTGTTTTTCTTTGGTGTTTTAGGGCTAGCAAGCTGGGATATGTGATGTATCGTATGGGGTTATTGGCTGTACTTAGAGCCAGACATCTCAAAGGTATACTTTGTATTCTATTGCTGAAATAATAAATAAACGTAATATTTTATTTTTTTTTTAGCAACGGTTGGAGTGATGATAACAGCGTCGCATAACCCCGAACCTGATAACGGCGTTAAACTGGTCGATCCCGCCGGGGAAATGCTGGAACAAAGCTGGGAGGCATGGGCGACTAGATTTGCCAATGTTGAGTGAGTTGACAGTATTTTGAATTTTATTTAATTTAAGGTTAGAATGCGTTTTGTTAGGTCAGGTTAGTTAGAAATGAAAATTTTAGTATTTTTGGGTGTCGTTCATTCATGGGATTAAAAATAATCCTGTCGGGATGATGCGGCGCTTCCTGTTGATTTATTGTGTTTACACACATATTTCACAGATAATATTCCCATTCTCACGTTGCGCTATTTTTAAAAATTTATATTTATCTGATCTCCCACATCTTGCACGTTTTAATATAGGCAACCCACAATACATGCAAACATACATACTATAGGCAAACTATTATACTGCGTTTGATTCATATTTCACTCATCACAAACTAATTCTAACTTTCTTTGTTTTGAAAATTTGAAGTGATGATAAACTTGAAGATCTCATGCGTGAAATTGTCAAGGAGTATGATATTGACATGAACAACCGAGTGGAAGTCTACGTTGGTAAGGATACACGACCGTCGAGTCCATCCCTGGCCAAATCGCTAATGGATGGCGTACTCGCCATTTCCGGCAAACCTATCGATTTCGGCATCGTCACAACGCCCCAATTGCACTATTTCGTCAAGTGTCGAAACGACCGCACATACGGAACACCCACCGAGGAGGGATACTACACGAAATTGATCACGGCGTTCAAAAAACTGCGCGGTGATGAATATTCGAAGGGAAATTATGAAAACACACTGTATTACGATGGGGCGAATGGTGTCGGCGCGAAGAAGATCAAGTTCTTCCAGGAACGCATCGGCGAGCCTTTAGTCATACGGAATTACAATGATGAAATTATTGGTTCAGGCAAACTTAACTACATGGTGAGTGTGGTGTATTGCTGGTTGCAAACCTAACACTTACAGAAAATGTGTTGTCATTGCTTTATACATATGCAACCAGTCATACATGGTTTTATAGTACATGTAATAAGTTGGTTTTTTGTTTTCACAGTGTGGTGCTGATTATGTAAAAACACAACAAAAGTTCCCCAATGGTCTGCCGAGCGTTGCAAACGCGCGTTGCGTGTCTGTGGACGGTGACGCGGACCGAATTGTTTACTATTATCAGGACGACGGTGAGAAGTTCCATCTGATGGACGGCGATCGGATAGCGACACTCTTTGCTGCCTACATTAAGGAATTACTGGGTGAAACTGGAATTGATCTCAACCTAGGTTTAGTGCAAACGGCGTACGCCAATGCTGGATCAACGAAGTATATCACCGAGAAACTTGTAAGTTGTTTTAATATAAATGCAAATGTTTGTTAATGTGTGTGTTTAGAAAGTGCCTGTTGAATGCGCGGAGACGGGTGTCAAACATTTGCATCACAAAGCGATGGAATTTGATATCGGCGTGTACTTCGAGGCGAACGGTCACGGCACGGTGGTGTTCAGCGCGCGGGCGAAGAGCGCGCTCAAGGACGCGCTAGAAAACAATAGCAGGTAAAGACTTAATTATATAATAATGATCAAGTCATTAAATGATAATTATTCATATTTATGGATAATTATGTATAAATGACTTAAAATAACTTAATATTTTTAATGATTGTGTGTGTTTTTGTTTTAAGTTTGACTGATAATCAAAAGAAAGCGACGACGCGACTGCTGGCGCTCATTGACCTCATCAACGAGACTGTTGGTGACGCCATCTCTGATTTATTGGTCGTGGAAACTATTCTGCATGATAAAGGATGGTCCATTCAAGACTGGGAGAAGTCTTATCAGGATCTACCTTACCGACTTTTGAAAGTATCCGTAGAGGTAAAGCTAAGTTATTACAAGATAACAATTTTTGATTATTATAAGTTAAATTTCATATTAAAAATTAATTTTTACCTTTTATTTTTTAGGATCGAAATGCCATTACAACTACAGATGCAGCCCGCACCTGCCTAACCCCTAACGGCCTGCAGGAAGAGATAACAAAGTTGGTAAATAAATACAAACATGGCCGCGCGTTCGTTCGGCCTTCGGGAACCGAAGACGTAGTTCGTGTCTATGCCGAAGCAGCGTCACACTCCGAAGTTGACCGACTCGCCGCTGAGGTGGCGCGCAAGGTGTACGAATTAGCGAACGGGATTGGTCCGCAACCAGAAATACCAGCGTAAACACTGCCCAAATCATACATTACTAACCCAATCTAATAAAATCAAACTTCATTATGTTTTTGGACAATTTTGGGGATTTACAACTTTGATATGACGGTAAAAATCACGCACACTCGGCGCATACACATCCACATCATTTTTATTGCAATTAATGCATTTGCCAATTACGTTTAAGATTTAATCATGCATAACTTGATTTTGAATCATGTTTTACTTGCCATTCCTTTTAATTAACGGACCAACGAAGTTGTAATTCACTGCGGCGTCGTTTTCGAAGTAAACAATAAGTTAATCATTGGGTTTCCGGGAGAATTAACTTTGGCTAGAATCGCATACAGTCAGGTATATAAATATTTAAAAATATTTACTAGGAGGAAAAGTCTGAGGGCTAAAGTTTAATCAAACAAGAAAAGACTTTAAATGATTAGATTTCTAGCAGAGACAGCGGATAATTGTATATTGTTGTGCAATCGTATTGTTTTATACATTTTATCTTTATTAATATGTTTTTTTAATATCTGAATTTTGAATTATAACTACTAGATAGCTTTTTAATAACACCTCTTTTTGGAATTGAATTGAAACTGATAATAAAACTATAAAATGTTGATCGCATTTATTGACTTGCAGTGTTGATAAGTGGCGCGATAGGTGATATTATGTTTGCGCACACGTTGATATCGATAAGTTCGGATTAATGAGAATAAAAGTGTGCTCGTGTTTAAGTGCACTTCATCAATGTGCCAATATTGACTCAAAACAAACTTGATCTTGGCATTTGATGCAATTTACTGCGAATTTTGAAGTGAATCATTCAGTTTAACATCTGTAAACTTTTCAATGTCAATATATACTATGTTCATAGTTATTCAAACTTTAAAACATGTTTTGAATCAAAATTAACAGGAAATTTTACGTTTAAAGTATCTATATAGATAAAAAATCATTTAACAATGTTTAATATATAGGAATATAGTCTTAAAAGTTATTTTTATCACCGCTGAAGTTAATTTTTCATATTTTTTAACTTAACTTTAACAGAGTATAGTTTGCTTTATTTGACATGTAAATGAAGTTGCCTAACTTCTAGGCGCAAGTAAACTTCATTAGATAAACATTTACACATTTTTATATAAACGAGAATAATTAAACAATGTACGATAAACAACCCTATCAATTAAGCACACATCGAAACTATGATGAATATAATCGTCAGGTAAAACCAGTAAATCACTAAGGTTTGTTTATGTAGGCAGCCATGCTTGTCGGCGCCAGCTGATTTCGACGTAAACAACCCACGTTTGTTTTCACACATGGACACTGCCTACTCGTATCATCCGACATATTCAAGCAACGTGTGTAACATTGAATGATGTTGAATAAAAAAACAACACCACACTTTCCAACCGGCCGCTCACTTTCTGTGTGCTTTCGTCCCATATCCCGTCGCCGGCGAGAGATACGATTGGACACGAGCGAATGAATGTGAATGCGCGGAGGGCGCGGAGTAATCGCGACGCGCGCCGCCGGAATTTATTCTGGTTTTCTCGCGTTAGTATAAACAGCGCGTTGTGGTGTCCGCGCGTAGTTCGTTAATTAACATCGGTGCTGTCGAACGCGTTCGGTGCACACACGTTGCGCGGTGCGCATTCGCCCTGAAGCTCCCCCACAATATGCTACGCATCATATAATCGCTGATATTATTTAGAATAATATTCGTAGAATTTTACACGGCGTCATAATCCAATACGTGTTTATCACATTAAATTAATACAGGAAGTGAAATTGATCTGTTGAGTTTATAAACTCGTTGAGTTGTTGGGTTTCGGAGCAGTTTGGTTGAAAATGGCGACGATTATTGGTGGAATTGAAGGGTAAGCGAAGAATTTAAACTTTTATTAAATAATTTTTAATTTATTTATGTTTTATTTGTTTTGTAATGACTTATTATTTATTTATTCATCGCGAAATTGTGTTTAAATTAAAATGTAAGTTTGCGTCTGCGCAGAGTGAGCACAAAGTGAGGTTAGTTATTGGCACGTCACTTTTTAGACAGTAAATTTCATGTTTTTGCATTTGTTTGACAATAATCATGTTAAATATAACTAATTATCGACATAATTATCATTCATATGTTTCATTAGCGTGTATTATTCGAGATATGTTTTAAAATATTCAACCGCACACATCGTGTCAATGAATAATATAAAAATTATTTGCATTTATGTTTCTTAAGATGTTTGACATTTATTCGTGAATTATGCTTGCATAATTTTAGCAAGTTTTTATTGCAAAGTCAAAGTTTCAAATTTTTAATGAATAAATTTTTTATTTTATGAAATAAAAGTTGCCTATAGCTATTATAAAAAGTTATGCATTTCCTAAAGAAAGAAATAATTATTTCAAGGAAATGTCCAATATAATACCTGTTGATACCTGAGGACATTGTCAATATTTACATATTATTATTGCAAATTGCTGTCGAACATGTCCGCGTTGGCGTGTTTCTATTACGCACAAAATAGTATAGCATAGTAAAGTAATAAAATGTTGATCCGCAAGGAGTAAAAATACACAATGTATACACACCGTGCCACTCTGTACACAATTATTTTGTTGATAAGCCAGTGTTATCAAACTGCGCGCTTGCATGCATACTTAGGAATAAATTATTAAAAACGCTACAAAATTGGCGCAAGTATACAAAGTGAAGGTGAAGGTTGACACATTGAATGAAAGTGGCAAGTTATTAATGCTCGTTAATGTTTATTTTGGGTTTTATGTTCGTAAAACACAATGGAAGCAAGAACTTTGTATGTTTTTTTACTGCAACGTTAAAAATTAGAATTTTTTCACTGTTTTGAGGCATAAAAAGTTATATTTTAATCATGGACGGTTAAAATACTTTAGTTACGGGTTTTAGTCACCAGGTGGCGTTTCCGCATGTGCTTTTGCTTATAGTGCAGCACAAAACCATCGTGTTGGTGCGGTGCGTTATTTATAACCTTAAATTTCCCCGTTGTGAAATTCACAGATTTAAAATACAAAAGTTGTTATTAATTTACAGGGGTGCAACACACTCGACGATAGTTTTAATCAACGAACAGGGCGAGATTCTGGTAGAGAGCAATGGACCAGCAACGAATCACTTACTTCTTGGCATGGAGGAATGTTCGAAACGCATCGCTGAGATGGTCAACAAAGCGAAAAACAAAGCCGGTCTGGACGAAAACATTCCTTTGAAAGCTTTGGTAAATATTATTTGTTATAAAATAGTTTATAAATTGGGTTATTACTAATTTTATATTTAATTTGCAGGGATTGGGTCTGAGTGGTTGTGAAACAGAGGAGACCAACAACGCGTTAGCTCAAGATGTGGCAAAGAGATACCCGAATCTTAGTGAATTGTACGCTGTTGGAAGCGATACGGATGGTTCCATTGCGACGACGTCAGACAATGGCGGCGTCACTTGTATCGCTGGCACTGGCTCCAATACGCTGTTAATTAATCCAGATGGGGGCAAAGTTCAGTGCGGCGGTTATGGATACATGCTCGGTGATGAGGGCGGAGGTAATCAATCTTTTTTTACGCTTTATATTTTAAATAAGGTCGTCAAAACAAAAACAAACGAAATTGGGCACAGTTTATGTGACATTTGGCATAGGCAACCGTCATTACACAATTTATCTCAAAATATGACCTTAACATGGTCTGCAACCGAAAATACACAATAATTTGTCATTTTGATGTTTTTTATGTCAAAAAATTGCACAAAATTTGACATAGGCAACTGTCATAACACAATTTATATCTCAAAATATAATCCCAAAATGACCTGCAACCCAAAATACACAAAAATTTGTCATTTTGATGTTTCTCTTTGTTAAGCATGGAAACTCGCGCATACAGCCATAAAAATCTGCATCAACGACATCGACGGTTTTGAAAAATCCCCACATCCCATCGACTGGGTATGGCAAACCACCAAGACCCACTTCAACATCAAGACACACATGGAACTCTTAGACCACGCATACACACGCTTTGACAAAGCATTCATGGCATCCCTATGCAAAAAATCGCCGCTGGCGCAAATGAAGGCGATGCGCTTGCGCGTCATGTTTTTCACCTCGCAGGCCGAGATCTCGCGAAGGGATTGGCCGCCGTTCTTCCTAAAGCTCACCCTACACTGACTTCTCGCGAGGGGGAATTCATATCCTATGCGTCGGCTCGGTATGGCTCAGCTGGAATCTGCTTCCGGCCGGGATTCATCGAACATATGGACTCCATTCCGGAAATACGCGAGCTGTCACTGATGAAGATCTGCACGACGATTCGCCGTCGGCGCTGCTTATATGGCGAGCGATCGGCTGAAAATCCCCATTCGTAAACAATACAATAAAAACTACGAGGTGTTTTTTAGATACAAAAGTTGTAAGTGACTTTTATAAATATGATTGAAATAAGTTAAGCGTAAACTATGAGGCTGCAGACGGTTTTTGTATCATGAGATTAATTGTAGATTTGTAATAAAACAAAAGCCGTTTGCGCAGTTGAAACACACTGTATATGTTATTTTATTATATTTTATGTGTCACATTGTCAAATGACACGCTTATGATAGTATTTTGTGTAAATCGTCACGGAATACGCCGTTGCGTAAGTTAATCACACGGTTTGAATCACATGTTGATATTTTCATCAAGCTTATCATTTGAAACATGTTTATTGCTTCATTTCGCAGCGCCATTTTATTTTTAAGCGGATTTTATTTAAGGATTATAAATCAACTTGTCATTGCACGAAAAATGTATGTAATCATTAAAAATTATATTCATTGTCTCATGGTCAGATTTAAGTCGAAGAAAAAAAACTATAAATTTGTTTAATGTTTGCAATTCACGTTAGTATTTGCATAAATTGTTATAAGTTGATCATAAAACATGAGTATACTGGAAGAACCAGCAGTTTGCGCCATTTTGAAAACAATTGCGAAAAATGCAGGTTTTTTGACAGCGATGTTGAGTTTAGTGTTGACAAAGGCGCCGATAAAGGAGATGGCTACTTGAGCCAAATGTCATTGGTAGATATTACCTCAAAATCTAAAAACAGAGAATCTATAAGCTTGGTGATTAAATGTGCGCAAAGTGATCCAATTCAACGCACGACATTTCCGTTACATCAACATTACTTACGTGAGATTCGGTTTTATGAAGAAATATTACCGGCGTTTAATACATTCCAAAAACAAAACAACGTTAAAGATCCATTTAACTCTGTGCCGAAATGTTACGCATCTTGTATTGACGACAACAAAGAGTTTTTAATAATGGAGAATATTAAAATGCAAGGGTTTGAATTGTGGGATAGAAAAACACCGCTAGATGGCGCACATGTTAAACTAGTGCTTGAAAAATACGCGAAATTTCACGCTGTTTCTTTCGCTATACGTGCGCATGATCAGAAATTATATGATAAACTGAGTCAGGATTGGATAATTTATTTGTGCCGAAATATGTCGATAGAAGTTTCTTTCAAAGTTTTGAATTAGCCGTGGATAAAGCTATTGGTTTGTTTGGTAACACCGAAGCAGATAGAAAGTATCATGTTAAACTGTCAAACTTTAGACAGGATGGAAAAGTTATGGATTTCTTTCATTTAATGGGACAAACAACATGGGAGAATCCTATTATCACGCATGGTGATAGTTGGTTGAATAATTTCATGTTTAAATATTGTCAAAAGGTAAAAAGAAGTAATTTACGCACAAAATAGACTAAAATCGTTGTTATTTTTCACAGAATGGCAAAAAACAACTGCAAGATGTCCGAATTTTTGATTTTCAAATAATGCGTCACGTGTCAGTCATCTTGGACGTCGCATACTTGATCTACATGAATACAGACGCATCTCTGTATAATAATTACGAACATTATTTGAAGTTTTATTACAATCATCTACTATTACATGGTAACGCAATGAAAACTAACATTGAGAATGTGTTTCCCTATGAAACTTTGAAAGCTGAATGGGCTAAATATGGTGTTTATGGCTTGTTATTTGGATTGATAGGTGTCGGAATTTTATTGCAAGATAAAGAAGATATCGTTGATTTGTCTGATATCGCTAGTGGAAACATATCCGCTGCAAATGTGTTTTTCGTTGATAATAACTCCGAAGAAGGCATCAGGAGGATGAAAAATTTAGTTAAACATTTTGTAGATAACAAATTCATATAGTTTTATTAAATAAAACAAGCGGAAATAATGTTTTAATATCAAATTTATAGAAATAAAGTTAGTCAGTCAGTCATTTTGACAGATTGACATTTGACAGTTCAGCTTTCTGTAATTTCAAATCATCTGTTCCAATCTTTTAACAACATTCTAATTACAATTCATTTACTTGTTGAAATAAGTACTTCCTCCAATGATTCATACCACTTACATGCCTTACATGTGATAATGTCGTTGTTTCGGTTACGTCGACATCTCAAAACAACTTAAACAACCACCGGTGGGAATCTCAACAAAAGCAGATCTAACCTCAAACGCTACTATCATCATTCATCACGCAACTTATTCCACGTACGTGTAAATATTACAATTTCTACTGAGATGATAATGCCAGTGTGCAACGAGTGCTGTAACAATGTTTAAGCTAGAATCATATATTACACCGATTCTGCTCAGCTACGTCGATAAATATATTAAAAATTTTCGTCCACAAGATTCTCAGGTATAGAAACATCAAAATCATGTTGATAATCAATGATAATTGATTATTTTTGTTTTAAGGTATCATTATGGGGTGGCGACGCCTCATTTCACAATCTAGACTTGAGACTGGAAGTCCTGGAGCAGGAACTGCAACTGCCATTCAGTTTTGTCTCTGGACACATTCATGAGTTGTTGATTCATGTGCCATGGACTAAATTGGCCTCCGAACCTATTACAATTACTATAAATACTATTGAATGTATTTTGAAATTAAGGGGGGCTGATAGTGCTAGGGTTAGCCAGGAGAAAACACAAGATAAATCAAAAAGATACCCAAATAAAAGGTAATTTACTTTTAAAATTAATTTTACTTGAAATAAAATTAATATTTGTTTTAAATTTAAGGCAGCAGATTGAGGAGACCCCGCCTGGTTATGTACAACTTCTCATTAACAAAATCGTAAGCAACATTCGGATTTACTGCAATAATTTGATATTGAAATATGTGGAGGAGGATATTGTTCTGTCCATGAATGTAAAACTATTGACTTTTGAGTCGGCGAACGAGAAATGGGAGCCTGCATATACAGGTATTTACAAAATGTTTTTTTTTTTTACTTTATTTATTTATTATTTTAAATGATTTTTTAGATGTTTACTTATCGCAGTTGTTGATGCGTAAAGTGATAGCAATAAACGACCTCACCGTGTGTTTAGACAAACGCAATGCATCAGGGAAAATTGATGTATACCAAGAGCCGATGTTGTATCGGTGCTCGATGGTTATACATTTCCTGCGGTCGAATATCGCGGGTAGCAAAAAATCCTCAACGTCACGATGCGATATTTACTGTAATTCGTAAGTATTTCACCTCCGCCATTTTGAAATAACTCCAATGACAGTTAGTGTGTATTTAACATATAAATTTCTTGTTTTTGTTTGTATTTAGAATGGAATTCAGTATGACAGAGCAACAAATACCTATGCTGTTGAGGTTAATTTACTTGCTGCAAGCATTACACCAGAAACAATTAAAGAGTGATCACGATATTTTCCGCGAGGGGGACGCACTGTCGGACACAGGTTAGTTCAAAATTACATAACCTATGTATGCAACACATCTTACATATATTAATATTTATGTTTTACATTTGTTTAGAATATGGCGTAGAAAAACAATCACTCGCTGGATGGGCCTGGTCGTTTGTGCCTTCCCTACTGCCAGTCTCACATGACGATATAAATTTCCAAGAAATGCACAATCTTGGCCCAACTCTACAAATTGGATTCTACGTGGATAATGCCTCGCTTACTTTTAAAGTTTCCGAATCGCACAATGAAAAAGGCGGATATTACTCGCAACGCAAGTTGAAATACTGGCCACTTCTCACACTGCGTCTACAAGGTATTTTTACTGAGTCAATATTTCATGGCAAGCAATGGTCGCAAGTTAGCATGGGAATTAGCGAGATGGCGCTGTTACCAATCGGACAATGCAGTTGTTCTATTCAAGACGTTCTTGATAATGTCACACCAGCAGAGTATCTTAAAACCGGGCAAATATCCGATGCGCACAAATCCGATTCACTTTTCGACGCTGAAGCGCCTGAAAATAAAGGCGAGCGTAAAATTTACCACGCCAATTGGAATCGGCATGTTGAGCGCACTACAGAGGCGGCTCTACTGGAGCGCTCGCCAGCGCTAGCGGTAGACTACCTGTATCACTTGACTGTCCCTGATGACATGACAAGCGAAAACTTGTCTGAACTTGGGAGTGATTTTGAGTATAGTAATTTATCCGAGAGGGCGCTGTTGAGAGTTGTGGTGGGTCCATTGCGCATGCGTCTATGTTCCGGTTTCCTTCATCGCATGAGTAGTCTACAGGCTGCTGCATCAACTTATGATTATCTACCGTATAGTATACCGAAACCAGAGCCGGAGTTAGCCGATTTGTTACCACCGTCTGAGGATGATTACGATGCGTTAAATGAACACATACCAGATAGAGTTATGCAATTTACATTCCTTGCGCCTGTCGTTGAAGTTTCCCTAATGGATCATCCGTTTTTCGAAGCAACAAAACATAATTTATTCAAGAGGAGTAAAAGTTGTCTACGCATCAGGCGCAGCAAGGCATACATGAGCAAAACTTACCAAAGTTGACTCTGGAATGTCAATGTGTCGATTTGAAGATTACAAATCCAATGTATACGAAGAGATTATTGCGAACAACGTGTCAATTGCCTGATCCACCAGCGCATATGTTCGACGCATGTTATTCCAAGATGTCCGCGAAAGTAATCGGATTCTGTAGTAGATTGTTGATAAATAAGCGGCAAACAACGATATTAACGCCTAGTAACGCATCCTATAAATCCAAGAGTATATTAATGCCGCAATATTGGGTGGATTCGAATATTGCGCATCGAGAGTGCTTGTTTGAGGGTGAAAGTTTTACTATAACTGGCACGAATCCGAAGCTGTTGATTTTTGGCATGATTTTGGATAAATTTATTAAGAAAGATGCTGAGGATGGTATACATTATATTGGCAACAGTTCATTGGTGGCTGATGCAGTTAAAAATCATGGTAAGTGTATTTTATGTTTAACTAGCTTTAACCCGCGGCTTCGCCCGCGAATATCTAAAATAATGAAGTTGCTTCCGTACGCGTCTGTAGTCACAGAAGAAGTAACAATGAAGTAGAATGGCGGGAAGTTTAAAATGGCTGAAAGTATAGTCTATGGAAGTATAGTGTACAGTCTCCATAGTGTAGTCAATTGGATTTGATGTTGACGTAGCTGTCGGTAATACAGTGTGATAATACAGTGTGATGGTACTATAGTACTTAGGTTTGAGCTTCATTGCTGGAATGCTAGATGGCGTTAAAGTAGTCAAATAGCCAGATGCAGAGGTATTATTGGCTAAACTATTTCTTTATTTTATTTAAAAAATCATTTTTTTATTAGATAAAAAGTAGCCTATAACCATTCGGGGACCACTAAGAATATGTGTACAAATTTTCATGATGATCGGTTAAGTAGTTTGTGTGTGAAAGTGTAACAAACATCAGGACTTTCGCATTTATAATATTAGTAGGGATATATTTGATCCTAAACATTATCAATCTGCGCATGCGTTTAAAGATAAAATGGCGGCTTATGTTCAATTTATCTAATAATTCTATTATTTTATTAGGTTTAGCATATTTGGAACTCTGCGTCGAAGGAATGCGCTACAAGCGTGTGACAACGGAAAGCACGACAATAATCGACGCGAGTTTAGGTTCAATCAAAGCCTTTATAATCGAACCGATTGATTTCATCAACACACCGACATCTAGTTTGACATCTGCAAATCTATCCACCGCCAGTTTCTATTCCACGCGAGAAATTCAACAAGTGTTGATTATTTCCGGCCCAGAGTATGAAAACGAAGAAGATGCTACTGCAGCATCAACAGAGCAGTTGTTCACAGCCACTGTGCAAGTTCCACTCAATCCTGAAAACAAACACATCCACCACTGTTGCTTTTTAACTTGAAAGAAATCAAAATGTGTGTTGATCCGCTCCTGTGTAGATGGTTGCTGTACACACCGAAAGTGACAGCGATGAAAACTGAAGTTTTATTTGAAGCTGCGCCTAGGAAACTAAGTCGCACTTATTCAGATAATAGTGTTTATGAAACACCACGCAGAAACCGAACTCCATATGAGTCGATTCATAGCAGTCTTGATCAAGCGACTTATACACCTGTGCAAAAGTCACAAAAATCACAATCGTTAGCGATTAATACCGGAGAAGAAGAAAGGGAAGAAATTGATGTAAGTTACACTTTCAACATGTCAATCAATCAATACTAAAGTGAATTATTTTTACAGTCGCAGGAAAAAGTTTATAATTTCCTCAAAAAATGGTTCGACGTGTGGAAAGGCCTACTCTTCTACGGCGACGTCTCACAATGCACGATTTACTTCCCTGTGAAGTCTTTATCCGCTGTAGGTTCACAGGGAATTCAACAAGCTGTCGAGGAAGTAATGCGGAAAGAAAACCCACCGGATATATTTGTGTTCACACTGCCCTCTGCGAAAGTCCGCAACTCTTCACACAGAGACAACTTGAATCAGTACATGAACAAGTTGCCAATTGTGTTACCAGATACGTTCTGGTCGGCGAACAAGTCGAGCTTCCCGTGGAATTTACACATTGCTGATTTGTCATGTTATACTTGGCAAAATGGCGCTAAGGTTGATTGTCTCGCACCTGTTTCCCTAACCTCAACAGTTGGAATGTCAACGAAGTCTGCAAGGCCCAGTCAGGACGCCGGCCATCTTGGACAGAGCATCGAGAATATCTTCCAGATTAATTTCTCTGGTAACAAGTGTGATATTGGAACGTTTGGTGTGTGCGTACACATTGACATGACGCCGATTGTTGTGTCTATATCTGAACCACAAGTAAGTTTATTTATTTATTTATTTATTTACTAGCTTTAACCCACGGCTTCTCTCTCGAATATCTGAATATCTGAAGTTGCTTCCGTACGCGTCTGTAGTCACAGAAGAAGTAACAATGAAGTAGAATGGCGGGAAGTTTAAAATGGCTGAAAGTATAGTCTATGGAAGTATAGTGTACAGTCTCCATAGTGTAGTCAATTGGATTTGATGTTGACGTAGCTGTCGGTAATACAGTGTGATAATACAGTGTGATGGTACTATAGTACTTAGGTTTGAGCTTCATTGCTGGAATGCTAGATGGCGTTAAAGTAGTCAAATAGCCAGATGCAGAGGTATTATTGGCTAAACTATTTCTTTATTTTATTTAAAAAATAATTTTTTTTATTAAATAAAAAGTAGCCTATAACCATTCGGGGACCACTTAGAATATGTGTACAAATTTTCATGATGATCGGTTAAGTAGTTTTTGCTTCAAAGTGTAACAAACATCAGGACTTTCGTTTTATTTGTAGGGATTTATTTAAATCACTAGTGGCTATTTTATTAATTTTTCCAGGTTTGTCTTATTGCGAGTATTCTCCATGGTCTAATTGAAGTGGCGTACAACATTCTCCCGGAACCGAAGGTGCAAGTACTAAATCTCGATCCCATTCCTCCTATTCCTTCAACCCAAGGCGGTTCTAACCTAAGTCCGACAATATTAAAAGAGAGCGTGGATTCGGTAAGTGAGAAACAGCGACCCCTGGTGCCGGAAAACCTCGAAAGTGATAATATTAAACTAACGGCGTGGATACAATGGACTATTACGCGATTTACCATTAATTTACTTGCACAAGACAATTCTAACCTCAATTCTAACCTTAAATTCGTTATCGACGCGGAGGATATAGTCAGTTCTTTAGACTTTCAAAACGTTTATTTAAAACTTAAGAGTAAAATCGGGTCGGCAAGTGTGATGCACTATGTAAAAGATGGCGACGATAGATGGCGCCCCGGGGATTTCCTTGGGTTAGTTTTGAGGGTAAACGAAGAACCTGTGACTTCCGATCGGCAAGAAGACACGAGTTTTGCTAATATTACTATAACACGCGCAAGCTGTCAACATACACATACACTATGGGGTGCTAACAAGCAAAAAAACAAAAATAAGAAAAAAAGCACCGCGGATGAAGACAAAATGGCGGAGTTTGTGTACTCACGCTACATGACTGAAATAATGCTCAGTATTCAACCGATAGACCTATTGGTATCACCTGTCACTTTGAAGAATTATTTCTTGGTACTGGAACCTTTGTTACAAGTACCAGCGTTATCATCACAACCAAGAAAAGTCACATCTTCTAGTAGTTTAATTCTTAGCAATCGCAGTTTACCGCTGACGTACATTGAATTCAACGGGTTTCGATTGATCATGCCTTCGGTAGACATGGGAAAAGCCGGTACTGTGCACAATACATGCGTATTTCAAGTTAACAGAATTAATTTATCACCGAGCGCTGTGAATCCCATCTGTAGAACTCCATGCAGGCCGGATATTTACCAACAGGCAGCGCAGGCGCGGATTCTGAACGTGCCCGGAAGTGAGATGGAGGATCGCCAATATCAACTGGATATTAACGGTATATGCATGAATTCTGGTTCGTGGACGGAGATAAGTCAATTATTAAAGAATAGAGGTAAAAGTATGTCGGTATTGAAAACTATGAGTGAAAACCCAGCGCTGGAATGGAATAATCTGGAAAAAGGTAAACTCAAGTCCGGACCGGAGATTACCTACTGGTCGCTGATATCCAAGTTTGATATCTCGGTGATTTACGCGCCGGCAATGATCTACAAGCATGATATCATCTGCGGGCATTCAATTGAGGTTAACTTTATATCGGATATTAATTTTACGGTGTCCCTCGAGCAGATTAAGCTGATAATGTCGTTGAGTGATGAGGCTCTTGGTGTTTTGGATGTTTTACTCGCGCAGAACGACGTGAACAAACCGTCGAAGGTGATATTTCCGTATTCCATTTATCAACCGGAAGATGAATGTGATCTGGAAGTAGAATTGGATGTGACTAAAGATTCCGGCATTGAAACACAAGCTTCAGACCTCAGGAGTTCGTTTTCTTTGAAAACAAACAGCGGAGTACTTGGGGCTTTAAGAAAAATGAGCGAAGTAAGTGAAAAGTCCATTTTGTCACCTGGTGCACCAGCAATTGTTAAATCTTCAACAACGTTGAGTAACACATCGACGTTTATACCTCTAGATGTTTTAATAACCGGCGGAAAGGTTTCACTGGTTTTGTATGAGTTTGAAACTTCGACTAGGAGTGACATGTCGCGATTTTTCAAAGAAAATGAAAGTGATAAAGGTTACGAAGCTTCCGAAGAGGAAAGTGTCATTGATGTAAAGATGCACGCAAGGAGATTCTTTCCTTTGTTGTATTTTTCTTTATCGCAACCGAATTGCTTCATGTCCGATACATTACTATGCAGAAAGATTCAAATCTCGTGTTATGATGTCTGTATCAAAGTCGATGGACATGGCGGACATAAAATCTTGAAGAGTATACCAAGCGAGGATGATTTTGGTACGCATTTACTAGAAACTAAATCAGGGGAACCCCATCTTGACACAGGCGTACTCCCAGCGTTCCTAACCTTAAAATGGAGTAAAGGTATAGGAAAACCTGCAACTTTGGATGTGGATATTGCAAAACCGACGAAAATTGTATGCTCATTGTCCAGATGGTTGTATCTTCTACAGATTCAGGATAAATTTCTATCTAATATTATTGTACCACGTGGCAGATTTAGTTCTACAGATAGTCAGGCGGATCCAAAACCGGATATGGAGGTTCTGCACGTGCGAGCACCGAAAACCACCACAAAAGGTGAACATTATTTAAAATATGAATTGATCAAGCAGAAGTTTAAAGGTTTATCTATTATTAACGTAAAACTATCACAAATGGTGCTTGCGATGCACACGAAAAATGATGTTGAGGTTAGTGTTGCTTTTTCAAGTTTAACAAACAATTTATCCATACAAAATCGCCCGGAGAAGTTGTTAAACACTACGAGTATAGAATGTATGACAATTGGATGTGTTTCCAATGGTGCATCAAAACTAATACTAAATCCATGGAGTACTTCATTTGAGGTTACGTTGTTCTGGGAGTCATGGCAGTCGATGAATTCTAGCCCACAAACGCAGATTTCAGCCGAGAGTGATGCTATCGTGCTGGATATCAGCCCTGATCAAGTTTTAAATATTCAAGATTTATTGGAGGACATTCAGGAGTTATCTAGGAATTTCCCTAAAAACTCCGAAGATACTTCAAAGATGCGAAAAGAACCATCCAAAGGTCCTGTAACTGAAAAAGAACAACATTACAAGGATGATCTACGAGCCGGAGCTTTCCATTTTGTAGATTCAACGAGTAATAACATTGACGAGTTACCATTACCCTATCAGGTTGTATTCTGGAATAGGAATGTCTCTGCGATGGCGTGGAGATATCCACAACCGAGGGCGCTGACTAAGGTTAGGGTATTTCCGGTTCCTTTTAAAATAAGCACTGGAAACGAAGAAGACGAGCAGATTCTGTGTCATCTAGAATATTGGTCTGATTGTCATGGTTGTTATCAAACATTCACACAGTTTTATTTATCGGAAACAGAGATGTGTCATTTGGAGCTTCCGAAAAGCTACCCACAACCAGCTGTGGCGTGTACATGGAGAGTGGTGTTAACTGCACCTATGATTAAAGACTATCATCAGTCTAGAGTATTCGTCAGTCCTAGAGCATTAGCTGGTTGCATAAGAATTGATTCTTATTTTAACAAACATTTGATTCCTCAATTGACTCTGGCTGTACACATTGCTTCTGTCAACGTTAACCTCATCAATTATTTTGATAAAAGAGCGAATTATACGATGCCTAAAGGGTTGAAGAAATTCTACTCGGATTTACTTATACCAGATTATCAACACGTTGTGACTTTGACCATAGATAACGCCAATGCGTATCTGGCAACGTGGAAATTCGAAATGGCGGTGTTCGATATCAACTGTAATGCGAAATGCGCCATCTTGGATTATGCTTTCCTCACACTCCAACAGTTAATAGAACCATTCTCGTTTAAATTTGAAGTCTCTCTAGCGAAAACAATAGGGATTAATATTATCTCTCAACCGATAAGGGTTTTATTTGGTGCGGGTGCTGCGCATACACTTGCTGTAAGCGTGCAATTGTGGAATGAACTATTACAACGCCGGAAATCAACCGAAGACGCGATTGATTTTATTTTATTAACACGATATGTTGTATGTAACGATACCAATTTGAATCTGCGGTTTGGCCAAGCTGGATTGGAGGATATTTTCCTACCCTCTGGGTGTTGTCATTTTTATTCATGGCGGTCACAAAAAAATAAACAAGTTTTGCGTGTTGCAATGGAAGAGAATAGAAACCTGATGTGGTCGGAACCATTCACTGTGGATAAAGATGGTACCGAGATTTACAAAATGGCGGATGAGAGCACACAGATTATTATCACGGTTAAGTCTTTGTCTGCCACTCAGAAACAAATTATTATCTCCGGACAGTTTTATATATGCAATACATTATTGGAACATTTTGAGATGAAGGTAGTGCAGAGTGTTTCCAGGGAGAAGGAGAGAGAGTTTAAGTTAACTCCGAGTCATATTATTAGAGGAAAGAGCACACCGCCGAGTATGTTTCTTGATTGTAGTAAGACGTATGTTTTGAGATTGAGGTTCTATGGGTTGGAATCTGCTTGGTCTGGGGATATTCCCTTATTGGAGAATACAAAGTGTGCGCAGCCATGGCTCGTGAAAGGTTAGTCACTGATTTTTATCTTTTTTGTTTGTGTTTTAAATAACATTTTTGTGGTTTGTTTAGTGCCATTACAAGAACGTGGCCAGTTCTTGAGCATATGGTGTCGCATTGTGATACAAAACTATGCGCAAGGCAAGAAAATTCTTGCGATGATGTGGCCATTGTTTATGATTCGGTCGAATCTGCCTATTAGTGCTAAAGTCCACATTGAGACACCGACATTAAACGTGCATCTGGAATCAACTGTGAAGGGACACGGAGAATTGCAACAGTTGTATTGTCCTGGGACAATTGATCATTCACATCAGCTTACCTTCCAAATTGAGTATGATTGAGTATTATTACTGAGGTTTTAATTTAAATATTTAAATTTTTTCAGTAATGCTTTGTCCAATTCCAATCCATATGTTCCGCTCAACTATAGTCTAGTTGACCAAAAGCAGTTCTTCAAAAAATCAGAAAATGAAGACGTGGCTGAGATATTAGCCACCATCGATGAATCCAATAAACATTCGTGGCCATATTTCTTTGATGATTATGAAGATGTTGAGTTTGCCGCTGATGATCAACCATTAACCCATGTGCAAGTTAGTAAATATGCTTTACAAATTAATTTAAATAACTAATTAATTAAAATCTTTCTGGTTTATATTTAGGTGCGTTATCAAAACGCGTCACCTTATTCCAGTGCACTCTTAGTTGAACTCTTACCGTGGTCTCTAATGGTCAACATGCTCGGCTGTCAAATCGCCATCTTGATTAACGAGAAAGAGCTGTGCCGGATTAACCACAACGGAATTATCACACCGCCTAAACTTGAAGAGACCTTTTGTATTGGTGTTGGTTTGAGCAGCACGTGGAATGTCTCAGGGCCTCTACAGCTGGCCAAATCTAATTGGTCACAGGCTTTTTATATGCCTTCTATTACAGGTACGATTCCTTTTGATGGTAATATAAAGGCAGTGGTACATTGCGAGCCATATGTGAGTACATAGTTAGTTTTTATTGATTAATAAGTATAAAAATGTTTATATTTATATATTAGGTATGCGTGGTGTCGATATACAGCTCGATATATAACGAGATTCGGTTACTACGCATGACTTCATCGCACGTGTTAACCAATCACCTGAAGATGCAACTGTATGTGGTTTGTTTTGCGCTGCCAGATAATAATTCCAGAGTGAATCTTCCACTGCAGTGTGATAAACATGCGTTTGTTTTGCCTCCTCAACTCCACAAAACGTAAGCTGACGCCATTTTGATTTCCATGTCTCTAACACGTGTTTTGTTTTTTCTTTAGTAATAGCGGAATACCAATTATGCAATGGCTCCTCGTGGAGAACGCTCAAAACACACGCGCGTACACAAACTCAAACGATTACGCTTTCTATGTGTCGTTTTCAACGAGTTTCCGCTACGGCTGGTCGTGCCCAATCCGTGTGGATAAATATGCCGCACGGCGGAGTATCGCCATTCCCCACGAAACACGCAGTGTACCCATCGTGTTGGTAGCGCAAGAATACAAAGGTCAAACGTATCTAGCTGTGCACCATGATTTACATCCACAGCTTTTGGTGGAGAACCATTGTGGGACGAAGATATTCTGCGCGCAGTTCAAAAATGATCAATCCGCTGTCATTCAGGATTGCGATCACATCAATTGGCTGTGCACCATTGACAATCATTCTTCCAGCTACTATAGCATGCCAATTGTTAGCGAGAAGTTTCCGGAGCTTCCACAGGTCAATTATCAAGAGATGCTGGTGCTTGCTGCAAGTGATGAAAGTAAGCACTAGAATAAAACATCTTATCTTCATATTTTTTTAAATTTATATATGAATAATTTTAAAGGTGATTTAGAAAACATAATTTGGTCCACGCCGATAAATGTGACTAACTACAACGATCAATTCGTGCGCATTCCGTATCACGGCGACGTTAAAGCCGTGGTGCAATACACTGCACATGTGATAAAGATCCGCATCGAATCGGTGAGTCAAGTTGAAATTAGCGCTAGGGATATCCGCGTGCGTTTGACAATGCACGAGAATGAAGCGAGGCAGCAGAAGAAGGAAATTGCCTATGCTGACAGCGGCTCGACCACTGCAGGAACAGGAACGTCTTTCTTTAGTGCTGAAGGATCCGCTAGTTCTAGTGGGTCAACTGAAAATATGATAATGCTGCGTCCTGAAACATATTTGGATTATGCTGCTGGTGCTGCAAGTAGTGTATACTCTGATTGTGAAGACAGATCGTCATCAACACAAATTATTCAACCATCTTTGACTCAGAATGTCATTAGAGTAATGGCGTTCTTCAAGGGTTTAATTTTTACTTTAACTGGAGATTTAGAAAATGGCGGCGCGGAAAGAAAAGAAGTGATTAGTTTATCGTGTGATAACATCGCCATTACAGTCACACGCGCTGAAATCTCGCAGATTGTATTGAGCATTTCAAATATTCAAATTGACAATCAATTGTACACGCGTGGATCGTATGATTTTCCGGTGATTTTGGTCTCGCAATCAGAGGGACCAAAAGTCAATCTGCGAGGGTTTAATGTCCCTATTAATCAGTTGATCTACGACGCGCAGGAGAACAATGTCATTCGTATGGATATGAATGTGGAGAGTTGGAGGGATGTATTCTTAAATGAAAACATTGCAGGTTAGTGAGAATTTAATTATTTTATTCATCTTTAAAACTGATTTTATGGTTGTTTCCGTTAGATGTGCGTGATATTCACATCAAAGTCCAACCTATATCAATATTTCTGGAAGATATTTACTTGATGAAGTTGGTGGAATACCTAACGGTGCTGCAACCAACCAAACTCGTCATCTGGCAACCGAGAAAATCCTGACGAACTACCGTGTGAAGTCAACGTGTGTTCCAGTTCCGCTTCATTTGAAGTACGGAGCATGCATGCTGGCGCGTCCTGTACGCTTGAAGAATTTCAGCATTGATGAGATATCAATCCTTCTCTCTGTTCATGCATCGGTCAAGCTGTATATAGCTCTGGACCAGTCGCCATTGCATTTTGGTAAATTCGACAAGAAGCGTCTGTTTACTACCTATTATAGATTAGGCCACGCCATGACGATGCATTATATATCAGGCGCCATCTTTGGTGCCGGTTGGGTGGTGAGTTCATTGGAGTTGATTGGAAGTCCTGGTGGGTTAGCCCGTGCAATGGGATCTGGTTTAAGAGATTTTGTAAGTTTACCTTATCATGGATTGGTACAAGGACCATGGGCTTTTCTTAGAGGCGTGTCATATGGTTCCGCTAGTCTTATGAAGCATGTGACAGCGGGTACGCTGCAATCTGTGACCAAGTTAGCTTCCAGTGTTGCAAGGAATTTGGATAGGTTGACGTTGGACGATGAGCATTTACGCCGGACAGAAGAATCACGCAGGCAACGGCCTCAAGGATTGACTCAAGGTTTCGTCCAAGGTTTGACAGGTTTAGGAATAAGTTTATTGGGAGCTGTTGGTGGGATAGCGCATCATCCGCTTCAAAGTGTCATGGCGGAGGGTGCATCACCAAGGTCACTTGTAGCCGGCGTTGGACGAGGTATAGTTGGTGTATTTACCAAACCTTTGAGTGGCGCTGCTGAATTGGTTGCGTTAACTGGTGAAGGATTGCTTCAAGGCGCAGGATGGAATAAACTACCGGAACCGCGCATGACTCCAGCGTTAAACCACATTTATTCCTCGACAAATTCAATTGTAAAGTACAAGTGGAAGTTTCTGCAGACAATCACACAAAGTAATATTCTTTTCGTGACTGAAGCTACCGCCATTACGAATATTTGTCAATATGACGCTGTCGCCCTTGTATTGACCTCTGAGGCTTTGATCATCGTTGATGTCGATGAGGATATGACACAGAGAGTGTTAAGCCTATCAGAACTTTCGGGAACATATAATAATGACCCCACACTGTTATGTCTCAAGTTGGAACCACCTAAAGTAATCATGAAGATCGTGGAGGATGATGTGGTGCTTGAGATGGATCCGGCATGTCGCGCACGCGTGGCAGATTACGTCAGGAATACAGTTGGGCTTATGCAGCTTCCTGCAGATAGAGATAGCCCTGAACATTCGGAAATGAGTATTTCGCCGGATGTATCACCAACTGGGTCCCCGGGAAGGAGATCGGACGAAGCCACGGTGATGACCTACTATGTCAGCCCGCAGAGTCGAAATTATTTTCTGTGTTTGCTGGCCTTGGCGAAACAACAAACCGAAAACTATTATTTTCCAATTTTATAAGTCACGACAAAATGGAGTAAGAACCGATACTTTTTATTTATTAATGATTTATGGTGATACAAAGCGGAGATTGATTTTATATAAGTAAAAAATTGTGATATGATCTAACATAACGTCTTTAGTCTTCTTTATTACGTTGATTTATGTTGGTCATGTAACATTTATCTTTACAACAGCGCCATTGACAAATTTTCGTTTACACATGCTGCATGTGTTGCATAATGTGATCAAACATGGCCGACAGAACAAATGCCTACACACGGTTATCTCATACAAATTTGCGTCACATTTACACTTGTGACATGTTTTCTTCAACGTGTTAGCGGGTTGACTCTTCTCGAAGCTTGTAAAACACATAAAACTTCCGCTTCCCATAACTTTAGCAATCGCATCGTCTAAATTATCGCCTGTTGAATGTTGATTACATTCACTGGTATTATCCACAGCCTTTTGTATCTTCTGAGGTATTTCAACGCGTAATTCGGTAGAATAATTAGTTTTGCGGTTGTTTTTATCACCATAACTTGTTTGTTGATTCTCTTGTTTGCTTGAACCAAGCGTCCGACCAATTGTTTTCGTTTCATCCTGATCGCCATGTTTTAACAGGAATAAATCAATGCGACTTTTTAAAGCTACGTTCAATACTGGTTTCCGGTTTGGGAGAAATTCTAAGCCTGTGAATGGATCCACCGCTTTCCGTCCGTACATTACATCGTTACTAATACATTTCTCAAGTGTGACTTGATCGATTGTGTTACCACTTGGCAGAGTCATCGGCAATGCCATTACTTCACAAGTTAACGCATCCTTAAAATCCTCCGGTATGGTAAATTCACCGTTCTTGCTATTTGTCAGTATATTCTGCATTTTAGTTCTTCCTGGATGTTTCTCATCACTTCTGTGCATGAGTTTATGCACTGTTTGTTTTGTTTCTTGTGAGCAGTTCTTTCCAATGTATCCCCATACTTCAACACTGCCTAAACATGGCACTGATCTTGAATCGGTGCGTAAAATTCGCACACATAACTTATTTGTATTTGTGAATACTCTGTGTTGAAAAGACTTGAAATAACTAAGAGTATATGAGTTTGTGTTGCTTGTAGGAGGATTCTGCTTGTCATAAAACTTAGAATCACACATTATTAACCCTGGTATCTTTTCATCATAGATTTGAGTTCCTATTGATACTGCAGGGCTGCCTGCAAGCAGTTCTATTCAATTGTTTTGTGTGACCCAAGAGTTGTTTGAATTTTTATGTATCTTATTTGTATATCACAGATGAATTCAAAGTCAATATCAATTGGGGGTTTTATTGAACTGAAAGCCAGGAAGCCCCTGGCACGGGTTTTGAAGTCGTTACTTATTAAATTACTAACTTCATAGTCGTCTAAAGCCGCTGCAGTTGTGGAAACTTTTGGAGAGAGCTTTGGGTCCAGAAAATTGTACATTTTAGGTCTAAAATGTGCATGTATTAATTATACTCATCAAAAGGTTCTTTTAACATACATATTGTATAAATTTCTTGCACTGCATTAATCACATCAGGTACTTTTGACAGTATTTATTAAGTTTAACACATGCTAGATAAAGTGAAGAGTATTTGTGATGGAAACTCATGAACCAGAAACTCATCAACCTAGAGTTTAACATTGGGTGTAACAGCGACATTCGTTTTTAGGTTAAAATAAACATTGAACCACATCTAACACAATTTAATTTTACGCGTATTGACTATTTATGCTGTATAAAATGTTTATTTATTCCTAAATTGATGAATGTTTGCATTCAAAAATTTGATTAATGTATTTTGAATAAGTACATCGTAACGACATCTATATTTGCATTTTTGCGTTATCTGCAAAAAATTTTACTCGTTTAGATAGAGTAGTACCTACATGTACACTTTCGTGTACGTGTGACACGAGTGAAAGTCGGCGTGCACAGTTCTCGTGCGCATCTCTTACTTCCTGCGGCAAGTAATATTACTCCGTGGAGTATTCGTGTTTCTCGTTGTAAATTCGGTATATCGCGTTATATTTGATTGAATTTAGTGTTAATTGTCGTCTTTGGTGATTCGCTAAATATTTATCGCTTGTGTAATTTTCGGAATTCAATATTTTGTGTGTTTTTTACATTTTGCGTGAATTACGTCGGACGCCGGCCGGCCAGTCTTGTTGTGTGATTGTAAACAATATTGCAGTTAATTTTGAACTTGTGCGAACCATTTTTGTCTTCAGCAGAACTCGGATCAATGTGTACCCAGGTGAGAATACTCATTTTAATAATTGTGGTGAATAAGAATTTTTCATCATTCATAATATCTGTTTTACTGCTTTCCTGGAATTAGAAAATTGATATCTTAAACTTCCTTTTGCGGAAATTTCTTTTAAGCATTTCACAGAATATTTGAAGATTGAAATTGAAACTTTTAATTGCGGACTCATAGTTATTCCGGAATTTGACTAAATGTGAAAATACTTCATTGTTCAAATATAAACCGAAATGGAGTTGAAATAATACATGCTCGAATTAAATATCACTTAAATATTTGATGTAAAATCGGTCAATCTTTTAGCACAAGAAAACATAATTTCATGACTAAAATGCTATTGTTTTATTTATTTTATTCTAAATTTCTGGACTGCAATCTGTATCATTTAGAGATGACACTAGCATGAATTATAAATCGTAAAATAGAATTTTATTCGTTTCGAACACAATTCAATTATCAGCGTTTGTATATAAACAACATTCTTATCGCATTCGCCGTGCGAGATTCTACGCGTAAGATTCTTGTCTATCGTCACGCTGTTACATGCGGCACATTTTAGTTTCTGATTGCAGGTACATTGTCTATTGCAATTCGCACACAAGGTCGCGGGCTGTCGACGCGCCGGTTTTGCGTATCTATTGCTTTTATCAACGGGGTTCATGCAGCAGGTACTGGTACAATGTACAGTGGTACATGCACTGCCGCATCGTTGCTTGTTTATAATTGAATTATAATTTTCGTTTTAATTTCTGCGTGGTAAAGTAGATTGTATTTACGAAGTTTTTTTTTATCGCGTTCCACCGCGTTTTGCAAAGACATAAGATCGGGTTTCAATCCGCTTCTCTCTATCACTCTATCTCTTTTAGTTTGCGAGATATTCGCAATCGAAAGAAACTTTCAAAAAACAAAAATGTCCACTTTTCGCACATTTAAACACGATATCACCCCGAATTTTAATTACTTTTTTGTCTTGTCTTATAGAGAGTTTTCTAAACTTTCATAATCTTGATTGGCTAGGCTCTAGCGCTTTTAGTTTAAAAAATATTTGCTACCGAAATTGTATAGTTATGTCTCATTCGGTGTACTGTAGCAGGTGGCGGTAAAAGTGACTCTCAGTCAAGGCACCGTACGTGGGCAGCGGTAGAAGTGACTCGTGTTCAGGGCACCGTATAAGGGTAGCGGTAGATGTGACTCCCTTTCAGGGCACCGAACATGGGCAGCGGTAGAAGTGACTCGTGTTCAGGGCACCGTACGAGGCTAGCGGTAAAAGGGAAGCTGACTCTCATTTGCTCATTTTTTAATTACCAATTTAGATATCTAGCCTATCTGATAGAGAATTTACCGTAGATTATGATATGTCAATCCGCTTCTCTCTGTCTTTTTAGTTTTCGAGATATCCGCAATCGAAGAACTCTCAAAAAATGAAAATGTTTGCTTTTTAGCACTTCTAAATACGATTTCAGAACCTTTACACCCCGTATTTTAATTATTTTCTTGTCTTATCTTATTGAGAATTATCCAAACTTTCACAATCTTTAATTAGTTGGTCGCTAGGCCTTTTAGTTTGAAAGATATTCGCCATTTTCATGTTTTTGTGGAATATTTGTATTTTGTTGGACAGGCCCACTGTAACCCACGAATTTATAACATTTTTTATTTTTGTATCATTTTCCTAAATAACTTTTGTGATTATTTCACAAATTAACTCTTAAAATTGCATTTTATGTTCGAATGACTAATTTTTGCTTGTTTTAGGGATTTTGCACCTGAGTCTGACATCGTAGAAGGACCATTCTTGCATCAGATTGTAAGTATTTAATTTCTTTATCATTTTCCTAAATAACTTTTGTGATTATCTCACAATTTAACCCTTAAAATTGCATTTTTATGTTCAAAAGACTAATTTTTGCTGGTTTTAGGTATTTTGCACCTGAGTCTGACATCGTAGAAGGACCATTTTTGCATCAGATTGTAAGTATTTAATTTCTTTATCATTTTCCTAAATAACTTTTGTGATTATCTCACAATTTAACCCTTAAAATTGCATTTTTATGTTCGAATGACTAATTTTTGCTGGTTTTAGGTATTTTGCACCTGAGTCTGACATCGTAGAAGGACCATTCTTACATCAGATTGTCAGTATTTAATTTCTTTATCATTTTCCTAAATAACTTTTGTGATTATCTCACAATTTAACCCTTAAAATTGCATTTTTATGTTCGAATGACTAATTTTTGCTGGTTTTAGGTATTTTGCACCTGAGTCTGACATCGTAGAAGGACCATTCTTGCATCAGATTGTAAGTATTTAATTTCTTTATCATTTTCCTAAATAACTTTTGTGATTATCTCACAATTTAACCCTTAAAATTGCATTTTTATGTTCGAATGACTAATTTTTGCTGGTTTTAGGTATTTTGCACCTGAGTCTGACATCGTAGAAGGACCATTCTTGCATCAGATTGTAAGTATTTAATTTCTTTATCATTTTCCTAAATAACTTTTGTGATTATCTCACAATTTAACCCTTAAAATTGCATTTTTATGTTCGAATGACTAATTTTTGCTGGTTTTAGGTATTTTGCACCTGAGTCTGACATCGTAGAAGGACCATTCTTGCATCAGATTGTAAGTATTTAATTTCTTTATCATTTTCCTAAATAACTTTTGTGATTATCTCACAATTTAACCCTTAAAATTGCATTTTTATGTTCGAATGACTAATTTTTGCTGGTTTTAGGTATTTTGCACCTGAGTCTGACATCGTAGAAGGACCATTCTTGCATCAGATTGTAAGTATTTAATTTCTTTATCATTTTCCTAAATAACTTTTGTGATTATCTCACAATTTAACCTTTAAAATTGCATTTTTATGTTGGAAAGACTAATTTTTGCTTGTTTTAGGGATTTTGCACCTGAGTCTGACATCGTAGAAGGACCATTCTTGCATCAGATTGTAAGTATTTAATTTCTTTATCATTTTCCTAAATAACTTTTGTGATTATCTCACAAATTAACCCTTAAAATTGCATTTTATGTTCGAATGACTAATTTTTGCCTGTTTTAGGGATTTTGCACCTGAGTCTGACATCGTAGAAGGACCATTCTTGCATCAGATTGTTATTATTAAATTTCATTATCTTTAATAACTTTTGTGATTATTACCCAAATTGACTCCCAAAATGTATGCTTGTGTGTTTTCTTTAATAAAGAATATTTTAAAGTTGTTCTAATTAAAATTATTTCTGTTATTTCTACCCGATCACATATTTAACGATCCCTTAAAACATTTATTTTGAAAAGTGCATGCTAGTGCCATCTATCAATTAGAAACTACAACAACCGAAAATTTTGAGCTTCGGTCCGTCGCCACCAGAGGCAGCACATTACTAGTTACCGCGAAAACTTTATCAGCCTCCTCAACTTTCTGCGATCCTAATATTCAATCTTTATTTTGTCGACTCTGAGAGGCAAAATGACACAAATTTTGGACTCGAAACAGTCGAAACTCAGGTTTTGGTATTCGGATCGCAGAAAGGGTGAGGAGGTATATAAAAGAGGCGGTAACTAGTAATGGCGGGTAAAATGAATGTTTAAAAATCTTTATTCAGCAAATTCGGTCTTTCGAATTCTGAATTATCTCGACAACTAAGAGGGCTAGAAAATTAAGAACAACATATTCTTGATCCTTGAAAAATTCCCTACAAGGTGGCATCATTATTGAAAAATCATCAAAATGGCACAAAAATTTTTAAAGAAAAGATTTTGTTATAAAAAAGGCAAAAGATTTCTCTTTTTTATGATGAAAATTGAAAGTTGGAATTTTTAAATTCTGTTTTCGAATTCTGATAGATAATTTAATTCTACATCAATTATTTTGGTATTTTTTGCTAGCATTAACTGCTTAGGCCCTATTTGTAATTTTATAGAAAAAATTGAATATGTACCGAAACAAACTGAAATAATATATATAATAATTTGGCGGGAACTGTCTATGTCCACTTTCTGCGTTCCTAATACTACAGACTGATGAGCAGCAACATTTCAGCAAATTTCTCGACAAATTTTGTCGAGAAATCCATTGAAATTGGTGACAAAATTCTTTTGAATATTAGGATCGCAGAAAGTTGAGGAGGCTGAATCTCCAGCAATCTTGAATAGCGACGTAGTTTAGTTACTCGTGGATAGATGACACTAGTGATACCGTTTTTAAATTAATATTGATACAATATAAAATTGATTTTGAACTATTTCTCATATCTAGCAGTGGCATTTCCATTAAAGTTTAAGGGTTTTATGGATTAATTAAAGGAGTAACGATGTTGCGAGCTATGTTCTCCGTTTGGAACAAATAAAACAATAAAAATTTATAGTTAAAAGTATAAAACAACAATTTTATTCAAACATGTAGAATATACACCCATCAGTAACTCAATTTCTCAATATATACATGTAATTATACAATGCTCTTTTTACAATTTTTAACATAATAAACAAAAATGATATCAATAACAGCTTCGAAATGTTGTAAATTCATTCAATCGAATTTGGAATCATCATCAACACCGGCAATCCAATCTTCAATTTCTTGGACACTATAAACCAGAAAGAATAACAGAATAGTTAAATATAAAATATTATAAATTGCCAAAATATAACATACGTTCTTATAAGTTTAGTCCAGTTGCAACATCTATTTTCAGTAATCAAAACATCATCCTCAATACGCACTCCACCTGAACCACTCCAGTTGGTCCTTATTGATAAACTTGGCCATCTCAGAATTAGACAATACTTCATCCAACAACTGGAAAACATGTATGTAAATGAAATATACATATACAGAAATTAAATTAAATATTCTTACAGGATCCATAGAGACTCCCATTTGGGCCACCATTCGAAGGTAGCGACTGTAGTGACTCCCATTCAAGGCACCGTATCAAGGTGGCAGTAGTAGTGACTCCTAAAATCAAACCTATATTAGTCGTGACGATCAAATTTAAAGCTGCGTAATAAAACTACAATTCCTAGCGCAACGAGTACTACGGCGCAAAACACAATTATCAATATAACTCGCGTTACGGAATTTTCTTGCAATAAATTTCTATACAGGGGGATACAGAATTAAATTCCGCATCTAGGAAAATTTATTCAAACTAATTACAAGACCGCGTTCGCGAGTTATAACACAAAAACCACAATTTCTAACCCAACGAGTACTACGGCGCAAAACACAATTATCAATATAACTCGCGTTACGGAATTTTCTGCAATAAATTTCTATACAGGGGGTACAGAATTAAATTCCGCATCTAGGAAAATTTATTCAAACTAATTACAAGACCGCGTTCGCGAGTTATAACAACAAAACCACAATTTCTAACGCAACGAGTACTACGGCGCAAAACACAATTATCAATATAACTCGCGTTACGGAATTTTCCTGCAATAAATTTCTATACAGGGGTACAGAATTAAATTCCGCATCTAGGAAAATTTATTCAAACTAATTACAAGACCGCGTTCGCTAGTTATAACACAAAAACCACAATTTCTAACGCAACGAGTACAACGGCGCAAAACACAATTATCAATATAACTCGCGTTACGGAATTTTTCTGCAATAAATTTCTATACAGGGGGGTACAGAATTAAATTCCGCATCTAGGAAAATTTATTCAAACTAATTACAAGACCGCGTTCGCGAGTTATAACACAAAACCACAATTTCTAACGCAACGAGTACAACGGCGCAAAACACAATTATCAATATAACTCGCGTTACGGAATTTTCCTGCAATAAATTTCTATACAGGGGTACAGAATTAAATTCCGCATCTAGGAAAATTTATTCAAACTAATTACAAGACCGCGTTCGCGAGTTATAACACAAAACCACAATTTCTAACGCAACGAGTACAACGGCGCAAAACACAATTATCAATATAACTCGCGTTACGGAATTTTCTGCAATAAATTTCTATACAGGGGGTACAGAATTAAATTCCGCATCTAGGAAAATTTATTCAAACTAATTACAAGACCGCGTTCGCTAGTTATAACACAAAAACCACAATTTCTAACCCAACGAGTACTACGGCGCAAAACACAATTATCAATATAACTCGCGTTACGGAATTTTTCTGCAATAAATTTCTATACAGGGGGGTACAGAATTAAATTCCGCATCTAGGAAAATTTATTCGAACTAATTACAAGACCGCGTTCGCTAGTTATAACACAAAAACCACAATTTCTAACGCAACGAGTACAACGGCGCAAAACACAATTATCAATATAACTCGCGTTACGGAATTTTCTTGCAATAAATTTCTATACAGGGGGGTACAGAATTAAATTCCGCATCTAGGAAAATTTATTCAAACTAATTACAAGACCGCGTTCGCGAGTTATAACAGAAAAACCACAATTTCTAACCCAACGAGTACTACGGCGCAAAAACACAATTATCAATATAACTGGCGTTACGGAATTTTCTTGCAATAAATTTCTATACAGGGGTACAGAATTAAATTCCGCATCTAGGAAAATTTATTCAAACTAATTACAAGACCGCGTTCGCGAGTTATAACACAAAAACCACAATTTCTAACGCATCGAGTACAACGGCGCAAAAACACAATTATCAATATAACTCGCGTTACGGAATTTTCTTGCAATAAATTTCTATACAGGGGGGTACATAATTAAATTCTGCATCTAGGAAAATTTATTCGAACTAATTACAAGACCGCGTTTGCTAGTTATAACACAAAAACTACAATTTCTAACGCAACGAGTACAACGGCGCAAAACACAATTATCAATATAACTCGCGTTACGGAATTTTCTTGCAATAAATTTCTAAACAGGGGGATACAGAATTAAATTCCGCATCTAGGAAAATTTATTCAAACTAATTACAAGACCGCGTTCGTGAGTTATAACACAAAAACCACAATTTCTAACGCAACGAGTACTACGGCGCAAAACACAATTATCAATATAACTCGCGTTACGGAATTTTCCTGCAATAAATTTCTATACAGGGGGGTACAGAATTAAATTCCGCATCTAGGAAAATTTATTCAAACTAATTACAAGACCGCGTTCGCGAGTTATAACACAAAAACCACAATTTCTAACGCAACGAGTACTACGGCGCAAAACACAACTTTCAATATAACTCGCGTTACGGAATTTTCTGGCAATAAATTTCTATACAGGGGGTACAGAATTAAATTCCGCATCTAGGACAATTTATTCGAACCAATTACAAGACCGCGTTCGCGAGTTATAACAAAAACCACAATTTCTAGCGCAACGAGTACTACGGCGCAAAACACAACTTGCAATATAACTCGCGTTACGGAATTTTCTTGCAATAAATTTCTATACAGGGGGGTACAGAATTAAATTCCGCATCTAGGAAAATTTATTCAAACTAATTACAAGACCGCGTTCGCGAGTTATAACAAAAACCACAATTTCTAACGCAACGAGTACTACGGCGCAAAACACAACTATCAATATAACTCGCGTTACGGAATTTTTCTGCAATAAATTTCTATACAGGGGGGTACAGAATTAAATTCCGCATCTAGGACAATCTATTCGAACTAATTACAAGACCGCGTTCGCGAGTTATAACAAAAAAACCACAATTTCTAGCGCAACGAGTACTACGGCGCAAAACACAACTTGCAATATAACTCGCGTTACGGAATTTTTTGGCAATAAATTTCTATACAGAGGGGTACAAAATTAAATTCCGCATCTATGAAAATTCATTCGAACTAATTACAACACCGCGTTCGCGAGTTATAACAAAAAAAACATAATTTCTAGAGCAACGAGTACTACGGCGCAAAACACAACTTGCAATATAACTCGCGTTACGGAATTTTCTTGCAATACATTTCTATACGGGGGGTACAGAATTACATACCCAGCTCAAATTTGTTTTGGTTTTGATTAATTTTGTTTTAAATTGGAACAAAAAATATGATTGAATTGTAAACTTACGAATTTTTGTGCGCATCAGTCACTGGGGCACAGCAAGTGCTGTAATTAAAAGAAAAGTAATTAAAACATTTCTTAAAATTTAATAATAATATATTCATACATCGGAGAAAAATACAATATACGATGTTGAGGTAAAAATTACTTATATAAAGAAATGATGAATTAATTTAACATACATGGGGGCGATCCTATATCCAATTAATTTCGCAATCCAAACCAAACTTTATAAAGTGCATATGTATACACACGAAGCGCGATCAACTATCTACTGCTATTGTTACATTAAACGCGCAAATAGTAAATTTAAATTAATAGTAGAATATAATAAAATAGTAAAATTATATAATTCATTGATAATCAAATATATCGCAAATTTAGAAAGCAGAAATCCGAACCAACAATACGAGTCGCTCAAAACAAGTTTGGATCAACCACAAACCGGCACAAAACTGGCTGCAAACCATCGATAACGCATCCCGAAGTCGAGCAAGCAACGCCGCGAGAGTTTATGATAAGAAAGCAAGAGATGCGCACAGTCGACGCGTCGACGGTCGGCGACCTTATGCGCGAATTACAATAAACAAGATACCTGCGAATTAATCTAAACTAGAATATGCGGCTCGCGCGGCAAATGGTTACGGCATGAGAGGATGACAACGACAAACAAAGGAAATCCTCACATTCTTTTCAATTTTCTCATAAACCAAACGCAATAGAAAGAAACAGATTGGATATTCTTAATCTATGGAAAATTTTCTACAAGATATCTAAAAAAACAAAAAAATAATTTATAAGGGAAAATGGGTAAGAAGGGGTACTAAATCATTTTTCGAGGAATTTCTACTACACGAGGCTAGCGGTAGAAGTGATTCCCATTCAGGGCACTGTGCGAGGGCAGCGGTAGAAGTAACTCCCATTAGGAAAAAATAGGCAAGGGAGGTGCGGTATCATGTTTTTTTCAGAATTAATGAAATATCTTTAAACTAAAGGCGCTAGCGACCAGCCAAACAAACATTATGAAAGTTTGGAAAATTGCCAATAAGAAAAGACAAGAAAATAATTAAAATACGGATTGTAAAGGTTTTGAAATCGTGTCTAAAAGGTAAAAAAGTGTACATATTCATTTGTGGAGAGTATTCTTCGGTTGTGAATATCTCGTAAACTAAAAGAAAACGACTAATGTACGACGCAGAAATTAAAACAAAAAATATAATTGAATTATAAACTTACCAATGCAGAACTCATCGGACTCCAAGGCACAGCAAATACTGTAAATAAGAAATAAAACATAAGTTAAAACAAAAATAATTCAGATAATTTTGTAATATTATATTCACACAACGGAGAAAAAAAAAACATATGTGCTGTATGGATAAAAGTTACTTACACCAGCACGATGGGAGCAATATGGAGACGATATTTAATTGATTCACCTAGCAACTATTGTGAATTGCAATATACACTTGCCGCGCGATCACAAACCGGCCGGACGATAAACGCGCAAATAGTAAATTATATTACTATAGTGATTACAATTAAATAGAGAGTGATGATTAAATATAATACAAACAATACGAGTCGCGTAGAATACGTCTCGATCAACCTGAAACCGGCACGAAACTGACCGCAAACTGCGCAAGCAACGACGCGACAGTTAAGATAAGAAATCAAGAGGTGCGCGAAGCCGGCGCGTCGATGGCACCTTGAGCGCGAATTGCATTTGGCACGAAACCTGCAATCAAAACAAAAATATGATGCAGCAAGATGAGGCGTGAGGGGATGGCAACGACGACACACTATTCTCTCGTGTCGAATGCTCACGCTTGCCGGTAAATATAGAAATAAACAATACAAGTTTATTTTACAATTTTTAGTCCATGCTATTGCCATCTATAAATGATACAGTAGTATCGATATTTATATTAGTAAAGGTAATAAAAAATCGATTTGAGTAATTCTGATTTCTTATGCTGACAGATTGCCAAATTTTACATTAAATAATTAAGTGATACTTAATTTGAATATGCATCGTTTCTTGTTTACCAGGTAACACATTAGTCCGTAATCATCTACTGATGATAAAAATGTATTTGAATTAATATAAAATTGTTAGTTATATTCATGAAAGAATTGAAGAATATCTGCTTAAATTTGCGATGCTAATATAATAAACAGCAGCGGTATGTTTTGATTCCTCGAAATAAAGATTCGATACCTGCAGGTAAACAAACTTATCTCTTGCGCCAAATCGCGTGATCCACACGGACACGGTGTGCACTCACTACCACCAACAAGATATATTGTGCAAAATAGTATATCGTAGCGCCATCTAACCGAGTATCTAGAGTTTATTACAAATACAACACTTACTTAGATTTGTATTCCAAAAAAGAATGAATAAAAGAGTAGTTTGTCAGAAGTGGGATTCGAACCCACGCCCACAGAAGTGGACTGCGACCTGAACGCAGCGCCTTAGACCACTCGGCCATCCTGACGATATACATAAGAAAATTTATTAATAAAATTTTCAAATATTAATTAAATAAATATATTGTTTCAAAAATTAAACTTATTTTGAAAGAATATACGGACTAGAGATAACCGTCCGGTGTCATCTGAAGTAATTAATCTAAACAGGATAAATTTTATTTTGATACATTTGCACAATCAAATTACGCAACAATTCCATACGTTTAAACATTTAAATGCTTTCCTTTGTACTGAATCAATATCCGATCTAAATTGATAGTTAACAGATAAAAATATAATATAATTATATTTCCAAGAGTAAAAGGTCGAAAAACGCGACTAAAAGTGCTAAAAAGTTACATTTTGCAATTTTTGCCCATTTTATTCAATCGCGAATATCTCGTAAACTAAAAGAGATAATTAAGATCTGATCGCAGCGTCTTAATCTACGGACTATTTTCTATCATACAAGATAGTTAAAACGGAAATCTGAGAGATGAAATTTTAATTCTTAAGAAAAAATTGCCAAGGGGGGGTGCTTGATACTTTTTTTCGACGATTTTTAAAAATTCATATCTCTTAAACTAAACGTGATAACAACCAACGAATTGCTGATTATGAAAGATTGGAAAATTCCCTATCAGATAAAAATATAAAATAATTATATTTTCTACAGTAAAAGGTCGAAAAACGCGACTAAAAGTGCTAAAAAGTGACATTTTGCAATTTTTGCCCATTTTATTCAATCGCGAATATCTCGTAAACTAAAAGAGATAATTAAGATCTGATCGCAGCGTCTTAATCTACGGACTATTTTCTATCATACAAGATAGTTAAAACGGAAATCTGAGAGATGAAATTTTAATTCTTAAGAAAAAATTGCCAAGGGGGGGTGCTTGATAATTTTTTTCGACGATTTTCAAAAATTCATATCTCTTAAATTAACAGAGATAGCTACCAACGAATTGTTTATTATGAAAGATTGGAAAATTCTCTATCAGATAAAAATATAAAATAATTATATTTCCTACAGTAAAAGGTCGAAAAACGCGACTAAAAGTGCTAAAAAGTGACATTTTGCAATTTTTGCCCATTTTATTCAATCGCGAATATCTCGTAAACTAAAAGAGATAATTAAGATCTGATCGCAGCGTCTTAATCTACGGACTATTTTCTATCATATAAGATAGTTAAAACGGAAATCTGAGAGATGAAATTTTAATTCTTAAGAAAAAATTGCCAAGGGGGGGTGCTTGATACTTTTTTTCGACGATTTTTGATAATCAATATCTCTTAAACTAAAAGCGATAGCAACCAACGGATTGCAGCATATGAAAGATTAGAAAATTCTCTATCAGATAAAAATAGTGTATATATATTGAACAATTTCCACGGCAAGTTTGCAAAAATGTTAAAACCACCAACTTTTGGTGGCGGTTTTCAAGCACATCGCGTGTAATTTCCGAGGATGGCAGGGATCCATTACGTGGGAAAATTATCGCACTATCTAAATATGCAAACGGCATTGGAACGGCCTAAACGATTCACGAAACATTGTGGAACACACCCCAACAAATTTTCGAAAATGTTAAAAATGACAACATTTAATGGCAGTTTTCAGGCATTTTGCGCATTATAAAAATTCAGATTGAGAGGCGATTTAAGACACATTTGAATGTTTTTAAACTACAAAATATTCACTATAAAGCAAGACTCGAGTTATCAAAACAACACCTTAAGATATCACCGAAGTGACTTGATTGCACCAACAAAACAACGATAACAAAAACCGGATTGAATGTCTCTTAACAATACATAGAACAATTCTATAAACATGGCTGTGCTCCGCAATCGCAACAAATGAATATTTTATAGCTTAAGACATGACAAGACATTAAGTTAAAGAATTCTTTACCTTAAGTTTGATACATCAGCGCAGACGGGGTTTTCTCACACGCGCGTAGATGCACAAACGATAACGGACACAATCACGCACGAAGTTACGACAAACGCGCGTATCCAACACACGCGCCAAAGCCAGACTACGAGTAAAGTAGAGTCGACGCGAAGTGGCTTCATGCACTGGCTACGTAGAAGTGGCAACGCTGCATAAACATTGTTGAGGTAGTTGCCTACTTCACCGTCGGCGCTTGTGTGTTTATAAATTTGCGGCTCAGAGTTGCGCCTATGGTTGAAAATATTTCAATTGTTGCGAAACGATAGTTTTATTATTATTTACGAAAATGGTGAAACTAACAGCGGAAATTATCCAGAATTCTATGCAATATATCAACCCAGTTAAAGATCGTGAGTTGGATTTACGAGGTAAATAATGATTGTTTTTTAACCTGCAAATGCAAACGTTTTTCAACGATATATTTGACTATATTTGCTTTTACTTTATGTATACAGGATATAAGATACCAGAAATAGAAAACTTAGGTGCCACTGGCGATCAGTTCGATACCATTGACTTTTCTGATAATGATATTCGTCGGCTAGATGGCTTTCCATATCTTAAAAGGCTCAAGTGTTTATTACTGAATAACAATCGAATCATGTAAGTTACACCATAGAAATATTAGAAACAATGCTTAAAAAGTTAGGTAAAAATGGAATTGTGTTTATTTTATATTATGTTTTAATACTAGGAGATTGGGTGAACATTTAGAAGAACACATCCCAAATATGGAAACTGTAGTCTTAACTGGCAATCAAATTGAAGAGCTGGGTGATATTGATCCATTGACATCTCTTGAAAAATTAACATGTCTGAGTTTACTTCACAATCCAGTCACGGCAAAACCGCACTATCGACTGTACATTATCCACAAATTCCCGAATTTACGTTTGCTTGACTTCCGTAAGATTACATTGAAAGAGAAAAAAGAAGCAAAGCATTTGTTTAAAAGCAAGAAAGGTAAAGAGTTGCAGAAGGAGATTAAAGAAAGGGCCAATACTTTTGTACCAGGCGGAGAAGTACAAAATATTGCAAAGAGTAAAGGTAATTACATTAAAAACTTATTTAGAAACAAAATAATTGAAGAAAAATATTATATAGGTCTTACTGATGATGAAGTTGAGAAAATTCGGGAAGCAATCGCAAAAGCAGCGTCATTGGATGAAGTTGAACGACTACAGCAGCTCCTGGAAGTCGGACATATTCCTGGTGGTGATGTTCAACAAAATGGAAACAATGGTAATTATCTTAACGAAAATAATGCGAAAAGTTAATAAATATGAGCTATTTTAGGACACGCGATGCTTGCTAATATGGAGGTCGAAGATGGACCTGCATAACTCCTCTAACAATAGCCTTTGTGAGTATTAGAATAAGAATTAAATTTGAGTTAAGAATATTAAGTTAATTTCCTACGCAAAGGTATGAATCAGATATAAAGTTGATACGAAAATATGATACTACACAAAGCGAAGCGAAAACAAGGGTTTATGTATTAATTTCAGTTGCTATTTGTTTTTGCAATAAATAAAAACTGTCTCCATACTTTGAATCAAGTCGGCGTTATTATCATTCCTGAATTCAATTGTTTGATGGTAAAAGTCAAGTCGTAGCATGTCACGACTCGATCGGCAGTCGAATCCCAGTCAATATCCAAATTCGTCGTGGCGTTTCATGAAAGAATTGAAGAATATTTGCTTATAGTACAGGATCCGGGGCCTATTTTGTCACTTGATTACTATCAAGCTAATTTTCCGTGAGTAGCTTCATTTTGATAAGACGCCCAACAATTTCCTGTGCGAAAATTTTGATTGTGGTAGTTAACAGAGGTAGCAATGATAAAATATGTCGATTTGATGATTCTCAAATATTAATTACTAACTGGATTGTTTTTTATTAAATCTTAAGATAATTATCTAAATTATTTGAAAAAATATTTGTCCTACAAAATCTATGGTTTCATCAAAGAGTCCTCCCTCCAACATGTATTGATAACGAGATCACCAAAATTATTACTAACCAGCTGATTTTTTTATTACTTAGTTAATATATATATAATGTCACGGTCATATTGTCCTACAAATTCCGTGGTATGTTATCCCGGTCCTACGCTCAGAAATTGTTAATACCATAAGACCATTTTTCTCATTACTAACTGTAGGACAAAAATATTACATAATAGGTTAGTGTGTTCAATGCCCAAATAAAACAATGTCCTACAAAAAAACAGGTATGTATCACTAGTCCGACAAAAATTGTCATTTTTCGTTTTCCGATTTCTAACATAAGATACAGTGAGAAAATCTTTTTTAAAATTTAAATAAGTTTATTTTTTTGAAAAATGAGGTACAAAAATTGGTGTATTGGTGTATTTATAGATAACAAAAATTAATCTTCATCATAATAATTTTGCAGCACGTGAACTGAAAAATGCTTACTAACACGCTTATACTCGACACAAACGTGGGATACCTACTACGACGGAGTAAAAATGCTCTGCGCACGCGTAACGGCGTGAATCAGCTGTTGTAGAAAAATACAGAAACCCAAGCGGCACAAAGTTTTCTTTGTTATTGTTTTGTTTAATTTCAGTTGGCGTTCAGTAATTTTTTAACTTATTGTTAAGTGAAATCTACCGAAAAGTCAAGATTTTTTTTTCTCACGCTTGAGAAATAAATTGATTTTTAATTTCATGACTTTCCAATATATATTCAATTGGAGCACCGCAATAGCGTACCACGCTATTTTTACATTTATGATCTGTACTACTACTTTCGACCGTAGGACCGGGACAACGTACCACGGAATTTGTAGGACAATATGACCGTTACATTATATATATATATTAACTAAGTAATAAAAAAAAAATCAGCTGGTTAGTAATAATTTTTGGTGATCTCGTTATCAATACATGTTGGAGGGGGAGGACTCTTTGATGAAACCATAGATTTTGTAGGACAAATATTTTTTCAAATAATTTAGATAATTATCTTAAGATTTAATAAAAAACAATCCAGTTAGTAATTAATATTTGAGAATCATCAAATCGACATATTTTATTATTGCTACCTCTGTTAGCTACCAATATCGCGAATTTTCGCACAGGAAATTGTTGGGCGTCTCATCAAAACGATGCTATTCACGAAGATTCAGCTTGATAGTAATTATTTTTACATCAATGATCTGTACTACTACTTTTGACCGTAGGACCGGGATAACATACCACGGAATTTGTAGGACAATATGACCGTGACATTATATATATATTAACTAAGTAATAAAAAAAAATCAGCTGGTTAGTAATAATTTTTGGTGATCTCGTTATCAATACATGTTGGAGGGGGAGGACTCTTTGATGAAACCATAGATTTTGTAGGACAAATATTTTTTCAAATAATTTAGATAATTATCTTAAGATTTAATAAAAAACAATCCAGTTAGTAATTAATATTTGAGAATCATCAAATCGACATATTTTATCATTGCTACCTCTGTTAACTACCACAATCAAAAATTTTCGCACAGGAAATTGTTGGGCGTCTTATCAAAATGAAGCTACTCACGGAAAATTAGCTTGATAGTAATCAAGTGACAAAATAGGCCCCGGATCCTGTACTATTAAATTTGCGATGCTAATATAATAAACAGTAACGGTATGTTTTGATTCTTCGAAATAAAGATTCGATACCTGCAGGTAAACAAACTTATCTCTTGCGCCAAATCGCGTGATCGCACACGGACGCAGTGTGCACTCACTACCACCAACAAGATATATTTAATGCACAGATAAAAATATAAAATAATTATATTTCCTACAGTAAAAGGTCGAAAACGCGACTAAAAGTGCTAAAAGTGACATTTTGCAATTTTTGCCCATTTTATTCAATCGCGAATATCTCGTAAACTAAAAGAGATATTTAAGATCTGATCGCAGCGTCTTAATCTACGGACTATTCTCTATCAGATAGGATAGTTAAAACGGAAATCTGAGAGATGAAATTTTAAGTCTTAAGAAAAATTGCCAAGGGGGTGCTTGATACTTTTTTCGACGATTTTCAAAAATTCATATCTCTTAAACTAAAAGAGATAGCTACCAACGAATTGTTGATTATGAAAGATTGGAAAATTCTCTATCAGATAAAAATATAAAATAATTATATTTCCTACAGTAAAGGTCGAAAACGCGACTAAAAGTGCTAAAAGTGACATTTATCAATTTTTGCCCATTTTATTCAATCGCGAATATCTCGTAAACTAAAAGAGATAATTAAGATCTGATCGCAGCGTCTTAATCTACGGACCAATCTCTATCAGATAGGATAGTTAAAACGGAAATCTGAGAGATGAAATTTTAAGTCTTAAGAAAAAATTGCCAAGGGGGTGCTTGATACTTTTTTCGACGATTTTCAAAAATTCATATCTCTTAAACTAAAAGAGATAGCTACCAACGAATTGTTGATTATGAAAGATTGGAAAATTCTCTATCAGATAAAAATATAAAATAATTATATTTCCTACAGTAAAAGGTCGAAAAACGCGACTAAAAGTGCTAAAAGTGACATTTTGCAATTTTTGCCCATTTTATTCAATCGCGAATATCTCGTAAACTAAAAGAGATAATTAAGATCTGATCGCAGCGTCTTAATCTACGGACCAATCTCTATCAGATAGGATAGTTAAAACGGAAATCTGAGAGATGAAATTTTAAGTCTTAAGAAAAATTGCCAAGGGGGTGCTTGATACTTTTTTCGACGATTTTCAAAAATTCATATCTCTTAAACTAAAAGAGATAGCTACCAACGAATTGTTGATTATGAAAGATTGAAAATTCTCTATCAGATAAAAATATAAAATAATTATATTTCCTACAGTAAAAGGTCGAAAACGCGACTAAAAGTGCTAAAAGTGACATTTTGCAATTTTTGCCCATTTTATTCAATCGCGAATATCTCGTAAACTAAAAGAGATAATTAAGATCTGATCGCAGCGTCTTAATCTACGGACCAATCTCTATCAGATAGGATAGTTAAAACGGAAATCTGAGAGATGAAATTTTAAGTCTTAAGAAAAATTGCCAAGGGGGTGCTTGATACTTTTTTCGACGATTTTCAAAAATTCATATCTCTTAAACTAAAAGAGATAGCTACCAACGAATTGTTGATTATGAAAGATTGGAAAATTCTCTATCAGATAAAAATATAAAATAATTATATTTCCTACAGTAAAGGTCGAAAACGCGACTAAAAGTGCTAAAAGTGACATTTATCAATTTTTGCCCATTTTATTCAATCGCGAATATCTCGTAAACTAAAAGAGATAATTAAGATCTGATCGCAGCGTCTTAATCTACGGACTATTCGCTATCAGATAGGATAGTTAAAACGGAAATCTGAGAGATGAAATTTTAAGTCTTAAGAAAAAATTGCCAAGGGGGGGTGCTTGATACTTTTTTTCGACGATTTTCAAAAATTCATATCTCTTAAACTAAAAGAGATAGCTACCAACGAATTGTTGATTATGAAAGATTGGAAAATTCTCAATCAGGTAAAAATATAAAATAATTATATTTCCTACAGTAAAAGGTCGAAAAACGCGACTAAAAGTGCTAAAAAGTGACATTTTGCAATTTTTGCCCATTTTATTCAATCGCGAATATCTCGTAAACTAAAAGAGATAATTAAGATCTGATCGCAGCGTCTTAATCTACGGACCAATCTCTATCAGATAGGATAGTTAAAACGGAAATCTGAGAGATGAAATTTTAAGTCTTAAGAAAAATTGCCAAGGGGGTGCTTGATACTTTTTTCGACGATTTTCAAAAATTCATATCTCTTAAACTAAAAGAGATAGCTACCAACGAATTGTTGATTATGAAAGATTGGAAAATTCTCTATCAGATAAAAATATAAAATAATTATATTTCCTACAGTAAAAGGTCGAAAAACGCGACTAAAAGTGCTAAAAGTGACATTTTGCAATTTTTGCCCATTTTATTCAATCGCGAATATCTCGTAAACTAAAAGAGATAATTAAGATCTGATCGCAGCGTCTTAATCTACGGACCAATCTCTATCAGATAGGATAGTTAAAACGGAAATCTGAGAGATGAAATTTTAAGTCTTAAGAAAAATTGCCAAGGGGGTGCTTGATACTTTTTTCGACGATTTTCAAAAATTCATATCTCTTAAACTAAAAGAGATAGCTACCAACGAATTGTTGATTATGAAAGATTGGAAAATTCTCTATCAGATAAAAATATAAAATAATTATATTTCCTACAGTAAAGGTCGAAAACGCGACTAAAAGTGCTAAAAGTGACATTTTGCAATTTTTGCCCATTTTATTCAATCGCGAATATCTCGTAAACTAAAAGAGATAATTAAGATCTGATCGCAGCGTCTTAATCTACGGACCAATCTCTATCAGATAGGATAGTTAAAACGGAAATCTGAGAGATGAAATTTTAAGTCTTAAGAAAAATTGCCAAGGGGGTGCTTGATACTTTTTTCGACGATTTTCAAAAATTCATATCTCTTAAACTAAAAGAGATAGCTACCAACGAATTGTTGATTATGAAAGATTGGAAAATTCTCTATCAGATAAAAATATAAAATAATTATATTTCCTACAGTAAAAGGTCGAAAAACGCGACTAAAAGTGCTAAAAAGTGACATTTTGCAATTTTTGCCCATTTTATTCAATCGCGAATATCTCGTAAACTAAAAGAGATAATTAAGATCTGATCGCAGCGTCTTAATCTACGGACTATTTCTCTATCAGATAAGATAGTTAAAACGGAAATCTGAGAGATGAAATTTTAATTCTTAAGAAAAATTGCCAAGGGGGTGCTTGATACTTTTTTCGACGATTTTCAAAAATTCATATCTCTTAAACTAAAAGAGATAGCAACCAACGAATTGTTGATTATGAAAGATTGGAAAATTCTCTATCAGATAAAAATATAAAATAATTATATTTCCTACAGTAAAAGGTCGAAAACGCGACTAAAAGTGCTAAAAGTGACATTTTGCAATTTTTGCCCATTTTATTCAATCGCGAATATCTCGTAAACTAAAGGAGATAATTAAGATCTGATCGCAGCGTCTTAATTTACGAACTTATCTCTATAAGATATGATAGTTAAAACGGAAATCTGAGAGATGAAATTTTAATTCTTAAGAAAAAATTGTCAAGGGGGGGTGCTTGATACTTTTTTTCGACGATTTTCAAAAATTCATATCTCTTAAACTAAAAGAGATAGCTACCAACGAATTGTTGATTATGAAAGATTGGAAAATTCTCTATCAGATAAAAATATAAAATAATTATATTTCCTACAGTAAAGGTCGAAAACGCGACTAAAAGTGCTAAAAGTGACATTTTGCAATTTTTGCCCATTTTATTCAATCGCGAATATCTCGTAAACTAAAAGAGATAATTAAGATCTGATCGCAGCGTCTTAATCTACGGACCAATCTCTATCAGATAGGATAGTTAAAACGGAAATCTGAGAGATGAAATTTTAATTCTTAAGAAAAATTGCCAAGGGGGTGCTTGATACTTTTTTCGACGATTTTTGATAATGAATATCTCTTAAACTAAAAGCGATAGCAACCAACGGATTGCAGCATATGAAAGATTAGAAAATTCTCTATCAGATAAAAATAGTATATATATTGAACAATTTCCACAGCAAGTTTGCAAAAATGTTAAAACCACCAACTTTTGGTGGCGGTTTTCAAGCACATCGCGTGTAATTTCCGAGGATGGCAGGGATCCATTACGTGGGAAAATTATCGCACTATCTAAATATGCAAACGGCATTGGAACGGCCTAAACGATTCACGAAACATTGTGGAACACACTCCAACAAATTTTCGAATATGTTAAAAATGACAACATTTAGTGGCAGTTTTCAGGCATTTTGCGCATTATAAAAATTCAGATTGAGAGGCGATTTAAGACACATTTGAATGTTTTTAAACTACAAAATATTCACTGTAAAGCAAGACTCGAGTTATCAAAACAACACCTTAAGATATCACCGAAGTGACTTGATTGCACCAACAAAACAACGATAACAAAAACCGGATTGAATGTCTCTTAACAATACATACAACTATTCTACAAGCATGGCTGTGCTCCGCGATCGCAACAAATGAATATTTTATAGCTTAAGACATGACAAGACATTAAGTTAAAGAATTCTTTACCTTAAGATTGATACATCAGCGCAGACGGGGTTTTCTCACACGCGCGTAGATGCACAATCGATAACGGACAATCACGCACGAAGTTACGACAAACGCGCGTATCCAACACACGCGGCAAAGCCAGACTAAAGTAGAGTCGGCGTGAAGCGGCTACATGCACCGGCTACGTAGAAGTGGCAACGCTGCATAAACATTGTTAAGGTAGTTGCCTACTTCACCGTCGGCGCGCGTGTGTTTATAAATTTGCGGCTCAGAGTTGCGCCTATGGTTGAAAATATTTCAATTGTTGCGAAACGATAGTTTTATTATTATATACAAAAATGGTGAAACTAACAGCGGAAATTATCCAGAATTCTATGCAATATATAAACCCAGTTAAAGATCGTGAGTTGGATTTACGAGGTAAATAATGATTGTTTTTTAACCTGCAAATGCAAACGTTTTTCAACGATATATTTTATGATATTTGCTTTTATTTTATGTATACAGGATATAAGATACCCGAAATAGAAAACTTAGGTGCCACTGGCGATCAGTTTGATACCATTGACTTTTCTGATAATGATATTCGCCGGCTAGATGGCTTTCCATATCTTAAAAGGCTCAAGTGCTTATTACTGAATAACAATCGAATCATGTAAGTTACACCATAGAAATATTAGAAACAATGTTTCAATTGTAATTGTGTTTATTGTTTGTGACCAACCATTTTATTACACCAAAGTAGGTGTAATTTTTTTATAATTGTAATAAATATAAATAATTTGTTAATATTAGGAGATTGGGTGAACATTTAGAAGAACACATCCCAAATATGGAAACTATAGTCTTAACAGGCAATCAAATTGAAGAGCTGGGTGATATTGATCCATTGACAACCCTTGAAAAATTAACATGTCTGAGTTTACTTCACAATCCAGTCACGGCAAAACCGCACTATCGACTGTACATTATCCACAAATTCCCGAATTTACGTTTGCTTGACTTCCGTAAGATCACATTAAAGGAGAAAAAAGAAGCTAAGCATTTGTTTAAAAGCAAGAAAGGTAAAGAGTTGCAGAAGGAGATTAAGGAGAGGGCGAATACGTTTGTGCCAGGTGGGGAAGTACAAAACATTGCTAAGAGTAAAGGTAATTACATTAAATACTTATTTAGAAGCAAAATAATTGAAGAAAAATGTTATATAGGACTTACTGATGATGAAGTTGAGAAAATTCGGGAAGCAATCGCCAAAGCAGCGTCATTGGATGAAGTTGAACGACTACAACAACTACTTGAAGTTGGACATATTCCTGGTGGTGATGTTCAACAAAATGGAAACAATGGTAAGTATCTTATGAAAAATAATGCGAAAAGTTAATAAAATGAGCTATTTTAGGACACGCGATGCTTGCAAATATGGAGGTCGAAGATGGACCTGCATAACTCCTCTAACAATAGCCTTTGTGAGTATTAGAATAAGAATTAAATTTGATTTAAGAATATTAAGTTAATTTCCTACGCAAAGGTATGAATCAGATATAAAGTTGATACGAAAATATGATACTACACAAAGCGAAGCGAAAACACAAAGGGTTTATGTATTAATTTCAGTTGCTATTTGTTTTTGCAATAAATAAAAACTGTCTCCATACTTTGAATCAAGTCGGCGTTATTATCATTCCTGAATTCAATTGTTTGATGGTAAAAAGTCAAGTCGTAGCATGTCACGACTCGATCGGCAGTCGAATCCCAGTCAATATCCAAATTCGTCGTGGCGTGTTCTGGCCAAACCAAATCAACTCTGCTAAATTTTACCAAGTAGACACTGGACCCCTACGTATATCTTCGAATATTCCATCTACAATCCCGGTGAAATTAATTTCTACTGCTTGTAAATTCCACGCACACTGAAAATTCAAACATGTGCGATTCGCCTTGTCCGCCGACGTGCTTCAAGTACTGCTATTACACACCGTCGCAGTGCTACGTCCCGGTGGAATACTATGTGCCGATGAATTGTTCCGTACCGGTGCAGTGCAGTCTACAGTATGGCAGCCCGACGATACCTGGATGTCCCTGCCCGGCCAGTCCATGCTGCAGCCCCAGCTGCAATCCATGCTGTCCTTAGTGATGCAATGAGTCAAATGAAGACGGAGCGGAGTATGGTTATCATGAATAATGGAAAATGTGTCCCCCGTTTTGATTATGGTTGTGATTTGTCTTTGTGTATTGTCTGTATCTGTGTACTGTGTACGTTGGTTGAGTCTGTGTTCCCGTTCGGTTGTGGCTTTTCCCCAGCTAAATTGTTTTACATATTCTTCGTCTCGATTTAATTTAATATTCATTTTAATTTTGCTGAGTAAAAAATGGAATTCATGAAAATATTGCGTTTTGTTTTATTTGTTTTGAAGTAAATTTCGATTATTTCAAAAGCTGTATTTGAAATAAATGATTTTGTTATTTAAAAACGTGAAAGATTTCATTTTTATGTGAGAAATTAAAAGTTGGAATTTTTAAATTCTGATTGATAATTTAATTCTATGATTATTTTAGTTAAAAGTTACCTACTAACGTTTAACATAGGCAACCAGTTACACAATTGGAGGTTAAGGCATGCAAAAATCATTTTTTTTTTCTTAAAATTGCAAATTGAGCTTAAACGGTTAATGTTAGCAAAAAAAGTTACTAAAATAATCGATGTAGAATTAAATTATCCATCTGAATCCGAAAACAAAATATAAAAATACAAAATTTTAACGTTAAACTTGGGATAAAATTGGGATACCAAGATGCATAGCCATTTCATCATCAGTATTCGTGTATTTTGTTTTCATTTTTCTTTGATTCGAATGCAGCTATCATTTAGAATTATACTGGTGGCCACTTTGAACACTTACTAGAATCGTTTCTCGTAAAGACAAAAAACCATATCGCTAAACGTCACGTCGTCCCTTGCGCATCTCGCCCGAGAAACGAAATCATCCAAGGATCTTATACTTATAATGAATTATTTACATCTCGTTTATCAGGCGCGCGCATTCCATCAAATGTCTGAATCGATTGGTCCATTATTACCAATGGATGAGAGTTAAGCTGTTTCTTATTAAAATTATACACTTTGCTCTATCCTCACAACTATCCTCCCTCACATTATCATCATCGTCATTGTTTGTTGTTTTATACAGTCTTAAAAATTAATTAAATGTTATTTCGTCTTTCTTCACCCTGGCGTCACACAAACTATATATGTACATCACTATCATAAATTCATTAGTGAATCATCTTCATCGTCCTTGGTTCACGTGGTTGTGTATGTCTTGTGTATGTGGGGGAGGCAAATTACTATTAATATATCACAATTATACATAGTTATAGTTATCCGTTATCATTCAAAATGCATGAACTACGCTTGCCAAATGTACACTCGACTCTTACGCTAACTGAATTCGTATCGTTAACATTCAAATGTTACATACACCCATCATATATTTATAATGCAGTCTTATGAATTAATCCACTTCATCAAAACTCAAACCGTAACCCCCACGTCATTTCGTTTTTTCTTTCAAGTTCATTAATTTAAAATATATTTCCATGCACATTATATTCTAATATTTATCTTCATCTTAGAAAAGGCAGTGATTTAATTCTAAATCAAGTATATGTGTGTATGTGTGTGTGTAAGTGGTTTACATGTTTTCCCTACTTTTTGCTTACAATGCTAGAAATGTACAAGTTACACCAATCAGTCACCGATTTTCTTTTGTGTTTTTTTTTTCTTATATGTTTTGTTTTCTTGTCACCTAAGTTTATAGGTTATGTTTAATTACACTTAATGCGGTTTAGTTTCGCTCCCTAACTAAAAGAGTTTAAAAAATAAACATAGAATTAAAATGCACACCCACACGAAATGTCGCCAAATGCACTTTTGTTCGATACACACTAATATGATAATCACAAAAATTTATGTATATAATTATATAGATAAAATGTTACTAAATTGCATTGCGTTTGCGTCCATTCATCATAAATGCGCCACCGCCATCTCTCGGCACACAGTGTGTGTGCAACGCGTTTGCCTAACTCGCTAATATATAATTTATAGTAAGAAATTGGGAGGAGAGAACGAACACTAGCGTTAATATTACATAAATCCCTGAATCAAAAAATGTACACGATACACAATCCACTTGGCTACGAATTAGTGTCTGCGCGTGCGTGTCGCATGTGTTTGCAGTGTTTTGTTATGTTTCTTTCGTCTTTCAGCTTTTTTTGTATAATAAATATATTTGGTGTATTCGGTTTTCGCGGCGGCCGGCCATTTTTCTATTTTCTCTTCGCACACGATGCATATAATAGTCTTTGCACCTCCTGCTGCGTGGTGGTCGCATTCATGGCCCTTGCATGATCGACCATCGTCACGTTGGTCAGTCCCACTTGTGTGGCGAGGGCGGATGCTCGCTAGGGTGAGCCACCGTCGAACTGCAACAAGTAGAAATCAACGCATAAACAAACATACACACACTAATCATAAACTAATTCATGTCATTTACATCTAGATATAAAGCAGACAGAGATTGACAGACGACTACAAGAAAATACACAACTAGAAGTATAGTAAGAGTTAATTAAAACAAGCGATGTGAAACAAAATGGCTGACGGATGACCGACGGCCATTTTGTTGTGCGTCGCTGACGTGTTAGTGAAATAAAAATATAAAACGATATGCACTAACCTAATGAAAACATTTACACAAGCGGGCGGCACATGATCGGCTCGAGATGCGTGTTTTTGTTTCTTTCGGCGCATGTGTGTGTGAACTTAAATACGAATACGTGTGTTACGCGGCGCACAGAAAGATGACGGGCGAGAGCAAGATTTCGAGCGTCTTCTTGAAAGGTGCGCACTGCTTGCCGTGCTCTTTCGAATTCCTGCGAGTAGCCAACACAGACAATTTTATAAACGTCACAACAACAAGCTTCATCAACCCCCACATCATGAGCCCCCGCATCAAACACTACACACCATAGATAAAAATAAATAAAGACACCCAGATATAAAAACTTCCAAAATAAATCAAATGTTTCAAGTAATATAAATATAAATCGTATTTTGATCTCCATGCACAAAGTAAAAACCACAAAAACAACTACGATTGATTGATGTATAGTTCTACCAAACAAACAAACAAAAACAAAAGATGGTTTAGCGAGCATGCGTATTAAACTACTGGTTGTAAACATCTGCAACTACTTGGTTTTTGTTGATTCAACAAATAAAAGTGGTTGGTAAAACAATAAAAAACGACAGTCGCTCGCGCCAGCATGGAAATCAAACGTATTCGACGTTTTTTTTTTGCACTAAATTTTGAATTGAACTTGGTTCGAGAAATACGAGGTGTCTTTCTGTGTACAGAATTATTAGTAACAATGAACATTGAAACGATATATGGCACTATTGATTAAAAAAGTTGAGCTTATATAATATATATATATAGAGATTATAAAATCAAAAATAAAACACTTTGAGCATTTGGTGTACGCGCACAAAATTATCATGCATGCGCTCGCACGCAATGCAAGATTATTTAGGTTAGCGTTTGAGGTTATGTTGTTGATCGAGTGGTGTGCGAGAGTAGAAAATGGAGGATGCGAAAATGATAGAAAGAAAGAAAAATACGAGATGTGAGAAACAAAAACGAGAGAGCGTAGTAGACTCGTACACCAAATGTAGAAAGCGTTTTCGTTCACCTATGGTATTGCAATGGCGCGCTGCGCTGGCCGCTGTTTTGTCGTTTGTAGTAGTAGTAGTAGGTAGTACACTAGTAGTAGAAAGAAGTTCGATACTGTCAGGGGGTTCGGGTGGGGCGGCGGCGGGCGGGTGCGCGCGTTATCGCGCCCCTCGCCTCTGGGCCCTGCTGCGCCGCCACGCGCTCATTCTTACCTGGCGAAGCTCTTGAACGCCGCCGACTGCGGATTGATGCACAAGGGTACGCGCGACGTGTTCAACTGTTCCGCAATGAACTTGTGCATTTCCTCTGCAAAAACCACCAACAAACAATATAACATTAATTCTCCGATCATGTCATTAAAACAAGATGGCGATGTGTGTATGTTGGGTTGCATACCTTTGACCTGTCGTACTGATGTAAGCTTGCGTTCCCATCTGTCATCGAATGCTTGCGGTGCCGTCGTCTCAAACTCGGAGGTGTACTGCCGCATACCGCTGTTGGTCGTGTAGCAGCACTTGCACATGCACGAATGGTACCGAAGCCGCCCTTCGTCAAGATACGGGTGTGCCAATGCGTCCACCACACTTATTCGCTTATCCTACAAGCAAAAACACACACAAAACATAACCTCTAAATTATATATTGATAAATAAAACTTACTGGATCAAATACGAGCATCTGACATAACAGATGCACCACCTCAGGAGTGGCCTGACTACTCAGCGTGTAGAGAGCGGTGAGTGAAGGTGGCTTCTGCGCCCGATTGAGCATGTGTGACTTTGCGCCTTCGCACGCATACCGCATATCATCCATAGAGGGCGTACCCAACAACTCAGTGATCAACTCAAGCTGCTGGATTGGATTCTGCGCCTGGAAGAGTATGCGTCGTCCGAGCAGCTCGCCGAATATGCAACCAACCGACCACACGTCCACCGCTGCGGTGTAATGTCGCGCGCCCATGAGAATTTCCGGCGCGCGGTAGTACTGCGTGACCACCTCCTGAGTCATGTGCTTGGACGCGTCCGGCTCTTCGACACGCGCCAGACCAAAATCACAGATCTACAAACAAAAAAAAAAACCACACATAAATTCTACTTAATTTCACCATAAATCAATAAAATACCTTCAGAACACAGTTGCTATTGACGAGTAAATTCCCCGGCTTAATATCGCGATGCAGTATCCGCGCCGAATGCAGATACTTGAGCCCGCGCAGAATCTGGTACATAAACACCTTGATGTGATCGGAGGAGAGCGGCTGGTGCGAGACGATGATCTTGTGCAGGTCGCTCTGGAGCAGCTCGGTTATCACGTATCTGTGTTGGGTTGATGGTCAAGGAAATCACACGCATGCGCATACAAAATAAAAATAAAACAAAAAAACAAAACACAAGAGTGTTGAATGTGTGTATGCGTGCGCAGCACGGTCACATTCAGGGTCAGTGGTTTACCGGGCCCGGTCATCGGCTTCTCTCCACCGGAGCGCGGCGAAGAAGAATTTTGACGCAGCCAGCCAAGGTCGGCGATCGCTTCCTTTGTTATACCCTCAACACACTATATCATCATAAACTAACCTCAAAACAAATCTAGTAATACTGACATCTTGATATTACACATTACAATAGTGACTAAATTTTGTCTGCTTTTAAATTAATGACTGTTGTGGCAATGCGAACGAACGACGTGGATAATTAGCGTCCTTCTAAAATTATAACCGTTGACCCTGATGCGCGCATGCGTCTATATTCGTGTGTGCAACACTTTTCATGGTCGCGCACATTCGAACAAGATCGTTGGTTTTTTTGTTGTTGTATTTTCAACGCGATTGACGTATGCATTCATATAATAAAAAAGGATACATTTCTTGGAAGAAGTCGAGATGCGGTGGCTGCAGGATATCCAACGCAGAAAGCACCTGAAACATGAATAATTATTATAGAATGTGCGTGAAATACGCGTGCGCATTCCGATTACGCTATGCCGTTCGAGATTTGTGTTTAATCTCTTGACACACTTTTTCGTGCCCGGCACCGGCAGCGATTTGCTGCGATTCGGTGTAAAAATCGAGGACGATCATCGCCGCGTGACGAAAACATTTTCGGCGCTGCTGCTCAGCAGGACCCAAAAACATTTGCGCTAAACAATACTTACATTCTCGTGTTTAAAGAAGCAGAGCATCTTGAGTTCGCGAAAAACGCGCTTTGAGGACACCAGCGACTGAAACACATGCGGGAGCTTCTTCAGCGCCACTCGGCGGCCATCCCGCGGGTCGGTCACAGCCCTAAAACAAGCAAAAAACATAAATATTATAACAATAATATCGAATTTCGTCTGTTTTGGTAAAGTGTTTGAGGTTGTTTGCAAACATTTTCGCGTGTGCGCAATGTGCATCGCAGCACGCGCACGCGGAGGTCAGTTGCTTTTGCGATTATAAATAGCGGCTTAAACAGACGGGGGCGCCTTGTACGATCATTTAATTTTAAAACGGATGCAACGGCCGCGCGGAACTGCAAGATCAAGTGTGTAAGCAAAAATATGACTGAATGCAATGCCAACATGCACGTATTTACAAAATTACCAAGTTGGAAAACGTACCATGGTTTTAAATCGCGCTTATTGCGAGAAATATGATATTTGAATGAATAAAAATGACGTTTAGGCAAAACTGTCATTAGAAGCAGAATTTTCGTTGTTTACGCCCGGTAGTTATGCAACTTTCAATACACCAAATATATCAACATGAAAAAAATAATTTTTTATCGTTTTAAAGAGTTTTTATTATTCAAATCTTTTTTTAAGAGGTTTTTATAATAATAAAAAAAATTCTGATTAGTTTTCACCTAAATACAACGAAATTTGATTGAAATATGATATTTGGAGGTTGTACATGGTTGCCAAACTAAAATATAGTGTAAGTATGCAACCAAACTTGCATCTAATACAAATTCCCTAATTTACAACCGATTTTTGACATTTGGCAATAAAACAAGATGAAATCCAATCTAAAATCAACAATTTTACTTGAACCATTAAAACCACCACATCAAACATACTTCTGGTGCCCATTGGTAAACATTATGTCAATTTTCAGCGAGACACAAAGACATTTTTCCACTTCTTTAATCTCCAGTGCTCAGAATTCATAGCATGAATATGCTTATACTTACGCATATGCATATTTCATGCTCATAATGGTCATGTTATGTTATGTGCGAGACAGCGTCGTGTTACACTTTGCCGACCGACCAGAGAGACGGATGCTCTGCACTCACACTCACACACATACACACAGAGCGCCGAATCAAGAATTATTCATGGTATGATATTGGTCGATGCGTTTGTTCGACCAGTCGGCACCGCGAGTCGACTTAGCGCTCACACTGAAACGAGTGTGTGTGCGCGCGCACGCCTGTGCGCAGGCAGGATGTTGAACTTGGTAAATGGCCAAGGTGGAGTTGTACAAGGTAGGTTCAAGGCCGTTTTTACATACTTCTTTGTTCTCATGCACCGCGCATCCACACACACACAGATAATAACCATAATCACCACCCTCTCAAATAAAAACAAAAATTACACGTTTGACAACAAACTCAGGTACATAACCAAACCTAACCTAAATTTAGTTTAATTAATGCCACAATCAAATCTGTGCAATACATCAACCAGATATGCATGTTGCATTCACATGACATCCCCATATCTGCCTGCTGCTGCTGCTTATCATGTATTGTCGTAATCTGTTGTACAGGTCTACGCTGCGTCTACTCGTAACATATAATAACAATGCGACCAGGGGTCCATGTCGATAATTAGCAAGCAGCTCGAACGCGGCTGGCCTGCACGCACGTTCCCGGCCTGTGTCCGCCCGCTTCGCAGTCGCAGTCGCGTCTTTGATGTTATTACGAGCAACGGCCAGCAACCACATGTACACCATCATGATACATGCACCTTCATTTCTCACGCGTATACTATACACGTACGTTGACTCCCAACACACAACAGCCAGAGTACGAGTATATAATATTATAGTGTGGATATAAATTACTGGGCCGGTTGTCTTCACGCAGGTTGAAAACTTGTTTGTTTCTGGGGTGGTATTTTTAATCTACGGATGCAATTTGTTAGATTTGCTAGATTGTAAATGTAAAACTGGTTGCCTAGTTGCTCGACGAGTTGATTTTAGGGGGTGAATGTCGAGTTGGCGGAGCGCTCGATCGAGCCCAGCCAGCAGCCCGCCTGGTGCGGCGGCCCGAGAGCAGAGCGGCTATCGAACCCTTCTCCCTGCCAGCAGCCAGTCAGCCAACCAGCCCTGCGTCTGCAATTCGCCTTGCGCCTTCCACCAACCAACAGAATGGTGTCTCATTCAGTAAAAAAAAAACCTCCAAATATTTAATTTCTACGTCGAATGCCTACTAATATTATAAATGCGAAAGTCCTGATGTTTGTTACACTTTCACGCACAAACTACTTAACAGATCATCATGAAAATTTGTAGACATATTCTTAGTGGTCCCCGAATGGTTATAGGCTACTTTTTATTTAATAAAAAAAATTATTTTTGAAATAAAATAAAGAATTAGTTTAGCCAATAATACCTCTGCATCTGGCTATTTGACTACTTTAACGCCATCTAGCATTCCAGCAATGAAGCTCAAACCTAAGTACTATAGTACCATCACACTGTATTATCACACTGTATTACCGACAGCTACGTCAACATCAAATCCAATTGACTACACTATGGAGACTGTACACTATACTTCCATAGACTATACTTTCAGCCATTTTAAACTTCCCGCCATTCTACTTCATTGTTACTTCTTCTGTGACTACAGACGCGTACGGAAGCAACTTCATTATTTTAGATATTCGCGAGCGAGGCCGCGGGTTAAAGCTAGTAAGGAATAATTTAATACGATTTGTTAGTTAAAACGTTTATAACTCAGGAACGGTTGGACAGATTTTGATCATCTATGATTTTTTATATTCATCTTGGTCCAGAATAAGAGAATAAATATTAAAAGATTGAAAATTTTTATTTAAAGGATGTTAAATAAGGGATGAAAGTTTATATGGAAATTTTTGCGTGAAAGTGTAACAAACATCAGGACATTCGCAATTATAATATTAGTAGGGATATTCGCGAGCGAAGCCGCGGATTAATGCTAGTGTATACATAAAACCGATTAAAATCGTCAATCGTCAGCGATTACATGATTGTGGTTATGTCTGCATTACCGGCAGAAAGAAACAATGCAACACACCGTGCACAGTGTTTTGTTTGGAAGTAGAAAGCGTCCGTTGGTGCTAATTACCGGCTTGCGATTGTATAATGCGGATGAAATTCGGCGCCGTTCTCGTTCGTTAAATTTTTCGGACATTTCGCATAATTCTCCTAAAAAATCTTTTCAAGAGAAGGTTGCGCGGTGATTGCCACACAACACCGCGACGCGGCGCCGCGAACGTATGCACATTCGTGTGCGTGTGACATAAGTGAAAACCATGTCAGTAGGTCGGCGAGCAATCGCACACACAAAACGGAAACATATTTCGACCCATTCGACATTTCGGCGTTGCACAAAGCCGCAAAACAAAATCCCAAACATTGAAAAACTAAATAATAAATATTAAACGATATCATTTTGGATGCAAAGTTTTACTAACTCATCATTCGGTTATATTGTAGAAAGGCACCATAGGAAAAGTTATAACAAAATGGCCGTCTCTCGGTCTCTGCGGGCGTTGTGCAATTGTTTTCAACTTCAACTTCAACAACTTACAAGTTGCCTACAGTGCCAATACCGGGTGTTGCATAAAAGTTTATAATACATCAAAGACAGCAAGTTTTGTTGTTGTATTGTACTCGTAATAGTAATACACTTGTACGAGTGCGCATGACATTGCGTAAATCGTATCCAATCGTAAGTTTTGCGTTATTTTAATTTATTGATTGTTTATAATAACAAAATTATAAACAAAACTCAAATGCATTGGTATTGTATACTAGCTATTGCCCGCGACTTCGTTCCGGCAGTGTTTAATAAAAATGTAATTCGTTTTTACTCTCTTGTTCTAGACATACTCGTAGTAAGAGTCAATTCTATCAATAAGATTAGCAATTTTAATTTAAACAAATTATGCATATAAAGTTTTGTCAATAATGCACTTCAGCGCGCCATCTCGAATTCAACTATTTAACTATAACTATGATTGAATCTCAATGTCAAATTTTATTCTATAGAAAAGAGCTGTTTTGAGGATTTTCCCGGCAATTATTCGAATTTTTCTCACCTTTTAAACCTTCCCTAAACCTCCACGAATAATTCAAGACCAAGATAAGATAAATCCGTTCAGCCGTTCTCGGGTTTTAGCGAGACTAACAAACAGCAATTCATTTTTATATATATAGAAGATAGAAGATGCCTACGAGTGAATGGAAATAATTTGAAATAATTTGAAAATATTTCCTAAGGAGGGTTTGGTATGATGCTGCGCCCTCAGGGTGGATACGATGATAAATGACGAAAATTTGAGGCACGCAGAGCGCGCGAACGGTGATTACCGCGTGCCGGGATTAGCTCCGGCACTCGAAACATGTGTGCTGCACTGCTGCCGTGCATGCACGGCCCTTTTGGATGATGGGAAACTCGAACCGGCATCCGTTTCACATACACACGCAGCACACCAGCAGTTGGTTGGTTGGTTGGTTTGAAGCAGAGGCACGACATGTGTTTCGAGTTTGGAGCGCATTCGAGAGGCCCGTGTTGTGTTGTGGAAGCGGTTAGAGTTGTACGACGAGCATGGAAGTCGGTACATAGTCGCGGTGTATGGTCGGAGTTTGAAGTTAAAAACCGGCGCGACGAAGCATTTCCTGTTTGTACGTGCAGAGGCAAGCAGCCTGGCGTTCGAAGGCTTCCAAACAGAAAGCAGGACGTGGAGACGACCACAAACAAAATACTATTTAAAACGTTTTTAAATAGTATTACAAAAAACTATTATTTACCAGAAGGGAAAATTATGTTTATATAAATTTAAGTAAATTGACAGAAATCTTCTATATATATAAAAATAAATTGCTGTTCGTTAGTCTCGCTAAAACTCGAGAACGGCTGAACGGATTTATCTTATCTTGGTCTTGAATTATTCGTGGATGTCTAGGGAAGGTATAAAAGGTGAGAAATATTCGAATAATTGCCGGGAAAATCCTCAAAACAGCTCTTTTCTATAGAATAAAATTTGACATTGAGATTCAATCATAGTTATAGTTAAATGGTTGAATTCGAGATGGCGCGTTGAAGTGCATTATTGACAAAACTTTATATGCATAATTTCTTTATTTTAAAATTGCTAATCTTATTGATAGAATTGACTCTTACTCCGAGTAGGGGAGAGCAGGTAGGATTCGTACAGTAGGAGCATTCGTACAGTCCTTATTCCTACCACTGTAGAATACTTTGACAGGTCTGTGTTTGTGTGCGTGAGACCCACTCGCACGCATAGGTTACTCGCGGGGTGAGACGTCAGTGCAGCCGCCGGCTTCGACGCAACGAGTCGTAACGTGATTTCGCGCCAAGTAAGTATTTTTTGGTTATGTTTTTAAACATCTTTGTTTATTCACGCTTTATTCCTATTGTAAAAGTGAATGTACACAGTTTGTGAAGGAATAACTTAGTTTAGCATGTAAATATAGATTTTGGCCCAGTTTCAGCGGTTATTTTTATTTTCGATATTAATTGTTTTTTTTGGTGTTGGGGAACCTTCGTACAGGTAGGGGTGGGGTAGATTCGTACGTGTACGAATGCTCCCCGTGCCTGACTGGACATTTAAATGTATCTATTTTTCAGTAAAATCTAATATTGTTACAGAACCATGCCGCGAATATATATTAAAAAGGGGACGAGGACGGGAGAGGTAGATGAAGGTGCAATAGAATCGGCGATAAAAGAAGTTTTGGATAAGACATTATCTATTAGAAAATCTGCACAAAAATATGGCGTCAAACCAACAACACTCGAAAGTCGTCTGAAAAGTTTCATCAACAAGAAGCTGCCGAAAATATGCCTACCCGTGCGTTCACTTCCAAGTTTACGTCAAATCAGGTGTTTTCAACTGAGTGGACAGAGATTCAATAAAGAAAACAAGGAAAGGAAAGCTACCAGGCAAATCTAGAATTTACACTGATACTCCGGAAAAAGATAGACTGGCAGAAATAGAAAAAGGAAGACTATTGAAGAAGCAAGTGCAAGAGAAAAAACAAAAAGCTAAGGCCATCAAAGCTCTACATCTTGTCTTAGATGCAGATAACGCATCTTCAATAAAGAGGAAATCTCAATCGAAAGAGTCATTTAATTTAAAGAAGCAAAAGAAAACTACAAAGACTGATAATGAAGCAAATGCATATTATATGATACCTATGAATACCTAAATAATATATCTTGGTTCTTAATACAAAAATGCTGATTCTGTGTTAAATTGATCTCAATAAATGATTAAATTTAATCAACAATTGTTTATTTTCTTTGACTGTATGAAGGTACCCCATCATGTACGAAAGTACCCACACTATGCACGAAGGTACCCCGTGTGTGGGGTACTTTCGTACATTTCCATTTTGGAAAACTGATCATAATTCTGTCTGTGTGATTTGTGACGGAGCTGTACCATACTATAATTATAGGCAGATATATAGGCTATATAGGGACATTAAACTTATTCGAATATATTATATAGTTTAGTTTTAATATGGCGTCAAGTAAAAAATGTACGAATCCTACCTGCTCTCCCCTATGTCTAGAACAAGAGAGTAAAAACGAATTACATTTTTATTAAACACTGCCGGAACGAAGTCGCGGGCAACAGCTAGTTAGTTTTAAAAAAAATCCGCTAGATGGCGTTTTGCTTTTAATCAGGTTTGGTTGCTACCATTGTGTGAGAAGAGAAGTATTAATTTGTTTAGACAAGTGTAATGAATAAGTAACTTGTGTTGGCTTGTCAAGGTTCAAGGTAAGTGGAACTTCGTGCAATGATGAATAAATGCAGCGCCGCCTACTAATTTATATAAGCTTAGAATGAGAATTATCAGCCAATATCTCAGAAGTTGGGATGTGCATGCATTTAGGCAATTTTCTATGCACAAAGAAGTGACATGCTAGTGTCTGTCAAAAAATGTCAAAAAATAACACAACTTACAAATTTCTATTTCTATTACAACTTCATCTTCCTTTCATAATTCAAAAAAATCGAATATCGATAATGTCATTCCCTGGCCTTTACCGCCTAGATAGAATCCTTTAGGTTTAACGTTCGGATGGAAAAGAATAGTATGATACATAAGCACCCCGCCGAAGGGTGTGCGGACACGACCACCGTTACGTTACTCCTCGGCGTCGTTTTGCGTCGTTGCGAGCGAAGGGGGCCCGCACTCCCATTCACATTTTCATATCTCCCAACAGTACGTACAACGTACATATACTAAATATCCCGAGTGCACAGCAGCACCGCTTGTGTTTCTCTCCATTTCTCTCCTCTCCTCTCCTATCCTCATCACTTGTACTTTTCCGGAGCCGGAGAGGGATCTCAGCGACCCCATGTGCTAACACTAACAGCAACCCAAACCGGAGGAGAGGAGAGAAGGTCCTTTCTTGCTACACACCACTGCATATCGCTGGCGTATCATTCGCCTAGGTCCCCAGGACCAGGACAACCCAGCATGACATGAAACAACGCATCTGTCTTTCTCTTACTTATACTACAATACAGCTTCTCAACTGCTAACTGTAGGGGATTCACATCCACATCTACACCCTACACTCCCCTATAGAATAGAATACACAAGATCAACCTTTCACGTTTCGCCTAATGTGTCCCAACATTAATCAAGCGATATATAAAAAAGTGCAAACCGTTAGAGTTAGACTCAGCACCTGGACGCTATCAGTGCAGATCACTACGAACCTACAACTTCCTCGTCGCCAAGCCTCCGTAACTCCAACGGGTCTTTCTCTCCATCACACGTATATATTGGCATAATTGCCAATTAGCATCCGCATATTGCTTTCCGATGATGACGCGCGCCGGCGTCGCGCGCGGACGCAAACGGGTTACGTCGCCGCCGCCGCCGCCGCCACCGCCGCTGACGCAGACTTCAGCCCCTCTCAGGCTGGCGCGTCACGGCGACTCGACAGCTAGCCGTGATATAATCGAATCGAATCGGCGACATACACTCGCAATTTTTATCATTACCCATGTAATGATTATTTATAATTGAATAGAATAAACAAACACCACGAGATATTATATACCTATTGTTACTAAATAAACAAAGTCACATTCCACACTTTTTTTTAAATTTTTTTTTTTATTTTTTTAATTTTCTTAATTATTAACTGAAATGTTTTTTTTTTAACTTTTTTAAAACCGCAAATTTGCAATGCAATATAATGCAATGCAACCAGGTGTATCCGCAGGTGTGCCCATCACCTGCCTTTTCATTTTCATGTCTCAGTCTCTTCAAACACCAAAAACAAAACGTTTTATATAATCTTCCAGCCTTTCTTCCTATCACATCACATCATAACACATTAAATGTTAAAAATGAACGTTCGTAGGCGACGTAGGCGTGCGTTTAACTGCGCTTTGTTGATTATATTTTTGGGGCCGTTATACTTTTACCCAAATTGAGTCTTGCCTCCAGTGGGCACACGCAGGCAACGTTTTACAACAACAATGGCGATTGTTTTGCCAAACTTTATTGTACGCATCGACGTAACATTGGTAACCACGGTCTCACATACTTCCAAAAGAACTATTATCCTGCATAATAATAATATCGTTCTATAAATATATATAAAAATGAATTGCTGTTCGTTAGTCTCGCTAAAACTCGAGAACGGCTGAACGGATTTATCTTATCTTGGTCTTGAATTATTCGTGGAGGTCTAGGGAAGGTTTAAAAGGTGAGAAAAATTCGAATAATTGCCGGGAAAATCTTCAAAACAGCTCTTTTCTATAGAATAAAATTTGACATTGAGATTCAATCATAGTTATAGTTAAATAGTTGAATTCGAGATGGCGCACTGAAGTGCATTATTGACAAAACTTTATATGCATAATTTCTTTAAATTAAAATTGCTAATCTTATTGATAGAATTGACTCTTACTACGAGTATGTCTAGAACAAGAGAGTAAAAATGAATTACATTTTTATTAAACACTGCCGGAACGAAGTCACGGGCAATTCTATAAATGTCGATTTTATATCTTTTTATTTTTTATTCTTTATTATTCATTCTACAACAGAAGAGAAGAAAGGTCGTAAAGTGTGAGAACGACCAGAGTCCGAAAGAATTGAGACTGAGACCTTGTTCCGTCATTATACAAGAACTTCTTCTTCTTCTTCTGCTTCTTTGGGACCTGTTTGATGATGCACGTTCTTCCAAGAAGAAGAACCAGTCTGTTTTTCGTTTATTACACGCGCGCAGCGCAACATTTCGGGTACTTTTGCTCTAGAGTCTAGAGAAAATGCGCAGGTAGATAAACATTTTCTAATCACGATAGAAACGCAGGTATGTGCAAAAGGTTCACATCTGGGACCTCTGGATGCCCTACAGCATCATTTCCGAGCAGGCAGAGAAGAAAATTCGAAAACCATTCGAACCGGTTCTCTTTGTGGGCATTCGTGGACCTTATGCCACATTATACAGGGTGTTATAAATATAAATATAACCAGACAAAGGGTCTGGGTTTGGTATAAGCGTACCAGCTGTCGTTTTAGGGCAGGTGGTCGACCGAGCGCTGCGCAACGATCATCGAACCATGAAAACCACACAACATGGCGACAAACATTTTTTTTTATTTTTTAAATATTTTATATTTGGGTACTTACCAAACTACACCGAATGCACCATACCCAATGGGACGATCCGGCTGCACCTGTTCCTGCGTGTGGGCGGGCGCGGCGGCATGCTGGGGGTGGTAGTAGGGTTGTGCGGCGTGAGGTGCTTGCGCTCCGGCCGCGACGGCAGCCGCTGCTGCGCCGCCGTTGCCACCCGCCGCCGCCACGGTCGGCCCCGCCGCGCCCTGCATCAGCGACATGGAGACGGCCGACATCGTCGTCGTCGCCGCGGAGGCGCCCCGCGAATGCCGGCTAGGGCCGACCACAGCCATCAGATGCACCAGCGCGATTGCGTGCTCACCCGCGCGCGCGTCCTTCGGCTACTCCTCGGCGACGAGCTCAACAGCGTGCACAAATGTTCATAGTATTAATATATTACTCTTCACTGGATTTCCCACCGCGTCACGGCGCTGTCTATGCTTGTTTTTTTTTATTTATTTATTGGAAAATCGAAGACATTCACACTGTTTGTATCACACTGTACACTTGTATTGGCTGCTTGCTTACTGTTTGGGTTTGGTTTTACACTGCCAGGGTCCCTTTTCTTTGTGCTTTGTGCACTCAGCGCTGCTGCTGTTCTATCGATGTGACTGTGAACACGGCGTGATTCGTGTTTGCTGGTTTAGCTGATCGGCAATTGCTTGCGTTTATGGATAGCTTGTGTGGAGGCGGCAACGACTAGTGTGTGGCCCTTTCGATGCGACGCGAATCAGCCACTCGGCGCAGGCGATATGGGTTCCACTCTCGTCGGTCGATAAACGCGCGCGGTGACCGATCCTGCTTTCTCGTCCGGACTGACTAATTTGAAGCAAACGTGCTGTGAACTGGCTACCCTCGTCGGAGCCTATACGAAGCTCCCGAAGCTTTACGAAGAAATACGATCATTGTAAACCGGTTTATATATATCACATTGATAGAGTTTTTATGAAATTTTAAGTTAAATCATTTTTGCAAATAAAGTAAATTAATATTATCTCCTTTAAAAGTATTACTAACAGTATAATTAAATATATTACTTATTTAATGTACAATTTGTTTGTAATGATTAAATTTAATTATTTAAGAAATAAAATATTACTTTTGAATTTTTAAAATATATATGATCCTTTTATATGCTCCTCCATGTTGAATATCACATCATGCGCATGCGCAGTACAAATTTCTATGTTTTTTGCCACTCAACGGCATCAGCTGTTCGTTACGGAATTGTCGATTTTTATTAATTTATTGCTGAGTTTAATAGCGGTGCCGCCGATTGATTTACGTCCTACAGCCAGTGCAACTCAATTAAGCATCAATCAGCATCAACAGGTAAACAAATCAATCCGCAGCTTTTGTTTTATTCGCTTCTGTAATGCATGAATCGTGTCGATTTGAAAATAACGAGCATAACCCTACATGAATATTTTATTTCAACGCGACAATGTCGCAACAACGCAAAAACACATCATGCGCAATTAACCTCGACGGTGAACTTTTAAACGTCTGCGCGACATTTTGTTGACCGTCTTGTACGTTCAATTAAAATTTTCTTTGTCCGATAAATTTAGACGCACTTTCAAAGTTCGCACTCAAGTGCATTTTATAAATATTCTCTTTGTGCGCTGGTGTACTGCACGTGGCTAATGACGGATGGTTCCTGTTTTCGATTATTCATTTGTTTCCAAGTAAACAAACTTGGGTTTTGCGGTCGGTCGCCATTTTGAAATTTTTGCATTAATGATGAAAAATAAGTTGAATGTACCAGAATATTATTTATCAGGAAAAACGTTTATAAATAAACATCCTGCAAGGTGTGCTGTTGTGCGAGACGTCGCGTATTCATTGTCATGGAAATTTCGTATTTGAAGGATGTTCAAGGTCATTGAATTATTAGATTTTTATACAACTTAAAAGTCTAAGCAAACTGTGAGAAGATTTCGGGATAAATTTTGTAGAAGCAGGTAGAAGGTGGCGAAAATAAAACTAGTTTTTAGGTAGAATGGGTGGCTTTGGTGTTGTCAGGTCATTTGCCCCCCGAAATAAGCGGCCATGGAGATAATAAAGACTGCACTTTGTGACGATGCGTGCGTAGATCGCTTCGGAGGGTCGAAAATAGATTGCTTTGTGTCGTTGTCGGTGCGAATCTTTACAAATTCGCCAATTCTGCGCGTTTTACACCTGAACAGGTTATTTTCGGCGTGCGGGGAATCTTTGTCGGCATTATATTGCATTTCTTGAAATCCATGTCCTCAGATGTTTGGATTACAGCTCAAATTAAGAAGAAAGAAGGAAGACTTAAAATAATCTTTTCAAATGTATGTTGTGCTTAAAAAAATCAAGAAAATAATTAAATATAAGAAGAAAATTTATGAAATTCATGAAAATCGTTATTGTGTAAAGTGGTTTGTTAAATTTTTGATTTTATAAATGACTAGCTGTTGCCCCCGACTTCGTTCCGGCAGTGTTTAATAAAAATGTAATTCGTTTTTACTCTCTTGTTCTACTCATACTCGTAGTAAGAATCAATTCTATCAATAAGATTAACAATTTTAATTTAAAGAAATTATGCATATAAAGTTTTTTCAATAATGCACTTCAGCGCGCCATCTCGAATTCAACTATTTAACTATAACTATGATTGAATCTCAATGTCAAATTTTATTCTATAGAAAAGAGCTGTTTTGAGGATTTTCCCGGCAATTATTCGAATTTTTCTCACCTTTTAAACCTTCCCTAGACCTCCACGAATAATTCAAGACCAAGATAAGATAAATCCGTTCAGCCGTTCTCGAGTTTTAGCGAGACTAACGAACAGCAATTCATTTTTATATATATAGATAGTTGGTCAAAAATGCAATGAATTGATAAAAATAGCAAGGAAATGCGTCGTTGTTTTGGCATTTTTGTTTACAAAATGTTTGCTTGTGTTTTGGCTTTGTTTTGCGCAGTATGATGCGATATTTCTTGTATCTAAGTGCAAAATATCCAAAAATACTATATTCTTCCATAAAAACAATTTTTTGTTTGTAAAACTTAAGATTTTTGCTTTTTTCTAAAGTCTATTAAGAAGTAATTGAAATATCTGACTTTTCTAATTTAAATTAACATAATTTTCATCGATTTTTAGTTTAAAAAGCCTAATTTCATTCCTAATCTTAATTCTTTTACCACATTCATATTTATTTTAATACCACATTTATAGCTTCTTTATAAACAATAATTATATACAAGATACACAATAATGATTCTTAGTCTTCGATATTTTACATTAAAAAAACATTCTTTGTCTTACCTTATGTTTCAGCTAAATTTCTCCATCAATATCTCACAAAAATTGATGAACTCTAATCTTTCAACAGCCTAAAATGATGAATACACATCTGCGCCTACCTAAAGTACTCTTTACTTACTCTTAGTAACCTACATAATTTGTTTTGTATCATCTGAGGAAATTTCTACGTTTTGGTCCTTAATTTACGCTCCCATTTTTGATTAGTTATTAGCACCGTGTTTACGAGAGCTCGAATCCAGTGTTGCATGTGACTGCATAGCGCAGTTTCTCGCGCAGCGTGCTCTTCTTCTGATAGTTGGGCAGCTTCAGCAGGTTGAAACACGTCGACGACGTGGGCAGTCTATTGAGCGGGTCTTTCTTGCGTATCGTGAAGAAACCGCGTATCACACTACCGATGGTGTCACCGGTGTCCTCATCATCGCCAACTTCCACGCAACGAATCGAAAATGGCGGCTCCAAGTGCGCAAAACCCAATAACGGGGGTTTTGAACAACTTGTCACAAACTAAATTAAAGAAAAGATAAAATTTATTATTTAATTGCAGTTTAGAGTAAAATAAACAAAACAAACCTTAAGAAACATTGCTTTTTCTTCTTCGGTGAAATCCTTATCGAGGATATCCCACAGCCAGCCTACAACTCGATGCGAATCGTGAAAACCACCATAGTATTGCGTGTGTTTACGCAAATCGCGCAGATCTAGCGGGACATTATCCCCAGATATCAATCTTTGCAACTGAAAATTAATTTTCACTTTATTTTTTACAGATTTCACCAAATTTATCAAAAAATACATCAGAACGGCGTCGTTGAGGATCAGATTAATATCAAGGTAAACATAACCTTAAATTCTTTAAATTTTACTTACTTCCGGTGTTGAAAACAATGACAACCAATCAGGGTTGATAATCGACCGGAAGCCGCGAATGAACGCTGCGGTCTGATCACGTATCTGCACGTGCATCCGGAAATGCGCCACCAAATGGATGTAATTAATCCTTAAAACAAAAAATATCAGATTTACCCGCATAGTAAACTTCTACTTCAAAACTTACTTATTATCATTAGTGACGGGTATAGCCTTCCCTCCGGGAATCAACTCGTGCGTAACCAACCTGCCCATATTATCCTCATCGATGCTAAACGTCAAATCCAATTCGGAAATATCACCAGTATAGTGTTTCACATAACTCAAGCTTCGATAAACCTCCGCATCTAGCGATGGCAGTTCATCCACGCAACTATACAGCGCCTGCGCAGTTTGCCCCAACACTTGACTGAGGAAAAAACTCGCAAACGGCACATCCACCACGATTCCTTCATAAACCGCCTTGCCTAACATGCGACCGACGAAATCAAACAACTGCAAGTGATTATCTTGTAAATAACTAGTCGGCGATGGATATAATCTCTCTTCACTTGTTGCTTTGAATAAATTCAGCGATGGATCAAACACGCGTTTGATACTCTCCTCGAGGAATTCTTTAAAGACGCCATCTTGATCAATTCCAGCCTCGTCCAATCCCTGCTCATTGATGAACCGCACACGGATGACACCTTTCAATGCTTGCGCTGGGAGTAATGCAAGTTGCCTATAACCATCTTCGACTATACGCGATCGATGGACAGTTATGAGTGTAGATTGCGGTGATGCGCATGCGGATTCGGTTAACCCCAGCACAGTTTTTTCATTGGTGATGTATTTCCGGAAGAGGCGGACGCGATCCTCATGCGGGATTATATGCGGCATGGTTTGCATGAGGAGTTGCGGACCTCTGCGGCCTTTTTCTAACTCAGTGATGAAATTTGACACGCGGAGGTCTTTCAATAGCCAATGACCTTGCGGGGCGTAGACTCTTCGACAGTCACGGCGGTATAACACCATGAGGAGAGTATGCAACGATTGAAACAGCGTGTTGGATTGAATAGTTTTGAGGTCGAAGAGATTACTCAACACTGCTTTGTACAGGAATACGTTGAGGAAATTTGACATGACGACGAAATCGTTCAGTTTGAATTGGTCTTGCTGTTCGTACATTTCCATATCGTCGAGAATTCTGATTGAAAAAATAAAACAATATTATGAGTGGTTTAGAATAATAAATGATTCTTACGTGACATAATGTGTCATACACTCGGCGATTAGTTGCAACATTTGAAACTCTGGCGCTGTGCACTTTGTGTTGATTGCAAGATGGTCCATGAAAGTTTTAAGTCCGCAGTTTGGGCCCAGTGAACAGAGGAAGAGCCATAGGTTGTATAAAATAGCACCTTGGTAACACAATCCTGAAAGAAATGCAATAAACATTAAATTAAATTATAGTTTAGGTCCAGTTGCGCTTAAATTTTTAACTTTTGACAATTTTTGACATTTGTTTCCGATTAGTTCTGATTTTTAACGTCAGGTGTCGCGCGGTGCACGATTGAATTAAAAATGTCATTTTTCTATATTAATTGTAGTTTATCGTGATTATTGTGATTTTAGAAATCTATTATGAGTAAAATATATTACTTTTACAATCAAAAATGTGTGAGAAATGGTTGTATATGATCCAATCGCTCAAAATTAACGAAAAAAACTCAGATTTGATAGATATGCAACCCTTCTGTCAATAATTTTCATTAAACTTTGATCTCAACTTATCCAAATGAAATATTCTTACTAAAAATGATTAAATACCTGTGAGAATATCCAACTTCAATTGATTCAAAGTATTCAACGCTGTGTGATACATCGAACAAATCAACACAACTCTATGCACCTCTGGACTCCCCAGCGTCCGATAGTGTTTCGTTGCATTCTGTCGATTTCCCCGATTCTCCAACGCTTTGCGAATGAAATTCGCACCGGAAAACCCACCATTATGCACAGGACTATGCCCAGCCTGCGGCGCCTCCACCCCTTCAACCATAGTCGCCAAGAAATCCCCCAGTAAAATTCTAATCATCGATGCATTCCATAATAAATGCAGCTGTGCCTTCACATGCGGCATCGCCGCATGCAAAGATGGATCCATAGGCTGTGCGAACCAGCCCAACACCGGATGCCAGTGTGTCAAGTTGGATTGTTTGCTAACAACGTAATTTTGGCAACTTTCTAATAACCCCGTTACTACGACGGTAAAAGTAGGAAAACTCATGTCTTTAAGCACATCCGGTCGGCCATTGTAACCCAGTTGGAGGAGGTTTGCGAGCAGGCATAACGCATAACTGCCTTCCAATGTGTTGAAGACAATGCGCATCGATTGTTGACTGGAAAGCAGTTCTAAACTTTTGGAGAAAATACTTGCGTTCTGTAGAGTGATGATGCTTTCAGGAGTGAATGCTTCTAAATGCCGGATGAAACCAGGCACGGATAAAATATGAATCAAGAACATTGTCATCAACTTGTCGCTGTAATTCGCCGACACCAGAGGGCGCATCGATAGCGTAAGAATGGCAGAAAGTGACACTTTGTTGAATGAAATCTTTGCTCTGCCTAAACCTTTCAGAAGTAACGTCTGAAAGTTTTAATTTAAAAGTTTAATTTTATATTAAAACACATATAATATAATTAATACCTTAAGTGTAATATAAAATCCTTTATGAAAGATTTGGCCCATCAGGTTGGCACAAAGTTGATGCATGCCTGGTTGCAGCTTCTCCATGTTCTTGTGCTTGAGAACCATCCATGTTTTTGTGCCGGTGTAAGACACCAATGTGTGTAATAACACTAGAATTACTTTCGTGTCATTCGCAAACTCCGGGCGCAGTTCCTCCAACATTAAACAGCATTTCCAAAGCACATCACTCATATGTGCAATCCATTGAATGACATATTCTTTATTGAGTCCGACGCCAACATAGCTGAATTTCGGCGAATCGCATTCGAGCGTCGCTACGAGATATCTGCACAATTTAACGAAACGATCTCTATCTCTGGAGCGTCTGTAGACTATGAGGAAACGTCGTGCGCAGTGATAGATGCCAATTGCGGGTTTGAACACTGGTCTGCTGTCTTCATGGATGTCTGGTACAATTGTATCAAAGTCATCACTGAAATTATAAACATGTAGAAGTTGTGATTATTGTGGTTGGGGTTGAGGCATGCTTACAGAATGCGTGAGGCAAAACGTAGCCGCGTCAGCCAGCCTCGAACATGCGACTGGATCGTGAGCGCGGCGACATCCTTGCGCTTCTCCAATGCTCGCTCCTCGCGTGCTGCCTTCGTTTGCTCGAGGAAACCGACTTTGGCATTGTCCGCCTTGTGGAACATGACACTCGCCGCGGCCGGCACTCACGTCGCACGTTACGAACGCACCGGCGCGCACATATCTCCCAAACTGGCTGTTTTGATCCGTAATCCGTAAAATTTTGGATTGGAAACAGCAGCGAAACGTCAAATTTGACAGATAAACAGATAAAGAAGGTTAAGTGTTATGTTAAAAATTAACTGCTGGGAATACCAACTTCGGGTCTTGTCGGGGAGTTACTACTAGCGCCATCAGCGGCGAGTATGGAACTATTATATTTTCAAATTTGCTATGTCATGATTTCTAAAATAATTAATAAAAAATACATTTTATTAATGCATGTTGTGAAATAATACTACATAATACAGTTTTAAATTATTTTCTTTGAATTAAATTACTTTTAAATTAAATGATGTACGTAAAACTGAGTTTAATATTTTAGCGTCAGCCCCTAGCGGCTGATCTTGGTACTACCCAAACTTTTTTAAAACAAAAGTTGTTTACCATCGCAAAAATTAATTCGGCTCCGCCATTGACGGAAACACATAGTTCTTATCCACTTTCCCGAAGTCCACATACGCACTCGTCATTGTCTTCTCTAACATCACAGCGATCTCAGCGAATGTCGGGCGTTCATCAGCGTCTGCATTCCAACACCGCAGCATTAACTCATACAACTCATCCGTGCAGATAATAGGCCGCTGTAATCTATAGCCCTCCTTCAGGCGCACCTGCACCAATGCATCAGGTAATTCCGTGTAGGGCATTGCGCCCAATGTACCTATCTCCCATAATACTACTCCGTATGACCATACGTCACTCCTGCTGTCCGTGCGTAGATTGTCTAATGCTTCCATTGCCATCCAACGCATTGGGAAGCGTTGTGTGCGTTGCGAGACGTAAGGTCCGGGACGCGACATGCCAAAATCGGAGATTTTTAACATTTTACCCTCGTTTATGAGGATATTTCGGGCGGCGAGATCACGATGTGTCACTGGGATACTTTCTAGATAGGCCATGCCTTTGGCGATTTGCAGTGCGAAACTTTGTAGTTCTTTGTTGTCTAGCACGTAGACAAGATTCGAGAAGGAGCAGCAGTCGCTCGTTGGGGATGCTGGGGGTGAGTTTGATAATGTTGTGTATTGAGCTATGGAAATTAATAAGTTTTAGGAAGTTTTAAGGAATTAATTGAAAAAAAAAATATTTTTTTAAATTTTGAGCATTAAAATGTTATTTTTGATAATTTTAAGACTTACTTGATACTGAAGTGAGTCTTTTCGGACTAGGAGGATAATTATCCCCAAGATAATTTTTCTCTCCACTAGGATATCCGATATAATCCTCCGCCATATTACTAATAGAACCATTATTCCATGTTTCACGCAATCCGACAAGATAACTCTTCAAACTTCCACAAGTGATGAGTTCCATGACAATCGCCAAAGGTTTCTGCACTTTGCAGTAACCAATCAATTGTACTACATGCGGATGATGCCCAATTAATTGCATCGTTTTCATTTCGTCGATAAACGCGTCATGTTCATCACTAAACGTCGCTGTAAACCAAAAAAATAACATTTTATATATATTTTTATATAAAAATTTTATATAATCTTACATCGAAGTTGTTTAACTGCAACGCGTATAGCTGCACTATACCGTGGCATAAGAACCGCCTTCATAAACCACTCCGAAATACCCCGCATCAATTTCTTTGATCATTGTTAATTGATTGTAAGGAATCTCCAATGGATCATCATTGTCTTGTAATAAGGGATATAGAATATTTGTTACTGTAGTTGGCATAGCATGCAAGGGCACTGAATGTTCTCCAGTGATTGTGAGTGATCCTGTGACACTTTTACGTGTGCTATATACAAAATAAAAGAGGACTATGGCGATTGCTGATGCAAATACAACAATTACGATGATTATATGTAGACTGTGGGTTTCTATGCGTGGAATTGTTTTTGGACAGAATGGATCTGGTTGTTTGCATTGTTTCTCGAAGATAAAGTCGAAACATTTTGATAAATTTGAACTAATTATTCCTGGTATTGATCGTGTTATGTGAGTAATGCTTTGATCTTCTATTGGGAAGTGGTCTTGGGCAACCAGACCTCCTTCAGTTGTGTACTGCCTAAAAATATTAATATTAATTAATAGTTTTAAATGTTTTTTTTTTAAATTTTAGTAAATAAGTTAAAATTACTCTAGAATAATCTCCGTGAGAGTATTATTGCCTTCCTTGGTCCATTCTAAGGTAAATTCATCATCGCTGTGGGCAGTGATGTTCACTTTGGTTGCACTGGAGGATATGTGGCTGCAGTCGCATACATCTCCCACACATCTTGGAATGTCAAAGTGATGACTACAGTTTATTTGTCGGAAATGTAACTCGTAGCTGCATGCGGCCAGAATACGCATGCGTGTACTTTTGCATCCTATTATATTACTAACAGAATTCTACAACAAAATAAGTGTTTATTTATGATGTAATTAGGTAGAGATTGTAATTACCAGTGGAAAATTGACTGGTGCATAGGTGGCGGCTAGAGAACAAGTCGGTGGGCTATTATCGGCGACGGTAAAACGTCCAGGAATTATCGTTTCGTTGAAAGTACCTACAAAGTAAAGAAATTATTTATTTGGTGAGAATATTTATTGTTTTCGGTAGTGATTGAGTATTAAGTTGATGCACAAGATGAAAAGTATGATAATAAACAAAATTTAACCATTTCCGGAGAAATGAGATATTTAGACTGAATTTTCGTTGATTTTACTGAAATCCTGCTGAAACTACGGCCGATTTCATCGATTTCATCAAAAAGATTCGTAATTTTATTTTAAAGACATGATAATCCCTACTTATTTTATAAATGCGAAAGTCCTGATGTTTGTTACACTTTCACGCAAAAACTACTTAACCGATCATCATGAAAATTTGTACACATATTCTTAGTGGTCCCCGATGGTTATAGGCTACTTTTTATTTAATAAAAAAAATTATTTTTAAATAAAATAAAGAAATAGTTTAGCCAATAACACCTCTGCATCTGGCTATTTGACTACTTTAACGCCATCTAGCATTCCAGCAATGAAGCTCAAACCTAAGTACTATAGTACCATCACACTGTATTATCACACTGTATTACCGACAGCTACGTCAACATCAAATCCAATTGACTACACTATGGAGACTGTACACTATACTTCCATAGACTATACTTTCAGCCATTTTAAACTTCCCGCCAGACGCGTACGGAAGCAACTTCATTATTTTAGACATTCGCGAGCGAAGCCGTGGGTTAAAGCTAGTTGCTTATAATACATTTTAGCGCCATCTATTTAGCTATAATATGATTAAAACTCTATACAAATTTTCACCTTTCATTTAACAGTCTTTAAATCATAATTTTTAATGTTTTATTTATTATTCTCTTATTCTAAACCGAGATAAACCCAAAAAATCATAGATGATCAAAATCTGTCCATCCGTTCGTGAGTTATAAATGATTTAACTAACACAACTATTACTTTACTTACCCAAATCGCTAATCTCCCACGTAACATTGAGATCGATGCAATACTGCTCGCTTTTATTCTCCACCGGTTGAACACTCAGCACGCAAGAAACACCCATGCTCACCTGCATAAAATATACAAACAATTACTACTATAAAATAACCTAAGACAATGGACACAGACATTGATTGACTGATGCTGATAAAACCGTTGTAAATTATCTGGAAATAATTTGCGTTATGATAAACGCATTGCAGCGCACCGTACCGGAGTAAATATTTACTCTGATCGCATATTATTAATTTCGCGAGGGGTATTTGTGAATGAACTTGCGGATTAAGCTGCCGCATGGCAACTGCTTTTCAAAATGGCCGCCGTATCGCCATCTAACAAAGCAAACAGTTTTTACATCGGTTGGGAAAACTACATTGACGCACACACATTCATCGTGAGATTTTCACAGTTCACACACCGAAATGCACATTGCATACAAGGTCATGCAATAGATTCAATTTGGAAACAAATTGTTTTGATGCCAGTTATTTGAAGAATTTACTTGTACCATTTTGAATGTTTACGTGGATTGAAATAGCTGTAAATCAGGTGTCACTATAACGAGAGATGTGGTTTTAGCAGCGATTTAACAGCGTTGAGCTTTGATGCTTAGTGGGAATGTGTGCGCAATGTTGGGTAACAGTTTACGTTACGCTAAAATTACTTCCCGGTGGTTTTCATATCAATTAATGGATTGGAACATTTGATAAATTAGATGCGGAATATGTTTATTATGCATAAACATATTAATATAATTGGATTAATATAAGTATGCAAACATTATACAAAGAAAATGTATAAATTTCTTTGTAAATAGAAAAGAAAAATGAATTTTTGAGAAGATTTTTAGTGCAAAAGCAAAGATCAAAGTGTTTTCTACATGGAAATGCTTTGATTTTTATTTGTATTTCTCTGAAAGGAGATTATCTTGAATGCTTTGGGTTTAGAACTTCTAAGATAGGTTTATATTTATTTTAGAGAATAAGGGGACACTTGTAGGAGCTTCCAATAGAGAATATTTTGAATGTATGAACATGTGTTCACATGTTCAGCGTGTGGGCTTTTCGCTCAACGTATTTTATCAGTAAAAAATGATGGATAATATTTAGAGAATGTATAATGCATGCATTAGAATTTCAACACCTATATTCTTTGTTTGGCAAACAATTAAATTTATGATGATGATCTTACATCATCTTTAATTATTAAATTAAACTTTTTTCTTTAATTTTTTTCAATTTTTCATTGAATTTAATTTTTTTCTTATTCAGACTTGTTTCATTCGAGTAACAACTTGGTAATTTGTTAAACTATTTGTAAAACTATCTAAAAATTAGCTAATTTCCATGGACTCCTTCCATACTAAAAGAAAAACTGATTCAGTAGCTATCAAAATCAGTTATATAAGAAATCCTGTATTTTTTCTACTTTTTTATTACAATTTTCCCGATAAATTCTAGGTATATTTCAGGACATGTAAAACTCTTGCATAAAATGAGAAACTACTACCAAAGAAAACGAATAACAAAATATTTGCTAGGAATTTACCTGAATTGGCAAAACTACCCCACAGATGACGAGAAACCTTATCACATCAAGTGTCCCTCTCATTTTAAATCCAATATTATCACCGATCGTGAACATTGTGCACACCGATTGCTATCGCCACTGATCATAGACTTTCCACCGTTCGACGTACGAATAAACTTCAAGGTGCACTACGCACCTTTCAATCACAATCACACAAGCCAGTTTAATTTAATTTAATTCTATCCCAAATTATTATTCAAATTTTAACTCAATCACAACTCACAACATTAAATATCACAACACAATTTAACATAATTTAACACTGTGTTTATTTTCTCTGCGTATATATATATTACAAATATTTTGATTGAATAAATTCACTTCACATGTGTCGCGTCTGATAATCCCATCCGAAATAATTCGTAGCCGCCGAGGGAAAAGCGCGTTAGGCGCGCATTTTCGCGTTTGCGCACCCGCACGCCTCGCGGACACGCAACAAGTGAACCGAAATTATATATCGACACCGTGAGCAGTGATTAATTCTTATTGTTTTCAATCGATGCTCGTCGATCACCTCGTGGAGTGCCCCGATTTGGAGAGTCACAGTGAGCGCTTGAGTTTTGAGTTTTGCTTATCGTGTGAATAAACACATCGAAAGATTGATGGAATTCAAAGGACCAGCGATTAGATTAATCGTTTATTTACTCAGAAATGATGCTACCTAATTTTTTACACTAACGGTAGCCGAATATTTATTTTAAACTAGCTTCGCTCGCGAATATCTAAAATAATGAATTTCCATATAATCTTTCATCCCTTATTTAACATGCTTTAAATAAAAATTTTCAATTTTTTAATATTTATTCTCTTATTCTGGACCAAGATGAATCTAAAAAATCATAGATGATCAAAATCTGTCCAACCGTTCTTGAGTTATAAACGTTTTAACTAACAAATCGTATTAAATTATTCCTTACTAGCTTTAACCCTTGGCTTCGTCCGCGAATATCGAAAATAATGAAGTTGTTCCGTACGCGTCTGTAGTCACAGATGAAGTAACAATGAAGTAGAATGGCGGGAAGTTTAAAATGGCTGAGAGTATAGTCTATGGAAGTACACTGACTGTACACTGTCTCCATAGTGTAGTCAATTGGATTTGATGTTGACGTAGCTGTCGGTAATACAGTGTGATAATACAGTGTGATGGTACTATAGTACTTAGGTTTGAGCTTCATTGCTGGAATGCTAGATGGCGTTAAAGTAGTCAAATAGCCAGATGCAGAGGTATTATTGGCTAAATTATTTCTTTATTTTATTTAAAAAATAATTTTTTTATTAAATAAAAAGTAGCCTATAACCATTCGGGGACCACTAAGAATATGTCTACAAATTTTCATGATGATCGGTTAAGTAGTTTGTGCGTGAAAGTGTAACAAACATCAGGACTTTTGCATTTATAATATTAGTAGGGATTATCATGTCTTTAAAATAAAATTACGAATCTTTTTGATGAAAACGATGAATTCGGCCCTAGTTTCAGCAGGATTTCAGTAAAATCAACGAAAATTCAGTCTAAAATTCTCATTTCTCCGGAAATGGTTAAATTTTGTTTATTATCATACCTTTCATCTCGCATTTATAATATTAGTAGGGATGTGAAAAACTGAAGAATTTCTGATTTAAGTTGGTAAAACTTTTGTTTTACATTCGAATAATTTCTGACTTTATATCGCTATGACCACCGCTGTCTCGAATAAAAAATGTGACGTTCATAATTTATCAGTGTCGTTTTCTCACGCATTTTTAACGCTCCCATAACGTTCATCTAATTCGACCTTTTTCAACGCAATTAATACGCGCGATCATGTTGGCACTCGCTAATAAATTATCAATTCTAAAATATCGCTTCCACCACGTTGTGGGTGGCAGATCTCTGGCTTCGTTCCAGGTGGCAGCGCCGAACACGGCACCCAAGATGGCTCCCACGTGGCAGGAGGAAAAGAAGCGCTACCTGCAGATGTCGCTGCACGACAAGCGCAAGGAGTACCTGTGTGGTGACAAATTTGTCATCGTCGATGATTTGCTGCCGTGGGATGAGTATATTCTTAGCAAGAAGCACGCGCCGAAGAAGAGTCCCATGCCGGCTGATTTCAGTATCAATTCGGCGAAGAATCTAAAGCTTTGTAAGAAGATTAGCATCTTTCGTGGGGATATAACTACCTTAGAGGTAGGATGTTTGAATATTTCCCATAAAACTATCACTACTGGTGATTTTGTTTTGTTTTTGTGTATTCGTAGGTCGACGCCATTGTAAATGCAGCGAATAAATCCCTGTTGGGTGGCGGTGGTGTAGATGGTGCTATACACAGCGCAGCGGGGACTATGCTCGTCGCAGAGAACAAAACCCACGGTGGATGCGCCATTGGTGAGGTCAAAGTCAGCGGGGGATACCAATTACCTGCACGAGGTATTAAAAGAGCTTAAAATATTAAAATAAACTACGTTGGGATTAAAATATTGTTTTTAACTTGTAGTTGTTATTTCCACCGTTGGACCGCAGGGCGAACGACCAGAACTCCTGCGTAAGTGCTACAAGAACTCGATGGATATGCTGGCGAAGCTTAATTTAAAGACAATAGCTTTTCCGTCTATTTCTACTGGAATTTACGGATATCCGGTGAAGCCAGCGGCGCATGTGAGTGCGCAGGAGGTGCGCAAAGCTCTCGAGCAGTACGACGACAAAATCGACCGCGTTGTTTTCTGCCTCTTTAGCGAGGTGGATGAAGACACTTATTCGCAGGTGCTGCCAACTTATTTTCCTCTGCAGTAGGACAGCTTACAACATGAAACAGTTGAAATTTTCTTAATGCGGCAGCCGAAATCTTGATTGGAGTGCCCCGTCTGTTACTAAGCAAATTCTCTTATGATTAAATAAATGTTTTGATAATATTAGTGTTTTAAGTAATTTTTAGGTGAGAAATAAGAGTTAAAAAGAAAAATGGAGAGAAACTTGTTAAACTAAAACCAAGGTGTAATTTGGGTTGCCTATATTTAATCAAATTCTTAGTTTAGTTGAAAATAATAAAAATGTAAATGTAAATATAAATTCTAAACTATTCTAGATAATAAGAAGTATACTCAATAATGTTAGAGTTTACATTTTTTCATACACTGTTATTTATTATTTAATATTTTAATTAATAGTAATATCTTTTAGTTTGTATGCGTGCAGAGGTCGCTAGGTGTGTTTGCTAGTTGTATGTTATTGCGCATGCGCCAACTCGACAGCAGCCGCCATAACGTTGTCCACTGGCGGAGTGAGTGAAAGCGCGTCCCCGTTCCTGTTGTACGCGAGTGTGTGTTGCATGTGAAGCGTGCGTCCCGTTCGTGTATGTCGGCGAAGTGAACAAACCAAACCGCCAGGAAGAATAAGTTATTCAGCGGGACTTCGTGCGCTTGCTGACGACGATGGCGTCTGATGAAGAACAGGACGAATCTTACGCCGGTAAGTGCATTCGCATCGTGATACACCCGAAGCAAAACCCGCGAGCGGCTAACCCGCTAACCGTTAGCCGCGAAGACGCCAACCTCGCGAATAACAACGCCAAATATTCACAAACTTCAAGTTTTCCACGCCAATCGCAGTGTTGATTTGATTAGAATTGTATTTGTTTGGTTATTATTTGTTACTCATCGAATGCAGTCAATGCATTTCTTTACATGCGAAATAATATTGCGTTGTGAATGAATTGTCGCGCTACTATGTTGCTAGTACATGTGTGTAGGCGGTAGGTGGGAATACCGCGATGACAGTACGAATGCGCCGGAGCGATTATACTCTCACGGCGCTCATTATTTTTTGATGCCGTGTTGCTGGCCGCATAATACGTGGGGGGAGCGCGCGGTGCGAGCGGGGTCTCCCTTAACAAAATGGACGACTTGAAACAATTCGAGATTTTTCTCGATAATATGGAAATTTGCGCATTTTGAAAAGTTTCGTTGTACGCTTGGTTTATGCGGCATTCTGTAACTGACCATGTCCAAACTGGACGCATGTGGACACTTTTAACCTCACAACACAAATACCGGCAACAGGAATTTAATTTATTTTTTAATTTATTTCTAAAGGTGATGAAGATCAAGGTAATGACGATGGCGGTAATGAGCATGTAGATAATTCACCTGCTGATTCCGACGAAGCGCCGGCAAAGGCAGAGGAGGACGATGATGAATACGAGCCCGAGAGCAGAAAGTCGAAAAAGGGCAAGAAACGTAAAGCACGAAGCGAAGAGAAAAAGGGAAAAAAGAAAAAGAAGAAAAAGAAAAATGACAGTGGAGATGTAAGTTTTAAAATATTCTAAACACATATAAAATACCTAATAAATAAATTAATATTAATTCAGGAAAGTGATTATGCCAATGAAGATGACAATGGTGATTCTGATTATGGTAGCAGTAAGAAAGGGCGAAAGTCTAGAAGTTCCACCAAGCATTCAGCACCTGCTACACCACAACAAGATACATCCAACAGTGGAGGAGGTAATAAACATTTACTTAGTAATATATTTCAAGATATTAATTGTTTTTATGTGTTATATAGCTGGCATGCCTACAATTGAGGAAGTCTGCTCAACATTCGGACTCATTGATGTTGAGTTGCAGTATAGCGAATCAGATTTCGTGAATTTGACGACTTACAAGTTATTTCAGCAACATGTACGACCAATGTTGGCTAAAGAAAACCCTAAGGTATGTCTATTTTAATTAATTTTGTTGAAAAGTTAATAATCTTATTGTTTGTATTTATTTACAGGTTCCAATGTCAAAACTTATGATGTTGGTCGCAGCGAAATGGCGTGAATTCTCCAACATAAATCCTCATTTACAATCCGAAGCTGAAACATCCACCGCCGCCGATTCGGAATACAGCAAACCAAGTCGTTCCTCACGATCAGCTAAAGAACTCCCCAAGGATGATGATGAAGAAGAGGATGACGACGACGACGATGATTCTCGAATTAAAAAACGCCGTCCGTCTCGCGGTAAAAAATCCTCAAAGAAAGCAAAGGTTCCCACGTTAAAGATCAAATTCGGCAAGCGTAAAAGAGAACGCGGCAGCTCTGAAGATGACGGTGAAGCGAGCGTGGCTGGGTCCGACCGTGACTCCGATATGGAGTTTGAACAAATGCTTCAGGATGGTTATGAGGGTTCCAGTAAGACAGAAACCATCGAGGAGGCGCCTGCACCACCTGCTGAGACTGGCGATGACACGCCAGCGCCTCGACGCAAAGCCAAGACAAAAATCGGCAACAAGAGCAAGAAAAAGAAGAAGGGTAAGCCAAGCGGACGGCCTGATGGTGAGGAACAATACGAGCATCAGGATTACTGTGAGGTGTGCCAGCAAGGCGGTGAGATTATTCTCTGCGACACTTGTCCCCGAGCATATCACTTGGTATGCTTAGAGCCTGAATTAGAGGATACACCGGAAGGTAAATGGAGTTGTCCGCATTGTGAGAATGAAGGGCCAGCGGAACAAGACGATGATGAACATCAAGAGTTCTGCCGCGTTTGTAAAGACGGCGGGGAGTTATTGTGTTGTGATAGTTGTCCGGGTGCATATCACACACATTGCTTGAATCCTCCACTCACAGAAATTCCAGATGGTGATTGGAAGTGTCCCAGATGCAGCTGTCCACCACTCGCTGGTAAAGTAAGTAAGATATTGACGTGGCGATGGGTGGAGGTGCCTCCACCACCGCCGAAAGAAGGCGAGGAGTTGACACCTGCCGAGAAAAAGAAACAAAAACCACAGCGTAAACGTGAATTTTCGTGAAATGGCATGAGAAATCCTACTGGCATTGCGATTGGGCGTCTGAATTACAAATAGACGTACACCATCCGTTGATGTTCCGCAGTTACTTCCGTAAATACGACATGGAAGAACCACCTAAACTGGAGGAACCATTGGATGAGTCCGACAACCGCGTGAAACGCCTACAAAACATGGGACATGAAAGAGATGATGAACTGGAAGACAGGTTCTACAAATACGGCGTGAAACCAGAATGGTTGATTGTGCAGCGTATCATCAATCATCGCACAATGCGAGATGGCCGCACGTTGTATTTCGTCAAATGGCGTGAATTACCCTATGACCAATGCACCTGGGAAGAAGAGGACGACTCAGTACCAGGTTTGAAACAAGCGATTGAGTATTACTTCGATCTACGCTCAGCGTCTATGAGCGACAACACCAAACGCAAGGGTAAGAAAGGTAAGCGGTCGAAAACCCGTGAGCTCATCGATGACGATGATAGAAGCACTCCGAAGAGGTACACACCTCCACCGGAGAAGCCCACCACAGATCTCAAGAAAAAATACGAACGGCAACCGGATTATTTTACAGAAACAGGTATGCAGCTGCATCCATATCAGTTGGAAGGTCTCAACTGGTTGCGGTATTCATGGGGGCAGGGAATTGATACTATTCTCGCTGATGAGATGGGTCTGGGTAAGACCATCCAGACAATTACGTTTTGTATTCGTTGTATAAGGAAGGACACTGCAAAGGTCCTTTCTTGGTCAGTGTACCACTATCTACGATTATCAACTGGGAGAGAGAGTTTGAGTTATGGGCGCCTGACTTCTACTGCATTACATATGTCGGTGATAAGGATTGTCGTGCAGTCATCAGAGAGAATGAATTGTCTTTCGAGGAGAATGCAACCAGCCGGGGTGGCAGAGCGAGTAAAATCCGTTCTAGTTCCATCAAGTTTAACGTCCTGTTGACTTCCTATGAGCTTATTTCAATAGATTCTGCTTGTCTGGGGTCAATTGATTGGGCTGTGTTGGTTGTAGACGAGGCCCATCGACTTAAGAGTAATCAGTCGAAGTTTTTCCGACTTTTGGCTGGATATAACATCTCTTATAAACTATTGTTGACCGGTACTCCTCTGCAGAATAACCTCGAAGAGTTGTTCCATTTGCTGAACTTTTTGAATAGCAATAAGTTCAATGATTTAAGCACGTTCCAGAACGAATTCGCTGATATTTCGAAAGAGGACCAGGTGAAGAAACTGCATGAGATGTTGGGTCCACACATGCTGCGGCGGTTGAAAGCCGATGTGTTGAAGAACATGCCCTCGAAGTCCGAGTTTATCGTGCGTGTGGAGTTGTCACCAATGCAGAAGAAGTACTACAAGTATATTCTGACGAGGAACTTCGAAGCGCTGAATCCCAAAGGTGGTGGGCAATCAGTGTCGCTGTTGAACATCATGATGGACCTGAAGAAGTGCTGTAATCATCCGTATTTATTCCCAGCTGCGTCGGAGGAAGCTCCGCTGGGACCCAGTGGAAATTATGAGACGTCTAGCTTGACAAAGGCGGCTGGTAAATTGGTACTGCTCTCGAAAATGTTGCGTATTCTTCGAGAGCAGGGTCATCGCGTGTTGATCTTTTCACAGATGACGAAAATGTTGGATATTCTCGAGGATTACCTCGAGGGTGAAGGTTACAAGTACGAGAGGATTGACGGTGCGATTACAGGTAATCTTCGGCAGGAAGCCATTGATCGCTTCAATGCACCCGGTGCACCGCAGTTTGTTTTCTTGTTGTCTACCAGAGCCGGTGGTCTTGGTATCAATTTAGCAACGGCTGATACGGTTATTATTTATGATTCCGACTGGAATCCACATAATGATATCCAAGCCTTTTCGCGTGCGCATCGTATCGGGCAGGCGAATAAAGTAATGATTTATCGCTTCGTTACGAGGAACTCAGTTGAGGAGCGAGTAACGCAAGTAGCAAAGAGGAAGATGATGTTGACGCATTTAGTTGTACGGCCTGGAATGGGTGGCAAGGGTGCTAACTTCACCAAACAGGAACTGGATGATATTCTGCGGTTCGGTACGGAGGAGTTGTTCAAGGAGGATGAAGGTAAAGAGGATGAAGCGATTCATTATGATGACAAAGCTGTCAAAGAGTTGTTGGATCGCACAAAGGAGGGTATCGAACAGAAAGAGAACTGGGCCAATGAGTATCTCAGTTCGTTTAAGGTCGCCAGTTATGTGACGAAGGAAGGTGATGTTGAGGAAGATGTAGATACTGAAATCATCAAACAGGAGGCGGAGAATACTGATCCTGCTTATTGGATTAAATTACTGAGGCATCATTATGAACAACAGCAGGAGGATATCGCTCGTACGCTTGGTAAAGGTAAACGTGTGCGTAAACAGGTTAATTACAACGATGGTGGTTTAACCACCGATACCCGAGAGGATAGTACCTGGCAGGAGAACCTCTCTGATTACAATAACTCGGATTATTCGGGTGCTTCTGATGAAGATAAAGAAGATGATGATTTTGATGAGAAGGCCGATGGCGATAACATTCGCAAGAGTAAGCGGCGCATGGAACGCAGGGATGAGCGTGATCGCCCACTTCCTCCTCTGCTGGCGCGTGTTGGTGGAAACATCGAGGTGTTGGGCTTCAATGCCAGGCAACGCAAAGCATTCCTCAATGCGATTATGCGTTACGGTATGCCGCCGCAGGACGCATTCAACTCGCAGTGGTTGGTGCGTGATCTCCGTGGTAAATCAGAGAAGATCTTCAAAGCGTATGTTTCGTTGTTCATGCGACATCTGTGTGAACCAGGCGCGGATAACGCGGACACCTTTGCTGATGGTGTGCCCAGGGAGGGTTTGAGCAGGCAGCACGTACTTACCAGGATCGGCGTGATGTCGCTGATTAGGAAGAAGGTACAGGAGTTTGAACATATTAATGGAGAGTATAGTATGCCGGAAGCTGTGCGTAAGGCAATCGAAGCGAAGAAAGCTGCTAAAGCGGCGGCGGAGGCTGCTACAGCTGCGGCGGCTGCAGCCACAGCGGCAAATGCAACTGCTACGGTTGATTTGGCTAGCACGCCCACTGAAGGTGAGAAAAGTGCGACTACAAGTACAAGCGCCACTCCTGCGACAAGCGCTGCAGCCAGTCCTACACCAACAGTTGCAACTGACAGTGAAAAGGAAAAGGAAAATGGTGAAGCGAATGCCACCGTAACACCTAAAGAAGAAACAGCTGAAACAGTTGATGATGCTGATAAAGACAAGGATACACCTGCAGAAGATGTTAAAACAGCTGATAAAGAAAAAGAAGATGAAGCCAAACCTTCCACTAAAGAAGTCGATGAAGTCAAAAAGGAGGAATCTGCCGAAACTTCCACTGAAAAGGAAGACAAAGAAAAGACAGAAGAAACAGTTCCTCCCATTTCTCCAGAAAAAGAAAAAGAAAAAGCCGATATTAAGGAAAAAGAAAAACCGAAAGTTGACGAAATAAAAACCGAAGTAACAGATGAGAAAAAAGAAGACGCTTCCAAGGAAAAGGAAGAAGATAAGAAACCCGTGGTCAAAGAAAAAGACGATGATGAATGTGTTATCGTCGACGTCAAGAAAGAGGATATGCCCACTAAAGAGGAAGAGGAAGCAAAGAGGAAGTTTATGTTTAACATTGCTGATGGTGGTTTCACAGAGTTGCATACTCTGTGGCTCAATGAAGAGAAAGCGGCTGCTCCTGGCAGAGAGTACGAGATTTGGCATAGACGCCATGATTATTGGCTGCTTGCGGGTATCGTCACACATGGTTATGGTCGGTGGCAGGATATACAAGCAGATGCCCGCTTTACCATCATCAATGAACCGTTTAAGATGGATGTCGGCAAGGGCAACTTTTTGGAAATCAAGAATAAATTCCTTGCTAGACGATTCAAGGTAAGTAAATATTTTTAATAGCTTTATTTATATTTATTAATTAATTGTTTTTATTGTTAGTTACTTGAGCAAGCGTTGGTCATTGAGGAACAGTTGCGTCGTGCAGCTTACTTAAACCTAACCCAGGATCCCAATCATCCTGCGATGTCGTTGAACGCTCGCTTTGCTGAAGTGGAGTGTTTGGCAGAAAGTCACCAGCATTTGAGTAAGGAATCGCTTGCCGGTAATAAACCCGCCAACGCGGTGCTGCATAAGGTGCTTAACCAGCTGGAGGAGTTGTTGAGCGATATGAAATCGGATGTATCGCGGCTCCCGGCGACCCTGGCACGTATTCCACCCGTGGCGCAACGACTGCAGATGTCCGAGAGGAGTATATTATCGCGATTGGCTGCGACGTCGTCTTCGAATGCGTCTCCAGCAAGTAAGTGTTTGATTTGTATAGTTTTATTATTATTTAGAAATATTTACTAAACATTTGATGTTTAACGCTGTTCTAGCTCAAGTGATGAGCCAATTTCCGCCCGGTTTCAACGCGGGAAGTCTGCCCGGTTTCGCAGCGGCCGCCGCCGCCGCCAACTTCGCCAACTTCAGGCCCCAGTACTCAGTTCCTGGACAGCCACCCTCCGGTTTCCCGTCGTAAGGTGGTCCCCCAATTCCATTTCCTTCATCATCCCCGCCTCCCTTGGCTCCAAACACTCACACCTCACGCACTTTTTCTGTGGCTATTTCGGTGTCGTAGGTTAATTGTAATGTTATTTTAATCATCCCAATAGGATCAATAACGAGGAGCGAATTTTTTATAACGTTTAGAATCTAGCGGATAAACAAACAACAAACTCTTAGCGTATAGGGAAGAAGGAGCGTTTAATTTATTATTGTACGCGGCCCGCGTTCTACATCCCAATCGAGGCAAAACGAAAGCGGGCGATTGGTGCGCGGAACGCTGTGACGAGAGAAAGAAAAAAAAAACAAGCGTCTTGTGTAGTGTTTTCTTCTTAGGTTGATACTTATTACTGAGTAATAATAGCTAATGTATGTATGCGCTCGCACCGTTACTCAGTAGCAAGATACATTCCAAGCAATTAAAACTATTATAAATCACATGGGAATTGTGTTTTACTTTGATATCTGTACATCAAAATGATTTTTAATAGTTTATTGGTTCAATCATAAATATTTCTTAACTATTACGCTATAAAATATAAAATCATAAGTCCTTTCACTGCTTCACAGACACTTTCCGTTGATTATCATCAACGCTCTGTGAGTTTTCCGCACTGTGCCACAGTCCATACGCAAAGTATATCGTCAATCCAATAAGCAACCATACGCCACATTGCGCCCATGTTAGTGCCTCCAACATTGTCATTAAATATGTATTAATTGCGATACTCAGCGCCGGAAGCCAAGGTACCAATGGCACCATAAATGGCAGCTTTGTTTCTGATCTCGGCTGTAGACTTATCGAAATTACTAGTGCCAGCGCCATACTTCCGAAAACAGCTACTCCAACAATTGGCAATGCACCATCCTCCGACAGATTACACTGACTTAAAATGGCGGCGAAACCAAAGCACGTGCATACATACAACACTACCTCCATTGCTACTAATTTAGCGGTCAGATTGGTCGCCGTTTTCTTGCCGGGGCGAAACATTTGTTTCAACATATCCACATAAGTAAAATTAGCTTCAAGATCATTGTTATTGTTGTCAAAACGGAGGATAAGCACGCATCCAGCTACCATTGAGTAAGCGAGTAAAGTACCCAGTGACATCATCGTGAAAAGTTGACTAAGTTCAAATATACAGGAGAGAACACCGGTAAAGGTTCCTGCGATAAGTGTACCGTAGAATGGCGTCTTGAAACGAGGGTGAATGCGTCCGAGGAATTCAAAGAGCAAGCCATCCGATGACATGGCGTAGATAACACGGGGCAATGGAAACATAGCTCCCAAGAGAGATGAAAACAATCCGCAGACAGCACCGGCTGTTACCAAGTATTGTGCCCACTCCCAATCAACTGCTTCGTACATGTGTGGAAGCGGCGCCTTTTCATCTTGTGCATAATACGGCAGAATCATGGTCAAAACAGTCGAGATTCCAAAGTATGCAAGGAAGATAATCAACAAGGACACCACAATTGCAATCGGGATTGATTTTTGTGGCGTTTTTGCCTCTTCACCTACAAATATAACAAAACAACTTGAGGTGAAATAAAATAATAAGAATCAAGATGGCGTTGGTACCTGCAGTTGCAATACAGTCAAAACCAATGAATCCATAGAAACAAGTCGCTGCTCCTTTGATAATACCATTGAAACCATACGGAGCGAAACCACCTTCGCCATATTCCGTCGAGTTGTTGGTCCCTTCCATGACTTCTTCTTTGCTAAGATTCCAGTTGGATGCGTCGACATGGAATAACCCACTGATGATCACAAACAGTACAACGAGAAGGTTGACTACAGTGAAGACGTTATTCACTCGCGAGGATTCTTTAGCGCCGAAAGCCAGCGCTATTGAAAACACGACAGTTACACCCAGACTGAAAAAATCAGGATACGGGGCTATCACATCCACGTTCATTGGCATCACTTCACGGAACCATTTACTCATTACTTCATCCGATAAAGAGTCTATGTAGGTGAATAGACCTTTTACTACACTCGCAGATCCTAAAACAAAATATTTATTATTTTATAAAAATGGTGGGGGTACCTACCTATACACACATACCAATTACATACTCCAATATAAGATTCCAACCAATGATGAATGCTATGAATTCGCCGACGCTGACATAACTGTAGACATAAGCACTTCCGGCTTTGGGCACACGCGCCCCGAACTCCGCATAGCAAAGCCCGGAAAACACCGATGCAATGGCAGCGATGAGGAAGGATAAAATCACAGCGGGACCAGCGTATTTTTTGGAAACTTCACCTGCTAATACATATACGCCCACACCAAGGGTGGAGCCAATTCCGAGCGCTGTCAAGTCCAAGGTCGTTAATACCTTGGCCAATTTGCTGTTTTCCTCGGCAACTACATACTTTTTACGTCGCATGGCGAACTTAAACTCTCGCCATGACATCGACCGTAGGTACGTCATGATTGATGTGGTCCAAGAACGGAAAACTGCTGAGAAAATCACATCAATAGTATTTAGTATTTAGTATTTTTTTTTGTTTTTATTTATATGCTGAAACGTGTTGCCAAGAGCATACTTATCAGATAACGATAATATGTGAGCATAGAAAAGGCTTTGCACGCGTCTCACGTGATTGAGAGATAATAAACGACTTTAGTGGATTCACACAAACGAAACTTTTTATCACAGTTAATAAGCACTAAACACGTTGGTATTTCACGTAGGTACATGGCTTGATATTGAAATATGTGCGGATGTGGTCATAAATTGCAAACAAAAATTACCTTGGAATATTTCTATTATCATTTTGTAGTAGACAAAAGTTTAAAACAATTGTAATTTGTTTTACTTTATGACGCGAAATTCCGCTGATGACTAAATCTGTCTCGCAGTGTTTGAAAAATCGAATCAATTCAGTCAATTGTCTGTTTATTGAATAACCAAATGTGCCGAAAACAAATCAACACACAATTGTGTTTTATTTTTAGTTTGCAGACAGAGAATTTATTTAACTGTACACTGATTGAGAAACATTTAAAGTTCGTTTAACTCTGAGCACAAAAAAGGTAATGTTTTAATTGCAACTTACATGTATGACAGGTAGATACTCGTAGATTGTTATTACAGCATTAAATATCACAAGTTTATTTTTCTTATACACACAGAAGTTAAACGTTAAACGATTAAAATGATGCAGCACAATTTTCTTAAATACTTAAATATTTTCACAGTTTATTTACTTCACTAATGAGTAATGGTATAAATGATTGGAACGTCCAGATACAAGTGAACGTACGAGTAAGTCACTGTACAGCGCGAACTGATTAAACCGTGTACAATTTAAGCATTCGCGCTAATCGCCTCAATCTCAAGATAACCGTCAATATCGAACGAGATTCCACTTGAGGTTTTATCGGATGAAAAATCGTCAAGAAATGAGCACAATCCTATCATTAACAATTAAACAATAAGTTATATACCTATTAAATTGCATATTCGTAAAAACTAAGCGCCATGACGATGACGAAAGATGGGTGATAATAATCTATGTGCTCATTCATCTTTTGTTTCCTGTTTTCATGTGAAAAACATTTATAAAAGCAATTTTTACTAGTAGCGTAGTATTGGAATAATATTTGAGTACTAGTTATGATTTGAGGTTAAGTTGACGCTGGCGTTGATTCAGTTCGCTGTTTAGCGAATCGGTTGTCATGATGGTTGCGTTACTGGCTGTTATAGCGTCGGGCATTGGTTTCATTGGTGTGGAGGGCGCCAATGTTGATGGGACTTTACTGTGACGGATGCCATAGCCGAAGTAAATTAGGAATCCGACGATTAACCACACGATGAAACGCACCCATGTTTGCAGATCCAACTCGAGCATTAAATAAATATTAAAGAGTATACTCAGGAGGGGTATCAGCGGCACTAATGGTACCTGAAATTTTTTATAACAATTTGTAACTTTTTTTGTAAATTCTTTTGTTTTTGTGTTTTACCTTGAAAGTAAGATCCGCATCAGCTTTTGGTTGTCGGTATATGACCACGATTGCCACGATCATAGCCAGTAAAAGAAAAACAAAGATGGCGGTGGATGCGCCATCAGAAAAGTCAAGATAATAAATAACTAAACCGCAGAAGAAGGATGCCAGCAAGCAATACACTAAAAGGGTAACGTTTGTAATGGTGGACGTATGTCGACTTGGTTCTTTAACGTTGTTTAAATTAAACGCGCTTTTGCCAAGTTGATTCAACGTCACTGAATTATCCTCTGGCAGGTACTCGTTTTCCACCAGTGGTACATATCGCAGAATCAACACGCAAATTGCTACGATTGTATATGCCAACAGTGTACCGATTGACATCATGTTGATGAGTTGATCAAGGTCAAACAAGGCGGCCATTACACCTACAAAAAAATATTATTACAAAAAATGTGTTTATATGTGTTTAATGTTACCTGAAAGAAGGCCAGCTAATAAAGTAGCTTGCGCAGGTGTTTTTGTCCTTGGATTAACCTTGGCGAAGGCTTGGAATAATAATCCATCATCAGCCATGGCGTAGATTACTCTGGGCAAGGGAAACATGGCGCCTAACATACTTGTACACAAAGCAAAGATGGCGCCACCGGTGACGATTAATTTAATTGTGGGGTAGTTTAATTGTTCTAGGACGTATGGAAACGGTGCCTTTGGATCCTGATCGTAGTACGGCCACATCAGCGTCAGTACCATTGACATACCGAAATAAGAAGCGAATATGATGAGTAGCGATAAACAAATTGCAATGGGAATGTTTCTTTTTGGGTTTTTAGCTTCTTCACTGGTAGTTGCAACGCAGTCAAATCCTACATAACCATAGAAACATTTCGCAGCACCCGCCATGACACCTGCCATTCCAAAAGGTAGAAAACCACCTTCTCCGGCTTTTGCAGCGAATTGTTCTGGGATATCTTCTTTGGCGATTTTCCAATTGTCAACATTAACTTAAACAAACATTTTATTATTATGAGTTTTGTTTTATTTTGGTTTTTTTATTTACTGTTCATTATTCCAACTACCATGACAGTTCCAACTGTACACAAATTCAACGCAGTGAAAATGTTGTTTAGGAATGTTGATTCTTTTACTCCCATGATCAATAATCCAGTGAGGACGATGACGAATGCAAAGGACATGAAATCCGGAAATGGTGACATGAAGTCTATGTTGATGGGCATAAGAAGGGTAAGTTTTTCTTGCATCACGTTACCCACTAAGGCATCTATGTAGTTACTGAGTGCACGTGCAACACTAGCGGTTCCTATATTTAAAAATACAAAAAAAAAACATTTTCATATCAATTTACATTTAAGTACAGTTTGATTGGTTGCATACATTGGTAAAATGTTATTATATCAGTTATTTATAAGTTATGTAAAGGTTTTTTGACTGATTAACATGACTTAGTAATTATGCTTGTGTTTAAAATTGTTTCAGGACAATTAAAACTTATTTTCAAAGAAATACTTGCCAATGACATATTCGAGGATGAGATTCCAACCTATAATGAACGCCGAGAATTCACCGACTGTCACATAACAGTAGACATATGCGCTCCCTGCTTTTGGGACCCGAGACGCAAATTCCGCATAACAAATACCTAAATAAATAAAAAGAATACGGTTAGCATTAAATTGAGGTTAAGTTCATAGAAGTTTATAGAAGTCTACACATATGTATACAAAACTCACATTGTTTATTCGTAGTAGTAAATAAAAGCAAAAACTAATTGACAAATAATGACGATAATGACAAAACGAATTATATAACTATTAACAAGAACACAAACTGTAGCGAATTTTATTTAGCTGTATTGTCAGCAGTATACACACATTTCAACATGTGGAAATTTTATTTTACACGCGAAACAAGGCCTTTAATTTTTATCGCATTCCGAGTGTTTTCCTTTAAACTACTCCGCACAACCTTGATGCCTTCAACATACCATGACATACCATACTCGTACAGCTGTAGTTATAACTATTGAGTTATTACGACTGTTTGAACTTGTACTGTTACCAGGAAATAAACATATTATCTATGTGTTTTAATTATTTTAATTACCTACTAGATTTACAGGCGTGATTATGTGTGTAAGGTTAAATTAGGATAGGTTCAGTTATTTAAATGTGTTGTTGTTGTTACCTGCGGCTGCTGATGCTATTGCGGCGACTAGAAAGGATAAACAAGCCGCTGGGCCTGATTCGTTCCGGGCAACTGCTCCTGCCAGGACGTAGACGCCTACACCAAGGGTTGATCCTACTCCAAGGGCAGTTAAATCCAATAAGTTGAGGACTCGTGCTAATTTACTTTCTTCATCGAGCAAGGGTTTCTTGCGGCCCAGCGCCGCACAAAAATTATTCATCTTGAAAGGGAAATAATTAATTTATTAAACAAATCACTACTAATATTATAAATGCGAAAATCCTGATGTTTGTTACACTTTCACGCAAAAACTACTTAACCGATCATCATGAAAATTTGTACACATATTCTTAATGGTCCCCGAATGGTTATAGGCTACTTTTTATTTAATAAAAAAAAATATTTTTTAAATAAATTAAAGAAATAGTTTAGCCAATAATACCTCTGCATCTGGCTATTTGACTACTTTAACGCCATCTAGCATTCCAGCAATGAAGCTCAAACCTAAGTACTATAGTACCATCACATTGTATTATCACACTGTATTACCGACAGCTACGTCAACATCAAATCCAATTGACTACACTATGGAGACTGTACACTATACTTCCATAGACTATACTTTCAGCCATTTTAAACTTCCCGCCATTCTACTTCATTGTTACTTCTTCTGTGACTACAGACGCGTACGGAAGCAACTTCATTATTTTAGATATTCGCGAGCGAAGCCGCGGGATAAAGCTAGTAAGGAATAATTTAATACGATTTGTTAGTTAAAACGTTTATAACTCAAGAACGGTTGGACAGATTTTGATCATCTAGGATTTTTTAGATTCATGTTGGTCCAGAATAAGAGAATAAATATTAAAAAATTGAAAATGTTTATTTAAAGCATGTTAAATAAGGGATGAAAGATTATATTGAAATTCATTATTTCAGATATTCGCGAGCGAAGCCGCGGGTTAAAGCAAGTTAAAAATAAAATAATTAGCACTTAATTTCTAGCATTAAACAAACATTATCTTTGTATTTTTAAAAATCTTTTGATAAATTTTTTTACAAAAGTTTTTTAAACAAATTTATATGCCATTTATTGCAGTTATAAACAAAACCCGGATACCCAAAATTGCCCAGGAGATCAAAGACATTAGTTGAACTTAAATCTCAAATCTTGAACCCTATTTTATTGCAGATACATACAATAAACACTTGTTATAAACAGGTAATAAATTTAATTTGCCTCTAAATGAACAAATTTCATTAATCATTTTAACTAGATACTTCAACTAGATACCTACAGATTTTTAGCATCAAATTATGAGAGTAGAATCTGCGAGCGTTACGACTCGCTGATTTTGGGTGAAGGCTGACCACCTTACCTCTCGGTCAGCGAACGAGCTCAAGAAATCAACTTCCAATCATCTACGTGTTACTCATTCCATCCACACATATCAACTGGCCATCTAACACGTATTCTTGCTTTTAAATTAATTCAGCACGCAAATCTCATGTTGTTATCGCCTAATTTAATAACAAATGCTAACATTTATGTTTTCTATTTAATTCCAATGTCATTTGAAAACATCCAAACACTCAAAATAACATTATCTACTCGTACCAACATTTCTACTGAAGCACGCGTAATATGGTAAAACAGGCAATACAATTACGAGTACATGAATGTGATTATTTCACCGTGCTACAAATTATTTACAATTGTGTGCTTAATGTGTGTGCAATTGTAAATCGTAGCAATTGCGTTGAGTCAACAGTGTGGCGCTCAGACACACCAACTGGAAGTTGGTAAATACGAGCAGTCAACGTGCGATATGCAAATCTAGACGATGGTTAATTGTCGCACTTGGGATTTATTTGATTTCTGCCTTGTTAAGTTTTATATTACTTTATTACACATTGTTCGCGTAAATCCGTGGGCCCAGACGGTGTGTGGCCTTCACGTAACGCGACACAGTAACAGAAACGACAATGAACACTGCATTATCGAAAATTATTTAAATTTACATCAGTGGAATATGGAATACTTGTTTATTATATTTTTGTACAGTAACACGCGATTGCTTCATTTTTCATATTTAAATGACTAAATTGTGAAAGGTTTAGTGTAAAAATTTCAATATTGTGAATTTTCTAATAAAATTTAAAAGAATATAAATGTCAAAAATAAAATTTAATAAATTATTGGTAATTATATTTGAATTAAACAATTTTGGCAGTAAATTCAGTTTAAAAAGAAAGAAAAAATGAATTCTTGCAATATTCACTAACAATTAATTTGCGTCACTGCTTAAATATTAAGTCTTATTAAAAAATATATTTGAAAATATTACCTATATCTGCTTAACATGCCTGTCATAACTTGTTTTTATCGCAGTTTTTTTAACTAGGAATATAGTCAATTTAAAAATAGTTTACTACAGTTATTCCTACCAACAACACTGTAGTTAAATTTCAAAATGGCGGCTTATTAACTTACAATTTCTGCTTTTCACCGAAAATCCTACTCATTTAAAACAATTTGAAAATAAAATGGTGTTGAATAGTAAACATAAACATATAATTACTAAACGTTCTAAACACTAAGTCAAACAATTGACGAACGTGATTCTATGTTTGCTTTCCGCCATTACATAAGCAGGATGAGCAGACGAGACTCGGAAAACACGAGCACAAAAAACAACATTTCGTACAACAAGATTCATGCATTGTTTGGAATAGCTACAACATTAATACTTAATTAATATTTGAATGTCTTCAATTACATGGCGAGAATACTTAAAAACCGGTTATAGTTATGGTTTTATTATAGGTAGTCATTCAAAAAATCCAACCACAACACTTCTAAAAATATAATCGCTATAAACAAATTACATCCAATCAAGACCTACCTTTATTTATTTTTTTTAATACAAGGATCTTGCTATCACTTAAGTATTTTTAATGTGTTTGTTGACACGGTTTTAATTCGGAATTAATTTGAGTTCACTTTGGTTCACTTCACACTAAATTTTCGATGAGTATTTAAACTTATATTTTAAACGCGCACTTGTTGGTAATTAAAAGCGTGTTGGTTATAATAATTGATTGTAATTAGTTTTTCACCGTGCAGAATTTTGTCAGCATCATGTTCGCGAGTGGAGGCGCGATGTGCGACTAGAACTTTTCGACACGCGCGACAAATGTTTATAACATTTATAACGCGCGCAGCTTACCTGTGGAAATTATGACTGGTCGCTTCGCTGGTGGTATTGCTAAGCTTGAAATTTTTGAACGGTTACGATCGTTCAGTTTTGACAATTGCGCTGTGTTAATTGTTCCTCGTTATCTGTAAGTCAGCTAGCATTTTTAGTGATTTAAAAGGCACAATGAGTGTTCAATTGCGGATGATACGTGTTCAACAGTCATAAAACATTTTGATTAACTTTTAGTCACTATGGTATGGTATTTTTCTTGCTGGGGTATGATTTGGACTAATGTTATTTCAGAAATAAATTCTTTTATAGTGTTTTATTGCACATAAGATCATTTTGACATTAAAAAATTAATATTTTAAACAATATTTTATTCTTTATGTTCGATATTAAAAATTGGAATTTTTAAATTCTGATTATGCTGAAAGACAGGGTCGAACTTTTTTTAGTGAAATTATAATCAGTCGAAAGACAGGGTCGAACATTTTTTATGGAAAAATTACCAGTCGAAAGTCAGGGTCGAACTTTTTTGTAATGAAAAATTACCGGCCGAAAGACAGGGTCGAACTTTTTTTAAAAAAAAAATTACCAGTCGAAAGGCAGGGTCGAACTTTTTTGAAGAAAATTATTTCCGATCGAAGGATAGGGTCAAACTTTTTTTAATGAAAAATTACCGGTCGAAAGACAGGTCGAACTTTTTTTAAGAAAAAAATTACCAGTCGAAAGACAGGGTCGAATTTTTTTTTATGAAATTATTACATGTAGAAATTTTCAGGTCGAAATCATCAAGATTAAATGGTAATTATCTCGGGAACTAAAAGGGCTACAAAAAAAAGGACTTCATATTCTTGATCCTCGAAAAATTCTCTACAAGATGGCATCCTTTTTGAAAAATGATAAAAATGGCACAAAAAATTTTTTAAGAAAAGATTTTGTTATAAAAAAGGCAAAAGATTTCTCTTTTTATGTTGAAAATAAAAAGTTGGAATTTTTGAATTCTGTTTTTGGATTCTGGTAAATAATTTAATTCTACATAGATTATTTTAGTAACTTTTTATGCTACCATCAACCGTTTGGGCCCTATTTACAAATTTGAATGAAAATTGCATTCGACATAAAAAAGAGAAATCTTTTGCCTTTTTTATGACGAAATCTTTTTTCACCAAAAGTAGCTTCTGTAATAATTGGAATTTTTCAATGTTGTTTTCATATTCTAAAAGACAATTTAAATCGACTATTTTTAAGTAATTATTTTCATAGCATTAACCGTTTAGGCCCTATTTGCAATTTTAATTTTAAAAAATGAAGCAAATCATGTAATTAAAATCCAAAGAAAATCTGGTGGGAAATTTATGCATATTCTATGTCCACTTTCTGCGTTCCTAATACCACGCACTGGTGAGCAGCAATTTTAACACGAAATTAACACAAAATTTCGTTCAAAAATCATTGAAATTTATAACAAAATACTTTGGAATATTAGGATCGCAGAATGTGCGAGGAGGCTGCTAGATTAATCATTCAAACTTATTGTAACACCCAGTGGCTGCGTACTTGAGATACACATAAACAGATGGCGCTGGCAGTCATTATTTAAATAAATTTTAGTGAAATATGCAGGAAATTGATTTTAAATTGATAGTAATGAACGTATTTGTCATATATATTAATTAATAGGTTACCTTTAATAAAAAGTTCATAATCATGCATTACTGCATCTATTTATATCAATTTAAGAACAATTTTTAATTTATTGCACTAAAGTTTATTTAAATATTACCACCAGCTCCATCTGTTGATGAATAAGTTAACTATGCCGCCACTGGGTGTTACAATAAGTTTGAATAATTAATGTAGCAGCCTCCTTGACATTCTGCGATCCTAATACCAAAAAGTGTTGAGTGTATATTTTACATTGTCGAATTATGTTGAATTTTTGAATCTTTTGCTTTTTTTATGTTTCAGCAAATGCAGCTTCTGTAATAATTGGAATTTTTAAATTCTATTTTCGGATTCTGAAAGTAGATTAAATTCTGAATCAGAAACCGGTAACACAATTAACAATTAAAGCCCTATTGGCATGTAAAAACCAATTTTTTAAATTAAAATTTCAAATATGGACTAAATATTTAATGTTAGGTAACTAATTACTTAAATAATCAATATATAGAGTTTAACTATCTTTCAGAATCCGAAAACAAAATTTAAAAAATGTTTTAAGTATCATTAGCGTCATGCGTTGGCGCTTAAATAATAATAAGAAAAGATAAAACCTAATCATTCAATATCATGAAGATTAGGGATTTTTAATTGATTGATTCTAATCACGTGTACTTATAACTTAGTCATTTACAAAATAAATCGATTACATAACTGATTGAAAATTTTACAATCGACATGATGCAAAATGAACAAAATTGATTCTTGAATAATAATATATAATTTTAATTAAAATATATAATCACTAGCTTTAACCCTTGGCTTCGCTCGCGAATATCTAAAATAATGTTGCTTCCGTACGCGTCTGTAGTCACAGAAGAAGTAACAATGAAGTAGAATGGCTGAAAGTATAGTCTATGGAAGTATAGTGTACAGTCTCCATAGTGTAGTCAATTGGATTTGATGTTGACGTAGCTGTCGGTAATACAGTGTGATAATGCAGTGTGATGGTACTATAGTACTTAGGTTTGAGCTTCATTGCTGGAATGCTAGATGGCGTTAAAGTAGTCAAATAGCCAGATGCAGAGGTATTATTGGCTAAACTATTTCTTTATTTTATTTAAAGAATTTTTTTTTTATTAAATAAAAAGTAGCCTATAACCATTCGGGGACCACTAAGAATATGTGAACAAATTTTCATGATGATCGGTTAAGTAGTTTTTGCGTGAAAATGTAACTAACATCAGGACTTTCGCATTTATAATATTAGTAAGGATATACATCTGTACCTTCTCTTCAACGTCTACAATAAATAATTTTGGAGATGGTCCTCATGTGCTAAATTAATACCCACCCATCAATTTTATGATAATAAAAATGTTTATCCGTATATCAAGGATAAGTGGTTAGCAAATATTAAACGCGCAAAACAAAAATGATCGTTATTATGGATATTCCAGATTAACCACGTTACAAAATGTTGCAATTACAATTATTAATCAACTGTTCAAGTACCACCTTTGATAGCCTGTTATCTAACATATCATAATTTACAAGCATAGAACCGCCAAATCAATACTTTAGTTATACCAAAACCACACACCACTTCAGTTCATAACAATATTTCATCCACCATTTTGTTTCATTCAATTTGAAACATGAATCAAAGATTTGAGCAAGTGGAAGGCGGGTACATTCCGCGACCAGGTGCAGTCCCACAAAACAACCCAGTTTTTGGTCAGCAAAATCAAAATCAAAATCAAAATCAAAATATTCCCTACGGAGGAAATGTCCCTCCTCACCAACAACTTCATCAGGAACCCTATCAAATTCCATACTGTAAGTCTCCAATCAATAATTTAAATAATTACTTATTTAATAATACATACGTGATGTTTAGCTCCGCCCCCCATGAGCCGCAGTCATACTAATACTGTTCGTAAGTAAATTCACGTAAATTTTTATTTGACACAGAATTTATTTGTATTATTTCTGTAGAGATGCCAAAAATATCGTGTCAATGTTCCGCTATCCGGTGCGACAACATTGTTAAAGTGTTTCTTTCCGAGGCGTTCGCCACCGCCATTTTGCTCTTTGTCGGCTGCTCGGGGATGTGGTTTATGCCGATAACCTTTGGCGTTGGCATCGCTATTGCCACACAGGTACACTCACCTAACCTCAAATCAAATCTCTTCTTATATTTTGTAACCATTAAAGGTTTTCGGCGATATCAGTGGAGCACATATAAATCCGGTCGTTACACTTGCTGCTGTCATAATGGGTCGTATTGATAGTATTCTCTTGGTTCCCATTTATCTTGTCGCACAGTTTTTGGGCGCGTTGGTTGGCTGCGGTCTTCACTACGTAAGACATGATTAACGTCATGTTGCATAATTGTAGTATTACATCAAATAAAATTTCAGATGATTACAGTAGACCATACCATACTGGACTCCTTCTGCGTTCTGAAACGGCCACCAGGGGAGTTAGTGCTTAGTGACGACGGCAACGTAAGTGCTACAATTAACGAGTATAATTATGTAATGTATCTATGTATCTATATATATAAAAATGAATTGCTGTTCGTTAGTCTCGCTAAAACTCGAGAACGGCTGAACGGATTTATCTTATCTTGGTCTTGAATTATTCGTGGAGGTCTAGGGAAGGTTTAAAAGGTGAGAAAAATTCGAATAATTGCCTGGAAAATCCTCAAAACAGCTCTTTTCTATAGAATAAAATTTGACATTGAGATTCAATCATAGTTAGAGTTAAATAGTTGAATTCGAGATGGCGCACTGAAGTGCATTATTGACAAAACTTTATATGCACAATTTCTTTAAATTAAAATTGTTAATCTTATTGATAGAATTGATTCTTACTACGAGTATGTCTAAACAAGAGAGTAAAAACGAATTACATTTTTATTAAACACTGCCGGAACGAAGTCGCGGGCAACAGCTAGTATATATATAAAAATGAATTGCTGCTCGTTAGTCTCGCTAAAACTCGAGAACGGCTGAACGGATTTATTTTATCTTGGTCTTGAATTATTCGTGGAGGTCTAGGGAAGGTTTAAAAGGTTAGAAAAATTCAAATAATCGCCGGGAAAATCCTCAAAACAGCTCTTTTCTATAGAATAAAATTTGACATTGAGATTCAATCATAGTTATAGTTAAATAGTTGAATTCGAGATGGCGCGCTGAAGTGCATTATTGACAAAACTTTATATGCATAATTTGTTTAAATTAAAATTGCTAATCTTATTGATAGAATTGACTCTTACTACGAGTATGTCTAGAACAAGAGAGTAAAAACGAATTAAATTTTTATTAAACACTGCCGGAACGAAGTCGCGGGCAACAGCTAGTGATTAAATAAAAATTTGCAGGTATTTGGATTTGAATTGCTCATGAGCTTCATCTACATCCTGGCATTGTGCGCGCTGTGGGAACAGCACGATCGCACCGAGGGCAACTCATCGTTACCCTTGAAGCGTGGTATTTTCTACACGGGTATCGTGATGTGCTGGTTCTGGGGATTCGGCATGCCGCTCAGTTTGAATCCAATGCGCGCGCTAGTGCCAATCATCGTTACCCCCACACATAATAATTATAATAATAATAATGATTTGCCAATCGACACACCTTCAGTTTGGGATGATCAATGGGTAATTTTCATTACTGCCGCTTGGAATATATATTTAAATAATGTAATTGTTTTAGATTTATTGGGTGGCGCCCATTTTAGGATCACTGATTGCTTGTGTCTTCTACAAACTGATGAGATTTTTGCAACAAAGGACCAAACGCTACGAGTAAATCAAGTCGTTTCTTGCTTGTATTCCATAGCCAGATTTAATAATATTATGTCTATATCCATGTTAATTATATATTTGCATACAAACCCTGTTTTTAATTGTAATTATTACAGAAATTGCATTTGGTCACTACGTGTAACGTTGGTTGCCTAACGTTGTATACCTATGCTAACCAGACAACGGTTGAAACATATTTACATTTCAAACGTCGGTTCTCCAAGCGCGAAATTTAATAAAATCGATCAATTTAATACCGTTTTCCTTGGTTATATCACAATCCATTCGCGCAGTGTAGTTGCAAAATGTGTGATGAATTCATCACAGCGAAACACATCGAGAAATTAAGTAATCTTCAATTTTATTAATTATTTACAATTCTAACCTGTAAACTACTCTATAACTGAAAACTTTGCAATAAATATGTTTTAATTGCATGTTACTAATAAATAAACTATGGTTTAGATCATCACATACCAGAAATACGTGAACGTGCTCTTCTCAACATTTTTTCGAAGCTTCAGCGTGGCATTTACTATGATAATGATCTGGCTCGCAGTAAAGAATTGTTTTGGCAATTATGCAACTGGTTTCGTGAGAACGAGCCACCTTTACGACATGATGAGATTGTGACGAAGATACTCAAGCGTATTATCAAGAGCGAAAGCGGTATTTACTTGATTGACATGCACAGTACATCAGAACTTCTAAAGGAATTCAATGAGTTGAAGAATATTGTCGATGAGAAGTCTCAGTGTCATTTGGATGAGATTGTGAAGTATATTGAGGAAGTAACAAGTGCAGAATGCCCTCCGCATGTGCCACCGTTGAATCTCAACGATTTGAATAGTTACAGAAGTTGTGGTGAGGAGGATAGTGCTGTGATTGGTAATGTGGACACAACAGCAACTACTATTGCTGGATTTGTGGATAGTTTTGTTTCTCTGGATGTTGCTGATATCAATAACATGTGAGTTATCAATTTATTACTTTATTTTGTTTGGTTTTGATAAATGTTCCTAGTGAAACTTTGTTTTAAATTATTTAAATACATTTTAAACAAAAATTCATTATAAAAGTAATTAAGGGTCATTTAATCATGTTTTATTAAAAAGATTAGCTGATTAATTACTAGGATATGTATTTACTGAACATTTTATGAGTATAGTTATGATTTTAGACATAAAAATGGTGCAAAAACAAACCGCAACAGCAAAACTGACACTCCAGTAGCAACAAATTCCGAAAATCCATTCAGACATTACACGTTTTTGTGGCAATGGCTGATTGGTGCCGATAGACACGTCTTAGAATCCGTCGAAAACACTCTAAGAAATCCAAACGAACCAACAGAATTGCTTAATTCTTTTGAGTTTATTTCGGATGTTTTACTGCACGATTTTCCAGCGGAAGTGTTTCTGCAACGCCCTGCTATAATAAAAGTAAGTGAAACTAGATAATAATTTATCAACCACATAAAAATATACAATGGAAATATGTTTAAGCTTTTGCATGATCTTTTGTGGTCGAGTCCTTCCTCTCGCATCACAACCGCTATTTTAAAATGTCTGGGAAAGTTAGTTAAAGAATTTATTAACCGAATTCGATATTATGAGAATCCTGGGTCGCATAATTTAAAATTAAACGTAAGTTATACTTTTTAGTTGATTATTGTTATGATAGTATTCACTAATTTAAATTTATAGAACTTTCACATTGATACCACGCCAGAAAACACAACACGTGATGCAGATAACGATGATTCATCCTCAATGGAAGTCGAAACCTTTACAGAAACCGCAATATTAATGAAACATCAAATGAATTTACCGCAATTCTGCTTAAACACGATAAATTCAATTTTTGATTATTTATATGTGAGTCCTGAGGCAGGAGAGTCTTTTAGGCGCAAAAAATGCCAAATTGGAATTAATACGGCGTTGGTATTACTGCATGATGTTATACAATTATTCAAAATGGCGGTGAAAAGTTGCATCTTCAATGTGGAGTCTGTAATGTTGGTTAATGTCAAAATCACGTTAAACAAATTGGATGAGTGCCTTAGAAAATATGGTGATGTTTTAACACATTTTCGGTGAGTAAAATTTACTAATTATTTATTATTTTATGTATTTAATGTATTTTCTGATTGAATTAATGTTTCATTGGTTATATTATAGGATAAAGGTTTTAAGTGAAGATTTCCTCGATGAAACACGCCTGATACAATTACACTTAATCAAAAGTTTTGATTACTTACACACAAATTTCATCCCCAGTGGGAGAAGTGATATTTTACCAGCGAATTTGAAACATGCACTGAGTGAAACACTGCTTGATGCTCCCCTCAGTCGACTTTTTCCCTTGTTACATCAGAATTTATATGAATTATCGCGGAAATTTCAAAGTAATGACACTTATGATGAAGTTATGAGTGTTTGCTCGTCAATGACATCATCGATTAAATTTCTTCGTGATTGGAAGTCTTTACCATTCACTAAGAATGTCACACTTGTTGAAGAATCGCTTTTATCATTAGAATTTCATCGTAATTTAAATTTGATATCAATTTTCATCGATTTGATAGCAAATCGATTGACCACACACACATTCGATGAAGATCTTTTGCTACAAATTGAAGAAATTTTATTGAAACTTTTGAGTCATCATCAAATTGACATTAGATTATCAACATACAGGAATTGTCATGCTAAAGTTATAAAAACAATCGGTGCGAAATTGAATACGAGCAAGAGTAGTGCACCGGGTTCACAGATTTTATTTTTACTCCGCAGTAGAATACTTATTTTATTTGCGACGGGGTTGAAAGCATCATGTGATGAAGTGCGGCTTTTATGTGAGGATATGTTTGTTCATATTTTAAAAGCTAAACTGTTGGTGAGTGAGGAAATCTGGCAGGAAACTGTAACAGCTTTAATGCCGACTATGCCGATTTTATTAACTCATACAATTGATAAGAAGTCTCTTATTGGACGTCATGTCTTGTCCCTGTTGGATCCAGATAGATGCAGGATGATGAATTTTTCATCTGTTGAGGTTATGCGTTTGAATATTGGATTGTTATTTGTTGCGAATTGTGAGGTTAGAATGGAAGCAGCCTCGAGGTTATGTTGGTTATTGACAGTTTCTGAGAATACTCAAACACCATCTAGTGGTAAAGACGTAAGAATGTTGCCTCATTTAATCAATCTGCATGATAAGATACTCGCTGATGTTTGTCTCATGGAAAGGAAGTTTGATTTTAAGGCCTATCGTGGAGCCCAAACACATTTCTATCAAGTAAGTTGAGTTGGTCTAATATCAAATAATATTTTATTATGTTTTTAAATTTTATCAGCCAAGCAGCCTTCATCAAGTGATCGACCTGCTTTCTGCAAATAACATAGAACCAGTTATTCGACGGTCCGCCATTACACAGATTAGCGTAATGATGGAAGATCCACTCTTGCATTCTATTTTTATAGAACGCGATGGCTTGCAATTAATAAGGAATTCCATGCGTTCAGCTTTAACGGATGATGACTATCAAGATTATCCTGATTCGGCCATTCCTTGTTTAAGTATATTAAAAAACTTATGTGTGTACAGTGCCACGACTCGTCTTGAGATTGCAAATTGTGAAGAGCTATTGCGTTTAATTTTGAGAGGTAGATTGTATTTAAATATTTTAATGTTTTTAATATCTTGATAAATTACAGGAATTTTTATGTTTTGTGCGGAGCCACGTGTCAAACAAGATGGCGGCATGTTACTATTTCTAATCGTTTTCAACGAATATGTTTGCGGATCGCCGTTAAAAAACGATTTAAGCATAGCAGACGTTTTACAACAATCATTGGAATGCCCTTTCGAGGCGAAAAGTTTCTCTACTTCAGGAAATTATGCGCTACGGTCATTACAGAGTAAGTTTTATATTAGTATATGACGGGTTGCCTATTAACGAGTAAACTAACTTTAATATATTGCTGAAGAACTTAAAGAGAACAAATGGGCATTGTCATCGCTGCAAATCCACTGGAATATCGAATACTTTGGCGGATTGGATCAACTTTTACAACCACAGCTGGTTTATACATTCGATAACAAAACTGATACATTTAGCGATGAGCTTAAATTGAACCAAACGGATTTGAGGGCTGTAAAGAGTACATCGATTCAATTTACAATGGATAAATGCCTGGCGATGGTTTGTCAGAGTCATACACATGAAATTATATTAGAAAATTTACATTTATTAACAAGGTGAGACTTATTTATGCAAAAAATATAACTTTACGCATTGAATTATTATTTTTAGGTGTTTAAATCTTTATGATATCATAAAAGACAACACAACTATTGATATTGATGATTTCGATTGGGAAAAATCATTCGCAAGGTATTTAAATGCGCCACCTGCCGGACAACAAGACAATATTATGTTGTCTTTGATCTTCGACTTCTTTTCTCTTTTATTTCCTCATTTAAAACCTCAAAATAAGAATGCGCAGTGGCTATTGTCTATAATAACATCACGGACGCATTATTTCAATGTTATATTGGCTGTGGAATTATCCCAGGAGCAGGAGCATGACATTGAAAAGTTACTCAACTCCCTTCTATGTTTAATCAACGTATGTGTGATCAGTGAACAACAAACAATGAATGGTCTACAGTTTGCTGCAACCATGAATACATCTTCTGCTACAAATTCAAAATTGTCTATCAGTCGATATTCACACATTGTTCAGATACTAGTGAATAATCTTCAGAGCAGTAACACAAAACACTTCTATAACTTAGCGTATTTGGATCGTCTACTGAAGACTTTGACGCATATAACAGCGACATTCGGCTGGAGTGATTCAAAACCCGGGGATGGAGTGAAGAAAGTTATGACTAAATTGTCAACAAGCGCGTTTGAATTGTTAAACGCATTTCATTGTGGAAAAGGACCCACTGCAGCTGATAGTTTGATGGGATTGAGTATTACAAGACATGTGGTATTTGTTTTGAATCATTTGGTGGCAGAGATGCAGCATTTTTCTATTAAAGATTGGGAGGATTGTTTTGTGGATGATGGCGGTGAGGTGGAATCAGTTTATAGATGTGTTTTCGCGTTGAAAAACAGCCGGGATGTTGTGCTGCGGGCAACTTCGGTGCATCTTTTGTCTGGGTTGGCTATGTCGAAGAGGTATGCTGTTCAGATGATACAGGGTGAGTTAAAATAATTACTAATTAATTTAATTAGTTAATACTTAATTTATTTTTTAAAGAAATTGCTTTAAAGCATGATAATCTACACTTGTGGAAAATAATACTCACAGTTTTGTGTGATCATGAAGAAGCGTCAATTGTACGAGAAAATGCCGCTATTTTATTGACGAATTTGTCGAGTCATCCCGAACAAGATGGCGGCGATGTTCTGCTTGCATCAGGACTTCTTACTAAAACTCAGTCACAGGTATATTTAATATAGGCAACCCTATTAGCCTTAGATCATATATAATTTACATTAACTGTATTTATGTTTAAGCGTGAGTTTGTAAATTTACAAAACACACAAAAGAAATTATTACTAGGACTTCTAGATGCATGTAACTTTTTCAATGCGACAGAACTGATCTTAAAGCGATTGACAACTGTTAAAGTATTTAATTTTTCTGAGTTACGTGGTAATCAAAGTAGGTATACTCATTCAATGTTTTAACTTATTAAAAAAACACGTGTACTTTAGATTCTGATTTGGATGATTTTATGTTCGTTTACAACAAAGTTCTGGAAGTCACCAACATTTCAGACAGTTTTAAACCTGAACACACAAGCAAATCAGCGCAAAAGTTTGAAGATGCTTTCGTTATTACCACTCCAGCTGTCATAAAAGCATTGGCAACTTTTGTTTATAACCTAGTATTTCTTCTACCGCATACTATGAGTGGGATGTTACAATCGATGGGATTAATCAGGGCATTTTTCACGTAAGTTCCCGCATGTTATCTAATTATTTTACTGACATTTTGATGAATTGCTTAGATGTGTGACTATGCCAACCATTGAAATCGAAACCGCCCGAGATTTAATTGCCTACGCTGATTTAATTGAGATGAACACTGCAATTTGTGTTTTATTAACAAAAACCGCCGAGGTGAATGAAAATTGTCTATTAACAATTGGCAACGCACGCGATTGTTTGAGTTTAGTAACAGGTTTACTTGATCCTGCCATCTATAGTGAGTAATGCGTATTATGTTCTTGAATTGTTAAAAAATACGTTTTTTTTTTGTTTAGTTGTAAGTCTGCCGGAATTGCATTATTTGCGTAACAAACTCTGGTCTAGCATCTTCAATCTCCTAAATGTTTTGTTACAAGGAGTTAGATCTGATAATGGAAACGAAACTAAGAATAAGTATGACATAAATGCGTTGATAATGCAATTGGAATCTCGAAAAGAATCATTTTTATTGTCATTATGTGAATCAATCAGTAGTAATATTTCAAATGGTAAGTTATTAGTCTAATATTTGTAATAGTTAAGTTGATTATAATCATTTTTTATTATTTTTATTAGATTTGCAGTTATCAGCTTTAAATTCTCTGTCGTCGCTATTACAATGCAACACAAGTGAAGATAAACTAATCAACGAATCTCAGGAAGCAAATATTCCCGAATCACAATCAATATGTTCCTCATTATCGAGTATCTTTGATAATACGAAAACACCCCGCACCAATTCCGCCAAACAAGTAAGCCAACACTCAAATAAATTCAAAAACGAAGTGTTGAAAGAAATCTACTTCGGAAAAGGTCCCAAATCTTGCCGGTCAAGTTTATCTGTATCTTCACTAGCATCAGCGGATGAGAATGGCGTGGAAATGGAAAACCGCATGGCTGGTGCAGAACTGTGTAAAATCTTATTGGAACTTTACGAAAGTTTAAATTTACAAAAACCTTTATCTTCAACATCATCATTGACAATGGTAAAACCTCAAACACAAACATCCAAACGGAAAAGAGTTGTATTAAATACATTAACAAGTTTATTGTTGGTGTCTAATCAAGCTAAACACTACGCATTGCAACACGGTTTTGTAACAACAATAATCAACCAGTTACAAACAATTTACGTGCAATTATCACTTGAAACTATTGATAGCATGCGTAAAGTATCAGAGAAAAAACGCCTAACACCGATTTTACACGATTTGGAAAATTTGGTTTGTTTAATGATGAATTTCCTCTATCGTGATGAAAAAGTAAAGAAAGAAGCCTGCCATCTAGGTTTGACTGATTTAATACATAAACTCTGGCACTGGTTTCTTGTTCAAAAAGGACTAAGCACAAACGCTTTGAAATTATTATGTACGTTAACATCGAATTGTCCTGCAGCGGCTGCATCACTTTCGTTGACATCGTGCACGCCTGGTTCAGGTCCACGCAAAACACCAAGTAACACATCGTTGCTGCATGTCATCTGCGCGTTGATAACGAAAGAAATGGAGATGATTAGTCGCACGCATAACTTGGAAACGCTTCAGTTTTGTTTTGATGTTTTGCACAATGCTGTAACTGTTTCCGAGTGTCGTTTTATTATTATAAAGAATAACTTTTTGAATGGTGTTAGCAAGTTGCATCCAGCGTTGACTAAAAGGCAAAAACCTTGGGAGCAAGTTGAGCTGATGTGGTTGGAATTTTTGAATGCGTTTTCATCATTTCCGGAGGGACAGGCTATCATTGGGAAGACACAGGACGTGTTTGAGATTGTATTATGTCTATGTGGATGTCCAAGCGGGAGAAATCGTTTGGAAGCACTGCAAGTTTTGAGAAACATTGCGTTTTATCAGGGAAATAGAGCTAGATTACTCGCATCGGGTAAGATTTGAATATGTTATGCAACTTGATATACATCTAGTTAAATTTTTGGATATGTTGTATTTTTCAGGTGATTTCTTAAATATTTTATGTTCACGATTATCAGCATCCAATCCAGCTGAAAGCACTACTATAGTACCAGCCATTTGGACTTTGGTGGAAAATTCGCAAAAGGCAAAAATGGTGTTCAAAGCAGCAGGTCTCGATTTGAAAATGAAGGATTATCTGCGCGTTTTGTACCTTAATAATTATAGCCATGTTAGTGACAGGGATGTAGAACTTTTGCGGCATGTTCTCAATCTTTTATCAGATAATTAACGTCAATGTGCCTTTTATACATGTTTATTTATTATTTAATGAGTTAACACTATTCACTATTGAATCCTATCTCGTAGTTTGGTTTTTATTTTGTTAATAAGAAGTGTCAATGGAGGAAGTCATTGTTCAATAGGTTGCATACCTATTGGTATGCAGGGTGGTTAACGTCATTTAGTCAAACAACTTACTTTGACCAAGAAAGTAAGTAACGTCAAAATATACGTTATGCAACCAAGTATACATTTCGTCGGGATAAAATCATGTTAACAATGAAAATAAGTTAAATATTAGTTAATTAGTCTTTCTTGTATGGAAATACTGAAACCTCTTGTCTGATAAAGTCGACTTAAGTATAGATATACACGTATTAAGTTATAAGCAAAGGGAAGAGTAAAAGCTGCGTTGGCGGTCCGTCCACGAGCGCGTGTTGCGCGTCGCGCGCCTTGCAAGTCGTCTTCCAAAGTTGTTTTGAGCTTGGTGTGTGGTGGCTGGTTTGTGGTTTCTAATTTACAGAGCCGGCTCAACACTTCTCCACTCATAATACTCGTATACTTCATACAATTTAGACCAATCAATGAACTCAATGCTCCTAGATTTTAAACTACGCGTAAAAGACATTAATTATTAATTAATTTATCGAAATCCGTGTCTGGTGCATGCGCGGCCCGCACAAACGGATGATGAATGCGCCGATCGCGGGCGCGCGTGGCCCTGACTCGCGACTCGCGAGCGGCAGAAGTCGTTCGAGTGTGTCGTTCCCACGGTCGCGGCACGCTCACAAATCAGCGACTTTTCTTTTTCTCTAGAAGCGCGAGCCGCGCACGTGATGCTCTGACGCCGATCGCGCATTATATCCATTTTATCTCTTGCGGCGTGCCGCGCGCGCGAGCCGCACGGAATTATGCAAGCCGCCTGCCGACACCGACAAAACATAAACTAACACACGCTGTGGCTGCGTACCACGAGGACAGAGAATACAACAATGATGACGAGCTATGTTTTATCTCAAAATTAAAAAAAATTAATTTTTAGGTTTTTTTTATTGTTTTTGATTTATTTTATTACTAGCTTTTACATGAATTCAATTCGATGGTTGAGATCATAAACCACCGATAAATAAAATTACAAAATAATTTTTTTAAGTTTAAAATATGTAACCTGTATATTTGGTTGCCTATGTTATAAGAGTATTTTAACCCTCGGCTTCGCTTGCGAATATCTAAAATAATGAAGTTTCCTCCATACGCGTCTGTAGTCACAGAAGAAGTAACAATGAAGTAGAATGGCGGGAAGTTTAAAATGGCTGAAAGTATAGTCTATGGAAGTATAGTGTACAGTCTCCATAGTGTAGTCAATTGGATTTGATGTTGACGTAGCTGTCGGTAATACAGTGTGATAATACAGTGTGATGGTACTATAGTACTTAGGTTTGAGCTTCATTGCTGGAATGCTAGATGGCGTTAAAGTAGTCAATTAGCCAGATGTAGAGGTATTATTGGCTAAACTATTTCTTTATTTTATTTAAGAAATAATTTTTTTTATTAAATAAAAAATAGCCTATAACCATTCGGGGACCACTAAGAATATGTGTACAAATTTTCCTGATGATCGGTTAAGAAGTTTTTGCGTGAAAGTGTAACAAACATCAGGACTTTCGCATTTATAATATTATTAGGGTATTCTTAGTAAAAATACTCACATTTGTTGATGGGGTGTGCATCATATGTGTGCAATATGCGCAAATGTTAGTTTTGTCGAAGGTTGGTATGTACGTAAATTGCGCGCGCTCGATTATTGATCCTGCGGCACAGCACAGCATCCCTTGGTAGCGGGAGCGCGTCACATCTGTAGTAGCCGTCCATCCTTGCATGGTCGTTCGTCGTTCGGTCGCCGCCGCTACCGTCACCGCCTCCAAAGTAAACCAAACCTCTTCCTAAACAATCAAACATTAAAAAATTTTAAATTCGACAAAAAAACTCTTCAAATATAAAATATTACAATGTCAATGTTTCCTCAAATAGACTTTGAAGTGCTGCAACCCAAAAATCACAAAACAAGCAAAAAAAGGCATTAAACATTTAAAACCTGCTCTGGATGACAATCAATTAATAATTAAGCTTTAACCCTTATAAGACACTTAATAGTGTAATATATTAACAATTGTGTAAAGTGTAACAAAATGGAAACAAAAATGTGGCGGTTGTCAAACTGGCGCATCTCGCTTCTGTTGTTTCTGCTGTGCTGTGTGCATCTATCACTATCAAATCCAGACGCCAAAAGGCTCTACGATGACCTCCTGAGTAATTACAACCGACTCATACGGCCAGTCAGCAATAACACCGACACTGTGTTGGTTAAACTCGGCTTAAGACTATCACAACTCATAGAATTGGTAAATAAATAGATTTACTTTTTGTTGGACGTGTATTTGGTTGCATACAAACAAATTGATCGGATTTATGACCCACTCAGTGTTTTTATCGACGTTGACATTTGGGCGTAATCGACAATCATCCCACTGACTGTAAATATGCTCCCTAGGGTGGAACAACAAATCACCAACTGCACCATTTGTCCAGGGTGTAAATAAACAATCATTGATAGGCGAAAATCAACAAAATTTCTTTTTTGTTTGTTTTTTGTTTCATTTCCGTTTTTTTTTTCGTGTGTTGGGAACATGTTGCAAGGGTGCACGCCCATCTTGAATGGTGTCACGTGTTTTCCAATGCGCAAGCGCTACAACCACACAAACCCAATTCTATTTCATTTTATTCAATAAATTCAATTAATATATTTAATTTTTACCTGTTTTAGAATTTAAAAGATCAAATTCTTACTACAAACGTCTGGCTGGAACATGTAAGCAGATAAAACCTTATAATTTATTTATAAATATAAATATTTTTTGTTGGTTATGTAATTTATGATTAGGAATGGACCGATCACAAGTTCATGTGGGATCCGCAAGAGTACGGTGGCGTCACTGAACTGTACGTGCCGTCGGAGCACATTTGGTTGCCTGACATCGTACTATACAACAAGTAACCTATAAAAACCTAACAAAAAACATCAAATAATTAATTATTATTTAAATTTAGTGCGGATGGTGAATATGTCGTGACTACAATGACAAAAGCCGTGTTACAACACACCGGAAAAGTCCTCTGGACACCACCGGCCATCTTTAAATCATCTTGTGAGATTGACGTGCGTTATTTCCCGTTTGATCAGCAGACTTGTTTCATGAAGTTTGGTTCTTGGACGTATGACGGCAACCAAGTAAGCTTAATTTAACAAAAATAACCTCAAACAATTAATTATTAATGAAATATTGTTTTAGATTGATTTAAAACACATAAATCAAAAAGTAGGCGAAGATAAAGTCGAAGTTGGCATAGATTTGCGTGAATATTACCCCAGTGTAGAATGGGATATTCTCGGAGTTCCTGCCGAACGTCATGAGAAATATTATCCTTGCTGCGCGGAACCTTATCCCGATATTTTCTTCAATATTACTTTACGTCGCAAAACCCTCTTCTACACGGTCAATTTAATCGTCCCATGCGTAGGCATTTCATACTTATCAGTGCTTGTATTCTACCTTCCAGCTGACTCTGGAGAAAAAATCGCGCTTTGTATTAACATCCTCCTGTCTCAAACGATGTTTTTCTTGCTAATATCTGAAATTATACCATCTACATCATTAGCTCTACCACTGCTAGGGAAATATATATTATTTACAATGGTTTTGGTAGGTTTATCCGTTGTAATAACAATTATAATACTTAACGTGCATTATCGTAAACCTTCTACACACAAGATGGCGCCGTGGGTACGCTCGTTCTTTATCAAGAGCGTGCCGAAGTTGTTATTGATGCGCGTGCCGAAAGATTTATTAACTGAGTTAGCAGCGAATAAAATTAACACTTCCGGAGGGAGGTTTATGATGGCGAAGAGAGAGTTGGAGAATATGCCGTCGAATGCGTCGAGTTCCAGCTCAAGTTCAAGTTCTAGTCGAAATCGTGGTATTCCTGGTTGTAATGGTTTACATTCAACAACTGCAACAAATAGGTAATACTAAAATATAAAAATTATATGTTAGGCAACCAACTTTACTTTTGTGTATGTTAGGTTGCGGTACTTAGCTGGTGGCTTAGGCGGACGCTTGGGTTACAACGGTCTCCCTTCGGTGTTCTCCGGCCTCGACGACAGCGACACCGGCGGCCGAAAGAAGTACCCTTTCGAGTTAGAGAAAGCAATTCACAACGTCATGTTCATCCAGCACCACATCCAACGACAGGATCAGTTCAACGCGGTAAGTCCACTCACTATATTATTCATCTCTCTCTCTTTGACATTGAATATCTGTTGTCGTCTTTCACCTCTCGTATCATCCTCAACGCTCCCCTCGCTGCACAACTTTCGAAACTTGGTCAGCTGTGTGTATGTGTGTGTACGTTGGTGTGTCGCCCTCTTGCGGCTCTTTCTTTCACAGTCTCAAAAATCAAACAAAAAAAACTCCTCTCCACCTACTACTACTGAACCACCGACCGTCTGTAGAGTTGAATACGTAAACATGTGTTGTTCTTGCTTTTGTTTCAACCGACGGCAACGACAAATGTCAAAACAAACATACAAAATGGCGGCCGGACTGTGAATGTAGGAGGATCAAGATTGGGGTTTCGTGGCAATGGTGCTGGACCGCCTGTTCTTGTGGATGTTTATTATAGCGTCGCTGGTCGGCACGTTCGCCATCTTGGGCGAAGCGCCGAGTCTCTACGACGACACGAAGCCGATCGACACCGAACTCTCATCCGTCGCGCAGCAGCAGTTTCTACCCGAGTTCGAAGTCTTTTAAGTTTCGCATATTCATCGCCGCCATATTCGTTCATCTCTTCATCTCGTTCGCATTCGTTTCATTTTCATTCATTCCAACGTCAACTGCGTCGACAACAATCAATCAATGTGAATTGGCTCGTTTTTTGCGATTATGATTTCAAAAACCGCGAAATGCGGCTGTAAATATCGTAGTAGTAAGTAACCACAATCTCCAGATTATTGTTCTGAATAATTGAGCAAACCAAAAACCAATGAGCACTTGAATCTCGCATGCGAATATGATTTTTCTTTGTTTTTGATGCATCACTTTAAGTTTGAGTTTTTGAAAAACCGCCCTCTATCTCAGTATGTACGTACTACTCAAAGTTGACAAACATCACACATCTCATCAAAAAATCACCGATTTTGTTTTGCTTTTCGCTCCGATGATACATATTAGTTACCACAGATGGCACCAGTTGGTAGCACTGGCGTGTCACGACGTGTTCTCTCCAAACACACTGATTGGCATTATGTAATACTTGTTCTGGCGACCAACAAAAGAGTTTGACAACTTTTGTACAGTTTTTTTTAAGTGTCAACATGTGTAACTCTTTTGTTTGGCGTCGTATAACCCCAAAAATAACCGATTGGCAGCACCGTATATTCTACACCACCTTTTTGACGTTTGACATTTGTCTTTTGACGTTTTTGACGTCAAATACAGCACGATGTGGAATGTTTTGTTTTTCTGTTATCGGTTCTTTTTTAAAGACTGCTTAAATCAGTCTTTATTGTTTCAGTGTTGCGTTTTTTTATTGTTTTGATTTTTGTAACTTTTGAATTACAATTTTTGTAACCGTTTTGGATTTATTGAAGGACATTGGCTTATTTTTCACAGATTTGCTTGCATCTTGCCGCCCGCGTTTATAGATGGCGCTCTGTGCACATACTAATCTCGTGCGTATGTTTTGTAGGAGGATCAAGACTGGGGCTTTGTCGCAATGGTGATCGATCGACTCTTTCTGTGGATCTTCATGATCGCCTCGCTCGCAGGCACGTTTGCCATACTGTGCGAGGCGCCCGCCCTCTATGACGACACCAAGCCAATCGACATGGAACTCTCCTCGGTCGCCAAGCAACAGTTTCTCCCCCACGATTTCTAACATACGGAGAAAAATCCTTAAGCGGGATGTAAAACTCAACACGACGGACGGGGATGAGACTGTGCGTAACACACGCGCGCGTGACGGAGAGAGATGAATATCAAGAGAATAAGAATCAAAACTCGATCGGTAGAGGGCGCTAGATGTATCACACATAGCATTAATATACCAACACTCAACACACATTGCAATTAATCAGCGTTGCAGGCCCGGCTCATGAATTTATTACATAATATATAAATATATAAATTAAAATGGACGTGATGAAGCAGGGGGAACGAAAACACCGAAATCGTAGGCAATTTTAACATTCGTATTCAATAAGAAGTATTAACACTAATTATCTACGCAGTAAGCTACACAATACACAGGAAAACGTTTTAAAAACCAGAAACGTGAAAAAAAAAATATGACGTAAGGTAATGGATATTAAAATACGCATCGTATAGTTGCAGCATACGTAATTATATTTATTATTGGTTGATTAATTGTTAAGGGGAATAATGTTAGTAATAATAAAATAAGTACTCGATTTATGGCTGTAATATTTGTGGTTTTAGGTTAGGAATCATCTATGGAGTTTGTTATGGAGATTATTTTATTATTTTTTAGTTTTTTGACTTAAAAACCTTTTGGTATGTGGTTAAAATGATTTTTAATACAAGAAATGTTTTTAAATTTTAAGTTGTGGACCATGGGACGAGGCACGTACCAAAATGTTTGTCTTTTGCGCGTGACCGGCACAAGTCTTGCACAAAAGCTTTTAAAATCGAAGGAGGTCCCGACTAAAATATTCTTTTTCTTGCAGGCAAGTTGAAGCTAAAGTAAAGTTCACTTGAAACGCTTGAGGAACAAGACGTTGAGAGGCTGGTGGGTAACATGTGTGTGCTTTTCGGCCTCCTGTGTGGTTTTTGGTGGGGTTTGGCAAACCGGACGTGTGCCATAAACAAAAATTTTGAATTTTTTTTTAAATTTAATTTTTTTTTCTTTTTTTTTGTTAATTTAACCAATAGAGCAATCTCCAGTCGAAAATATAATAATTTTAGTTCGTTTTAGGTCTGAAATTGTTACGAATTTATCGAAATTTTTATTTTGAAATGTTTAAATGAATGAATGAAGTGTATGTTTATGTTGGGTGTCTGACGGTGGTCCGTAATTCGTTAATTCGTAGCTGTGGCAGCGAACGAGTTGAGATGAGGTGAGGTCCAGGACACGCTGGCCGAAGACGTGGAAACCTGCTGATGGTGATGGTTGATGCCTTCATTAAAGAATCACAACCGGACGGAGACCACACACGCGCGGGCGCGTGGAGGAACGGTGGCAGTGGTGTGGCACTGATTCGGCAATTTCAAACCCGCCACCTTTTCCCTACACAACACTACGTATCTTAAAGTGACTTACCTACATAAAGTAACGCCTACACTAAACTAATTAATACTAATATTAACATTACTTCATATTATTATTTATTTGATTCGATTTGTAACTTTTTAACTTTTTATTTTGTGATTTTTTCATATTTTTTCTTTAATTTTATGTATAAGGTTGAAATATGGGGCAGAAACTATGGTAAACATCCGGATGTTGGCGTTGTGCTCTTGTTTCAGTTTTGGTTTCGCAGAAAAACACGTTTGCACTCGTATATACAACAACGTGTGGCGGGAAACAAACAAACACGCTTTGTTTATGCCCTAAAGAAGTTAATAGTACATTGTATGTTACTTAACATCCCCAAATTATTTTATTCATCATTTATGATGCCTACAGCAGCATTATATGGCTTTGTATCGTGCTGGAGTCAATTGCGCATGCGCAAGTGACTTTTCGTCGCTTAAAACCATGCAAAAACAGACGCATTAATGGTGGAGATAGAAAAAATACAAAAATGCATCTTTAACATTCAAATATGACTTGCTAATTTATTCATTCCGTTTAACCCTTACAAAATTTATACAAAAAATGTCTCCTATTTGTAATCAATAAATAGGAGTAACCTATGACTACAAATCGAATGAAATTCTAAATCTATTCCGTTAAAATAGTGACTAGACGTTTTTTGGTATTTTGTCTGCAAAAAACATCTTCACCCTTTTTTTTCATTTCATTTTATTCAATTTTTTTCTACTTTCAATTTGTGTTAATCGTGATGATGCAAATTATTCCATGATGATGAATAACTGCATACATTTACAATTTAGAGTTTGCTACCTGTACTTTCTGTGTGTATGCACCGTTCAATAAAAATCGATTGGGGATGAATTTCTTGATCGTCCTTCAACGGATCACTGAGCAGGTAGATTAGGGATGGCAACACGTGTGGGGCATAAAAGTCAACCCCTTTAGAATGATCGCTAATGATTGAATTAATGGTGAGTAACCCCTCGAAATGACAGAAAGGGAACAGAAAATGCATATCAATTAAAATTTATAAGGTTGAATAAATTTACAAAATCACTTAATTCATATTGTATCATATCAATAGATAAAAGATTTTATTATATTTTCTACTTCCACTTTATTTTTACGAGGTTTTGATATTTCAACTTTTCATTATAAATCTTCGAAATTTAAGCGCTCACTAGTGAGAAAAGTAAGGTTATAAAGTACTTTAGTCACGGTCTTGACTTGCCGTGTTTAAAGTACCAATTTTGTGTCTCAAAACAGTGAATAATTGCGTTTTAAAAGAAAAATAGAAATAAATAAGATTTTTGCAAATAATTTCAAGTAAAACCAAAAATAAATGTATTTTTATACTTTAATTTGCTGTTTGTAATTATTTTTGAGGTTATTTTTGGTTTTTGACTTAATACGCAGCCTTCATATTTTTTCTTATTGATTTTGAAGATAATTTGCCCCAATTTTAATGTTTTCTGTAAACAACTGACCAAATTTTAAAATTTGCCAAAATCACGCCCATTTTTCAACCAAATTTGTACCTAAAATAAAAATAACTCCCGTAAACACAGCTAATATATAAGTTTTCACGTTTTCGAGCATTTTAAGGGCACGACTAAGCCTGAATTGTCCGCCCGCCCGTGCGCGTCTCGAATTTTTTGATTGTTTTTATCACAACGAACGGACCACCCGTAATATTCGAGCGTGCGTCGCTGCATCTTGCATCCGACATCCTGAACATCTTCACCAACTCCAACCAAAACGCATCCGTTCCGTGCCGTGCGCCCAGCGTTTATTTTAACAATTTACGAAGTGTTGCAACTCGTACAGACGGAAAAAAATCACCACACAGTGGTAAACACAGAGAGAGGTAAAGATGAAGAAATTATACGAAGTAAGAACGTACATAATGAAAACATTAAATATTTTTTTAAAGAAAACTGAAATTAAGTCATTTTGTGAAGAAGTTAAAAGTGACTTAAGTCACTAGAAACATATGGTATGTGTATTTTTTTATTCGTAAGCGAAATTTTGCATGTGAAGAAAATTACAACTGTTTATGCGTAAGAAACTCACCAGAACGCCAAAAAAGGAAGTTGTCTTACGTACACCATGTGTAAACAACCATTGGCGATTCCTGGGTGTTCTCAAGCATATTTGGGACCCGCCCCAAGGGTAAAAATTACTGAATTATGGTAATTTTTAACAAAATCAATTTTAAATTTTAAATTTTCAATTTTATTATCCCTACTAATATTATAAATGCGAAAGTCCGGATGTTTGTTACACTTTGACGCAAAAACTACTTAACCGATCATCATGAAAATTTGTACACATATTCTTAGTGGTCCCCGAATGGTTATAGGCTACTTTTTATTTAATAAAAATTTTTTTTTAAATAAAATAAAAAAATAGTTTTGTCAATAATACCTCTGCATCTGGCTATTTGACTACTTTAACGCCATCTAGCATTACAGCAATGAAGCTCAAACCTAAGTACTATAGTACCATCACACTGTATTATCACACTGTATTACCGACAGCTACGTCAACATCAAATCCAATTGACTACACTATGGAGACTGTACACTATACTTCCATAGACTATACTTCCCGCCATTCTACTTCATTGTTACTTCTTCTGTGACTACAGACGCGTACGGAAGCAACTTCATTATTTTAGATATTCGCGAACGAAGCCAAGGGTTAAAGCTAGTTTTTACATAAAAACTTTTAAGTATTTTTCGTTATTTTTTTAAATTTGACATTCATTTGACATTTGACATTTGACATTTGTCATTTTAACCCTATTAGAACTTACAAAAAGTACCTAAGTATTTATTATCAAAGACAACAAGATAATCGAAGTGTGTCATAAGCAAACAAATCTATTTACTTATTTACTTATTTACTTATTTATATGAAAAATTATGTACGTTTTGCTATTTACTTAATATACTCGTAGTGATACGCATGCGCGTGAGCAAGTGTGACTGACACATACTGCAAGAAGGAAATTTACTTTAGATAACTGCAGATATATTATATTTGATTTTGTTTGATGTGGAACGTAAAAAGAGAAAAATCTTGAATAAATACAAAATACGCCCAGTGCAAAAGCGTGGGAAGTGTAAATATAAATAATATTTGAAAGTAACTTAAGTTAACTTAAATTTATTTACAAATTTGATACTGGAATTATGTTTAAATATTTAAAACATATTTTATAAAAAGAAAATTAATTCTTTTTATTCATTTCTTGTTTTTATTTTTTTATTTTTGTGTATGTTAAGTTGCCTATCTAAAGGGGCAAATAGAAGTTGAGGCACTGCTTGTGTTAGTGACAGCGCTGCAACACGTCAAGAGTAAAATTCAGTTGAAAACGTCTTCATTCTGTTGCGTGTGTGGTCCTAATTTGCGAGTGAAGGTACTCACATGATTTGCAGAGTGAAAAAGTGACCGGTAATCACAAACGCAGGTAATCACCACAATAATTACTACTTTTTTACTCTTTTTATATACTATATTGACTAGAAATAATTGATTGCATCTGTTTCGTGATTTTCTTTCTAATATTTCTCAAAATGGATGCATTTTTAAAGTTATTCTGCACAGGATGTACGAAAACAACTTGGATAATGACTTTAAATCACTTAATTTGCTTTAATTACTTTAATTACTTAATGAGTTAATTTTGTTTGACTTTTGGAGCATTTAAGCATCAATTCCGGTATTCAGTCAATCAATTAACTTGCTACACACGCATCGGACAGGATTTAAACTTGAAGCGTGCATTTTTATTTATTATATTCATTCTTTTTTTGACTTGCACGGTGCTGCACAAGAAATGCTACGCGCTGTTAGACAAACAAATAATGCGCATGCGCTGCTGCGGTTCATGTCGGCGCGGCGCGGCGCGACATGACCTGACGCGCGGCACGACGTTTATAACCTTAAATTTCGCAACGTGGTGCATGTGATTATCAAAGAATTAAAATAAAAAAGTGAAATTCATCAACCCCAACGAAGAAATACAGTGCAACTAGATGAAATAACGTAAGTATCACGTGATTAACCCTTATTAAACAAACAAAGACGTCGTTTAACCATTTTATACTTAATATTCTATTTGGTATCTAATTAGATAGTGGTTAGAATTGAAACACACTTTGGAAATTAATAATAAATATTTTATTCTCCTCATGTTCAGTGTGTAAGTGTAAAATATAAATTCATATACAATTGCGTGTGGAACCAGTGCGAATCTACAATATTTCATAAAATATCTTCGTATAAATCAGTAAGTTTCATCCAATTTTTTACTTTACAATACATTTCAATAAAAATTTATAATTTTATTCTAGAATTCTAGGCAATCTACGCATCTGCACTCTGCATCTCTGACTATATACAATAAGGCACCGAATTCTCACATCTCAGCTCTTATAATACTAATAAATCCATACAAAACTCACTGTTCACAGTTTCCATCAATAAGAAAGAGGTAAATATGCAATTTAAGAATTTTTAAGATTTTAGGTCTTCTAGATATGCATGTACAAGTATAATATCACAAATAACTTAACAACTAGTGAGTCATCTTCTCCCCTTCTAAGTGAAGGCACAATATGTTATGCAACCAACATTACATCACTATTTCACCATGGCCGCCATACTTTTTCATCATCTTCATCGTCATCATCATCGTCACAATCATCTTTACGCATCACCAAACTCAACGGTTTCTGCATCGGAGGGCTGTAACGCTGCATCTGCACCTCCATGGGTTCAGGACTCTCCGGCGATGAAGAATAATGTGAAGAAGATGAAGACGCGGACGACGTCGACGATGTACGCGTGGGTATCGGCACCAGTAGAGGCATAGTACCCACATTCGGGTGAGGTATGTTATTCGGGAACATCAACGCGATATCACCATTGGGTAAACGCGTCTGCACGAGTTGCACGCCATTGTGCATTATAATAGCGCCTGGATTAATCGGGTACTCATCGGTTTTTATTTGGTTTGGTGATGAAGAGGGTGAAGTATTTTGTTGGGAATTCATTGAGGTGGCGAGATGTTTGAGTAGTCTACGTTTAACTGGTGCGTCTAAACCGGGAAAGCGTTGGACTTCACTGGCGCATTCGGCGAAACCCGCGCGGAATTTATTCGCGGTGGAGTCTGAAGACGATGATGGTGAATGTTGGACATTCTGGAGGTACTTGACGGTCATTTCGAGGATGTCTGCTTTTTCTAATTTGGAATGTCTAGCAGGCTATGGATAAAAAGATAAAAAATTAGTTTTTTTTATCGAAAAATTAGTTTTTCTACCAAAAAAATTAGTTTTTCAATCAAAAAATTAGTTTTTCTATCAAAAACTGAGTTTTTCTACCAAAAAATTAGTTTTTTTAATCAAAAAAATTGTTTTTCTATCAAAAAAATTGTTTTTCTATCAAAAAATTAGTTTTTCTACCAAAAAATTAGTTTTACTACCAAAAAATTAGTTTTTCTATAAAAAAAATTAGTTTTTCTTGTAAAAAAAAATAATAGTTTTTCTTATGAAAAAATTAGTTTTTATATCAAAAAATTCGTTTTTTCTACCAAAAATTAGTTTTTTCTATCAAAAAATTAGTTTTTCTACCAAAAAATTAGTTTTTCTTGTAAAAAAGTAGTTTTCCTTATGAAAATATTAGTTTTTCTTATGAAAAAAATAGTTTTTCTACCAAAAAATGAGTTTTTCTATCAAAAAATTAGTTTTTCTTGTAAAAAAAGTAGTTTTTCTTACGAAAATATTAGGTTTCTTATGAAAAAGTAGTTTTTCTACCAAAACATTAGTTTATCTATCAATAAATTAGTTTTTTCTACCAAAAAATTAGTTTTTTCTATAAAAAGTTAGTGTTTCTACCAAAAAATTTGTTTATCTATCAAAAAATTGGTTTTTCTTGTAAAAAAATTAGTTTTTCTTATGAAAAAGTAGTTTTTCTTATGAAAAAATTAGTTTTTTCTACCAAAAATTAGTTTTTTCTACCAAAAATTAGTTTTTTCTACCAAAAATTAGTTTTTTCTACAAAAAAATCAGTTTTTCTTATAAAAAATTAATTATTCTATCAAAAAATTAATTTTTCTTATAAAAAAATAAGTTTTTCTATCAAAAAATCAACAAAATTAAACACAAACTTACGTCTTTTTTCATGGCGTCCAAAATCAAAGTCTTCAACTGATTCAAACAGTTGTTGATCCTCGCACGACGCCGCTTCTCCATGATAGGCTTGTTACTCTATAAAAATACAAAGAGAACCAACATCAGTATCGAAATAAAATGCGTCGTATCACTTCCGATGCTTTGTGTTTGCGCGTATTTCAAACAGGAAACGGCTGGGTGGACGCGCGGCGCGTCGCTAATTAAAAACGGCTGGTAAAAATCGCGCGCGTGCCGCAATAAACCTTGATTCGCCGACGCGCGAGTGCATTTATCGTCGCCGCGCGCGTGTTCATTTCGACTTACACCGACACGACGCCTGCGTTATCGCACGAGTTTTCGCGTGGCTATAAATATTCAATACTAGCGTGCGCAGAAATATTTTATTCATTTCATTGATATTGTCAACTTTTACAATGAATTACAATGAATTACGCGAAATTTAAGAAGAAATAGTATTTGAACACTTACCCTGCGATCAGAACTGCGTTTTATACCAACACTATCATTATTGGTGCTGGTAATTGCCGATTGGGCAACATTTCCACTTTCGGTAACCATATTTAATGTTTTTTTTACGATTTATTAAAATATCCAAGTGTAATAATGTAATAATCCACAGGTGCTCACACAATTTTAATTTAAAAATCACTTTGGTTCAAAATTCAGTTATTACACTTAAACTGCGTCTGCGCCGAACGAATTTAAGCGAATGACGCACGTCGGGTCGCTGCGTGAACTTTGTACACTCTCTCTTGATGCGCGCAGTCGCGACGCCTGAGCGGTAGTAGCAGTCTGCGTTGTGGGCGCGCGCGTTTTACCCTCCTGGGTGGTTCGGGTGGGGAGGGATCGCAGGTAGTGCGAGCGTGGCTGGCTCGTATTTCGGTCCATAATCTCCGGCGCGACGTGCGAGGCGTGTGGGACGCTGTTTACGAGCGCGGCGCGCGCGCGCGTCGCCGCCGCCGCACGTTTCCGAGCGCCTACCCGTTAACTACCTGTACGCGGCGCGCTCCTCAGGTGGGTCTCGCCGCACGCCATCGCACGCTGATTATTTTTTTCGTTCTTCGGCGCTGCGGTGTATACAAACCTACATACAACTTTTAGAAATTAAAAAAATTAAAAATTTATTCGATTTTTATTCAAAAATTTAGTAAAAAATGAATTTTTTTGAACTTTTTATAAATTATTAGTAGTAATTTATCTTAAATAATCAATTTTTCACATTTTTGACGTAAATAAATCAAAATTAACCTAAAAATGATTTAATTCCTAAAAGTTTTATCGCGTTGTGTATAAAATATTCTCTTGGCGCTTCCACGTGCCTTCGTGTGTCACGTTCGCACTGCCTGCGTTGGTTCCGAGGGTGTGCGGGGGCCGGCGGCGCGGCGGACGATCACGCCGATCGCATATCTAACCGGCGGACGCCCGTGAATCTCATGCATCCGCGCATCTCGTCTCGCCGCAACGTCCGCAGCGTCACGCTCCATCGCATTCATGCGCCGACCGCAAAACAAGCAACAAAAACGGATAAAAACTACACCCGCAGCAGAAAAATCGCGTTTTGTTGAAAATATAAACATCAACAACATATTGCAACATATTACACTTGAAATATATAAAAATTATTCTCATAATGACTAAAATCGTCTATCGTCTACCCGTGTGTCTATTTGCGCTCTCGTGGCATGTTGTGCAACCACACTCATCAATCGGGTACAATCGTCCGCCCCGATCCAGAAGTCGATTGCCGTGTCGCGACACATTCGCATGTTGAGATACGCTGCGTGCGTTAATAACGCGGCGCGTGTTTGTCTCCTCTCGTGTGTGTACGTGTGTGAGTTCGGGTCGCGTCGTGTCGTTAAACGTATCGCTGTGTCGGCACGTACCGCGCCGCCGGCCGACCAAACAACCGTCGCAATGCGCGCGTTCAATTAATAGCCGCATAACCCGCGGGAGTACGAGCGCGCGCGCGCGCAGGCGATAAAAGATAAACAACGAGGCGTACGCAATACGCGACGCGACGGGCGGACGTGATGTTATGCTTTTTTTATTTTATTTGTTTGTGTATTCGCCAATGCCACCCAATTCGCATGCGTACGTTCAATATAATATTCAACACAATCACGCTGTGAGCATTGAACTATGTTGAAGTGGTTTGTATTTGTTGGCAATGTGCCTAAATTCATTCATAAAAACATAGGAATAATAGGATATTATGAATCAAGTGGGTTAAATTGAGTTTTTGGTTAAAATAGTTTAATCACGTGATGAATTCGCGATTTTTTTTTAAGTTTTACGCCGAATTTTCACGTTTTATTTTTGTATTTTAAGTTTTTTTAGTTTAAAAATTCCTGGGTGTGACTAAAACCCATGACTAAAGTATTTTATTAATGATTTTGGCCTCCCATGTTTAAAATATCACTTTTTATATCTAAAAAACGCAGAAAAACGTGTTTTAAAACTAAAAAATTAAAAAAAAAACATTTTTTCTTCATTTATGGCAATATTAATAAAAAATTTCAATTTTTTTTATTGCAAATTGTGAAAACTTTCAAAACGCATCAGATGTGTGAACGTTCACGATCGTGTTGACGTCGCCTGCATGAATAAAAAGCTATTTGCGCGCTTGATTAATTTGTGAGTCACGTCGTTTGTCGGCAAACATGCGACGGTCACACGCCGTCGCACGAGGCGAATCGTTCGTCCTTGCGAAATTCCACCGACGGCGCGGCGGCGAAACGCGACCGCAGACCGTGCGCCACCATTTTTCGCACGCGTCGCCTTCCCGGAATCATGATTAACCTGTGTGTGCATAGTGTTGTAAACGTATAAACGTAAAACTCGCGGCGTAAAACAAAAAATGCGTGATTATTACAAAAATCGCGTCGCGCATGCGCAGGTATCAGAAAGCATTCAGTGCGCACGTGTCGAGTTTATTGCTGTCTGGCCGCGGTAGACACATATCCAACGATTATGTTTGTTTAAACAATTGTGATCTATCTATATCACATAACTACGCATAATAGATTAATAATATCAACAAAAGTATAACTAGTCACATGTGTTGCCTATCTATATCTATGTGGATGTCGTGATGAATGCGCATGCGCGCGACGGTAATTACGACCGACCCGTGCGCTTGTAGTAGTAGTGTGCACGTGAAACGCACGCAGGCATCACATAAATTAAGCGCGCCTCTGGGATAAGTGAGCGTCGGGCGCTTTTGTTGCGGCCGCGGCGCGCGCGCGCGCTCACACAGCAGCGACAGCGGACGCGCGAGACCCGCGAGACGATGCCCGCCGCCTGATTACGGCCACACGCTCGTGACTCGCGCCTTGCCGCGCCGTGCCGCGACCCGCAAACAAACCCCCGCGCGTCTCGGCCCATCTCGTGCATCTCTTACATCTCGGCCCGCGCGCCAAGGCGGCGTTTTTTATCTCACAACTCGGCCTCAGCACAAATTATACCATGCGGATATTAATTAATTTAGTTAATTTAAATTTTTTTTATTTTTTTATTTATTTTATGAGAAAATAACATTTTTTATGTTGTGAAATAATTAAAATCATTTTTTGGTGTTAATTAAATTTAAAATTCGACGTGAAAAGTAAATTTATTGAAAAATATCAAATTTTTGATGGGAATTATTTTTCTTTTTTGTTTTAAAGTTATTTTCACGATAAAATTAAATTAAAAAATAATATGACCAAGTTTTTAGTGGTCCAAAGTGTATATTTCTTTCGAAGTGTTTATGGTATCGCCGCGAGGCGCTCTCGCGATTACTTACGATTCGGTTAACCGTCGCGTGCGTGCATGTGTGTGTGTGTGTGCGAGAGTCATTTGCATTGACGGCTTTCGTCTGGGCCGCCGCGCGCCGCGCCGGGATTTTATGTTAATGCCGTTCTCTCGCCCGCACCGCGCTTCTGCGAGTTAACTTTTGACTCGCCCGCGGTTATTATCAAGCCGCGCGCTGCGCCTGGGAAGCTGAGAAGCCGCATTCGACCACATTCAAGCAGGCCATAAAATAAAATAGAGGCGCGCGCCACCGCGCCGCAGACGCAAGACGCAAGAGGCGCTACGCGCTGCTGAAATGACCGTTTCCTCGATGTGTGTGTGCTTTTTTTTATCTTGCCTCTGCTTTGCATCGACGCGGTTCTTTTACGTCTGCTTGTGTCTCCAGCGTGGAGTTATACTCAGTATTTCGACTTATAACACAAAATATCTTTTTTTGTGTGATTTTGGTTGCATAACTCCTAAACTAAAGCATTTTTCGATTTAACTAGTCATACGTTGATAATGGTGCGCTTGACATACGAAGAAGTAAAATAAAACTCCATTGACGTCAATCACGGGTATTCGCAAACAGCGAGTACGTCGTTGTTGGGTCGTGGACGTTGGCGACGGGAGGAAAACACGAGGCGCTTGCGAAATGCCGCACGGTTTTTTTTGCGCCGCACGTCGCCGACGAACGACGAACGACGGTTCTGAGAGGACAAAAAAACAAAAGCGACATGTGGCGCGCGTGCGACGTGCAAAATTGCGCGGAATGCACGCACGCAACTTACTGTGCGATTGCACATTGTGGAAATTATCCAGACTATAGACCTGCGTATAAAAATATGGTGATTTGGTTGCCTATATTTTATATTTTCACATGTTGCAAAGTTATGTATCATCATATCTATATATATACAGTAGAGTCCGGTTATAATGACATCGAAGGGAATTGACAAACACGTCATAATAAGCGGACGTCATACAAAGCGTTTTGTGAAATGAAAACCCTTTTTTATGTAAATATGTACATATACATACATATTAAATCAAAATCAAAATTGCACGTAATCAGCTCATTATAACACATACAAGTGTATTTTTTACTTCAAGTAATCTGTAATTTTTTTCTGCTTTTGTTTTTTCATTTAATTAATTTTCTTGTGATTTTCGAAGCCTCTTCGGTTTCAAAACATTTGAATTGAACGATTGCTTAATGCGGTTTTTGTTTTTTAAAAAGCATTGAGATTGTCGAATGACCCACGCCAAATTCGGATTAATTGAAAATACGGATTAAGTCGTGGTCAAGGTACTGCTGTCCGAATGCTTATATTTATTATTTAAGCATTTGGTCTTTCCGATAGTAAATACCTACATAAAAGTAATTTGACAATCATAAAAGAAATGTAGCAATAAATATAAAAAGTTCGCCACGTGTCGAACGTCGTCGGGTATCAACGAACATTACCGGAGGTGTAAAGAATCATGTTGGTCAATATAACCGGACATAATCTGTTAAAAATGGGTCATAATAAGCGACATGTCACTGTAAGCGAAGTCATTATATCCGACTTTTTTTATACAGAATTTTATATGAAAACCAAACTTGGTAGTGTAGGTACGTCATAATAACCGGTTGGTCAATATAAGCGGAGTCATAATAAACGGATTCTACTGTAGGTATATATAAATAAATTTCTGTTCGTTAGTCTCGATAAAACTCAAGAACGGCTGAACGGATTTATCTTATCTTGGTCTTGAATTATTCGTGGAGGTCTAGGGATGGTTTAAAAGGTGAGAAAAATTCGAATAATTGCCGGGAAATTCCTCAAAACAGCTCTTTTCTATAGAATAAAATTTGAGATTGAGATTCAATCATAGTTATAGTTAAATAGTTGAATTCGAGATGGCGCGCTGAAGTGCATTATTGACAAAACTTTTTATGCATAATTTCTTTAAATTAAAATTGCTAATCTTATTGATAGAATTGACCCTTACTACGAGTATGTCTAGAACAAGAGAGTAAAA